GAAAGTAGCGAACAAAGTTATGGAGGAAGGRGACCTGCCTGACACATGGAAACAYRCYACAATTTCATTAATCCATAAGAAYCACACAGATARCACATCAGTAAAGAATTATCGCCCTATCTCACTTCTTAACACAGATTACAAAATATTTACGGCAATATTAGCATCCAGACTAACCAAGATACTAATAGAAAGAATTGATGAAGACCAGGTCGGCTTTATGCCAGGAAGACAACTGAGCGACAACATAAGAACAGTAATTAACGTTATCGACTACTACGAAAAGAACATCCAAAAAGAAGCTGCTCTTATGTTTCTTGATGCTGAAAAAGCATTCGATCAAGTCAACTGGGACTTCATTATATGTCTACTCAAAGAAATGGATATAGGGCACCAATATCTAAATGCTATTACCTCCATTTACACTTCACAGCAGACAAAACTAGTTATCAATGGACAATATTCCGACAACATAGAAATCCAAAAAGGTACCAGGCAGGGGTGTCCCTTATCCCCCACACTTTTCATAACAGTCTTAGAAGTGCTACTGCAGAGAATTTCGACCAACAAGGAGCTGAAAGGCTTGAAAGTCAAAAATCAGACATTCAAAACAAGAGCATTTGCAGATGACCTTGTCTGCTTTATAGAAAACCCATTGGATAATATTAGCAAATGGCTGAAAGAAATTACAGACTTCGGCGAGGTCGCGGGCTTTAAAATAAACAAAGACAAAACCCAAATAATAACCAAGAATATGAACAAAAACAATAAAGAGAAATTACAGAACATCTCAGGAATTAAGACTACAACCGAAACTAAATATTTAGGAATAATAATAGCAACAAATAACGCACATTTAATAAAAAACAACTACGAAAAAAAATGGAAGGAAATTAAGAAGAAAATCAACTCCTGGAATTCGCTAAATCTTTCCCTACTAGGCAGGATTGCCACAATAAAAATGAATGTCCTACCAGACGTCTTATTCCTGTTTCAATCCCTGCCGATTTTAAAATCAAAAACCCTCCTTAACGGTTGGCAGAAAGAAATTTCCAAATTCATTTGGAAAAGTAAAAAACAAAGAATAAGCCATAGAAATATGATCGATGACAAGAAACGGGGAGGTTTATCCCTCCCCGATTTACAATTATATTATGAGGCAGCGTCGTTAAGATGGATAAAGGACTGGGCGACCCTAAACAAACGCAAAATTCTATCCTTAGAGGGTTTTGACCTACATCAAGGCTGGCACGGCTACTTATGGAGAGGCAAAGCGGAAAAAGAGAAGTGTTTCAAAAACCATCCAAGCAGGGCCGCACTTCTTAAGGTCTGGGACAAATACAAGGATAGATTTTATAGAAGAACTCCCTTATGGTTCTCACCGAACGAAGCCCAACACATGAGGGACCTGCCGAGAGAAAAATGGCTTACCTATGCCCAACTTCTGAAAAAAGACCCTCGCGAAATCAAATTAAAATCCCAGGAAGAACTCAAACAACTTGACGAATCTATTTCCTGGTTCCAATACCAGCAAATACTAGAGAACTACAGAATTGACGTCAAAAACGGATTTCAGATTCAAGAAACCTTCTGGGATAAAATACTAAAAAGCGAGACTAAATTAATTAAAAGAATTTATCAGCAACTCTTAACATGGGCAACGGAAGTAGACCAGGTTAAACATAACATGATTCAGTGGTCTAGAGATATTGGTAGACCAATAAATATGACAGAGTGGGAGGAGGTCTGGCACCAAAAAATCAAATACACATATTCAACTCAGATGAAAGAAAACTGGTATAAACAATTTTACAGATGGTATTATACACCAGACAGGATATCCAAATTCAGTAAGGGAAGAACCAAAAATACATGTTGGAAGTGTGGGAGACATAAAGGAAGCTATATCCACATATGGTGGAAGTGTAGGAGAGTAAAAAACTTCTGGCAAAAAGTCAACAAAACTATACAGATAATACTAGGAGAGAAAATAAAACTTAAACCGGAAGCAATGCTGCTGGGAATTACAGACCCTCTCCAAAACAAAAACTCCGATAAATTGTTCTTCTATTTCACCACGGCAGCCAGAACAGTTATAGCTAAGGTCTGGAAATCTAAAGAAATCCCCACGATAGACCATTGGCTGTTAAAAGTATGGGATATAATGAATATGGATATCCTAACACATAAAATATCTCAAAACATACCTAAACTACCAAGAACTAACTGGAAAACCTTTATAGAATACATTAACAGATCAAACAACGAAATTAATATCAGTATGGATTAACGAAAGCTCTCAAGGGAATGATAATAGCCATCCGACGTATGACAGACAAAAAGAATAAAAGGGCAAATTATTGCCTGCCAAATAACTATTGTCCAGAATATCCTTGGAAGTACTTTTAATGTCACTAGGGTTATTCAAGGTGGTGGGTATAGTTACAACCGAGTTTCACAATTCCCCCCCCTCCCCTCCCCAGGTAACCTAAGTCTAAAGTTTCAAGTATCTTAATGTTTCCTCTACTTAGAGCTAGCAAACCTAAACCCTCTGCGAATCCGCTTCCCCTAACCACTCACCACTCTCCCTTACCATCCCCTATTATCGCTAATGAAGAAGTGAAGAGGGGGGGAGGCGAAAAGGGAAAAGGAGTAAGAAGAAATTAACAAAACCAGGTACCAAGTAAGATCAATTAAGGGGGGAGGACTAGGAGGGACAATAAGGAATACGAATAAACATATATATAATGTGACGATTTGATGTCACGTACGAAAATTCTGCTAGGTTTAGTATCACTTTGTTCGTCATGTTTGTTATGTGCACTTGTACTGTGTGTTACTGTCTGTTATGGGTATTCGTACTGTGTGTTACTGTTATTGTTATATGTTCATCACTGACATAAAATCAATAAAACCAATTTAAAAAAAAAAAGAAGTGGGGGAGTTCTTTCCCTGTATCCCGCTCCTATAAGCAGTGTAGCTGCTGACTTTTGTTCCAGTTGCAGTTTCCGAATGCTCTTCTGGGGCAGTCCCACGTAGAGTGCGTCGATTGTCCAATTGACTCTTTAATCTTTTCCACTTTTATCTTAATCCCCTGGCATATTTCCGTTTTCAGTTCTTTATAGAGCTCAATTATTTTTTTCTTGTTTTGGAAATTGTTTAATCATGCCCCTTTGGATCTGTTTCAGTTCACCTGTCATTTTGGCCAATTCTGATGAAGATACCTTTTCAGCTGGTACATTCTTTGAGGAACTTCATAGATTCTTATATCTCTGATAACTCTAGATGTCATCGAAAAACTATAATTTTAAATTTATTTTAGAAATTGTATTTCTCAAAAATCTAATTTTAACAGGGAATATATCTATGGCCACTAGATGGTAGCAGCATTTCACCAACCTTGAGTGCTCTCAATTTATAAACCATTTCTCAGCCCTTAGGACTCTTCTACACTGACCATTTAGTTTGGTTTAGACCAAAAGGAACAAAAGTCACATGGAACTGAACTGGTGTAAGCTGGTGGGAAATCCCAAATCCTGACCATGGTAGAACCATTTGCAACTGTCCTCACTGCGATCCTGCATTCCCAGGCTCAAGTAGCACAAATACAAGGGATGGCATTCCCCTGTCACACACTTCCTCAGTGTCGCAGTTGTTGCCCGGCACCTCACACCTCCTCCTGTGCTCTTCAGTGTTTTGGCTGCTGTCAGGCAGAGCACCTGTACGCTGACTGAGATGGAAAGGGGAAAAGGAGATTCCAGCCTCCTTAAGCAAGACAGCACTTTGGCTGACATTAGCTAGAGTACCCTAGGCCAGGTAGGTGATGTGTCAACATGGTGGACTGAGTGAGGAGGGATGCCCAGCAGTGCTGAGCTGTGTTCAGCATGATTAAGCATGCAGGATTCCTTGCCATCTCCAAAGTAGTTCAGGGAGTCCCTACCTGGCTGCCATGAATCTGGCATCATGGATGCTACATCAGACCCACATTAGTAGAGTCAGTGTAGAAGTACCAGCATCATATTCAAACTTAGCAGAATTGCAGCTCAGCTAGTTTCTCACTTGCTTAACAATAAATGATAGTGTTGTTTAACTTCAGTGGCAGGAATGGAGGCCTGACTCTCTAGTTTGGCCGAACCTGGTTCTGCACTGCTGGATAGCCACCCTTACCTTTGTCATTGCAGCTCCTGGCCATCACTAGGCTTCTTTGCCGATGTCAACAAAAGTGTCCAGATAAGGGGAGGGAGGAAAGGAGAGAATGAAATCCCTCCTCTCTCCAAGTTGCACGGGTATCTTTCCTGCCAAACAATGACAAAAGTATATTTCATTCCCTTTTCCCTGTGCCACAGAGTGCAGAAAAAAGGTGTGTGTGTGGAGATTCATGGAAACTCTGGAGCATTTTGCGACCTTTGCTAATGTGAAATAACATCTGGTTAGCTGGTTTTATACCATGTTAGGGGTTGGGAGTCCTTGGACATCCTCTGGATCCCCAGGACTGACTTTTTGCCCACTTTACAGTATGTGGCTAGTGTAGACAGGCCCTCAGTCATGTTAATTAATTCAAGGGACTTACTGAGGTTTCTTTCATCACTGCAGAAGAGATAGCTTCTTTACTTAATCCAAGTTAATGACGAAAAGTATTTTTGAGATGGGATAGGCCATGCCATTTTGTACCATGTATAAAAATGGTTTGGTCCACCATTTGGACATGCTCTTTCCCACTCTTCTAGTCAGACCTGTGCTCTGTTGCCAACAATCCCCCACAGAGAGCTGGGATTGGGGCTGGTTTCGCGAATTCCCTGTTTCTCCATTTAGTCCAGAAGGAAATTCCCTCAGCTCGAGCTTCTGCCCAGCTGGTGATCACTGCTGAAATTCTGGAAACAGGCCCCACTTTCAGACACAACACAGCATTATTTTTCCCACTGGAAGTCTCCTCCTCCCCCCCCCCCCCCCCGATGGATATATTCTTAGGTAATTTTTGACAGTTTCTACTAATTTTTCAGAACCCAAAGAAGTTGATGTTGGAAGCACTGTTGTAAATGGACTAATGCCAAGCACAAATGGACAAAAGAGAGGTATGTTGAATCAAGGTGCCAATTCCTGCTGTGATTTTCCCTGAGAGATTACGGGGATATTCTCTTTCTTGAGTACTCCATATCTGAAATGCTAGCAGTCTGAAGTGTTTTGGATTTTGGAATATGCATCCATATATACATAGATAGAAGGACATTTTATAGATAATATTTTGTGCTTGAAACAATTAAACAATCAGAAAACAAAGATATTACTACCTCAGCTACCCATGTTCCAGAGCAGGCAAACCAGACAATCTCTACATCAACATTGACAAAGAAACAACAAGAAATACTGTTTACCCACAAGCATAAAGAAATTACATATCCCCCTTCCAGAGGAGAGAGAAGAAATCAACACTTTCTCATTATTTTATTTTCTAGATCACCAGACTGGGCCACAGCAACACATGGCAGGGGACTGCTAGTTTATTATAAATCTAATGAGAATAAAATTTCCAATCCTTTAATATTTATTTACTCTATTTTTATCTCACTTTTTTCTCAATATAGGTAGTTAAGGCAACTAACAATAAAGATAAAACAATGATAAACACAATGTAAAATATTAAAATACAAATATAAAAAATAAACAATAAACAATATATACTATTAAAACCATTAAACATTAACAACATTAAAATGTATTATCATTTTATACCAGCCTTAAAATCCCAATCACATTACCTTTAAAAGCTCTACCCTCACTCATTTATAAATACCTAATGACAGAGAAATGATTTTATCTGCTGACAAAAGGTGAGTAGAGATGGGACCATCCTGGCCACTTTAGTTAGGAGTCCCAGAGTCTGGGAGCAACCACTGAGAAGACCCTCTCTCTTGTTTGAGGAATATTTGAGGAATTCTAGGAGGCAATAATCCTTCAAGAGGAGGGGGAAGTAATTGGGAAAGAGGAAGCAACATGAACGCTAGATAATCAAGATTAGGAGATCCTAGAGGTGGTGGAGAAAGTTGATCAAAGTTATGACTGCAAAATTCAGTCTTTTGAAGATAATATTTAAATACTATAGTTGTGCAAACATTGAGAAGTCCAACAAACTGAACTCTTAAATGAAGATAAATGAACATTCCTAGGAAGTAATGCCATTCCTTAAGATAGGAATGGGCAACAGTGTAGGGAGGCAATTTTCAACCTCTTCCCTTCAATTGGCTAGCTGAGTGATTCATCTAACTAAACAAGTTTGCTCAGAAGCAATTATTATAAAGATAAAATAACAGTGGATTTTGTTTATAAGTAGGATGTTTATGTTTCTTTCAAGTTCCAATATATTTTCTGCACATTTTATGCATTTTTCTTTAGACATGGATACTGCTAAAGTTTGTACTGGAAAGGGCGCTGTGACTCTTTGGGCATCTCCAGCTTACGAAGAGAACCTGAGTACCAGCTACACAAGTTCACAGGACATACAACTCTCTGAAAGTAAGTCAAGAAAGTTAGATATTCGGTGTAAAACAGAAAATTAAACTACTCCCTTGCTTCTTGAATTAAGGTAATCTCGTGTAATGTAAAGAGTGTTTCAAAATTCTCTCCTCCTTCTTTAGTTAATTCAATTTTAAGCCTTCCTGATCATGTTTGTGAGACTCTTAGCAAAAACAATCTTGCCAACCTCTGAGGTACAAGCCACTTCTTGCCAGAAGCCCAACTTAATTAAACTTAAGACCATGGTCAAGGAATCCAAATAATCTGTGAAGCTAGTTATTCACTTGGATAGTCCCTTCTTTTCCTTCCCGGGCCATAGCATTGAACTGGAAGAAAAGACAAAATGAGGGCCTAGGCAACAAGACCTTGCAGTGTCATTGGTTCCTACATGGACCAAAAGAAAGGGTAATGGTCTATGGGCTTGACACACCTTGTCAGCCTCTATATTCCATCTTGGATTGTTGCTTCAAGGAGACAGCATACCTCTCAAGTAATCCTGACAGGATTGCCTACCACTGCTTCTGTTCCCCTCAGCAGGGAGTCCTTATCACCATCACATCTTTTCTTGGAGATTTGACAGACCTTGTGTCAACTCTTCATGCAAATACATGTGAAAATATATGTAACAATAGTCTAATACTAAAAAGTCAAGCTTCTTTAGAGTTGTTAAACTTGGTGTATAATAATTTGGATTAATTGATACAATATTGAAGCTTATCCTTTTGTATTATTGATTATTGTTGCTTGTATTTTCAAATATAGTTATTCTTGACTGTTTCTCTGTTCTACTCAATTTAACCTGAAAGACATTTATTTGTATTAATTGTCATCATTATATTTTAATGATTCTGATTTGATTTTAAATGAGTCAGATTCTATAGGTTTGTTTTGATTATTCTATATACTCGTCTTCCTTTCCATGCCTTAAATCAATTATATTTATATTCCTGTTTAATTAGGGATTGTTCTAGGAAAGGACAGAGGAGTAATGCTGCTGGAGCTAGCAAATTTTTGTGTCTAAACCATAAATATCTCTTATGTGATGGATTATCTTCTTTCTTGTGGCTAAAGAAAAAAGGAGAGAATGGGCATACTTGTTTATCTCAAAGCAGTTACTTTACTCTCAACCTAAGAATGGAAAACATCATGTTGGTGGACAAGAAAAGAGATTTAAAGATGGTTTGAAAGCTCACCTGAAAAAAGGTGGACCTAACACCAAGAACTGTGAAGCCCTGTCCTGTGAGCATACTAACTGGAGGACAGCTTTTTCCAACGGTGCTATGAATTTTAAATAGGCACGAATAGAGGATAAAAGGGGGAAACATGCCAAGAGGAAGGTGCATCAAGCAAACCGTTGTTGTGACTGCCTTCCATCTGGAAATTTATGAGCTCTATGTGAAATACCATGTGGATCCAGAGTAGGTCTTCACAGTCATTTATGGTCCCACCACAAAGACTAATCATACATGGCCATGAGTGATCGCCTATGAGAAAGGATGTTGTTTTACATGGATTAGAAGGCAGAAGTGGGAGTAAATAACAGCAACATAATCAGTTTCAGAAATTTTCTGAAAACATGGAATTAAGAGTTATGAACATACCTGAACTCTTACTGGGAACTTTGCTAAGCTGTGGTAGCATAATTTGTTCCTAGCCCTCAAAAAGAGGTTCTGTTTGTGGCTTGCATTCTTAGGCTCCCAGAGGAAAACAAGTGATATAGCTTGCAAACAAAAGTACATTTGCCTCTTCTGGTGGCTAATTTCTGCAAATGTGATATATGCTGTACTAGTGCATCTAAATGTACTTGATGCACTTATTGTTTGTAGCTCGCTTTCTACTGTCTCTTGTGACAGGGTTAATAAAGAACAGATATATTTTTCCTTCCAGCCTACATCACAATTTGGAGCAGTGTCTGGCATTTGGGCTCCAAACTGAGAACCATAGCTGCCTTTCTGACTCTGGAATAAAATGTCAATGAACAATTGTTTCTTCATTGCTCTCAGTGAATTGCCTTGTGTTTACAAAGGTCAGGAACTGTAAGGGAATCATGTTCCTCTGGAAATCAGGCAGGCAGTGCTGAAAGTATTCCATACACAGAATGAAGTTGACTATCTTAAATGACGTAACTGTTGATGTCCTTTCTGTTTCCTTCTCTTTGTTCATTCTTCCCTAATGCTTCAGGTGCAGAACAAGGAAAACGAGAAATAGGTATTTAGTAATAGTTTTTTCATATTTTTCATGGTACATTTGATGGTACATTCTTAACATATCCTTAAGAATTCTTCCCTTAATATAGCTTAACTGATTTGTTTTTCATTTTGCAGATGACATATTGCCTAGTGTTGGTTCTAATACGGATGCACAGTCCTCTCCTCTGGCTGCCAAAGGTTACCGGAGTGTGCGTCCAAACTTCTTTGAAAGCACATCACATGTAAGTAGCCATAAAAATCTTGTATATTTTTGTATCAAAGCACTGAAAAGTGAAATATTATCTTGGAGGAGCATTCGTAATTTCTTCAAAATGGTATGTAGCCTGATAGTAATAATTCCCAAGGCACATTGATTATCCACTTCTTGAAAGTACCACAGAAGAACAAGGTGGCTTGGTTTTGGATGCTGTTTACTCTTTGTACATCTTTGTTTTGTTTTTTTCTTCTTCTTTGAGCTATGTATGCACAGTAGATTTATGTTTCATTTTCTCTATGGAACTTTGAAAATAGTATTCTGAGGCAGAGCTAGAGGAGGTTGGGCTTAGTATATTGTTCAGATTTTAATTTCCAGGATTTGAAGGTGGGAACTCTGTTATTGATAAAAGAAGACATATCTTCACTTCCTTTTTTTAAATGTTGTGTTCTTATCCTCATCCATGAAAAAGATAATTAAACTACAAATGCCATCCATGTAACTCAGGTGAGGATTTTTACTGATTTAGTTAACGAGGAACTCCTATTATAGTAGAGTGAGTGTTGGATTTAAACCTCAGAGATTGGTTGTAAAATCTAATTGAAATTGTTAAAGATGTTTTTCAACTTCAGTTTCTTACTTGTATTGCTAATGACCTGTCTTATAGGGGATAGCAAATTAATTATACGGAAAGTTGTTTCTGGTTTTCAAGTTGCTCATCTAGTCCAAACTACACTGATTTTAATAAGATTTGTTTATGCATATTAGAAATATTTGAAAGAAAAGTCTTAGATATTTTAGCTCTATAATAACCTCTATGTTCTAAGATATTTTTATGACTGATGTCAATATTAGAATATTGAGGTCTCATGTGTGCTTGATTTTAGCATTAGAATGGCAATGGAGTCCATACATTTAATTTAATTGGAGCCACTCTTACTGCCTCAGAAATCTCTTTAAAAGATTTATTTCTGCTGCCTTCTACAAAGTATTTTAAACTGGTTTTGTTGGGACATAGATATCTATGCAACAATTTTGATTTCCAAAGATGCTTATTCCAACATAAGGAACTCGGACAATTTATTTTTGTTATTATCATCATTTGTTTATTTATATTGTGCCAGCCAAAGCAACAGTTCCTGCCAAATGCATACAATCTAAAATGTGCACTGAAGAAAGAAGGAATAGCAAATCACAAAACTATACAATGCAGTTGCACAAAAATAGTCTAGATAATAATAGTAATAATAATAATAATAACAATAATTTTATTTCTTATCTGACTCTCCTTGTGGTTTGCAGCAAGTTACAGAATAATTAAAAGACATAAACATTGTAAAAATACCACAAGTATATATATTAAAATGTATTTCTATAAAAGATACATATTAAAGCACATTTCTATAAAATACATATTAAAATACACAAAACAGAGATTAAACAAAAGACACAATTTTAAAATACAAGTCCCCAACCGCACAATATAATATAAAACAAGCTGACAATACTTTCATCAAAATATATAAGACTGCAAAATGTGAAACTCAAATCCCAAAGGCTTTGGAAAAGCTGAGATGAGTGCCTGTCCACACATGGTTAAGCTGGCTTCTTTCCACGGAGGCATTCAAACACTAGACCACTACTAAGTGGCTCAGCCACTTTTTGTAGGATTGCCTAAGAACAAGGGAAGGAACTTTTAATAGAGTTTTGATACCAGCATGTTTTCCTCGGAGGACAGATTGTAATGACTGGACTGCACAGTTGAATTTTCATTACTGTGGTACCAGTAGATGTTGTCAACTACATGCTTTCCATAACGAAATATTTTTAAAGGGCTTCTTTTTCTAATGGGCACATTACCTTTGGGTTTTGTTCAGAATGGATAGCGGTGGACCTGACAGATTAACCAACACCAAAATTGCCTTCATTGATTTTGCCAGCCTCCCTATACATACTATTCACCAACTAGCAATCATGAAAGGTAGTGTTTTCCCTCCTCCTCTACAATCTTCAGTACAGCTCGTGCTGGCTTACTTGCTATAAACAAAGTGCATGTTGGGCAATCACTTTTGGAAAGTCGCTTCTTGTTACTATACAAATCATCTGAGCACCAAAACACACAGGAGGTTGCTGAAGCAGATCATAGTAACAAAATTGGATTGAAATCTAACCATGAAACAAGAGCAGAGAAAAAGGTCAGCAGTCTATATGTAGCTTGTTTATCTAACAGCACTTGCTCAGCTGCATTTGAAAATTCCATTGCCTGTGCAGATGTCCAAACAGAAGGCACCCGTTTTGGAGCTGAGGTCACTGTGGCACCAACCATCCACTGTGTTTCCACTGTAATAGATACGGGAAATTATCTTCCCCCGCCTCCTCACAGGCCATTCTTTAATATTGTTTCCAGCGGAAACACAGTTAGTTGTGGTGAGAGCTGTTCCTCCAGGACCCCTCAGGCTGCTTACAATACAAAAACAGAATCTCGACATACAGTTGGGAGTGAGAACAGAATGAGAAAAGATCCAGGTGTTATACAGAAGCAGCAACAACTATGCAAGAAAAAGGGATATGGCAGGGTACATAGTTTTTATCATATATATATATATATATTTTAAAATGTTCACCTGGCTGATTATTTCTATTGCTTGTTTACCCATGTAACACTTTGTTTATTTCCTCCTGATGTTCCTGATTTACTTGCATTCTAGGATATTGACTTCCTTTGTATTGAATGATCTTTAAAAAAGTTTCCTTCTAAAGGTTTGTGCATGTTTCTGCTGAGTCTGGATAGATAGAAGCAAGCTAAAAACAATTATTGGAGAATCTGGAATCTGTAATATGTGAAATACTTCTGCTTTAGATAAATGTAAACATAGCTTTTGATATAGAGCTACCCTCAAGTGAGGTCAGTTTACAAAAATTATGTGGGATTGCTTAATTTCTTTATAGCTGATAACCGTTGTTGAATAGGGTGGGAGTTGATACAGTGATGTGAATAATTTTGAATGGCACAATCTACTGCTAACCACAGTCTGTTCATTTTTGAAAAGTGCATCTTATGAAGTGCTTTGTTGTATTGAGATATTATCTGTGCATGTCACTGCACACATCTGTGTTATGCCAAGCTTTCCCCTATTGTGTAACATCACCTTATCTCCCACAGGATGCCACTTATTCTGCCACCACTACCCCATCTCAGACTGAAGTTATAGTAGGGCCATTCCAACAAGTTCACCCCGACGGCGAGCATGAAGGCAGCTTGAGCCAAGCACCACTGCCTCTCATTTCTTCTGACCAAAGCTCAGAGTCCCCTGACATCACTTCTGCAAGCTCAATTCTGACCTTCCCAACACTAGATGATTTCATTCCCCCTCACCTCCTGAAAGAGTCCAACCACAATCTACCATCCTCTTCACCAGAGACTGTTCACTTGAAATGGAATTCATTGTCACCATCACCTTCTCCACTGATCCCTCCAGTCAGAGAGATCTCAGAGTTGGAGTCTGAAAACACAGGAATGGTTTTGCACACAGTAAGCCTTGCCACATGCTATCCTCAAAGCTTTGCTAAGTTTACGCTCCCAGAATAAAATGATTTTTCTCATTGGCTCATTAAAGTTTGAATAACATACTTTTAGCCAGCAGTGTGAGAACTGAAACCCTGTTGATGTTCTATTATGGTGCATGTGTATTTCTTACCTCTTCTGGCTTGGAAACTTTCATTGCATAACATTCCTACCATTTCTTTCTTGTTTCCCCTTGTGCCTTTGACTGTAACCAACATCATGCACTACATTGATCGGTCCTTTGAAGCAGAGCTTGACAACAAGCCACTGCATCCTTGTTTTGTAGCCTTCACCCCACGCCACCCAAGCTATCACCACCATCCATACTCCAAAATTACAGCAGCTTTCTCCAGGTACTTCCTTTCCTGTCAATTAAGGAAACTGGAATTTTGCCCTGCAGTCTTGATGTGGGTTTTTTTTTTTTGAGGCAGGTGCACCTCTATCATTTGATTTATTGGCAAATTTCTATGGCATCTTCATTTGTGGTATTAAATTGGTAGCCATGGGATCAAGTAATTGAAATAGAGTGTTAGTCTTCAGTACCAATGCCATTAGTTGAAATACCAGTATATCTTGATACATCCCTGCAAGGTGTAGATTTTTCTTTATATTTATCCCCTACTGTTTTTGCTATTCCTGGTATTTAGTTCATTGTTTTATGAATATTTTGCTCTGAAATCTTCTAATTTGAAAGATTCAGAGCTAATATGAAATAACCCTTTTGGAATCTTTGCTTTCTTATCCTGTTGATCTTTGGAAGGTGTTCCTTGCTGATTCAGTATGAAAGACCAGTCACTGGATTGGTTACTAAACTTCAAGCTTCTCCAGTTCAAGTTGTAGTTCTGTGTTAAGCAGGGATGGATTACGAAAAAAGGAGATCTGTACCCATATTTCAGCATATGTTGCTAGTGCTCCTCTTTGACCCTTAGAGCAAGGCTGCTTTAGCCTTTTTTTGATGGCCTGTTCCTTAGTTTAATTTATATCATATATATTATATCTGTGACTTTTTGACAAGTGTAAAACACTGAAACAATAAGAACAATAACCTTAAAAAAAACCAAATGGTTAAAAGTCCTGGGCAAAAAGGGTTTTACTTGATGCTTAATATTCAAAATGAGTTGACACCAGGTATACAAATTTGGGGGGACTCAAAGATAGAATGTTGCGGTGTCTCCATCGCTGGTTATTTCAACAGGAGAGGGACCTAAGGAACTTACTTCTGAAAATATTTCACAATATATACACAAGTACTTATAAAAGCAGTGGTCCTTGAGCTACCTTGGTCCTCTACTGCTCTGTAGTTCTTGTCAGTGTATATGTGATTTGAAAATGAGCAAACCCCTATGCTTACTGCACATACCTTATTTGAAGTGCAGTACAATACAATATTTGAAATGGGTTGTTGTAGGTTTTTTCGGGCTATATGGCCATGTTCTAGAGGCATTTTCTCCTGACGTTTCGCCTGCATCTATGGCAAGCATCCTCAGAGGTATTTGAAATGAAGAACAATTTTAACCAACATTAAATTACCAGTTTTTCAGTGGAAAGTGTGGGCCTGCTTTTGGCTGATGAGAGAGTCAAATTAATTAGGATTGTTGTTGTTGTGTACGTCCAACTCGTTTCACATTTAGGTCAACCTGAAATCTAGGACAAGGGCTGGGTAAATGACCTTGGAGGGCCTCATCTGGGCCACAGGTCTTAATTTGGACCTCTGATCTAGGCAGCTACTGTGTTAAACTGTTTGAGCCAAAACAAAAAAAAAACTTCTTGAAATACATTAAAGACTTCACACATTCCCTGTGTCTGTCAGCATCCATGGCCTACAGTTTACTTCATTAGATGCATAAAATGTTTTACTGAGTTCTAAGCATATGTGCACAAACGGTTGGAGTAGAGCAGTTGTAAATAGTGATGTCAGAGGGAAATGAAGGCAGAAAATATCAATGGTAATAATAATTTTATTAACAGCAGCTGCTCACAGAACAGATATTTTTCATTGATGAGTTAACACATGTAATATGCTCTTGATAAAAATACAGAGTAAACATCCTGACATAGTTCAGTTGTTTCATGTTGCAATCTGTCCTGAAAGCTCCTTTGATTAAAGTCACAACTTTAAAGCCAGTGACAAAGTGTTCCAGAAAGCTAAAATTATTGGCATTTCTGATGTCAGATGTGTGCCCATTTATTATTTTGCATAGAGACTGACAACCTCTTTGTCCCATGAAAATGCAGTAGGGTAGGAAAGTGATAACATATTTTACATTGAAAGATAAGCAAGTGTGTGAACATCTGAGGTTTTGGATAACATTTTTGTTTCCGTAATAAACCAGGAGAGAAAAGACTTCTAAGTTTGTCATAGAATTTGGTTCCATTGTATCTTTCATGTGCATACTCGTGAAGTGAATGGGTAGCTGCTTATGTTGCAGGAGATCAGGGCTATCTGTAAGCATGACTGGGAAGTGTCATTGTACAGAAAGAGATTAATAGATGAATGATGTAGGTGGCAAATGGTTGTATTTGTTTCTATCTTGAACTATATATTCTTGGGTGCCAATCGGATTCTGTTGTTTGTTTGTACTTCAGTTCTTTCCCTCCCACTTGGTTTTATTGCTACTATAATCTGAGAAAGGTTTGATTTGAATCCTTAAATCCTGTCCAGCAGGATACTGTTTTGTAATAGGACTTGGCTTTTGTGGTGTGTTCTGAATCAAAGCTGGCACCATGGAAGTCTGTGCAGTCATTAATATATTTTCATTAAAGATAATGTTTATGTTTATATGTAGTTGCATAGCAATGAAATTAAATCTGTTGCATGCGCTGGACTAAGTTCACCTTAATAATAAAGTGAATGTTGTTTACATGCTGTTAGAACTTCATCACAGCCTCCTGTTTATGAGTAGAGATAATAAAGGTGTCAATGATGCACATAATGTAGTGAAGAGCCTTTTGGGAAGAGAAGTTGAGACAGTGTGGCTCTAGGTCAGGCGTAAGCCAGAACAACATCCAAGATACAAACATAAACAGCAGCTACAAACATTGGAGCCAGACTTTGTGGCGGACCCAGGCTTTGTTCCAGTGTCTATATCCGGCAACACTATTACAGCATAGCTCATCTTTCAATGTAATCTTGCATCACTTGCCATCAATACCCTATGTCTGAGAGCCAGCATGATGTAGCAGTTGTGTTAGACTAGGGTTGGAATCCGTGCTTGAAGATGAAAACTCATTGAGTCACCTTGGGCAAGTTGCAGTCTCTCAGCAAGGGCAACCCCACCCTGAATAGATTATCTCAAGAAAACGTTGTGATTTGAAGGCAACACAAGCCTAGAGTGGGCAATCTTTTTTCTGTTGGGAATAGTCTGCTGGAGACTGAATGCTCATAATGGATGGGACTTATGCCCGCTTTTGCTAGCATTTATGGAGTTGGAAGAGACCCCATATGACACTGATTCCAACCCACTACTCAATTCAAGAACTCCAGCTTGGAAGCTAACACCTTTTTGAATATATTCAAAGAAAGAGAAAGGTGATCTCTTTAGCTAATTGCCCAATATCATAGCTCTTAACTCTCAAGATGCTATTGATGTTCAATCAAATTTTACCCTTCTTGTAACTTAAAGCATTCGACCTGTCCCTACTCTCTGGGGCTGCAGAGGACAAAGCTGAACCCTCCTTTTTCTGTTAGGCCCTATGATATTTCAAAAGTGCAATCAAGCCAGCCTTCCCTTCATGGTCCTTAATATGCCCAGCTCCCTCAACCTAGTCTCATGGGTTTCGTTCTTCAGACTTCTTATCATCCTTATCTCCTTTCTCTGAACCTGCTTCAACATGTCTATTCTTCTTAAAACAAGATGCCCAGCACAGATATGGTGAAATTATTATTTCCCATGAGCTGGAAACAGTAGCCCAGCATCACACTGCTGGGTCATGTCCAATTTATGATCAGAATAATCTCATGGTCTTTTTCAGATGTACTGCTACTAAGCAAGGGATCTCCTAACAAACACTCAAAACACATATTTTTGTGTGTTTGTGTGTGGTCTAAATACATAATTTTGCTTTTATCTCTGTTAAACATCATTCTACTGGTTTCAGCCCAATTTTCTAGTTAATCAATGTCCTTTTGAATTCTGTTTCTATCTTACAATACCTTAGCCACCGTCCCAGTTTTATGTCATCTGCAAATTGAATAAGGATTTATTTTAACCTATCATCTAAGAGCCTTTTCCCACAGCCCTATATTCCAAAATATCAAGGCAGAAAATCCCACTATATCTGCTTTGAATTGGGTTATCTGAGTACACACTCAGATAATGTGGGATTTCCTGTCTTGATATTCTGGGATATAGGGCCGTGTGGAAGGGTTCTCAGTCACTAATAAAAATATTGAAGAATGATGGGACCAGGTCAGAACCCTTCAGCACTCCATTTGAGACTTCCCTCCAGGTTGAAGCACAGTCATTGATGATGACTCTTTGTAGGTGGTATTCTAATGCCTATTATGAATCTATCTCTTCTACATTTGATCAGTTTTCTAATCAAAATATTACAGGGTATTTTTCAAATGCTTTGTTGAAATCCTGATAAATGACATTTACAGTATTCTTGCCATCTTCTGAACGATTGATTTGGCTGGAGAAAAAAGCCTATGCTGACTTCCACAAATTACTGCAGTGTTATCTAGATATTAGAAACTGGTTCCTTTATAGTCTATTTTAATATTTATCCTGGTATTGAGATTAGGCTGACTGTTCTGTCATTCCCCAGATCTTCCTATTTGGTCTTTTTGAAGAGAGAGACAATGCTTGCCATTCTCCAGTCTTCCGACGCCCACCTGTTCTCTGGGATGTCTCAAAAATGATTGCAAGGGATTCAGAGAATATATCAGCAAGTTCCTTCAGTACTGCGGGAGGCAGTCTATCTTTTCCTGCAATCTTAAACTGATTTAGGTTAACTAGGTGATTCTCAGCGATCTCCCTGTCAATTTTACTTAGTAGCCTGGATCCTTTACTGAGGTCGCTATTCATGAATACAATCACATAGATTATATGTGAGAAAACTGAGGTAAACTATTTTTGAGCAGTTCTTCCTTTACATTGTGATCTGTTACCATTTCACCATTCTACTGAGCAGGTGCTCCACTTGTCCTTGGTCATTCGCTTGCCATGGATATATGTAAAGCCCCCTCCTTTCCCCCCTTTTCTGCTTCCTGTTGGCTTAGCACATTTTGCCTTAACTAATTTTGAGGTTCATCTTTCCTTATACTATTCCTGCAAACTGGGGCTATGCATCTTTACTCTTTGCTAATTTGGACTTCTTTCTGTACTTTATACCCCCTGTTTGTAATTTTCACTTTCTCTTTGAGCTTACTGTGCAGTCACATTAAATTTTTCAGATATTTGCTATTTTTCTTCTTCCCTAGAATTGTTTGTGATTGTGCTTTTATTAACTCTTTTCTCATGAAATCTCAGTCCTGCTGGGTGTCTCTTTTCTTTAGTGTTTTTAGCCTATTGTTATCATTTTGCTGTTAACAGCTTGCCAATGAAAATGATAAACAATTTTTCCTGACCTTCCTCAGCAAACTATCAGTAATTAAATGTCATTAAGGAATGCAAAAATTCTGCATGCCTGACTATTGTGTTTAAAAATATCTGTGTACTTACGTGCACCCCTCTTTTTCTGTCTGATTGCAGAACACTTTATCCTATCTTTAAATGTATGCCAAGCCTTTGATAACTGTTCAGTGGCATTTCTTCTGGCTTGAGTAATGCCTGATGCAGCTGGATTATCTGTGGGTTATATGTTCTTCTGTGTGTGCTTGCTGCAATGAGAAAGATGTATCAAAGTAACATCTTATGTTTGTGTTATTTTAAATTGCAAAGCATTTGTCTTACAGCTACATCATGGTCCTTTTGTAATAATGACATGCACACTTATGTGTTCCAGGAACCCTGCCCTCAGCTGTATGAAGCACCCAAAACCAGCAGTGGCACTGAATGTTATGGCTCTTTAACAGTGGCCAGCAAACATTCCTCTGCCTACCCCTCCACCACAATTGTCAATCCCACCATTGTCCTTTTGCAGCACAACAGAGGTAAGAATACAAACCTACAGAGATATTTCTTCTTCAAGGTTAACATTTGTTTTACAACCATTATATATGACCAGCTAGTTACCGCAATGGGAATGGGGTGAGTAGGTGAAAGTCTCGCAATGGTTCATGGAAATATCATTACACCGTACAAGGAAAAATGGAACAAATGTGTGTCTTCTGTACCCCTTAGCAATAGTGGGCCTTGACCTCGGTGATATTTTTTTTTCCAGCAAAGCTGCACTAAGAGAAGGAGGTTTCTTTTTCTTCATTTTTATTTTTTCTTATTTCAAAATTGGTTCATCTAATGGTTTTTTTTATTTTAAAAAATGCTGTAGCCATAATAATGTTGTAATGCTATTACAGTATCATAATGATATGACTATACGATGGCATTACAAAGCCCTGTGTGATTGCCAGGATCTCTAATTATAAAATCTCTTTTATTAAAAAATGACACAAGAGGTACTTAGGGAAAAAAGAAGAAATGCAGAGATCCAGAATGATGGAATTAGATGAACTGGAAGAAAACACAGTGGCCATCCAGTGCAACCATCATGCAAGAACACATAGTCTTTGTTCAAAAAACTCCAGAGAAGGAGACTCCTCAAGACACAGTCCAGCTTTTCAATCAAGATCGGCATGGTGGATCTATTTAGCAGCACGGATCCGATTCCACTATTGTTTTAGTAGGCTGAAATGAAACACAGGATGGATTTGTTTATACAAACCCAGTTCAGCAGTCACCACATTAACAAATCTTTTCATAACATCAAACCCACATTTTAGATCTAAGTTTTTAAAAAAGATTGCTGGCTCTTCAAGAGCTAGGTGGGCAAAATACACTGCTTATCCCACTTTAAAATCCCAGTTTGGATCCCATTTTTGCGAGCATAACTGTCCTTTCCCAGAAAAATTGGAGCTGCAATGGGAGATATTGAAGGGTGTATAAATACCCATGCCAGAGCTTCTATTTCCTTGGGAGTCAATTGAATGTATTTACTTTAACCTCAACTTTATTTCAATGCCACAGTCAGATTTCCAATAGGGTGGAAGAATGTCACTTTCCTTCTCTGCAAAAAGTTCTTGCAAATCTGCATATTCAGTAGCATCCTCCACCACCTCAAGGATTTCAATCTGCTCAATGTTAGCCTGTCCCTTTAAGGGAAGTTCTGGAACACAGGTGTTCTCTCTTGTGTGTGAAAGACAGCCTTGATTAGGCACATTCAGCTCCCTAGCCTTCCATTCATCTCTCAGATCATGTTTAAACCTAGCTTTGGGGGCAGGGGTAGTTGGCTGTAGGAGCCAGTGTAAAATTGGACGGGCTCCCAGTGATTCCCTGCCTACAACATTACAAAGAAAGTTTTAGCCTTTCCCAATTCCCCTCACATTTAACTTATCTCTATTTGCACAAATGTAAATGGGATCATAAAAACGATGGGTTCCAAGTTTGGTCCAGACCCATTGTGGGTGGAATTCAAGTACTAGATGTAGCTGGATTCCAACTCCCATCATCCTTTCTCAGCCCTCAAAGCCTCATTTGGCTGCAACTCCCTTCAGCCCAAGACTTGGTTAGGCTTCAACTCTCATCAGCTTTAGATTGGATCCATCAGCAACAGATCGCCCTGGCTGCAACTCCCATCAGACCCACATCTGGCTGACTGCAACTCCCATCAGACAAGACCTGGTCAAGTTGCAACTCCCATTATCTCCACAAGTCCGCATCTCACTGGCTGCAACTTCCATCTGCCCCACATCTGACTGGGCTGCAAGCTCACGGCTCTCCTCATAACTGGTCAGATGAGTGAGTCTTCTTGTTGGGCTTCAGCTGTCATCATCCACACCCTGCCTAGTGAATGGATGAGGATGTTGGGAGATGCAGCCTAGCCAATATGCTGATGTTAGGAGGAGACCCATGTCTTCGGATGTAGGTGGGATTCACTTGGTTCTCTGGATATGACTGGACTCCAAAAGCAATCATCCTCTATCAGCTTTCAAGACGTGTTTGGGTGGCAACTCCCATCAGCTCTAGATCTGGCCAGCTGCAACTTCCATCAGGCCCAGATCTTACTGGCTGCCACTTCCAACAGCCCCACATCTGGCTAGTCTTGAACTCCCATCAACCCCACATATGTCCAGTTGACACTCCCATCAGCCTAAGATCTGGTCAGACTGGAACCCCCATTAGTCCCAGATTTAACTGGCTGCATCTCTCATTAGCCCCAGATCTGGCTGAGCTTCAAAGTCTAGTCCAGTGGTTCTCAACTTGGGGTCCCCAGATGTTTTTGGTCTACAATTCCCAGAAATCCTAACAGCTGGTAAACTGGCTGAGATTTCTGGGAGTTGTAGGCCAAAAACATCTCGGGACCCAAGGTTGAGAAGCTCTGGTCTAGTCCAAGACCTGATCAGGCTGCAACTCCTATCAGTCCTAGATTTGGTTGGCTTCAAATCCCATCAGCACCATGTCTGGGCAGCTACAACTCCCATCAGCACCAGATCTGGTCTCAACCACTCTATTACAGCTGACAACTAGCAGTTTAGAACAGTGCTTCTCAAAGTGCTCCTCCAGGTGATTTGGAGCTCACAGAAATCCCAGCCAGCTTACCAGCTGTTAGGCATTGTGGGAGCTGAAGTCCAAAACATCTGGAAGAACACAGTTTGAGAGACTGGTTCAGAACCAAAACATATTTCTTGTATTGAGATGGAAATGAGAGACAAACCTGGTGACATCAAACCCTAGGACTCTAGATAACGTCTCTCAGTGGCTTCATATATATGTTCAGTAGTATGAGGGATAAAGCAGAGCCCAGTGGTACTCCACTGGCCAATGGCCAAGGTATTGACCAGGAGTCTCCAGCACCAGCTTCAGTGTTTACTCCTCTAGGGAGGAACAGGGCCACTGTAGAATAGTTCCTCCAATTCTTATCTCGGCAAGGGTAAACCAGAAGGATGCTGAGTGGCCCAGAAGTATGCCAAGAAATCCATCCTTCTCCTGCCTCTTCATCCATAAGCACAGCAAAAACTTGAATATTTGTTGTGAAAGATCACAGCATAATGGATATGTAGAACTTTAAATAGTCTAAAATACGTTAATTGCCATGAATAAACCTACAATTTAAAAACATTGTTGGCTGTTGTTTTGCCCTCAACAGCAACATTGCTGACTAAGATGGCAATCCTAAGATGAACTGATCGCAGAATTTTTTTTGGCAAGATTTATTCAGAAGGGGATTACTATTGCCTTTTTCTGAGTCTGAGGGAATGTAACTTGCCTAAGACCACACAATGGGATTCATGGTCAAGCAGGGATTTAAATCCTGATGTCCAGAGTCATAGCCAAACATTCAAACCACTATACCATATTGGTTCCTAGTTTTGATGTTACTATTTCCTGAGTATCATCTATGGTAGTATTTGAAAATACCCGTATATTCCGGCATATAAGACGACTGGGCGTATAAGACGACCCCAACGTTTCCAGTTAAAATATAGAGTTAAGATGACTCCCATGCATAAGACTACACCCGCATATAAGACGACCCCTGACTTTTGAGAAGATTTTCTTGGGCTAAAAAGTAGTCTTATACGCCAGAATATACTGTACATATGTGCCTTTTTTTTGGTCTAATTCAACTGTGCAAACGTATTATTAATTGACTCAGTTAATGGTTTATGGTCATAGCTCAGCACTGCTAGTTTGAAGGGACTGAGCTGAAAAATTGTTTATTTTGGGTGGAAAGATCAGATATAGGTTCAGATATAGAACTACAGTTATGTTCAGCACATGTTCCTTTGTGTGCGTTGATATCACTGCAAGAGCTGCAGGCCTTATTTGTCTATTACTTTCTTCTTTCTCACAGAACAACAAAAAAGGCTTAGTAGCCGCGCAGGTATGATATCAAAAATATTGCCACTCCTTCCCTGCCATTGTTTTTTCTGCTGTATCTATTTAAGGAAGGCACTGTTATCTAGTAGAGTACCTTTAGCGAATCCAGAAGTGAAGAGCTACAATTGAAGAGGCAGAGAAATGACAGTCAGTTTGGAAACTTTGAAGCCCTTTATTGGAAGTGATATGCATATTCCTTAAGACTGCTTTTGGTGTATTGAACAGAGTCTACTCTATAAGTTTAAATAATGACTAATAAATATGTCTGATAATTACTTTATCCCACACAAGTAGAAAAAGTGTGTGTTTGCCGGCGTACTTGAGTTGCATACTGTAGATATTATATCCAATAAAATTACATCTACATCTTAGTACAACTACCAATAGAGGGCACTGATCATCTTAAATTTCAACAGACCAGTGTTCCTTAGACACATTATCTGTAAAGACCAACACCAGCTCAAGAATGAAAAGCTGAAGGAGCTTTCTCCTTCTACTAAATTGGAAACATAGGGCATCTATTTCCATGTATTGTTGGTACCTTTAAAAACACACACACCACTTTAAATTAGTAGTCCTTATCACATTCTTTTAACAGCTAGCATTAAAAGTAGTGACTATAAGCACATCTTGTTGTGGGAAATCATGAGTTAAATAATATGATGTTGCATGAAGTACTTAATTTTGTCACAGGAAAAAAAAGGAGCAACTACATTTTTCAATTCATTTTATGTTCAGTGAGCTGGAAAATGTATATCCAGCCAGGGCTACCAGTGTATTTTTCCAGAGTTTCTGCACCCTAAAAACTGAAGTAAAAACTATATTTTATGTAATGCTTTAGGTTGTCACACTATATGAAAGCTCCTTCCAATGAGCTTGCACACTCCCAGTGAACAGCAACAACATGCCCCAATATCAGCATTTTATACCTATCCAGAAGATGTTCTTTTAAAATTCGAGGATATATATTGCAGCAGAAAACCCCCCTCTTCAGGAGTATTTATATTATTCAGTATTATCAATTTATACTAAATTCTTTGGCTAGGGAAGGATAGATGGTCCCTTGTGGTACTTGAAATTTTTAGAACGCTATTCCTTTGAAAAAGAAGGCATGCCCATATGAGTCTCTCAACATCCTGAGGCAGTAATAGGCAAAGACACCAAAGAGATCTGAGTAATTATCTAGAATTGCCTAGAGCAGAGTTTCTCAAACTGTGCTCCTTCAGATTTTTTGGACTTCAGCTCCCACAGTTCCTAACAGCTGGTAATCTAGCTGGGATTTCTGCAAGATGAAATCCAAAACACCCGGAGAAGCACTGTTTGAGAAACACTGGCCTAGAGTGCCATGAGATTTAAATAATACCTGGCCAAATTGCCAATCATGTTATAGCAGCTTCCTTCATCCTTCCTTTCCTCCACCAACTACTAGAGGGACTAGATCAGAGGTGACAAGCTCATTCCCACCAAGGGCAGCATCAGCCTTATGGTTGTCTTCACAGGGCAATTTATAACTAAGTTGCCCTGGTATTGAAAGCTGGTGTTTCTACCCATTTAAGAAATGGCAACCCACTGTGCCCTTCACACGACACAAGCTTCAACTGTGGGGTTGAGGTATTTTGCCATTTCTAAAGAGCTGTTTTTTTCCCCAACAATTCCTAAACTGGCTGGCAATCAACTTATTATTCCCTGCGTTTGGGGGGGGGGGGCAATTTCCCCATGTGATGTTACTCCCTATTGCCCACTTTTGTTGCCCACTTCTCTGTGGGAGGAATGGAAATGCCAATTTCTCCAGATCACCAATGCAGAGAGGCTTGGGGAAAGATCAGGCTTAATTTAGAACCACTTCCTACAATCGCCAATTCAGTGGAAGGGTCTTGAGTGCAAACGACCCCATGAAAAATAAAATACCTTCAATCTGTTTCAGTGGAAGGGTCTTGAAGGCAGTGTTTAAAGGATGCCTGTTTTTAAAAGTGTGCTGGTATCCTTGAAATAGGAGGAGTCATCGCCTACTAATGTGATGGGAATTAAGCGGATGGTTGAGTTAGAAGCTGGAGGGGGCAATCCAATGTGACTGGAATGAGTACATTCTTCATCTTCTTTAAAAACAAAACCCCATAAAAGTCCACCCTTTCCCCGCTTTCCCTCATTTTTCTTCAGCTCTTTGTGATTAAGTCTTAAGTGATAATAACACAGTTCATCTATGTGTTAACCTAGCCTTGAAAGCCTAATACTATGTAAATAATAATAATAATAATAATAATAATAATAATGGGAAGATATAAGTATGTTGCTCTGACATTGAAAGCCTAATATATGGCACTGTATAATAGTAATAACAACAACAGTAATAGAAAGATGAAATTATGTTGCTTTGGTATTGAAAGCCTAAATATTTCTCACATGAAAACCACGCACTGATTACCAGGGTTGGTTCAAACCTCATGTATCCCATTATACCCACACCTGCTGTGAGGAAAAGTGAAGTGGGGGAGCTGCCTTTCTTCAAAATTCCCTTTCTAATTTGGGAGGTCCACTCCATGACACAAATTTCTGGCTCAGCTGGGGGGGGGGGGGCAAAAGATGGACCAGACAAGGGCACGCCTTGGCTCTGGTCCTTCAGGAGAAAGGCTGCTTGGGCCCGATGATGAGAAAGTAGAAGCCGCTACCTGCCTCCTGCCATACCTGCCAGAGCCACACCCAAATATTTGATCCCCAACTGTGATAGGCAATTTGTATTCAGCATCCTCTCAGTGCAGCAAAGCAAAACCACTGCCTCTTCCTCCTCTTCTCTTACAGTCTCTAGGACACCAAACACTGAGGAGGGAAGTGGTCTCCAACCAATAGAAACATGTTCACTAGGTTCCTGCTGCATTTAAAATGCATTGTATGCTTGTCAGAGGGGGTGGCACCAGTACAGGGAGCATCTGGACCTCGAGGGCCACATAAAATGATGAGGCAAACCAAATTCAGTCTGCAGGTTTTGAGTTTAACACAGGTGGACTAGAGGCTCCAAGTGAATCCAAAAGGAACAGTGATGCAAACCCCAAAATAAGCAATACTACCTGCTGTGAGAGCTCTCATGTCTTTGCAATGGCCTAGAATAACTTGATGTAACAATAGAGAGAAAGCACAGCACACCAGAGTCATGGCTCATGAGACAAAAGAAACATTTAATATTTTTTGCCAAGCTGTCAATAAAAGTCAAACCCTGAATCTTCCCAATGTTTGAATGCCAATACCAGAAAAATGACCAAGGTCCTGATTCTCCAATTGCTTTGAAGCCCATTCAGTTTTCTCTTCCAACTATGGCTGGATCTGCACTTCCATATAATCCAGTGTCTGACTCCAGATTATCTGCTTTGAACTGGATTATATGGCAGTGTAGGCTCATATAATCAAGTTCTATGTGGATAATCTGGGATAACATACTAGATTATTTGACAGTGTAGATACAGCCTAAAACAACACTCAAGGGACACCAAACACCCTCTACTTCAATTGCAGACAACCAGCTTGAGGGGGAAAAAAGGCAGTGTTTATGCTTAGACCCACCCTACTATTTTCAGATATATTTTTGCTTATTCTGTGGAAAGTGAAAATATCCCTCTTATAGGCACCAGAGAATGGTCAAGAGGAATGGATTTAAATTATGGAAGCACAGTTTGTGAAGGAACCTTAAAATTTATTCAAAGTCCCCACAAATGTTTCAATCCCTGTTGTACTCCATAACAAAAAATGCCAAGCAAACCAAGAATTACTGATCAGTTGCTGATTAAAGAGACAAGTGCTTCTTCCTCTAGCTTTGTCAAAATCCCTTGTGAGTCACAGTTAAAACAAGGCACAGGAAAATCGACCTAAAAAAGCATTTTTGTTGAATTTTTGTGAGGTAGCCAGGAAAGTTCAGAAGGTGCGAAGCCTGTCCTTCTCTTGGCATGCAAGGCAACTTACAATCCCTTCGGGGGGAGAAGGGCAGGGTATAAATATAGGAAATAAATAAATAAAAACAAAATACAGTGTAAAACATGATAAAAAGTGTAAAAGTTACTAAATAAGCAATCCTATCACAAATACAAATTTCAAACTGTTTAAAACACATTTGTGGTGCTACTTACAGATTCCAAGACTTCAACTCTGATTTTAAACTGAGCTGAATAGGGGTGCTGAATAGGGGTGCCCTCATTCCTAGGCATATTTCTTTAGCACTGAAAGTGTTGATTTGAGTGGCTCTCTACTGGATTTGCTCAGGGTATTCTGTGATGAATGCTGGCTCCTTCTGCATGAGCCTTTCCCCGCATTATAATTTCCCTGCAGAAATCTATTGTTCTGAAGGGCTTTGATGATTACAACTGTATGCATGGTTTTTGTAAGTGGCCCTCTGTGCATGCTATGCTGTGATAGAGTTACTGCTACTTGGCAAATCCTTGATGAATCAATGTGTATTTTTTTAAAATTGAACTCATTCCTGAAATCTTTCAGAAAAATTGCCAGAGGTCGATATTAAAATATAGCACACTGTAGCACTATATTATGCATTCTAGCACCAGGGGAGCTTGCAAGTTGTGAATCTGTCAGGAATTCTAAGGTGCTTGGAGATGTAGGAAAGTATAACGTGTTTTCAGATCATTGCATGCAATCAAAATGCCAGACTTAAATGGTTTCAATGATGAGCTTTTTATCTAAAAACCCTTTATTTATTTATCAGTTCATGTTGTAAATTGTTCTGTCTCAAAACACTCAGGTTCCCCATCAGTGTTTCGCCAAACCTTTGAATTGATTGCTGATATTTTATGGTAATGTTCTATTTCATGGTAATATCAAAGAACAAAAAAATTGTTTACAGAGTCAGTGCCAGATGCACCAGTTCATGATAAAGTTGATTCCATACCTATGCAAGAAAAAATAAGCCAGTGGAAAAAACAAGATGGAACAAGAGTTACGGAGTACATAGCTGATCCCTCTTTGGATGATATAGGCATTCCATTAAGGGTAAGGACACCATGAACATTTTTATGCTGCATCAATTCAACTGTACTTGTTTAATAAAAAAATTAAATGTCAAGCACAAAAACTGCTTTAAATTTCATTTCCAATAGAATGCTATCATATGGTTTTTGAAGTGCATATTACAGTGAATTAGTATTCTTCTTCTAGTTTCTAATAGTATTGTATTATTATTATTATTATTCTAGTTTCTAATAGGAAATTGTCTGATCACTGCAAACAAAAGGTTAGACCAAACAGGCCTTTAGTCTGTTTCAATAAATGTTCATGTGTTGTTGTTTTAAAAAATAGCCTCAAATCGTTTGTTTTGTTGCGTTTTTATTTAGAACACGGATCGATCAAAGGATTGGTACAAGACAATGTTCAAACAAATACACAGACTGACAAAAGGTACTGTTAACTTACATCCTTATTTTGCAAAAACCTTATACATTTGGTAGGTATAATCTCTGCATATATTAAAAAGCATTGTCTGAGTTACCAAAATGTCAAGACAAAATCTAGATAGCAAAAGGACAAACTACACAATAAGTTACATGTGCAAATATTACATTTTTGTTCATTAGGTAACAGTTGCAAGATGGGCTCATTGGGACTGGGATATGATGTGTGGGAGGAGGCCTTTTAGTATTTTCCCCTCCCCAGAAGTTCCTTCTGAAAGCAAATGGAAGTTTCCGTTGTGACACTATTAGTATCTTGGAAAGGGACCCTTTCATGTGAACTGTGGGGATTGGGGTGGATAGTTAAAGTATATCTGGTCCTATCATGAAACAGAATGAAACAGTGGCCTCAAGTGCCAGATGCTGAGTGGTGTGGTGTATTCAGTGATGTTGCCCCATGCCCATCCCCTTATTTTGGAGAACATATCTGTGCATTCTAAGCAGGCTGTGCTGCTGTCCCAGGTGTGCTGAAGGATGATGTCTGGTTGACTATGGTGAAATTTTGTGAAGGGCAATTTTGTCTTTGGCCTCCAGGAAAAGAAATTCCTTGGTCTAACTTTAAAAGTGTGTCATGGTCCTAAAACTTAATCTAGGGTAGAGAAAATGCAGCCCATTACCACATGCCTCCCCAGAACCCCACTTTTGTAACCCAACCAGTCTCTCCAAGTTACTGGAACCCCCCCCCCCCCTTTAACAATACAGACAGTCCCCAAGTTACAAACAAAATAGGTTATTTAGGTTTGTTCTTAAGTTGAATTTGTATGTAAGTCGGAATAGGTACATTTTTAAACATAATGTTAGATATATATTAAATTTAACTAATTTATGAGGCCATAAAGAAAGAAGACTCTGGGGAATGTGGAATGCGGAAGAACTTCATCGGTGTCGTTGATGGACGATGAAAAGCAGCAGCTCCCCTGGCGGCCAGAAAAAAAAGTTAAATAGCCTTTGTCTGCTAAATGTTGTTTGTCAAACTGGCATTGAATGTTTGCCATATATGTGTTTACTGTAATCCGCCCTGAGTCCCCTGCGGGGTGAGAAGGGCGGAATATAAGAACTGTAAATAAATAAATAATAAATAAATAAATATAGGCTTCCCCTTGCCATTAAGACTAGTTGTGTCCAACTCATCTCCATTTCTAAACCAAAGAACTGACATTGTCCATAAAAGCCTCCAAGGTCATGTGGGCAGCACTATTACCTTCCTTCTGAAGCAGTACCTATCGATCTACTCACATTTGCATGTTTTCAAACTACTAAGTTAGCAGAAGCTGCGGCTAATAGCGGGAACTCATGCCGCTCCCAGGATTCGAACTGCCAACCTTTCAGTCAGCAAGTTTAGCAGCTCAGTGGTTCAATTCACTTGGCCACCAGGGGCAAAATCTTTGGATAGCATAGGGAAGGATTAACACCCCTATGATGATTGTTTTGCTGTCTGTGCCCTGTTCAAAAGATTTCACCTCACTTTCTGTGCCTGTGATAACTGTATTTTGGTAAATTTGGCTTATTATGGAAACAAGGATTCAATGGAGACACTTTTACCCCATAATAACTCTTTCAGGAGAGTATTTCCCTTCAAAGGGGCAGATTTCTCTCACTTCCTATTGCCTCACCCCTGTTCTTAACTATGAGTCATTTGTAAGTTGGATGTTTGTAACTCGGGGACTGCTTGTAAAATGTTTGACACAACTTTCAGATAAACATAGCCTGAAAATTTTACCCCAAAGTCACTGCAGTCAAACATGCTGAATTTCTCCTCACCCTGCCACGTATCCTCAGAACTCCCCATTTCTTCTCAAATATATTTCATCTCCAATATTCCTTCAAAATTGTGATAGGGGATGACAAAGAGAAAACAGGGCGTTTTTACATGCTTGGTTAGGAGTATTTCCTGCTGGGGGAGTAAAACTGTTCCCTGTGCCACTCAGTTGTACATCTTTGTTCAAATTCCTTGCTTGCAGCTCTAGTTCAAAGAATAAAAATTATGTCACTTTTATTCATTTAATATTATATATTGTTTAGTTCCTGGAGTTTTTATATTACATGCCAGGGCAGCTGGGTGCCATTTGTTACCATTTAGATGCATCTACTTTCACTAGAGCTCCAAAAAAAGGCATGCTTCCACATTGTAGGTTACAGTGATAGTCGTTGCTTAAAGCATTGGATAAAGTGGATATTTTTCCATGTCTAACAAACTAGAAACTTCTTGGCATTTCATTTTCATCTGTCTGATGTTTTGAACTGGAGCACTATTTCCCTCTTCTCAAAGTATGAATTCGATTTTCCACCAACCTTTAATTGAACTCACGTCTTCTGTTCCACTTTGCCTTCATTCTTTTCCTGCATCTCAGCAGATTAGGTGAGTCATTAGGAGAGAAATGACATTGTGCGAGATATATTTTGGAACAGGAGTTAAGAGGAAGGGAAGAGCTTTGTATAGATATGCCCCAGGTGGCCAACATAAGGGCAAATGTCACCTGCGCTTTATGGGGCATCCACTTAAATGCAAGTTTCAGGATCTTGTGTGTGAGGACATGCTTGTTTTTTCCATCTTTCCCCTCATAGCTTTACTGTCTGTTCTTTCCTAAATGTGCTCTTTCTGCACAGACACTCCTGAAGAAAACCCTTATTGCCCTACCTACATATTCCCTGAACTTCCTGATATCCAGTCCCAAGCCAAAGGTACCATAAGCTTAGCCAGAGTATCATTTGCTTTCTGTTTGGTTTAACCACACTCTTCTTTCTCACACTAGTCTTCTCTTGGTAGAGTGCTTGTCATTTTATCATGTTTGCATATTGAGTGGCATTGGGTATGTCTCCTTGTGTGATGTATACAGAGACAGAGTACTTCCTAACATGTAATTCTTTTTAAGAGTATGACGTCATACTTCAAAAATATAATAGTGATAGAAAATTGGGGAATGATTTGCTTCCTCCACTTCAATGTGGCTCTTGTCCAACCCCACTGTTCTGTCTCTGCTGCAGAGGAAAATCCTTATTATCCTACATACCAGTTTCCTGTGTCTACTCCTAGCCCTAAATCTGAAGGTAAATAGTAAAGGTGAATTAACTATGGTATTCCTTTTGCACAAATGCTTCTGCTTTCTCCTTAATTTCCCAACTAGAGTTTTCATAGTTTGCCTTTTGTTTCCTTCTAATGATCTGTTGCCAGTAATATCTTGACCATTGGGTGTTTTTCCTGGCTTTGCGTTGCTGTTTCAGTTTTCTAACTCTGACTAATACCATGAGGCTTCAACCTGCTTGTCTTTGTATGGTCAGTGCAAGCCATGTGTGTGCAGTGGTTACTTGGCATGTGAGCTATAGATTCAATAAATGGAGTATAGGGTTGTCATTGTTCCACAAGCCAGTATTGTATTCTTACAAGATGGGATGAGTGATAGTGTCGTTTTTTGGAAAGTCTGTAATTCCAAGAGAAGCAAAATTGATTGCTGATTTATAGCAGTCTCACTGTTCTGTATAATTATAACACTGGCAAACACACATTTTGGTGCTTCAGAAGTTCACCCTGTTTGACCTGTTGATTCCAAAAAATGGCATCAGTTTTCCCCTATCAGTTCTAGTTTTTGAGATACAAAACATGCCATCTACCAGTTGCCATCTGCTTGCCCATAGAAAACCATAGTAACCATACCTAAGAAACCAGAACTAATGCAATATTCTGAATCAGTTCTCCAGATAACCCCAGGAACAGGACTAAAATCAAATACACCCTGATTTTTTTGTTGGGCTGTGTAATTTCTGTCTCTTGTCTGAGGCATCGTCACATCATACTATTGAGCAGGATAGGGGGTGGATACAAGACAGAAGGCAATTTCTGCAGTCATTCACCTTTCCATTACAATGCCCCCTATGAAGAACCATACCATCACATTTAGGTATAATATAATAAAATATGGCATTCCATGCCAACAACAAACAAAATGTGTGTATATGAATAAGCAATAGGTGACGTGAACATCACAGTAACCTGTGGGATATTGGAAATCATAGTCTACATGGACTCTCCTTTACAACATGGTTTAGAAAATCTGATACACACTTTAAGAGCAAGTTACTGCAAACTATGATAACCCAAAGCATTTTACTGAATGTGATGCTGTATTGTCTGTAAAAGCTCCTCCCCTGGAGGTTTAGTGTATGATTTCCAGTGACTCTAAGTTTAGTATGGGGTTTACAGCTATAATTGTTTATGAATGTCTATATATTACTTCTTTATAGCCTGCTTTTTCTCTTTCAAAAGAGACTCAAAGCAGCAAACAGTGCCATGCACCTTTGTTACATTGGTGTAGGGGTGCCATGCTTGGCTGTGAGTCCAGACAAAGGACTTAACTAGATCCTAATGTATGCTGTGTCATAGAGGAAACTCTCCAAGAAACCTGGGTGTATGGTTTCAAGTAGCCCAGACCTGATTGTGGGGCTCATGCCACCAGTTGCTTGTTCATTTCTATATATTTTGGACATTTTTGCCAGCGGTTGCAGAAGGCATACTAAGTGGATATACAGGGTTAGTCAAAATGAATAGGCCAATAAGAAAATTAATTTTAGACGAATGTATGTTTACTGTAACCAAACCACAGCTACGTAGCGACAGATAAACTATCAAAGTTTTTTTTGAGCAACACACATGTACGTTAATGCCGCTAGGGGTCGCTGTTTTCAAAATGGCGGAATCAAGCAAAGAGAAGGCGTTTTGTGTGATGACATTTGCTAAAACAATGTCAGTAATTACGGTCCAGCGAGAATTTCAAGGGTTAGGGTTAGGGATAGGGATAGGGTTAGGGTTAGGGTTAGGGTTAGGGATAGGGATAGGGATAGGGTTAGGGTTAGGGTTAGGGTTAGGGATAGGGTTAGGGATAGGGTTAGGGTTAGGGTTAGGGTTAGGGTTACGGTTAGGGATAGGGTTAGGGTTAGGGTTAGGGTTAGGACCTCAACGAACACCTTCCCAGACGTTGCTGCATTCGATGCCATTACGTCGGATGTGCTGCAACGGATGTGGAATGAACTGGACTATCGCTTGGACATCTGCCGTGTCACACGGGGCGCCCATATCGAACATCTCTGAAGGTGAGACAAAACTTTGATAGTTTATCTGTCGCTACGTAGCTGTAGTTTGGTTACAATAAACATACATTCGTCTAAAATTAATTTTCTTATTGGCCTATTCATTTTGACTAACCCTGTACTTAGGTGTAATCTCAATCAAGTAACTCCAGAAGATATTTGGATTTATAATTTTGAGCAGCCCAAAGCTGATTGTGAGGTGCAGACTTCCAGTTGCATGTTCATTTTTCCACAATTGATTATTACCAGAGAGGGCCATGTCTGATAGTTTCCAATGCAGAAAGGAAACATAAAGATTCAAAGCAACAAAATTACTTTTATTGTCTCCCCCACCCCAATATTTGTTTACATCTCTGTTCATAAGTTTTCCATATTAACTGCTGAAGAAACAGATTTATAGTTTATTTTAAAGATGTTGAATCTATTTATTGTTGTCAAGACTAAGGACTTTACCACACAAGGCTCTAAAATTGGGTTTTGGTATTGCAAACCTGAGTTACTTGAGAGCCAGAGCATCCCAGAATAGCAACGGAGCCCAGCGAGGGAGATAGGAACAGAAAAGCTGCAGGAGGTGGCAGCTGCTGCTGCTGCTGCTGTTGTTTTCACTTTGCCTCATTGCACTCTCTCAGACCCTGTCGCTGTCTCCTTGCTGGGTTCCAGATGAGTGAGAGAGGGAGGGAGAGAAGCATCAAAAGAGGAGGCTACTGCAGCAGCTGCTACTGAGTTGGCAAGGTGCCTAGCTAAAGGGCAGTTTTCTGGCCCTGCCCCACCTGCTCACCCAATATTGACAAAGAGATGGTGAAGAGGCCTGTCTAGTCCATACCCCTCACCTTCGCTTCTCCTCCACTGGTGACACAATTAGTGTGGAGCCCAGTGCTGAGTCCTTCCATGACCAGCCCTGCAGGGAGTCTAAGGAAGGGAGGAGTGGCCTGCTGAAGTTCATTTTGTCTTAATATTGGACCCCTTCTGCCAAATTATGCTCCAAGGCTTTTTGGAACACGGTGATGTCATTTCTGAAAGGAGGATTTTGCCCATGTTTGGATGTGCAGAGGCGGACAAGTTGTGAGGTAAACAAGAATCTTGGGACTAGGGACTAGGGCAGTTTAGCCAAGTCCCAACTTGTGGTATCATGGCAGTTTGCAAGTAGAGGTTTATTGTTTCCAGAAATGTTCTTTTGACCACCAGAAGTGCTGCCAGTCAACTGAAAGTTGAATTATAGTTTTTATCCCAGTAAGGAATCAGGTGCGATATTTATTTATTTATTTATTTATTTATTTCGTTTATATACCGCTTTTCTCAGCCCTCAGGTGACTCAAAGTGGTTAACAGCAAAATTCAATGTAAAACATCATAAAACGATTATGGGACAGTTAAAATAATAGCATCATCAACAATTAAACATCAATATAACAATCATTAGCGTCTCATCAATAAAATCAGAATCCAATCTCATCATCCGTTAATCCATGTTCCTATATTCATTACACTGCTTAATCGAATTCTTGTTTGAACAGCCAGGTCTTCACTTTCCTCCGAAATGCCAATAGGGATGGAGCCGATCTGATATCTATAGGAAGGGCGTTCCACAGCTGAGGGGCCACCACTGAGAAGGCCCTGTCTCTCGTTCCCACCAGGCACGCCTGTGATGCAGGCAGGACTGAGAGCAGGGCCTCCCCAGATGATCTTAATGTCCTAGTTGGTTCATAGGAGGAGATGCGTTTGGAGATGTAAGTAGGGCCAGAACCGTTTAGGGCTTTATAGGCTAACGCCAGCACTTTAAATTGTGCCCGGTTGCAAACTGGCAGCCAGTGGAGCTGGCGCAACAGAGGAGTTGTATGCTCCCTGAGTGCTGCTCCTGTTAGTAACCTGGTTGCTGAGCGTTGGACCATTTGAAGCTTCCGAGCAGTCTTCAAAGGCAACCCCATGTAGAGAGTGTTGCAGTAGTCTATATGGGATGTAACCAGTAAGGCCCTGAGTAGATCTAAGGTTATACACTCTAACCTAAATCCTTAACCTGAAGAATACAACGCTTAGGTGGAGGACAGAGTGTTCATAGATTTATTCCCTTCTTGATTTGCCATTGAACCTGATCCCTACAAAATTATCTGCTAGCCACTATACCATAAGGTCTGACGTACAGGCTTGACTTTTTAAGTGCAAGATAGTGTTCTTTCACAAGGGCTAGGATATCTTTCTAACCTATTCTCTACCATTAGAATACTGCAACAGAGAAATATTTTAAACTGTTTTCTAATCTTTTTTTTTAATAACTGTTTCATTGGGGGGGCTGTGTTTCCCCTTCCCAGGGCGCTTGTGCCCCACTTTGTGCTGGTCAATGACCATAATAAAGTTTTGTTCTGTAATAGAGAAATAGCCTTATGCAAAGATTACTTCCATCTCACATATAATGCAGGTTTTGAAACAAGTAAGGGATATAAAAAAAAGGGTTTTGAAAAATGCTCAAAAACAAGTGTCCAAAGTATTAGAAACCCCAAGAAGGAGAATCTAGTACTGATGAGAATATTCACAGTTCAGGACTTGTTCTGACCAAAATTTGAACATGACTTTTCTGAGCAGAAAACAGCATATTGCTGCACGTGAGAAAACAGCATTTTAAACACAGAAAATGCTGTTTTCTGTACAAAATATTTTTAGTTCTGCCCAGAATAAACCTCAATTGTGAATAGTCAGGAATGTCCTCACAGTGGGAAAAAAATAGCTACAATTACTCATTGCTTTCTTTGAGAATGAAATTAGGAAAGCATTCTTACAACTTAGTGCAGAGAGATTTACTATTGGTGATGGGCGAGGAGTCCTATTTAGACATAAAAATAATGGATATGGAGCACATAGACTGAGTTTCCTAAATGTAGCTTTTCCATAATACATAGGGTATATAAAATGTTTGCCTTTTCCATGATTTTGGTTGTATGATTGAGCCCTCTCAGCATATTATCTGCTTGTGCTAGCATCCTGAATATAATGAAACTGCTGAATGATATTAGATTCACACTAAGAATCATGTAGGAATAAAAGGAAAAGCCATCGGTTATATTATCATGGATCATCTAAAATTATAGTAAATTATATTTCTCTTCCAGATGAGGACTCCGATTCCTGTGTTCCTCAATACTCATTTTACAAAGACAGTAAGTATGTGCTAGTTAAACACTCAAAATTTACATAGAAATTCTAACAATTCCGAAGGATGCAACAAGAGGTTGAACTGGAAATTACAGCTGTAAAACTAGTTTGTTTCTCAATTACAACATCCCAGTGGTATAAAATAAGCATAATCAATTAAATTGCAGAGTAGACACATTAGAAATCCATGTTAAATAAAGGCCAAAGGAGAAAAAAAAAGGTAAAGCCCTTAAGAACATCCTTTAGACAACTTTTCTTTATTAAACAAAAGGCTTGCTAATTCCATTAGCGTAAACCTGTAGCAGTTTGGCCATCTCTTATATTTATTATTTGTTTGTTTATATATTTAAAGTATCTTACATCACTGAACTAAATAGAACATTTGAAAGGCTGGGCAGAGACTGTAAAGACCATAAGACAAGAGGAGCTAAAAATCAAGCAAGCTGTTTGGCAATCTGCAATATATGAAGAATGCTGTTGATAACAACTCCACTATTCCAAACTGATAAACTGCCCAGAAATGCTGATAGATATTTTCAGTAAGAGAAACAACTAGTCTATGCTAAATAGATATATTTCCAAATTTGATTGCAAAGCATGACATGTATGTGCTTTTTCTAAGAGGAATGTATATGTTTATCTATGACTGCATATAACAGAGATCTAGAAGACTGCAATAGAGCATGCCCATTCTCCCACAGGAATGTCCTAAGATTCCACTACTTAAGTGGCATCCTGATGGTAACTCTACCTGTCCGGGCTTCACCACCATCATAATTGGGCACCAAAACGGTGAAAATGTGATAGCCAGACCCCCAAAAGGATCTCAATTAACTGATGGCAAAGGACCCTCAGGGGAACCACATCAGTTCCAAAGGGAAGGCAAAGGAAGTTTTTTCAATGGGTTGAATGAGAAATGGGAGAAAAAAAATCATGCAACTCCTTTCTTCTTTCCTATACCAAGTGAGTGGGGAAGTACAATCAAGGATGCCAGTTGAGCATCATTCCAGAAGGCTTTAGTGTTGACATTCCACTCCAATTTAAATGACAATGTAGCATGAACAATTCAGTGTCATTAACAGCCGCAACAAAATCTGCAACAAAAAACAGTTTAAGTCTTCTTCATTTTCTGGAGAAGATAAGGTCTCCAAGGTGGAGATATATATAATAGTTATATTTATATTCAATTGATTTGAACTCCCCTTTTTCCCAGTCTGCAGTCTCAATTTTTTAATTTCCATTCCTTTCCCTGTATTTTTAAAGAAGTAAACATTTCAGACATGTTATCAGCAATACAATATATACTCCATTTTCGTTGTTACACTTGAAATAAATATAATTTCTCCTTTGACAACACAGTCTCTTCTTCTCTTTTGTTCTCCCCATCTATGTCCCGTTTATGTATTTTTAAAAGAAAGGAAAAGATTTGTTGCATGCCCCTAAGTTTTGCCTTCAAGTTACCCATATGTCATAGCGAAATCTGCCCACGACTTATACCAGAGTATATACAGTGTGTTAAATTTAAAGCTTTTGATGTTTAACTAACCGCATCAATAATTTCTTCTCTGTAAAATTGCCTAGTATTTTAGATCGTTGGCCCTATTATTTTCCTTCCCAACTTATTTTTTTAAATTGCCTTTGCAGCAAGATCACAGAATTCAGTTCCCCGTTCAAAGAGTGAGAATGATACCATTACCACAGAGAAGGTGGTGAGGAGATCTGCCACTCTGCCACTGCCAGCTCGTTCTTCATCTCTGAAAACAAATGCTGAGAGGTAACGCAGGCTGAAAATCACAATTTTAAAATGAACAATGCAGATAGAAATATAAAAACCAATGCAATACAATATTAAGCAAATTGACAAATATATATAGTCAAAATTCAAGGTTATAAAACTATAATGCCCCACATGATATTCTTGCAAATAAGCTACCATTAATTGGATTGGTAATTGGTTAACTATCTGAATCCAGAGGGTGCTTACCAATGGCTTCTCTTTCTGCTGGAGAGAAGTGAGCTATCACAGGATTCTGTTCTGGGACCAGTGCTATTCAACATTTTTATCAATGATTTGGATGAAGTTTTTTTTTTTGTGTCAGGAGCAACTTGAGAAACTGAAAGTCGCTTCTGGTGTGAGAGAATTGGCCGTCTGGAAGGACATTGCCCAGGGGACACCCAGATATTTGATATTTTACAATCCTTGTAAGAGGCTTTTCTCATGTCCCCGCATGGGGAGCTGGAGCTGACAGCGGGAGCTCAACCCTCTCTTCCCAGATTCAGACAGCTGACCTGTCAGGCAGCAGTCCTGCTAGCACAAGGGTTTAACCCATTCCACCATCAGGGGCTCCTGGATGAAGAAATGCAAGGCATGCTTATCAAATTTGTAGATGACACAAAATTAGGATGTGAATATAATACCCCAGAGGACAGGATCAGAATCCAATATAACCTTATCAAATTAGAGAGCTGGACCAATACTAACAAAATGAATTTCAACATGGAGAGATGTACTGTAGACAGAAAAAACCCGAACTGATACTTTGCTTAAAAAACAATATGTGAGAAAGGATCTAGAAGCCTTAGTAGACCACACTCAACATGTCAACAGTATGATTTGGCAACTTAAAAAGTCAATGCGATTCTAGGTTGCATCAGTAAGAGTACGGTGTCTAGATCAGGGCTGTTTAACACTTTTTGTGCCATAGATCCCTTAGTCAGGCTAAAAACATGGAGCCCTTCTCAAAAATAAACTCAGATTGGCAGGTCACACAATAGTTTGTACACACCAGGACTGTGATCATGTGTGATATAGCATCTAGTCTAACAACTACCATAATTTCAAAGTATGGATGAGAATCAGTAATTTTAAGAGAGGTGCAATAACTGTAATGTGATACAAAATGAATACTGCTGTCATTTATTATTGCATATATTCAGAAGTGAAGGAAATGCGTGATTTCAGTTAGAGGTCAGAAAAAATAAATATAATTAATCCATCAAGCTCACGGACCCCCCACAATATTTCCATTGAACTCCAATGCACCTCTGGTTAAGGATCCCCAGTGTAGATTGAGGGAAGTCATAATCCCACTCGATTCTGCTTTGGTCAGACCTCACCTGGAATACTGTGTCCAGTTCTTAGAAACACAATTCAAAAAGAATATTGATAAACTGGAGTGTATCTAGATAAGACCAGCCAAAATGATCAAAGGTTTGGAAACCAAGTCCTAAGAGGAAAAGGCTGAGCGGGAACTCAATAGACATATTTAAATATTTGAAAGGATGTCACATTGAAGAGAGACCAAACTTGTTTACTGCTGTTCTGAGGACTAGGAGCAATGCATTCAACAGGTGGGAAAAGAGATTCCACCTAAATATTAGTAAAAACTTCCTGATGGTAAGAGCAGTTTGGTGATAGACTAGACTGCTCAGATTGTGGTGGAGTCTCCTTCTCTGGAGGTTTTTAAGCAGAGGCCGGATGGCCATCTGTTAAAAGGTGCTTTGATTGTGTGTCCCTGCATGCATGGCAGGCTATTGGACTGGATGGCCCTTTGTGGTCTATTCTCATTTTTTAATTATTATTCAAACTAAAATCCCAAAAGATTTGAAAATGAAAGTAGTTTTTTTAAAACTGTGATTTAAAAACAACAAGAGAGGAAACTGTCTCCAAATATTTGGAGACAAGTGAAAAAGAAGAAAGAAAGCAAAGGAATAGGAAATCCCAAACCACCTGATAAAGAGAAATGATAACTGAAACAGGAGGCAGCTAGGTTGTGTAGGGCAATTGAAATTACAACAGAAAGTCTATGCTACATGTTGTAACAAATTAGCAGTCAATGAAGAGAGATCAAAATTGTAACATGATCAAAAAGGTTAAAAATACAGTCTTAGCAGTGAAATGCTGAATACAAACTAGGGGACTACGTTGAAATAGTGAAGACCATTCATGGGAGTTCGGAGTGCAGAACTACCATAAAAATGAGAAAATCAGCCCCCGCCCCTCCTTGGGCATAGTACAAAAATCTCCACCTTGCTCTGAAATGACTTCTTCTATGCTTCAATCTACTCTGCTTCCCAGGACAATAACTGCTGTAGAACTCTCCTCCTCTTCTTGTTTCTTTTTAGTATCACAATCCATGCTTTTCCCATTTTGGCACCAGATGGCTTACTTCCATGCCATTCACCTCCCACTTATCTACCTCACCACCACTTCCACTTCTCAGCTCTCTCCTTCTCCTTGATTTGGGGCTGGGTATAAGAGTTCTTATACCACCCACAGAAAATGTCATGAACCTCTACCTCGAATCACCAACAGAAAAGTCTTACAGTTGAAGGTCAAGCCAGTTAGTTCACAGTAGCAACAAAATTCAAAGGAACAAGCAGAAGGGAAGTGAAATAACAGTCCTGAGTCAAGCCAGTTACCGGAATTCTAAACAACGAAGTTGTGTCTGCAAGTCCAAAGTCATGAATTTATCAAATTTTTTGAAAGTGTCAACAAGTTTCAAAGTCCAGCCTTGGTTATGAAAGTTGTAGCCAGCAATTAGACAACACACTACAAACCCTTAAATGCTGCTTTCACAGCTGATCCCTCTTTCTAGCCCTCTTCTCCACTGTCCTGGCTGAATGCCTCATCTGAGCTTTCTCTTTCATCTGTTCCACAATCTAGTTATTCCTTCCTTACCTGCTCTTCAGACACCTTTTGAGTTTGGCCAACAGTCTGAGTAGTAGTTACTTCTGAGAGAGTTGTTGTTCCAGACTGAGCTTGGCCAAACCCTCAGCCATGCTATCAATGACAGGAAAGACCTGAGAACTCAGAGCCCAGCTCTAAATCAGTGTGGAAGAGGAAAAGAAAGGCATCTGAGAAGTGAAAGCAGTGGCAGAATAGAGTTGTGGGGGAGATGGAGGCAATGGACAGTGGAGATGGTCTGGGAGGAAGGATTTGCTACATTGAACTGGGTAACATCGCAGTGTAGACTCATGTAATCCAGTTCAATGCAGTTACTCTGCATTCTGAAATTGGATTATTTGGCAGTGTATATCCAGCATTTGTTTCTGCATCAAATTAGCATTAACTTTCAAAAAAATGTCGTTTCTGATGTATTGCTCTTTTTTTAAATTCAGGAATGACTGGGAACCTCCAGACAAAAAGGTAGACACAAGAAAATACTATGCTGAACCTAAAAGCATATATGAATATCAACCAGGGAAGTCCTCATTTCTGGACAATGAAAATTTGGTAATGTTGATTTTATCCTGTCATTGTATGTTTGCTGCTTGCATTATTTCACACTATTTTTTATCATTGGCTTATTTTAGATTATTTAATACTTAATATCTAAATATCTTTAGAGAAGTATATAAACAGCTGGCTATTTAAAATTTTAATTGAATCATTGGGTACATTTTGATAACATTTTAAGGTTAAATTGGGATAATTTTCAGAACTTATTGTTCTTATTTATTCCCTAGTCTTGTGGACAATAATATTTTGTACATTTACTCATCTATTCAGTCGATAATTAGAGCTGCATAGAAAAGAAATAGATTGCCTTTCTCCTACCCCCTCTTCCTTTTTGTAATTACGTTTTTAAAATCCAGTTTTAAAAAGAGATGGGTCATAACCCTCAAGTAATGGACTTGCCTAATTAATTCAATCCAAACTTTGTAGACACTTGCTGTGCCAATAGCATGATGCAATAAAAAGGAACTGCCAAAATTGTATATGATGTGAAAAGTGGATGGACTTAGTTTTTGCTATCTGCATTGCATTGAAGGAAACGTGTATCTGGTGAAGAGTATGTATTTCTCATACAGAAGGCTTTAGTTCAATCTGTGGAAGATTCACTCAGGGTTAAACTGTATGCTATATTTCATGCATAATATGCAGCTGAATTTTATTTTATATATTTTGTCACACAGTATTTTGCTTCATGACTACATTATAGAAGCAGATTTCAACCCTCGCATGCAAAGTGGGAACCCAAGAAATGCATATGTTGGCAGTTTGTTGAATATGAATATTAAGGTCACACATGTAATGATACAAAATTGTGTGCTGAGGATAAAATCTGTATGAAAAATACTTTGCAATTTCTGAATATATTGCTCAGGAGCGAAGTAGATCTGAGGATAAATCCATCTTGACTCATGCTTGGGATTCTTCTTTTTTGTTTTAATGAGTGGCAGCTACAGATTAGGACAACAATATCACAGAAGGGCAGAAATGGTCTAAACATTGGAATATAGGGCCAGTGGTCCCTTCTATAACAACTTTGAATACAGATGAGAATGAAAAACAAGCAGCACACTTTCCTGACTTTTCTCTCATTGATTAGTCAGCTCTGCTTTTATGAAAAAAATAAATAAAAACTGCATACTTGTACTTTGTCCTTATTTGTGTGGGTGGCAGAAAGTGATTCTCCACAGTACAAAACACTTAAGATTGACTTACAACAAGGTTGAGTCAACTGCCACTCAAAGGAGACAGTGGAAATCCACAATAGATAGGCTATTGTAGATTGCCTCCCTGCCTTGTTTCTTTTTGAATAGGCTCATTGAAATTTCATTTTAATTTCATAAGGAGTTTCATTTTACTTTCATTTCAATTTCATATGAAGAAAGTAGTAACCTTCATATATTTGAAGGTGCTTAGAATTTGCTGAACTGAGCAAAGCAGCCCTGACTTCTGATTTATCCTGTCCATAAACTCTCCTACTTTTCCTTCTGAATGGAAATACAGTGGAAAAATTGTTATCAAGAAATAAATATATGGATTTAAAGTATAATATAATTATATGCTGATGGACCATATGGGATTCAAAGGAGTACTTTTGATGGTGTGCTAGAGTCAAAGACTTAACTGATGCTACCCCATATGTTGTCATGGTTTTGTTTTTTATATGTGATGCGTTCTTGCCCACATTCCAGACAGAAATGAGTGCACATCACACAGATTTATGTTCTCATTGGTTGTAGTTATCCACCTGTTCGCAAATTGCCTTTGTTTGACTGTGAACCTTTGTTTTATTTCCATTTTGAATAACAAATCGCTAAGTATGATCAAATTGCTATTGCTCATTCTACTAGTGGTCTAGTGCTCTGTTAGCTTCAGTTCTGGAATGTCTGCCCCACAAGCCTTAATGGGCAACAGAGTGGAAAGTATTAAATATTTTCCTACTAAAAATCATACACACCAATAGCAGCATTCCAGGCAATGTCTGGAGGATAGTTTGTGGAAAGAAGAGTACAAAGAGAGTGATTGTCCTCTTTTTATGCCATGATGTTGGGGGGCGGGGCTGGCAAGGCAATGGCCACTGCTCAATTAAAAAAGAAAAAGGGGTGGGGAATTCCAAGCCCGGGGCAGGGATTTCATGTCATTTGTTGCAACATCCGCTTTGATACTTTTGAGATGTGTTGAAAGTGAAAAAGGTATGTGGCACTGCACACTTAATTGAATGCCTTATGGAAGGGCTAATATGTGGTGTGTGAAATTTTAAGTTAGAAATACTTGGAAATAATTAACAATGATGAGAAAACCTACAAAGCATTTTGACAGAATTCAGAATAATTTATTGTTGCTTCAACTTTACTATGTGTTTTGCTACAAATGGATTTTTCCTCCTTTATACTGTGATCTAACCATCTTTTATATGCTGCCCAGAGGTTTTTGATTGTGATCAGTGTGAAAATATTATGAATGAGTAATTAAACAAATGAACACTTGGCATAAGTATTCCTTTGGCCACTTTGTCTATCTATATAAGCCGCAAAAGAAATCGGCGTTCCGTTTTCTCAACACCTTCGGAATGCATCTCTGCAATTAAATATTTAAACAAGCTTTACTGAGTTTACTCAATTTATAGTGGTTGCATCAGTCAGGGTTCTGTTTTGCCTTTAAACAGAATGTGGGCTCAAAACGGGGTGCCTTTCCAGGCCACCAGTCTGTTCTTCTCCTCTCTCGTTTCCCCTCTTTTTCAGTTTTGTCTGTCTTTTTAATACATTTATTCATGAATTAAATGTTGGTGATCTGACACAACAGCCAACAACTAACTATGCTTAGGAATTTCTCCATTAACATACTTTATCTTACTGTATCCTTTTTATTTTAAAATTCTGCCTTCACTCTGTTTTCCAGTCAATGACAAAGGCTTTCTCACATATCAATGTACTGTTAAAGATGCCATGCTCTGTAAAGATAAGGAGGGTAAAGCAGGAGTCCCCGAGACAATTACAGCTTATATCTGGAGAGTAGTATTCACCAGTAGTAAAGTTAAGGATCGTTATCATCTAGAGCAGGATATAGTCTAAGGACCCAAGAGCCTGTTTTCAAAGCTAAGCAAATTTGGCCTTGATTAGTCCTTGGATGAGTGGCTGTGGGCTACATTTCAGAGGAAGGGACTGACAAAGCCACCTCTTGAGTATTCCTTGCCTAAGAAAAAACTTGGCTGGGGTGTGGAAGGATGGTGTGTTGTTCTGTGGTGTGTGCTAGGGAAGGCATTTAATTTCATTGTGCAATTGTACAATGACAATAAAGCTATTCTGTTCTATAAAATTCATGGGATCACTGTAAGTCGACACACACACACACACACACAATAAGTTTTATTCATGTCATCAGTCTCAAAATGGAAACCAACCTCCAGGAGCAATTTTTATTTAATGAACTCTCCTCAGTACTTCAGAAACTCTTTTTTTAGCCCAGCTCACACAAGATGGTTTGGACTTTTACATAAGTAGGAGGGGGCAGGAAAATGTCTTCCTTCCTCACATATCAAAGGCTGGATCTACCCTGTCATATAATCCAGTTTCAGAATGCAGATGAACTGCATTGAACTAAATTATATGGCAGTGTATACAGCCAAATCCATCTGTCTCACTTGCAGGGATGATATTTCAACAAAGTGTATCAAACAATCAGTTGTTATCCTACAGGAGGAGCAACTTCATTTTCTCATCCATTTATATCCCAATCAACTTATAGCATTTTAAAGGGAAAAAGTTACTTATAATGCTTATCAAGCTGATAAATATTTGCAGCACTTTGTAATGTCATAAAGTGCCATAAATCATGTTTGTCTGCCTTGGATAAATTAGCTTCATTGAATATCATTTATGTACTTAAATCTTCTGGAGAGGATTTCAGAATTGTGTACATGAAGGTTTATGTAAAAAAAATTCAATAAATTCAATACATTCATACAACTTAAAATCTAAACAGAAACAATAAAATTGAGAGTCTTACAATTCAAAAAGTGTTAGACTACATCTTTAACAGTATAAAAATGCCCATTTTGCTTCAAAAGGTTTTAATTTTGCATTAATCATAATACAGTGATAATGCCAGCCCTTACTAGAATCATACAAAAACTAGGAAGAGATCACAGGGTTGTCCAGTCCAGTCCCCTGCCATTCATATCAATGTACTGTTAAGGGATCTTTGAAAGCTGAGGTGCAACCATAGAGAAGGTTCTTTGTTTGGTTAATATGTTTCCCTCTGAAACGCACCTAAAATGCTTAAACTAGTTGATACAGCACAGAGGAAGGATGGATGAAAAGACGTCCTTATGCTTTTTGCAACCCCCGTATCTTCTGCAGCCATTAAACACTTACTTTAATCTTTTTCGTCTTGAGATTTGAAGATCACCTGCTGCTTCTAGGATCATAGTGAATTTCTGGCCAATTAAGGGTCCTCCTCCCCAAACCACTGGAGAGTAAAATGTTTTAAAATTGACTCCTCCCAGTGGAAACAAACCTTTAGAGTGAGGGATTGATGGGTGCTTTTTTGCCATTTGTCAAACCCTTTATTTGGGATTCCATTATTACCTTCTGGCCACTGGGTGCCAAACTTTGATGGCTGACATAATCATTCTACGTAGACATTCCATCCAATCCTCTGCCATGCAGGCAGAAGCAATCAAAGAATTCCTGACAGATGGCCATCTAACTTCTGTTTAAAAACCTCCAGAAAAGGACACTCTACCACATTTTGAAGCAGCATATTTCACTATCTTACAGACTTACCATCAGGAAGTTTCACCTAATGTTTAGTTAGAATCTTTTTCCTGCAATGTGAATCCATTGCTTTGTGTCTTAATGTCTAGAGGAGCTGAAAACAAACTTGTCCTCTCTTCAAAATGAAATCCTTTCAGTTATTTAAATATGGCCTTCATGTTCCTTCTCAGGGGCAGCTTACAAAGGGGCAAGTCTGAAAAAACAGATTAAAACACAGTGCAGTAAGTAAAATCGAAAACAAAGTCAAAATATCAGAAATAAAATAGAACACACCACAATAACACATCATGAAAGCAATCTCTAGGCCAAACAGTAAAAATACTAATCTCAGAGGGCTAAGAGTTTCTGTAATAGTATCTGAATAGGGCTAAGGGAAAGTGAAAAATCCGATAGAAGTTAGGGCTGAAAGGGTAATGTCATTTGGCATAAAAATGCCAGGGCTATAGGGCACAGGGCAGAACTAAAGTGCAGGAGCTGTTTGTAAGTTACAGTTATGGGACAGTTATCTGGTGAGCTTTCTTTTCTCCAAGCCAAACATACACAGCTCCTTAAGGCCCCATCTACACTGCCATATAATCCAGTTTCTGAATCCAGATTATCTGCTTTGAACAGAATTATATACCGCTGTAGATCTATCCTAACCCACTCCTCATAGGGCTTAGTGTCCAAACCTTTTACCATTTTGATTGCCCTTCTCTGGACCAATTCCAGCTTGCCAATATCCCTGAAGGTTTGTTGCATGTAAGGCATCAAACATTCTTTATATTACAGTAAATGGTAAATAAAACTGAACTTTTATCTCTGTGTCTCTCTAGCTGGCTTCTGTATAATGATCACATAGAGAAAAGTTATCTTAAATAATATAACTCAGCCACCTATCTATTTAGAAATACCGTATCATCTATTCAGGAGCCATACATAGGAACACCTATAACGGGCATCCCTTAAAGTAATAATCTGCAGTTTTAGCATATTGTTTCTTTTACCAGCAGTATCCATCAGAGTATCTGGGCACTTTCTTAGTTTCTTGGGAACATAGCAGCCTTCTCTTCATGTTTTGCAGATTCCACTTTTTAAAATTCTCACCCTTGCCTGTGCCCATCCTATCAGCTGTCCTGTCTGGACCAGTCAAAACAAAGACACAAACCATACTATGTCAATGATCCTCTTCCCAATGTCAACAATCCTCTTCCCAAGTCAGATTCATGAAGATAATATAAAAAATGTTATCAGCCAAAATAATGGCTGTCAATGTAATCCTGTGCATATCTTCTCAGAAATAGAGACACCACATTCAGGGGAACTTACTCCCAGGGAATTGCATGCAGGATTAAAGAAGGGGGTGCAGACAACCAAGTGAATGTCCAATAAACCATTTGAAAAAGTGCAGAGTGTGGCATCTTTAACAGTCCTTACCTATATATTCTCTGCATAATGTTGTCCTTCTTTCTTCCATTCCTGTATCACCAATTCCTTTAGACTCGGGATATAAGCCCAGAAGAGATAGATTTAAAGGATGAACCTTGGTATAAGTTCTTTTCGGAATTGGAGTTTGGAAAACCGGTAAGTTCAATAGCCGGAACCATTAAAACCTGCCTTTTGCTCCACAAACACACCACTCCCATTCTCATTATACAGCTGTGACTGTAAAAGACAAGAAAAAGCAACCCTGTCAGTATCAGCAGATAGTATTCTTATTTATCATGAACTCTTAGAGCTATATCTGTTGCTCATCACATGTTGATCATGTGATCATATCTGGAATGCATTAAAATACATTGACTGTCAGTAATTGACTGTCAAACACCAGAGTTCAGTTTACTATTTTAATTTAAGGAAAGACCTTAAATATACTTTTCCAGTGGTTTCTTTCCATTAGCAAAACCAAGAAGGCCATTTTCTGTCTTCCTAATGAACTTCACCTTCAATTCTCTTGCCATTTCTTGTCTTCAGTCTTTGAATAACTACTGCCGATCACTTATTAACCAATTCCATATAGTATCAATCATTTCTTCTGCCCTCTTGTCCTCATGCTCTGTGTGCTGCTGCTCATCTCCCAGGCATAATCCTTTGTGGAAATTGCAGTCATAGCAAAGTTCTAGAAGTATCCTTAATGGCAGACTTTAATGGCAGTATTTCCCACATTGTTTTTAGAGGATTTTAGATACAGGAATTTTGTGATGTGAGAATAAAGTCAGAAGCCTGTACCATAAAACACAACCTTATGCATTCAGTGGAATAAAAAGGTTGATTCAATTTAAATGTCATGTTTTACATATTGCAGAGGTTTCATTAAGATTAAATTATTGTGAGAATTACTGATTCATTAATATTTTTGGAAGTCAACAAGAGCCCATAGACGTGGAAAAATGTTTATTCTTATAGTTTATAGGGCACTGTTTCAGGAAAAAGGCAGCTTATCAAATAAAGAAATGAATGAAAAGAAATATGGAGGGCATTCTAGACCAGCGGTTTCAAAACTATGTTCTGCAGAACCATAGGAAAGCATCTTTAAAAACTTTTTAAAACTTTTTGAAAAGTCTATGCCAGAGTTTGAAGATCTCATTGAAATTCAGTGTATTTCTATATGAAAAACAAAATTTGAATCTCTTTATTTCCAAACTTACATTATACAAAACATCCAGACAACAGATGCAGATGAAAAAAGGAACAATTTTGTGGATTCACAGTGCTCAGGGTCAAAGTTATTGTTCCTGGGAAGGAGGGGGAACCTTCTGATGGGTTCACGACCAAAAAGTATTTGGGAACAACTGTTCTAGATTGTCGGATGGCTAGCCAGGACAATTCAGTTCAATATCCCCTGAAAGTCCTGTCTAGGAGTCTGCATAGCAGGGCTTTTGCTAAGGTCCGGTGTCCTCAGTGGTTTAAACAAGTTTTAGAATGTCTCTCTCGTCTTCTGCTGGGAATTTTCCATCTGCACTCTCAAGACCATAAAGGTAGAAAGAGGTGCAAGAAATACCCGTATTTCATTGCATAATAGTCATTGTTGCATAATTGTTGCACCCCCTTTTGGAGAAGGCAAAATTGATATCAACCTCTACTCAGAATAATCAAATGTCAATTCAACATATGATGGAACACAGTAGTCTCTCAACTGCCAAGACTGCATTTTATCACACTGTCTATTTTACTTATACTTTGTGAACACATCATACATGTAGCTGGGTTGGACTTGGAGGAAAGAAGAAGAAAATTTGGATAAAGGAGAAACCATCTAAGATGATATCAAACTATTCTCAGAAAATATCAAAGACTTACAACAACTATTGAAGAAAGTTGTACAGCAAGGGTCACAACTGAACAGAAAACAAAAACAATGACTACAGATTATCTACATAACTTTGAAGCAGAGGATGGAGACACCGAGATAGTCAAATATTTCCTATACCTTGGCTCAGTCATTAATAAAAATGGAAACTATAATTGAGATTTGAATACTAAAATCAGGACTGGCCATGCCACCATATTTTGGATTTCTTTGAATAGTTATAGTTACAGTTATGAAAGCTGGACAGTGAAGAGGGTGACAAAAATATATTCAATTTGTTTGAAATATGGTGCTGGAGAGGAGTACTATGGTTACCATTGACTACCAAAAAGATAATTGGGTTCAAGAGCAAACTAAGCCAGAAATCTCCCTAGAATCAAGATGACTAAGCTCAGGTTGTCATACTGTGAACATATCATGAGAAGATATTTCTCATTAGAAAAGACAATGACACTTGCTGAAGTTGAAAGTAGTAGGAAAAGAGGAAGATGGGTGGCCTGACTCTGTGAAAGAAGCCACTGCCTTGAGTGTACAAGGTTGCAGAAAACAGAGTGAAGTTTTAATTTTACTGCCTGTCTCAGTTCCTACAGGGTTAAGAGGAGAGCCTGAGTTGCCTCTCCCAGCCCAAAAATGTAAACAACAACAGAAACAACAACTGATCTGATACAAAATGTATACTTTTTTGTGTTTTGTATTTTGTTTTTCTCTGGTGGAATAGAAAGATGCAATGGGATTGTTATATCTGCAAACATACTACCTACATAAATGAAGGCTGTATTGTTCTGCTTATGTGGTTCTTGTCACATTTCAAGAATATGTCTTTGTAAAGGGAAATTCTTGATAGCAATCCAATGTTCCTAGAATGAATTGGATGCAAAGGAATTTAAAGCAATCATTTGGAGGTTTTGGCTGATGTTAAAAATTTCCCTTGATGAAACCTTGAAATATACCTTTTTGTTGTGTTTGGTCTTCTACCAAATTTGAAGAAGTACCTTCAGATTGGAGTCCTCTTTTTCAGCCAAGCTTTCTGCACACCAAATGTCTGGCTGCACTCCCAATTACTAGCATGTCAGCCTGCCTATCCGGAAACCCAGATGGGGGTTTTCTTTCAAGTCAGACATTAGGCTGTAAAAGAAGATGCCCAAGCCATCTTCTCTCATTCTGTTTGGCATTTCTTCCTACTATCCCTTCCTGTAAATAAGATGTTGTGTAATTGTCATCTCCCTCCCCCCCTTCCTCCCCCCCCCCTCTATATATCATTTATCTCAACTTTGTAATGGAGCAGTTGGCAATGAGTCATGGATCCAGGATCAGTTATAGTGCTAGCAAAACTGTTTTAGGAAGTGGATCTAAGCAGGAGGACCCAGTGGGGATGTGATATCCACGTCTTGCCTAAATGGAAGGAGGGGGGCAGAAACACACAAACCGCACACACACACATCCCACAGTGGCTGAGAGTATCCCAGAATAGGGAGCCCGGTGAGTACTCAGATCAGGCTTGTCGGGATCTCATGGGCTCATAGATTAACAGGCGGATTAGCGGATGGCAGGATCCAGACCCATATACAAGTCAACTTTCATATTCAGCTGTAACCAAATAAAGTTGTAACCATGCATTCTCCAATACCTGGTGTGCCTGGAGTTATTGTCGCAGAGCAGTGCAACCTTTTCACATTTCCAGTGTCAGTGGCAAATCGTAAACACAGTTCTTCAAAACTGAAACTTATAAAAACATATATGCTACTCAACAATGTTGCAGAAGAGACTAATTTACTTGAAACTATATGAGTTGAATATGCTAAAGTATCTGCATTTGACCAAAAGGAATGGGTGACAAAATCAGGAAAGGAAAAGCATGCAAAATGAGATTTTGATGTGCCTGAAATTGAAAATTAAGAACATTTAAATTTCAAAATTACAGTTCATGACACTATTCAAGATCATTTGTGTGATAAAACATTTTCTTTTGTGGTGGGGAGATATTTATTCTTTCAATTTAAAATATATTTAGCAGTTACAAGTTCTTCTGTATTTTTTAATGAGGTTTCTGTTTTTGAAAATGAAAGTTAGCCATTTTTCTTGAGAGGGAGTAGTTAGCCTTGCCCAGAGCCCAAAATACATTGGCACTAGTGGAAGGAGGAACCAACAGGGGAAATGTAATTTTAATACAGAAAGAAAAAAAATGCACCATGCAAAGTAAGTATTGACACTCCCCTGGCACTTCTCAGAACAAGTAAGGCATACAATTTGGGCATGAGACTCAAAAGCTAATGAGACTCAAAAGTTAACATTAATGCATTTTTCCTCAAAATCAACACTGACTCCCTTGTCTAATAAAAGTATTTTGTTACAGGTATATATCATTACTCATGCTTTGAGATATGTGAGGCGAGCACAACCAGCTGATATATTTGAGTGTTTCTTTAATTTCACTTCACTTTTAAACTAGTTCCAAAACTGCAAACTCCCCAAAAGAGCCACACCTTTATCAACCAATTAAAATACAGAAAAGACATCATGCAAACTTTAGAACCGACATTGGCTTTTCATTAGACAAAGGTGTTAAAAATCATACAGATCAAGAAAAGTGACAATGTTAGAATCAAAGGCCTACATTCTGTCTCAGATGTTGTCTATTAAGATGGTCTGGAGAGAACTAGGGGGTAGTAATACAATTTCTGCTTCGTTGGCAGGAGAAAAGTAACTTCTCTAGAGATCTTGGCTGTTTCTGTTCTTTGCAAAGCTCACTGCCCATAGCTTAGGCAGAAAACATTAAACTTCTCAAGAAGTTTCTATATCTGAAAAAACTGTATAAACTTGTCAATTGTGAAGTAAGAGTTTTACCTTTGTTGGAGGTAAAAACCTGAAAGAACTAAGGCCATTAGCTCCCTCTTGTTGAAGTGTTCCCTGTTGCTGCAAAATTTGTAATTCTCAAATCCAGGAAGCATATTCAGCGCCATACAGTAATATTCACAAAATATATCATGCAGGCTTTCAGAACTTACTAGCTTCTTCGTCAGGCAAATATGTTAAAATTGTACAGGAGAAGAAAACTATATTTTGTCTCAGTGCCATATAAAATCCAGATTATCTGCTTTGAATTGGATTATATGGCAGTGTAGATTCATATAATACAGTTCAAAGCAGATAATGTGAATTATCTGCTTTGCTAATCTGGATTATATGGCAGTGTAGAAGGGGCCTCAGATGCTCTTCTGTTGTCAGTTAAGATGGATCTGGAGGGATCGCAGTGCAAATACAGGCCCTTCTTTGCCCATGTGAGGACCAGGAACAAAGAGCAATACACGGTTCCAAAGCTGATATGAATAACTCTGCATTTTCATTTCCCCACTCTCACAACACGGTTATTTGTTAACATGGTATGTATGTTTAATTAACATAGTGTATTTCATTTTCAACCCACAGGCACCTGAAAAAACGCCTTGGGGATTCAATTAAAAATAGAACTGCCATTCATTTTGTTAGAAACTCTTATTGTGCCCTTTTCCCCCCAGAAAGAATATAAGCAATTTTATTTGTATGTTTTGACTTCTTTAGCAAATCATGTTTTCAATGCTTTTGCCACCATGTGTTCTTGCAGAACCAGCAGGAGCCTAAAAACAAATAGAGTGTTGTCAAGTAAAATATCAGCCAAGCTTTGCTTCACAGTGTATGTTTCCTCGTTCTTCTTCCATAATCTTCTGTGTTTGTACTGTAGCAGGTTTACTTCCTCCTCCTTACCATTCTGTCTTCTCTTGTATTTCTAGTGCTGATACAATTCCTCCCAGTGTATTCCCTCTGTTCTAATTAAGTTTCCATTTTCTCTGTGATGTCTTTCCTTATCTTCATTTCCTCATTTCCTATTCTGCTTCCCATCAGCCTCCAAAAAAGATATGGGATTATACTCCTGGAAAGTGCTCTATCCTTACTAGAGAGGATAGAAAGGTAATTCAAACATACATTGTACTATGATATGGTTTTGTTTGTATGTGTGTCTTTAGCTTTCAGTCTCTGGCAGTGTTTGGATTTTATGTGAGCGCAAGTGGTGATTTGAATTTAATTGACTTGAACTTGTTGCACAGTACCATTGGCTGAAAAGAGTCTTACAAACCATTTCTTGTAGCATTTCCTTTTGTTTTCTCCCCTCCCCCTTCCCCCTATGATCTGTAGTGATAATTATACTAACTGTTGTTTTGCAGTAATGATGCAATATGGTTGCATTTTAGTAAGTTAAACTAAATATTAACAGCTTAACACTAGATCTTTACACATTTGGCAGTGAATTCAAGTAGTATATTTCAGTGTTGAGAACTCGCATTGCAATTTTGTCTTATATACTGTATATAAAACCTTTGTCCTTCTAAAACAAAGAACTTTGTTTTTCAGAATAACTTTTTTCCTAACTTAAGTATTGGCTTCCTCTTGTTTTTCTTCCATCTCTAACCAGACTGATCCAGAAAAAGAACTTTATCTCTATCGGACAGAATTAGAGGCTGACACTGAAAAGATTGAGAACCTGGATAAAGTACCAGATAAAGAGCCATTGAAGGTATTTTCTTTTCATTGCATGCTACTAATCTTTGCACCTAAATAAGGGATGAACAAAGTGTTGGTGAATTTTACTTGTTGCTCATCTGTAGTTGCATCATCATCATCATCATTAACTTTATGTATAGGGCTGTCGTGTTCTTGTGCCCAGAGGACAAGGAAAATGAGGCAGCCCGGACATAAGCGCCCAGAGGGCTGCGTCCAGCCCGTGGGCCTTAGTTTGCCCATGCCTGATCTAAACTGAATGAGCTGCCATTATTATTACAGTATTATTATTGTAATATAAGCTTTATTATACATGTTGTCTTATACATTTTCAATCCAACTTTTTATCTTATACATCATCATATATACATGGACATATACAATATTTATCTAAAACATCCCCCAACTAAAAAATAAATGTATCACTCCTGCTTCAAATTCCTTGTCTCCATTGCAACCAATCTCCACATTCAGTGGGCTCCCTGTTTGATCCATAATGCCAGGGAAACCAGGATTGAGTATATCTGTTTTCTGTTGGTGAACTGTTCCCTATCCTCATGAGTGACATGATTGTGCAGTGGCATCCATCTATAGCCCCTACCACCTGGGGAAATCCCAGTTCAGAGAACCCAACCATGATCTGTAGGCAGCAAGGCGAAGAGGGAGAGAAAGTGTTGACATCTAATCCACACAGACTACTCTGCTTTTACAAATGGTGCTCAACAGATGAACTGATGACTATGTAGATAGGCTAGATATCAGGGAGACCATATGGATCTTTATGCACACACATAGACAAATATATGAGACGGCAGTCCTACACATGAGTATATAACACAGAGAGAACCATACATAGTCCTGGGGTATGCACTTAGATCAGGCGTATACAAGCACCTATAAGCTGCAGGGTACTAAGAGGTTGCCCATACTGACCTTATGGGCATCCCCTAAGTCAGGCGTGGGTAATGTCTGGTCCACGGGCCATATAGGGCCTGTGAAATCGTTTGATCTTACCTTGGCAAAGAAACCAAAGGTAGGACTCAAAATTAAATAAATCTAGAAGCATTTTATCATAGCAAAATCAATGTATATTAAGTGAATAATAATCTATATAAATAAAAATGTAATGTTTGCTTGTGGGATTAACATAACTCAAAAACTACTGAATCGACACCGGATTTGGACACAATACACCTGTCAGGCCAATGAGTGACCATCACTCATTGAGTGAGCAAGCTAATTGCAAAGACACTGTAGAGGGATAATTAATGAAATGGTGGCTGCTGTGAAGTTGTTAGCACCAGACAAAGTAAAATTGTTTCAGAGTGTTTGTCTCGGAAAACCCACTCAGATTGGATTACTGACTTAGCAGAAGATACTGAAAACACATTAAAGGACTCTGTAAGAGATTTACAATTTTTCTCTCTGGTTTGAGACAATGGCCATAAGAACTACTGCTCATCTGTCCCTTTTCTTTCATGAGATAACTGCAGAGTTTGACATGCAAGAGGAACTGCTATCACTGGAAGCCATGGTCAATAGTCAAGACTTTGATTTTTGATCTGAATTGTGTGTGTGTATCAATGACTTTGTTGTTTGGGTATTTTCAGAGTACAGCACACTCTTCTTCAATGGAAATTCTCTCAGACCATTCGACCCAGTAAGTTTGGGAACCTATTGTTAAATGTTTATATTAATGTTTTTGGAACATTTACTTTGTTAGTAATTGTATCTCCTGATTTGTCCTAAATGGTGCTTCTTTCAGAATACATAGTAACAGCTTGTCTAAAATTCATTCATGGGATGGGGGAATGCTATTTATCCTGTGTGATTTGATATTAACTGAGACAACATATATTTCTCAGAACTTTTCTCTCTTCTTTAGGTCATAGAGTTAAAGGTATGGTGGAAGTTGCAATCCAATAATATCTGCAGGGCCACACACTCTCCATTCCTAAACCATAACAAAATCATAATATACCCAACGTATTCAGATTTCTCTTCTGTCTTCAAACTTTTATCCTTTTAACACTAGATTTAAATTTGCTTTTCCTGGCTCTTGAAATTGACAAGCAGTCATAATTTAGACCATCAGTATTTTAGGCTATCAATATTTAAAAATAAATATAATGAATTAATGGCTCATATAAGATTTAAAGAGCAAAACCCAAATTTATCATATGTTTCTTTTACATTAGTGACTCAAGATAAATATAAAGAATAGAGATGGACACACTACCTCACCATGCCCCCATCCCCAACCAGAATAACACAAGATTAAACTTTGACAAGATCTGTTAGAGAACAAGGTTGAAGATGTGTGAAATAAGAATACCCAGTGTTTTAAACTGTAAATCCAATCAATCTAATCAAAATTCGCTGATTAATAGCAGACTAAACCAAATTTATTTTACTTCCGCAATCATTCAGGAGTAATGTTCTGCTCTTACTGAAGTTGTAGAAGGATGCTTCTGAATTATTTTAAAAGTTGTACACCACTGTAATGTGATTTAGTCTTGAATTTTGGGAAGTAAATAGAAAACCAGCAGTGTGGTTTGAGCCAGTAAGTCCCAGATTTAGAGTGTTGCACGGCTCTCCATAAAGGCAAGGACCTTCACCTTAAACAGAATGCAGCAAACTTGCCATCCCAGTGCCCTGTCACCTCAGTTGTTCATTCTCCAAGACTAATAGTGTTGACTCTGAAGTGGGTTCATGTGTGATATGATGCATTGCGTAGGCAGATTTGCCATGTACTACAAAATCTTTGAATGTGGGAATGAGAATGAATTCTTCCAATGCAACATTCGTCTGTTGATATTAAACTAGTGTGATAATATTACTTATCATGCCTCTTTTTAATTGTTAAGAAAAATAATTTCTCATCCTCTTTAGTTCACCATATTCACCAAACTCCCATCTAGCACAGAGAGAGTTTAACGACACTATAGGAGATTCTACTGGATTGGAGACAGAAAGGCAAATCTATAAAAGTGTTTTGGAAGGAGGTGATATTCCACTGCAAGGACTAAGTGGCCTCAAGCGTCCATCCAGTTCGGCTTCCACTAAAGGTAGAGCAACAAATCAAACATCATAGTGTTTCTTATTAGGTCGACTTTTATAGAGATTGTTATATTATTTTGTATTAATATGTATGAAACAACAGTAGTAATGTATTGCATTTGATACATCAACATCATTTCATACTTCAGCTGATGGGTGTCATTTTATTTTCAGTTAAATATTACTTTGTGGGGAGGATTTTCTACTTGCAAGCTTTTTGAAGTAAGGTAGTTACTGTAGTAACTCACAATGTGAAGTGTTGTATATTTTGGGCACATCTACATTGACCAAATGGGAATAGCAAAACCTGTTTTACTATGTAGATGACTGGATTGATTACACAAACCACAGAAACTGGCCTCTAACTGGTTCTGGGATCACAGTATACTCGACTTGACAGTTGTAGTGAATGCATTTTTTTCAACTCCCTCTGCAGGAATGAACACATGCACATCAAAACAGCACTTTGGGTGTTCACACAGTAAATCACATACTGTAGAGTTGCTTTTGCCATGCAATGTAGTTTATATTCGAGTGTGCTGTTGTGTGTTATGGGTTCTGTTTCAAAATATCCCCCAACTTGGCTTATTTCAGTTTAAAAGGCTTAAAGCAGAACTATTTAACCTACTTAAACCCTTTTAAATCGCCAGGTGTTTGGGCCTCCAACTCTCAGAAGCCCTAGCCAGCTTGTTTAATGATCAGGAATTCTGGGAGCTGAACTCCAAAATACCTGGAGGACCACAGGTTGAAGAGGCTTGCCTTAAAGCATGCTGCAGAGCGGTGTCATGGCATGCATTATATAGCAGCCAGACTTTGAAGCTGACTCATAGCTACATTAAATGGTCAGTGTAGATGGGACAATTATCTCTTGAGTTTTTCATGTTCTCCTATATGGAAATCTAAAAATCCTATCTTATTTGGTTTCATATTTAGAAGTTTTGAGACTCAATACTCAAGATCAGTGGTTCTCAACCTGTGGGTCCCCAGTTTACCAGCTGTTAGGATTTCTGGGAGTTGAAGGCCAAAAACATCTGGGGACCCCAGATTGAGAACCACTGCTCAAGATGATATATTAATACAATATACAAGATGATATATTAACACACACGTCTAAGCTTCTTTTTAGGATTGAAGATCAAATAAATACACAAACACAACTACACAAAAAAATACATTAACCCACAGCTATCTGTTCTTCTTTTCAGAATTTAAGACCAAACTTTGAGTCCAAACTCTAAGGAAAAATATTTTTCATTAATATCTGGGGATATTTTCTCCAAGCCTTGGCGGTTGTTGTCTGTTACTCTTCCACATGTTTAAATTGCTTCCCCCCTTTTCCAAATTATGCTCTGATTATACTCCCTTTTATTCTTGGTTGTGGTTAGTTCATCCCATTGCTTTTTTTCTTCTCTCTTCCCAACATTCCTGCAATAGCGCTCTATTCTTTTCCTTCATGATTTCAGTGGTCAGATCACTTCGGCCTATCATCTTGCTGATCTACTTATTGTTCTGTCTGCTAACATTATTTATTCTTCCAGAACCATGCTCTTGATGACTTTCTAGGTTAATATAATCAAATTTGATCTCAGTAATAATAGCAGTTATGATGTCACAGTTGTATAACTGGAAGAAAACAATAATAATGAAATATGTCATAAGATGTGTCACTAATCTGACTAATGTGAATATTTTGGTTACCCGTAATTGATATAGTCAAACTACCAGTAGTAAGAGATAGTACTATTATCAAGAGAGCTGCAGCCAAATGTGACTGTGTTTAAACTCAGATAAAGGAAGATAAAGTAAGCTAAAGGGAAAGGTAGGAACTGAACTTAACCTAAGTAGGGAAGCAGGTTCTTCAAGTTATAAAGTATAATGGCAGCCCTGAGAAGACAGGACTATAAAAACTTGGGTTTTCCTCTGTCAAACCCAGGGCAGATCTACACAGCCCCTTTATTGTGGAAACTTCTGCAATAAAAAGGGGGCTGTCCAGACAACATTTTGGACAATCCTGAATTAATTAGCCACAAACCAGGAAACTCCTGGTTTGTGGCGAATAAATTAGATAATGGGTTTATTCTGTGCCTTCTTGGAAGGATAAACCCACTACTTCTGGAGTCTGGACTGCAGTCCAGACACCATTCCCACAGTTTTCTAGACTAAATTAGTCTGAAAAACTGTTGAAATCCCAACCCCTCCCCCAAAGCCCCCAATCCCATTTTAAAAGTAAAATAAACTTACCCGGCCTCCATTACAGTGTTGCCGGAGCTCTCCTGGTGCGTAGAAATGACATGCCAGGAAGGAGGGGGGATTTTCCTCTTCTACATGCTGGGAGGGCTCCAGCAACACTGTAATGTAGGCCGGGTAAGTTTATTTTACTTTTAAAAGGGGTTTGAGGGGAGGGGGTAGGGTGTTCTGCTGGGCCAGTCCCAGAAGAACATTTGGATACCCACCCCAGACAATGTCACAGACCATATTCTAATCAACAGATTGTGTTATATATATATAATGCATGTGATCTCAATTTGGCAGCTGAAATTGCATCTGCTGAATAATGTAGCAAGGCAGTTTGCTACAAAATAATACCTCTTTTTACTTCTCATCAACAATAAAAATAAATAATCCAGGGCCAGAACTGCCCTCTGATTCTTTTTTAGACTGGTCCTTGAATCATAGACAGATTGTGTTTTACCCGTATGCTGAGAAACAAGCTCAGTATTCTCAGCAGAGGTGCCTACAATTGCCAGTTGCAGGCTCCTCTGTTGAGAATACTGAGCTTGTTAGTCACTCAGTAAAAGGAAAAAAATAGAATTATCACAGAGGTTTTGAAAAAGAAAGAGAGGGTGACTTGCAGCAACACAAATTGTTTCAGGAGAAAAGGAAACAGGCAACATTGACGGGGATATAGGCAGTTAAGATTTATTGCTAAACATGTTTCAATAAAGAAGAAGTGAATACTGAAGGAGCATATTCATTAACTGTCTATTGTAGCAGGAGGTAATGCACACATCCTACAGCACTCCTTTAATGAACTGTGGCTTTCAGTAATAAAACATTATAAGTGAGATATGAACTTAGCACTTCAGTTGAACACAACTGATTGATGCTGACAGCTTGTTTCTGTTCTTACCTTTTTGCTATAACTTTCCAAGCTTGCTTCTATAAAGTAGAATCAAGGTTTTTTAAAATTGCAGTCTCCTTCACTTCTACTCAGAGATAATCTCCATTCGATTCAAGGGAACATATGGGATTGCATACTTTGTAGAGTGGCAGCAACAGTCCACAGGTGGTATCTTGTACATTAGACAGGAGGAAAAGCAACTGACTCACAGTTATCTGAAGAAGAAGAATAGTGGATATCCTTTTAGAATACTTCTTGTAGATAGTGTCTAACCACAAATCCTGTTAACTTTAAATATGAATAATGTCTTTACTAAGCCACATTATCCTGGTGTGTTCCTGCTGGCTTTTGTATTTGACAAGATTGGGAGTTTTCATTCTCAACCAGTTTATCCAAATGTGTTGTACAAAACTCTTTGGGAAACTGAAAGGCTAACAAATCTGATTTGAACAGAAGTACTGTACCATGAAGGTAGCAAGCTTTCCCCTTTCATTGTCATTTTTTAAGTTTAAAGCACTTGATTTAAGTATATAAGGATATACTTTGCAAAATTTGGATTTTAAGTTGTGTCACTTCCAAGTGACTAAAAATATTAACCATTTTATTATCTTTTGGGGCTGAGAATTTTCTACTTTTTCTTTCATCAGGAAAGAAAAAAAATGTTAACGCAAAAATTTGCATGCTTTTACACCTAATAGCAGTTAATACAGAATTGCTATTCATGTGCAGGAGTGTTGCATGAAAAGTATACCAGATCCATTGCAAACTTCTCACCTGAGCCGTTAATAATCCTATTCTATTTCAGATGCCTGAAATAGGATGCCTGCCTTGGCACCTGCCCATCAAAGGACTGATTCAGTCCCACCCTTTCCCTTACTCTAACAGCTCCTCTGATACTGTGGCATTTGCCTTCTTCCTAAGCATCGGCTCTTCCCTGCACTTCAGCAACAGGGCCTGGCTACATCCGCATCTCCTTTTGAACCTTGCCTTTCTCAGGACTGTGTTCTGTGAAACCCAAAGCATGTCATTTCCTTCCCACCCCCATTTATCAACAGCTTTGCCACACTTAAGCTAACAGGTTCTGTTTATTTTATTCTGCATGCTTTCCAGTGGACCGTAAAGGTGGGAATGCTCATACAATTGCACGCTCTTCAGTTCATGGCCTATCCTTTAACCTTAGTAATGCTGGCCACCTAGGTCAGTTTTGTAAATATAAGAAGCCGTTGTCTGTCGCAAAAGTCTGTATTGCTGAGATTCTTCCCTCCAAGTTCAAACCCAAGCGTGCTCCTCCACCTATTCCTAGGCTAGACAAAAAAGATCTCTTGCCTCATGAGAAAACACAAAGCTGTGAAAATCTGCATAGTTCGCTTACCTTCTTTGGTAACAAGAAAGACTCTGTGATAGGTGCCGATACAAGTTTTGAGAATATCCTAATGAAATCTAAGCAGCAATCGGCTGCAAAGTCCAGTAGTACCCAGAGTTTGAGAGAATGTGGCTCTTCCAGCTTCAGGAAGGATTATATGCTTGGTTCCCAGAAGAATGGGATGGAGTTTGCCATGCTGTATAAAGACATGCACCACATCAACCGTTCTGGATTCCAGGTGGGCGCTATTTCATCCGGCAGTGTGAAGGAAATTGCATCCCATTTTGAGGGTGAATTTAAGAGCAAGAGAGAACCCAGCCTCAGCCCCCACCGAGAGAACTTGGAGCAGATCCCCAAGCACACTGTATCTTCTCGCATCACTGCCTTCGAAATGCTCATTCAGAAATCTTTGTCGATGCCTGCTCTTAGCTTCTCCAGTACCCATATCAAATCTCCAACTCCTAGTCTCTCAAACAGCTGCTTAAATTCAATATATTCAGCTGAGTATGAGTTGGATTTGTCCATGCCAGTTCTGGGGAAGAAAAATCTAGCTGATCTAACTAATCTAGCGGATACTTCATCCCATTCTTATAGCAATATAGAGGATACATCATCAGAATTTAGTAATACGACCCCAATAGATACACTCTCCGCTTGTCCTGATGACATAGATGTCATATCTAATAAATCCAATGACAGTGGTGGCGACAGTAGCATCAGCATGCCTCAGAAATACAAAGTGAACAAATGCAAAGGATCATGCCCAGCTTCCTACACAAGGTTTACAACTATGCGGAGACACGAACAGCAGCAGCCTGCTCAAGGGGATGTTGAAGGAGAAAAGCACCTGCTACCTAGAAATATCTACCTCATGAGCCCTCTTCCCTTCAGATTGAAAAAGCCCTTGCAGAGACACTCAAGAACAACACTTCCTTTGCCTGGACTGGGAGCCTTGCTGGCATCCAGCTGTGAAATCCAAAATGATCAGTCAAAGGGAAGCCACAGAAATAACCCCTCCTTCTATGAGCTATGTATGCAGAGGAAACCGCCAGCTCCCAAACGCTTCTCTTCCTGTGACATTGTCAAAAGATTTAGCCACTTCCTGGAAGTGGAAACTTGGCAAAGTAGTTCTGTTTCGCTACTGGACTTTCCAGATGTGTTTAATAATGGGAATGTACCATATGCTTTATACTACAAGGCGGACACAAACAACAACCCACAAAAGGAATTCAGGACATACCCTGGAGGTGGCATTTTTGTGTACTTTATTTAGTTTGATTTCATCTGTCTCTGTTTGCTTCCCCTCCATTTTTCACCCCTTGCTCCATATTACATTTACAACGTATCTCTTGTGCACCCTGTTTGCATTTCAGGACTTGACTGAACTTTTCAGAAATAATTTCTTCTGCATTTCTAATTACTAATTAAAACAGATTGCCAAAAGGTACCATTTAGATTGTGAATTGCTTACAGAAAACAGCTTAAACCCATGTGATTTGCATCCCCAAGAAATTAAATTAATCAACCCTGTTAGTTGTTAAAGCAGTCATTCAGGTTCTTGGTGTGTTTTTGCATGTGTGTGCATGTGAACATGCATGTGCACATATGTGCTTCTTTATCTTTGCATGTAGTTATGCAACTTTCTTCAGTGACACCACATTGCATCATATTTGGTGAGCAACAAATATACTGATTAAATCATTTGGTTGGCTTTCATGGGCTTGGATTTTGTGTTGTTTCTTACTTCAACGTTATTATCTGCTTCAGCCTTTAAATCCAGAAGAAATAAGAAGTTACCAATAGTTGATTACAATTGATTGGTGGCATTGAAGTTCCCTCCTTTCCCCCTTTCCTCTCCCTCTTTCTGGTTCTCCTGGTCAAATCAGTTTGTTTTTAATGACCCTGTATTGTTTTAAAGTAGATTCAGAATCACCAAGACATTTTCCACCACTTGATTACATGGAGAATCCTGAAGATATTTTCCACAGACGCCACAGTGATAAAGAGGTAATCTGTCCTGCTCCAGTCAGTATTATTTCTTCAGAGATTTAAAGCAGTAGTTGGAATAGAATTTGAACATAATCAAGATGGTCTCCTGAGTTGGTATCTGATGAATGACCTTGTCAGTTTTATTGCGGAGTAGAGTATATATTGCTGCAATAATTATATTAATTACTACTTGAAAACATGCTTTCATTTTTTACTTAAGAGTTTAAAGTTTTCAGATGCATAAAAGTGTTTATTATAGGCAAGAAGAAGAAAAAAACCAAAAACTAGCAGCTACGCCAAGAATGTTGACATACCCTTTATTTCAGTCTCCGATATCATGTCTGCTAGGTTCTCATCTTGGAATAACCTCCATTATTACATGACTTGGCCCCAGAAAGTTTTGCATAGATTTCAGTTATTGGTCCCTCACCTTCCCTAGCTTCAGATTTGGAGCTGAAGGCAGATGGGCAGGAACCCTCATTCAGAAGCCCAGTGTAAGTGGCAGAAGTAGGAGCTCCACTCATCGTCCTTGCTGGCTGGTAATGGATCACACAATGGTGGATTGTAAGTGGGATTGTTGAACTCTACTGATCTGAAAGACCACTTCTGGAGATCAAGTTTAGAAAGACTAGAAACATTGTATTATGTAATGGTGAAACCTGGTTTAATAGCACATTTACCTTCAGAAAGTGTATATCATGGTGGGAAACAACAGGTTTTTTTTATATTCATTCATGCAAGTTCATTGTAGTCTGCTCTTACTGGTTTATGAAAAACAGCAGGCAAGCAACTACCTCATTATGTTTCTGAATGTAATTGTTAAGGAAAAAATAGTCAACAAGACAATAGGAAATCTTTAGTTTTTGCTACATCTTTTGAAACATTTTGAGGAAAATAACGCGAGTCCCTTTGCACTTGTCATTCTATATTTGATAACACCCACCTCACTACCATGGCTAAGGTTGTAATTGCATAATACAGTCTTTTGGTTATGTTAAACCAGTTGTACATGAACCATGGCCTTCCAGATTTGTACAGGCCTTTGAGAGAAATTAAAGCTAAAGTGTGCTGTTAAGACTGGCACATTTGATTTTGATAGTGTGTGGATTAAAATATAAAAACAGAAGTCCTAAATTGTGCCTAAGAATAAAGATTTATTTCCCCTCTCCCCCAAAAAACTAAACATATACATATACACCTGGGACACTCACACACAGGGCTTACAAGTCTTCTTCTATCAGGCCCTAGTGTCTGGTCTACAAAGGTATATTTTCAGTATGCCAAAGATCACGTTTACTTCTCTCCATTCTCCACATTGCAATGTGTTCTGTAGAGAAATAACTTCAGAGTTCTAGCCAGCTGTGCACTTATTCCAAGGGCCTAATGTCTCTCCTTTCCATACTGTCTGTGTTCTACTGTTTGAAGACATGTTGAACACATTTCATACCTGTGATCAAGACTTTCTGCCAAGAATCTTGGACTGAGTGATGCATCTGGAAACTGTTCCAAAAGCCTGCCAAAAGTCATCCCAGATGTGATCTGTATCCCTCTGACTTTTCTAAGGCAACGGCCTGCTAGGAGAGAGGCTGGTTAGATTCAACTGTCCCCTACCAGCCAGAGGTTTTTGCTTTGTTACCTTAGCCCTGGGTGGCAAAGCAAGTCTTCCTTCCTGCTTTAGCGCTGGAGATAATGAGGAAACTACACCTGCAAAGTTTGGAGGAAATCTGGCTGCTGCTCACATTTATAAATAGAGATGCCACATTTGCTATGTGGTGATCTCCTTCATTCCTCCACATTTGGTTATCTCACTCTCTCCTCTCCCCCCAACATTAATATTCTGTGCCCACTATGTTCAGATTTCATTGAACTGGGGTTTTTTTGAGGGGGGGGGGGTTCCCTGAGTAAACCCCTTCCAGAAGTATACTTTCTTCTCATATTGTGGTAGTGCTGTTTTGGCTTCATAAACAGTATCACTTAAATCTTGAACAGTGGAAAATATAGAAAATAAGAAGGCTGATGGAACCTTCTACAATTTTTCCTTTAAAAAACGTTTGTGGACATTCCCCATAAAAGATTATATTGTGTCCCTATTTTGCAGAATTCTTAGAAGAGTGTTCAATCTGACTTAGCATAAAATAACACAGCCCAACCAAAAGTAATTTCTTGCTGTCTTGGTTTTTAGGCCTGTTCCTGAGGTTATTTGGGCCACTGATTCAGAAAATTGCATTGGGTAAACCACATCAGCTCTAATTTCTTAGATATGGTTATCATGGTTTTCTGTGGGTAAGCAGATGACGGCTGGTAGAGATGTTCTGTATCTCATAAACTAGAGCTGATAGGGGGAAACTGGTGCTATTTTTGGAATCAGCAAGTCAAATATACATCGAAACGAGTCTTAATATTTGAGGCACTAAAATGTGTGTTGGCCAGTGTAATAATGTGTTCTCTGAACTTGTTCTGATAGGTTGGAAATAGGTGGGATGGGTCTAGTTTTGGTGAACTTTTTGTTTGTTTGTTTGATCTGTTGGCAAGTCTAAGTGCCATAAACTAGATTATTTATTGCCCATTTTATGCAATTTTATGGCAGAAACTTTTAGAGGACCAGAGACGGCTTAAACGTGAGCAAGAAGAAGCTGATATTGCAGCTAGAAGGCACACAGGGGTCATTCCTACGCACCATCAATTTATCACTAATGAGCGGTTTGGGGATCTCCTAATTGTAGACGATACAGCAAAAAGGAAATCTGGGTCAGAGGTCTGTTGTGGTTGCCTCAATCTGCTGCTTGACCCAATTCATATTTGCCTCTCATAGTGTTGTGCTTTTAGGCCACCATTAGCTGTTCAAGGTGTTGATTTTTATTTTCCCTCATTCTTGCTTGATTTAGAAACTGCTTTTGATATTGTTGAACTGAATTAATCTCTCTGTACAAAAAGCATGTCTGCTGAGGATTGCTAGTGCACCACTGTGACGCATGCCTTTAAAGTATCTGTTATTTTTACAAAAAATCCAAGGACGTTTGCTTCATCTTTTGCAGTATATAATGCTTCATTCTCTCCTTGTATGTGACTTCTGCTTTAAAACTTTATTGTCTTCTTGACCCTTACCATGTGATTATCCATTAGTGGATTAAACCTAGATGGCGTTCTTCTCTCTTTGCTTCTTTGTGGTCTCCATGTCAGACCAAAAAAAATGTTATATCTGTATTTTAATGTTTGAAAAGAAAAGACAAACAAGACAAAAGAGTTGGGAGGGATTTTCCCCCAGGGAGTCATATTTCTCAAAAGTTGTGAACCCCTAGTGTAGCCCATTTCATTTGCCTTGCCCAGTAACTGTTCCTGTTACCATGTGGTCAAATCCCCTCTTCTTCATTTATATGTTGTGCAGGTTTTTAATGGTTGGTATTCCAGTGGAAATCATGAACCACTACACCTAGTAGTCCTGACAAGCAGAACAAATTATGTGGAATGCTGCAAGATCATCTGGAGGGCCTAATACTTTGAAACATAGAATCATGTTGCAGACCCCAAGGTCCATTCAGTCCAACCTCCTACCATCCAGGAACATACAATCAAAGCACTCCTGATAGAGGGCCATCTAGCCTCTGCTTTAAAATCTCCAGAGAAGTAGACTCCACCGCACTCCAAGGCAGCATGTTCTACTGCCAAACATAGTTTACCATCAGGAAGTTTTTCCTAATGTTTAGGTGGAATCTCTTTTCCTGCAGCTTGGATCCATTGATCCTTACCCCAGTCTTTAGAGCAGCAAGAAACAAGCTTGCCCATCTATGCAGGTATATTCAAATAATCTGCATAATCTCTCCCTACTTCTTCAAAGTATGGCATCTTCTTACTGACTGTAGTATTTATTTCCAAATTGTACAGGGAAAATTCTGAGAGTTAGTCCTGAAATTTTCTTCTAGCCTTATAAGAAGTTATTACTTGTTCAGTAAAATTATCATTGAGCAGGTAACAGCTATTAGGGCCCAGTCACACTACCCAAGTATAGCATTACCATTCCATTTTGACAGACATGGTTCTAGCCTCTGGAATTCTGGATTTTGCCGTGGTGAAGCAGTGGATGTCTCTAGTGAGTTGTCTATACCAGGGCTTCTTAAACTCATGACCCCTTCTGGCCAATGATATGTTTATGTGGCCTAAGATATATAGCTATATAAAATAGGTATAAAAATCAAACATTTACTCATAATAAATAAGCTTGCTGAACAGGCTGGTTTTCTTCTTCTTTTGAAGTACAGCCAAAACATTTGCAGAGTCCACTGTGAACACTGCAAAACAGAATTATGTAAATGTCTAAAACAGCCACTAGGTGGCATTCAGAAAATGTTTATTATTGCCAATGTTTTTGGGATCCTAACATTGTGCTAAGGGGACTATGCTGCTTTTCAAAAGCCAGCAAAAGGTGGTGTGCTGCTACAAGAGGATCCAGAATAGGAGCATAAGCTCAGGGCCTGGGTAAAAATGGGGGAAATTAATCCTCCACTCTCTTACTTGTGTGTAAAATGCATCTCTCCCCACTCTGAACCCATTAACACAAAAAAGTTAAAGGAATATGTAATGTTACAAAGCATACAATCCAGCAAATAGCAGTGGACATGTAAACAAAAATTATGGTGCTTGCCGTCCTAGCAACCTGACCTACCTTTTTGCTGTGGAGTGATCTAGATCTAGATTGTACACATGTAGCAAAAAACGGCAACAGATTGGATTTTTCTGAAACCATGGAGCAAGAAGCAAGTTTTGGTATATCACATTAACACCTAAAAGAATTGCTTTTATTGCTAAAGGTAGGATATGTTGTTTATTGAGATCCAAGTAGCTATGTAGTGAGTGTTAATTATTTTTGTCCATGTAAATAGGCTCTGAGGATTCCATAGGGCATATCCATGATGGTCAAAATGGAATAATAATGCTATTGTATTGTAGTTTAAATGGGTCCTAGATCCCTTTCATTAGCTAATAATAATTTTTCAAACATTCAGCTCAGTAGATATGAACATAGGTGATTCAAATGTGACTGCAGAGAATGTATGTGACTGGGTGTTTTTTTTTTTACAGAGACAATGATGCAGTCTAATCATACCAGTATCTATCCCTCCTTCCTCAGAACTATATGAGACATTTTAATTTTCCTTTCCATCCACTTTGTCACTTTTGTTCCAATTGGTAAAACAAAACTGATCCTTCTGACCTGTTATAGTCCACAGCCATGGTAAACATTTTAGTGCTGTATTACTTGGGGTCCTTGTTATGTATGTCTAAGGCACCATGATACACATATCAAAAGGCAGTTTCATTCTGCTTTCTGTGCACAACTTTTGCCAGTAAAGTCATTGTAATTTATTTTTAGAGGCAATATTTTGCTACAGAGCACGTATTGCAGTCTCTGCATCGAATCCCTGTCAGCAACCTCAACAAACCTATTTGTATGCCCTTTTGAAATAAGTTTAAGACCGTTTTCTGATCTTGCAGGCCACCAAGCTTGCTATCCCCCTCCTCTCCCCTACCTCCTCACTGGCAAGGGAGGAACTATTTCTTACCATTTCATTTCCACTTACCTCAGGAGGTGGGGATTTTGCCACTGGTAGTACAGGACATTTGACCACTCTATTGGACCCTGTCATTTCATGAAGACGTTCCAGTCATATAAGAGTTCAGATTACCTGAACTCTTGTGATAATTCACAGTATGTTTATCCCATTCACTGCCTATAAGGTTGGGATTTTCGTACAATTTCTAAACATGTCTTGTGAACTTGGTCTTTATTTTAAATGTACTGTTTTCAACTTCTAGATGAGAGCTGCCAGAGCAAGGTTCGATTTTAAAGCCCAGACACTAAAGTGAGTATAAATGGCTAGCTGCTTTCTTTGTCAGTGACAGAGTTGTTCTTATGCTCCAGCTTTGTGGAGTCAGTGCTTGTTTATTCATTGTAGCAATCATGCAGTTTTAATTATTAAAAATATGTTAAGGTATTTAAAGGTGCGTCTTTTCTGCCCCCAGGACTCTCAGTGCAGTTTTCAATTTCAAGCAATACAAGAATGAATAAAAGCTCAAATAAAACTATAAGACAAATCAAATAGCGTCTCTTAAAAGGCCAGTGAGGAGGTGCTTTGCAGAACTATTGCTACAGAAAGGAGCCTGTCTTGTATTCAACTCAGCTTTTCTAATTAAGTTCAGAGCCCTTGGTTGAGATCACAGATTATGAGTGGAAAGAAGTCCTTAGACAGAATGGCTATCATTTGTTTAGGGTTTCATAGTAAAAACTTCTATTTTCTAATGAAATTTCTAATAAAACATTTTAAGGGCCAGCTTTAGCACAGCAGGTTAAACACCAGCTACAGTCACTCTTGTCAGTCAAATGGCTGCCAGGTTAAAGCTTGGTCAGGGTGAGCTTTGCCCAGATTCTGCCTACCTAGTGGTTTGAAAGCAAAAATGTGATTAGATAAATAGGTACCACTCATTAAAAAGTGGGGGAGGTATTCTGAGGCACCCAGAAGGAATGCCGGCAATTCAGTCCAGGAGGAAGGAAGTTGCAAACTAGCTCTTCGGCAGGAAAAATGGAGTGACAGCACACACACACACACACACACACATACACACACCATAGCCAGAACAGAACACAACACCTTCGAAGATGCCAAAAGATGGGGAAAGCTGATATATATACCTCTTATCTATGTATAATTGTCTGTCTAGTGTATAAAAATTGCATTGAATGTTTGCCGAATATGTATGTTCTGTAATCCGCCCTGAGTCCGCTTCGCGGTGGGAAGGGCAGAATATTAATACTGTAAATAAAAAATAAATTTGCATCCATTCTTAGTCCTTAGATTGAGGTGGTCAAAGTCTAGTGCTTCAGATACTTTTTCACTGCCACCATTGTCAGTCCCAGCTGACAAAGCCAATGATAAGTGCAGCAAGATATGGAAGGCCAGATTGCTCACTCATGCCTCAGAAATAGGGAAAATGTGTATTAGTTGTACAATTTTTGTTTTTTCATATTTGTATTTAGCATAAACATACCATTGTTAAAAATAACTAAGATATAGTTTATGTGTTGTGAACAGAGAACTGCCACTGCAGAAAGGAGATATTGTGTACATTTATAAGGAGATTGATCAGAATTGGTACGAAGGCGAACACCATGGCAGAGTGGGCATCTTTCCACAGTCATATGTAGAGGTACTTGTTTTGCTCTTACCTTTGACCAAAGTGGTGGATCTTCCTCGGGTTTTTGCAAATACTTTTTGCTTTTTGTTTTGTCTGTTTTTGTTTATAGCTACTTCCACCCAGAGAAAAACATCAACCTAAGAAACCTTCGCAGTTGCAAGTCTTGGAATATGGAGATGCAGTTGCCAAGTTCAATTTCAATGGTGACACTCAAGTGGAGATGTCCTTCAAAAAGGTACAGACAATGCGTCCTATGAATCAAAATTTTATTTGTTTGGGAAGACACTTTCTGGATCGTTGGTAATAAAACTGATTTTTTCAGAAGAATTATATTGTTAAAAATTACATTAGTCCATGAAAGAGCTTTCCATCAATTGTTTGTCCCAATAACTAATCACACTTTGTAACACGATTTTTGTTTCTGTGTTATAAATGTCATTTCTTAATTGGTTCTATTATAAAAACATGGGAAAGGTGTATTAAACTGCAAAAAAGCTTTGTTTTACGTGACATCCTGCAGCACATTTTGCTATAGTTTTTCAATAAATATCTCATAGAGCAGGCATGGGCAAACTTTGGCCCTCCAAAACATGCTGAAGTTTGCCCATGCCTGTCATAGAGTCTCAACCAATTCAACATAGTTTGTGGCAGCCACAAAAACAAAATTTCTGGAGTTTTACAACTAGTTTCAAAATAAGTACCGCATAATGAAACAAGAATTAACACTTTCAAACCACAAACAGATTTTTTTTCAAATTTTGTTGCATAGAGTTATAAACTATGTTCAGACAAAAAAGTGGTGTGCCATCTTTAAGCATGAACTTTCATGGATTTCGCTCCACCAGAAACATGGCATATATTATTCCAGGGTCAGGTATGGGTGGGTAACTTGTGGATGCGCTAAATGTTGCTAAATTGCACTTCCCATGATCCCTCACTATTGATGGGTCCACTTTGCCCACTGCATTCAGTATACATAGCTGAGGTATAGATTAGGAAAAAATTAGGTGCAGAAAATCCACCTATATTGTTAACAGGAGATGTTAACAAAACGGTTGATACAAGTGGAGCATCCCTAATCCAGACATCTAAAATCTGAAAGCCTCCAAAATCAATTTTTGTTCACAGTCAGCCATAAAATGTGAGCAGAGAGCGGATTCAAAGCTTTAGAAGAGGTTATTGAGAAGTTATATAGTGAGATAAGACTACAGCGTATTTTTGATGACATTAGGGGCATGGATAGGTTCTACCTATTTTCCAAATTTGCTGGGAATAAAGGGAGCCCAACCAGGAAAGTTTTCTTTTTCATTGAATGAAACTAATTTAATTGTCAATTTTTCTCAAGTGGGCCACTAGAACTTTAGCTCTGTGTTGAATGCTATGAAACACTTTTAGCTACAGATCCCTACCTTGACCAGTATCAATCATGCACTGTCCTGTTTTCTGAAAACAAACCAGCTTGTCACTTTGATTTTAAAAGAGATAGTCTTTTGGGCAGATTTGTACAATAGATAAACAGAGCATACAAAAATAGCATCTGTGCATGAGTACATGGGTTGACAATGTTGCTACAAATCAGAAGCTTGAAGTAATATAAACATATTTCTCTTCAGGGTGAGAGGATCACACTAATCCGGCAAGTAGATGAAAACTGGTATGAAGGAAAAATCCTTGGCACCAATCGTCAAGGCATCTTCCCAGTCACATATGTGGACATATTTAAGCAGCCTGTTGTGAAGAACATGGAAGATCATGTCGATCTGCTATTTTCCCACTCAGTGAACCACAGCCAGGCGACTTCACCACAGGTACTTGCTATGAAATGATCCTAGCAGAACTGTGAGGTGTTGATATTTTCCACAGAAACTGTTTTTTTAAAGTAGCACTTATTGGTCATAAATTCAAATGATATATTCTTGCATTGTGCAGTTTTTCATTTGTAACTATTATCTAAGCCCGGTAGCAAAGTGTTGCGGTAGTAGATGTGGAAGTTATTACCAGCGGCAACCCTATTTAAGTGGGTTTCTATGTCATAATTCTGGTTAATAATCACATTTTTGAAACCTGTCGAAAACATAGTATTATCCCAATTGTTCAAAAATGCTTTTTCTGTACATGAAAAATAACCACCAAAAGAAACAAATCTAAACAAACAGAGTTCATGATAGAACAGTACCACTAAAAAGAAGATTCACCCCTCTCTCTGCCTATCTATGCTCCAGTTCACATCCATTACCCATTTTATGGGAAATTTTCAGGAGATAAATTGTGTCCTACCATTGCCATATTCATTTGCCACCATTAATGAACTGGCAGTGCATGCATTCAGACTGCTTGCTTCACAGTTACTGTAATTCTGAGCCCATGGCAGAGCAAATCTTATTCTTTTCTATATTCAGTTGCACCTTGCTTTTTTTTCATTCTTCTCCATATTTTCTTGCATTGATTTTTTTTAAAAATAATCTTTCTTTCTGTTCTTTTTCTTCTTCTTTGAAGTCTCACAGTTCTGAGCTGCTTTTCACACCAACTCCCCCACCATTGCCCTTCATGGGCCCAGCATTGTCTCCCGAATTGCAGGCCGTCACCTCAGAATGGATTTCCCTGACTTTGGGAGCAACCTGTACCCCAACTCCAACTGTCACCCCTCCTTTACCACCTCATCCTAATGCTTTTCTATGTAACATTGATTACCTTAGACCACCGTCGGTGGCCAGCCCCTCACCATCCATTAGCCTTCACCAGTCTAATCTCTCCAATTCCTCAACTCCCACGTCTGTGGTCTCCTCACTGCCTTCCTCCTGTGAGCCTCAGTCATCCAGTCAGGACATCAGTTTGGCAGTTCTGCCAAGTGAGGGGAAGTTTGCTAGCTCTCCTTCTTATCACACTAGCAACGGCAATTCCCCTTATTCTGTAGTTGGCAGTCCTGATAGCTGCGTCTCAGAGCTCAGTGATGTCACTGGCCACCAAGACAAGTGGCAGAAGACCAGAAGAGTCAAGCAAAGCATTGACAGGGAAGATGGTATTGCAGCCAACAAAGGCCCCAGTGGTGTCCCTGAGATCTGTAGAGCAAGGTGCCAGTCAGAGATGGAGAAGTGTGTTATCCCACAAAAGAAATCTCTTCACTTCTCTGATGAGAGGAAACTTTGTCAGGAGCAGGGAGATGGCCCACCCAAAAGTGGGATGTACAGTTATAAGGATGTTGAACAGAGGGAGAGTCAAAGCAGGGTTATGAAGGTACTTTTTCTGCATGCCTGTTTGTTTTTCTGCAGTTTGCATTGTTGCATTTGTTCAGGTGTGTTTCACATATTATTGGTCTTTCTTCTGCCAAGTTATAGCTGTTATATTCTGTAACTTTGTTTCTAGCTTGATCTTAGAGTCGATTGGTATATAAAAATCTGTGGAAACACATTGAGGGTTATTTTGTGTGGATTCCAAAATAGGGATTTATTAGAAGAAATTCCCAACTCCTCCAAAAGCTTGTTTTTCAGACTGTTACTATATGATGTATCATTACAGAAATTCTACCTTAATGATCTAAAGAGTTCATTCTCCAAAATGGCAGTAGACAGCTTTTAAGCATGGGGTGCTTCGATTGTGCTTTTCCTGCATGGCAGGGGCTTGGACTAGATGCTCTTCCAACTCCATTATTCTAGGATTTTAGAAGAGGATGGGAATCAATGAATCTTGAAAGAGTCTTCCCTTAGCCTTCTTTATTATAATTCAGGAGTTATATACCATAATCAAGTTGCTAATGTGTTGCATTAATTAAGTATTCGGATCATTTTGTTTTGATACCAACATTCTTCTCCTAATGTGATCTGTGCCCTATAAACAATTTTTTTTGTTTGTGGCTTTTTTGGGGGGTTTTTTTGTGATGGTGACCATCTTTTTAGATACTCGTGAAATATAACAAGTACAGGTAGATTTTATTTTGGAAAGTACTTGATTTTAGCATTAATGAACGGAGACAGATCTAAATTACAAATAATTTGTAAGTTCCAGATCAACACTCCGGATGCATCTACATCGTAGAATTAATGCAGTTTGATACCATTGACGTTTCTATGCTATAGAATCATAGGATCTGTAGTTTGCTGGAGCCACCAGCACGCTCTGTCAGAGAATGTTATAGACCTTGTAGAACTACAGCACCCATAATTCCATAGCATTGAACCACAATAGTCAAAGCAGTACCAAATTGCATTCATTCTACAGTGTAGACATACCCTCATCCTTATCTTACGTTTTCATGGAAGTTCTGTAACAGACCTAACTTTCATTTTAAATGCATGAATAATATTCTGCAAAGCTAACATGGGCCAGAAAATCTGAAAAGTGCTTCAGCTTTTGAACTCGCTTGTTTGTTTCAGTTTCGAGTATATTTCATGTTTGTAATGACTATAATTACTGACACAATGTAAACAGGGCACTGATGAACTTTTCTTTCCTTTTAAAAGTCTGCAAATGCAAAAGCCTTCTATCCATCTGCTCTTCTGTCTCCTTCTGCAATCCCTTCTTTTGCTGTTAGAACAGAACTACCTCCCAGACTCTCATGTAGAGTCAACATGCCACAGGTAATTGAATGGGGACAGAAAGGGCTTAACACTTGATATTTCATTGTCTTGTGTAAAATTTGCATGATCACACGTCAAGTCCATCTTTGCATTTATTGTGGTGGGGAGCATCTAGATGTTTGGACAATATATAATGTTCAGTACATTTAAAGCAGCAGTTCTCTAGCAGAAATATTGCACATGGATATCATGAAACAGTTGAATTACAGCTAATAAGGAAGTTTGAGTTGATTAATTAAGCTTCCATTCCTTTCATATTTATTCTTGTATAAAGATGTTTGCCATAATTTTCTTGATCTGCTCATCCTTCCAAGATTGCCCAGGAGGGATGAAAGAAAGTAAACAAAAGTAAACAGAACTCTACCAGTTCTGAACAGCCTATTTCTGCATTGCCTCCATTCCTTCACAGTTGATGTGCCTGCACCCTTTTAACAATCTCTACTGTCACTGCTTATGCCAGTGCAACTATACCAGTGTATTGCAGCAGGAGGAGCCAGGCTCATTCTTCATTCAGCATGTTCTCTAATTAAAGATGGCAAAGGAAACTCGTTCTTAGTGATGAAATTAAAACATAAGTCTAATTACTTGAGTTGTATTGCATAAAAATAAGTATTTAAATTCATACTTTTGTCATCTTTCAACTGCCAAGAATTATGTTGGAATATTTGAACAAATTCAATTTCAGGTTAATACTGTAGATGCATCCCAATCCATGCAAAATATTCTGAGAGATGCCTCAGCATTTTGTCCTGTGCTTGGTCTTGTTTTTTTATAAATGGCTCAGATGATGTGCTAAAAATGTGCAGATGACACCAAATTGGGGGGAGGGGGGTAGCTAATATACCAAAGAGCAGAATCCCAATTCAAAATGACATTGTCAGATAGAAAAGCTAGGACAAAAGGGGGAATGTATAAGTGTAGGTTGAGTGATTCCTGGCCTAATAGCAGTACATCTAGGGATCTTAGTAGATTACAAGATAGATGCTGATAAGTAATGTGATGCAGCAACAAAAAAATCCAATGCAATTCTGAGCAGCATCAATCCCTATCAAGGGAAATATTAAATCACTTCCCCTCCCCTCGCCTCTTGGCTTTGGGGGGGGACGGGGGGACTCTAGTGGCCCCATGCCAGTGTGGAAATTACTGTGCAGGCATGAGGACAGCAACTGGGAAAGCCCAGTTGTTTCGGAGTGAGTTTAAGCCCTGTCTGGAAGCGCCCCTAAACTACCAGGCATTGAGACCTTTTGGCCATGACTTGGGAACATGTGGCCTTCAGATTAAGTTGAATTGCAGTTCTGCTCATTATAATCTGCTTGCCACCTAGTGGCTGTTTTAAACATTTAAATGAATCTGTGAGATGAAATGCTTCAGCAGTACTTTATAAAACAGCAGTACTTTATAAAACAGTACTTTATAAAACAAATGCTTCAGCAGTACTTTATAAATCAGGGAAAATAAAAGAATTTAAAGTATATTTTTAATCATTTATTATCAGTTTGATCTGAATACCTATTTTATATGCCTCTATACTGGGATCACGTAAAACTCCTCGGGTGGAATGGGATCATAAAGGGAAAAAGTAGCAATAGCCAGTGGTGAAGTCTGATAGGAGTTTAAATGTAGCATCTGAAGGACATCTCCCTCCCTCCCATTGCTGTGCAAGTTCCTGCATGCTCTCTCCCCCCTCTCTCTCTTTCTCCCTCCCTGCCTCCCCTCTTCACATATCCACACCCAAGGACATTGTTTTGACTGGGCCCTTGTCCCTCTAATATTTAGCTTTGATATTCATGTAAACCCAGATTTCTTTGTCTGGATAATGAGATGAGTTGTAAATTTTTATTTAGCATCTATATCTGTAGGTCCTATTCTTATATTCTTGGTTTTGCTTAAGCCATATTCTGTTATCTGTCACTTCTGTGGTCTTCTGTGGATGTTCTCCATAGGTGTTTGAGCTCTGAAAAATCTGTATCTTTACTTCAGACTGTATGTGTAGGAGAGTGACAGAACCCAGGGAAGGGGGTTGAATTAGTATATATTTCACAACAAGAAATGTGAACATCTCAGTATTAATATTTCAGTGTTCTTTAATTTACATACAGCTGTTTTGTTTATATCCAACAAACTTTAAAAGGTAGTTCGTTATTAGGGAACTGAAATTATCACAATTCCTCTGGTACCAAAGTACAAACGTAAACTAATAATTGAGAACCCCTAAAGTAAATATAAGCTTGTCAATTAAAAGAAAAAGATGCTTCACATGCTCATTGTGAGTTCCAGATACTACAAAATGTTTATAATATAGAGCAGAGCCTTCCAAACATTTCACGTTGGTGACATACTTTTTTAGACACACATAATTTTGTGACATAACCCCTCAAAAGAGATGTGAACACATACATAAATTGTAATAAGAAAATGTATGGGGACTCGAAAAATATTTCATTTATGATTTTAAAAATATATGATTTATTGTTTATTTCACATTGACTCAGAGGTGTTGGTGTGACGCTTCTGTGACACACCAACTCACTGCAGCTGACAGACACACTGACATATCATGACCCACAGTTTGGATAGCTCTGGTTTAGAGAGAGGTAGCAAAGCTCTGCCTCTGAGATATCCAGTATTTCAGGGATTCCAGAACTGGATCATCTAAAGCAGTGGTCCCCAAGCTTTAGTCCTCCAGGTGTTTTGGACTTCAGCTTCCACAATTCGTAACAGCTGGTAAAATGGCTAGGATTTCAGGGAGTTGAAGTCCAAAACACCCAGAGGACCAAAAGCTGGGAACCACTGATCTCACTAAAAGCATTATTTGTGTACTTTCTACAGATATTGATTTCCCCTGGTAATTAAATCCATAGGTTGTGCTACCTTACAAGAACTGGTTCAAAATATTGTTGATAATCTGTCTTTATGTTGCTGAGCCGTCATTTCCCCCGCTGGTTTCCTGCTTCTAATCCTCTTTCCCATAGCCACAGTGCAATATACAGCTAGCAACATTGCTAACAACCCAAATTATCTGAATGCAGCAGTAGCTATCATTTGTTGTGATTCTCCACACACATGTGCTATTTTGTTGCTTTGTTCATGAGAATTTAATCTGACATGGTACTGCCTGTGCTAAAACGTCTTCCTTATCATGTGCTTTGGTGACCATGCAGCCTTCTCATCATTCATTGAGGCCAGGACCAGATCTCACAGAATCAGAAAAGACCTATGTGGTAAGATTGCGTGAGATTCACACCTGCAGCTTTTTGTTAGCATAATCCATAACAGCACAAAGCATTCATTGCCTGTTTTCTGACACCGTGATCTGTAGAAATCAGCAGCACTGAGAGGGAAAACAATCCATAGCAAATTCATGAAAGAATCCCCATGAAGAAAATTCCAGTGCCACAGCTAGTGCAGTGTTTTTTGTTTGTTTTTTTTATGTTAACATGGTATTGGAATACCTTGGCATCATTTGTCTAGTCTTTATGTTTTGCCATCATTGTCATAGTACACAAGAGGATCTCCAGGGCCAGTTTAAGACTGATGCCATTACAAGACCAGGCTTCCAGTAAGCAACCCCCCTTCCCAAATTCTGCTATTTGGTGGCTCAGTCATTTTAATTTACAGCGTTTTTCACAAATCTGATTATCATCCCCACCCATCTGGCTGGAGCAGCAGTATTGTTCCCCTTGTAACCAAAAGAAACCCTGCTCTGGTTGAAGGAATAGAGTAGCTGAAGATACATCACATTGTAAACAAGTTTGAGTGCATGTATGAGCTATGTTTCGAAAAGTCTTACCCAAGCCTTGTGTTTCTGAGTGTGAGGTCTAATTATAGTCTCTCTTGATGTTAAAACTAATCAGCAAATCTTTCTGTTATCTTGCCTCTATTTTTCCATGCTTACAACCTGGATTTCCTCTACACTACACTTCCTGGAATCTCTACCTGGACCTTTCTACCACTCTGTTGTCTTACTGGACCCATGTGATGCCTCTGGATGGGTCCATCTCTTACTGACTCTCCTCTCCCTCTCCTTGTTTCTTATCCTTTGAGTCCCCCTCCCGCTTTGGATTAAATAATATGCCTGCCACCCAGGAAACTGTTTGCAATGAGATCTTAAACATTGCTGAAAAATCCGTTCATTACTGCAGCACAATTTCTCAGCCTCTTGTCTCTTGTCACAAGGGACCCTTTAGTGACAGTAGATCATCTCTCATCATTTCCCAGCAACCACCCAAAGTCCCACTGCTGGAATCAACCATCGAGAGGAATCATACCGCACAAAATACGTAAGTTCTTTTGAATTGGTACACTTAATGTGGTATCTTGTTTAAGAATTGCTTTTCTTAAAGAGGACGAAGTCTATAAGCTGTGGGATTCAATCAATTTTAGGTTCTGGTTGAATTTATAACAGGTTCGCTGGGCATCTTAAATATCTGGACAAAGTTTTGTTTGTTGCTTCCAAAAAAACCCCTCAAGAAATAAGAAATAATAGGCTATAAGATCCTATTAGACGTTTCCTTTCTGTAGTTTTTGACATTGTAGACCAATAAATTATAGGGAACTTTGTCTATGGGACATTGGCATATGTTATTGGATTACCTCCTGAATGATTTCCCTCATTCCTTGTTTCTGGTCATGTAGTCTGAACTACATGATGTAAGTCAGCAACTCAGTAAGTCATGATGTAGAGCAAGGGTTCTCAAACTTTTAAAGCCATAGAGCCCTTTTTGAATGAAAGGGTTATCATGAAGCTCCAAGAAAATTTTGGGCGGGGGGCCACATTGCATTTTAAAAATTGACAAATGGGCCAGACCAGTGGCAGAAGAATGGAGAATATTTGTGTGAACTAATTGGAAAAAAATGAACAAATTCCTATGCACACTGCACGTATTTTCTTTGTAATGCAAAATAAAGAAAGAATGGGAAGGGAGGGAGTAAAGAAGGAGTGCAAGGAAGCATAGAAATTAGGAAAGGAGGGAGGGAAGAAAGAAAGAGGGAAGAAAGGGGGGAAAGAAGGATGAAAAGAAAGAAAAGGGCTCCGCAGAGCACAATTTGAGATCCGATGGTGTAGAGCACAGCACAAGTGGTATTGTGGAAATACAAACCAAAGAAATAATAATGGTAAATCCTGAGGCAGATTTAGGCACCAGTTTGGGTCTTTGGCTCTGCTTTTGGAGAGCACTTGTTGGCAGCAGTTATAGTAATTGACAGCTGAATAGTTTGATTTCTTTGTCTCATCTTGCGTCTGCTTTCTGAATTTCCAGACTTAGCTACCAGGCACTCTACAGCTATATTCCACAAAATGATGATGAGCTGGAATTAAGAGACGGTGATATCATAGACGTCATGGAAAAGTGTGATGACGGTTGGTTTGTTGGTGAGTAGATAATCTGTCATTCAAATGACATATTTTTAAAAGAGGATATTTTTGGTAGAGAGGCAGTGTGGTATAGTGGTTTGACTATTATGACTCCAGAGGTCAGTATTTAAATCTCCACTCAGCCATGGCAACTCATCGCGCAAATCGCTCCCTGTGGGAGCAAGGAGGAGACAGTTTTGGTCGTTGTGGGAGGAGACCCGTCTGTTTTGACCAAAGGTGGGCCTTTTTATAAAATTGGATCCAACTTCTGACTACTTTCTTTTTGTGGAAAATGTCTCCCCTGGCTCAAAACCAGGCTGCTCTCCCTCACAGATTGCAAAAATCACACTGCAGCACACAAAACCTTTCCATTAAAACATTTTAAAGATTTTTTAAATGGTAGGTAGGGTTTTTTTAACAGAAAAATATAATCTTGAGATGTTTTGTGGTTTCTGGCCTTGGATGTCTGTGTCCTAGCACCATTTTCTCCTGACGTTTTGCTTGTATCTGTGGCTGACCTCTTCAGAGGATCTCATTTGTTAACTTTGGGTGAAAGAAGGTACAGGACTCCCAGGTATAGAATCATAGAGTTGTAGGAGCCTAAAAGGACCATCCAGTCCAACCCTCTGCCATGCAGGAACACACAAACCAAAGCACTCCGGAGAGATGGCCTTCCAGTCCCTGCTTTAAAACTCTGAAGCAACATATTCCACTGCCAAAGAGCTCTGGAGAAGAAGTGGCACTCCAGACTTACTGGAGGCTTGTAACATCAGTGTATTTGGAAGGCACCATTTTTCCCATGAGACTTTCTTCCACATGGCTTGCCTTCCTCTTCCTAGAGTTGGGAAGAAGGAAGAAGAGTTCAGGTTAGATGCCAAAGAAAAGATGCTTTCCAGGCATCCAACCTAAGGAGCAGCTTTCCAAATGTTTAGTTTAAACTATTTTGTGCTGCCACGTACTTCAATTTTTCTCATTCACCCTTACTACATCACTGGCTTGATCATATCTGGGATTTGCCAGGGCTGCCATGTATGTGTATGTCCTCTGTCACAGTTGGAAAGGGAGGGTGAAATGAGGCCAGATCCAAGTGTGCCTGGTAGCCCATCATTCGGAAATTCATCAGGTTCCAGGGAGAGTAAAGACTGATAGGTAATGTCCACCTCTGAATGGGCCTGCCTCGTCCTCAGAGGGCAGACAGTCAGATTTTTTGGCAGCCACCTCCTTGTTGATTCCTGCTTTGGGTCAGGAGTCCAGAAAGTGGAGAATGTGAAGTCATTCCATTATTGGATACTGGTTCTGCACCTCAGGCTAGATTAACCCATATAGTTTGAACAAAAAAAGCTGTTGCCGTTTCCTGCCAAACCCTATGTGAGTTTAGGACACAACTTCCTTTAGCGCTCAGTTCTTGCCACTGAACAACTGATGTCCCAGCCTACATCAAGAATAGGCAAATGTCATGGTTCTCAGAGCCACATGCCCTTTAGCTGGGAAATGAATATATGCACAAATATATCAATATCTTCCTATGCACATCACAGTTTCAGTAAAAGGCTTTCACTTTATTGCTTATGATCCAGATTGCTGGGAGGGTGAAATGTAGGTTAGTAACAAAGAGGCCAAAATTAAAATCTCCCCAGCATCCCATCTCCAGATGGTCTTAACTGCCGTGGATGCTACATAGGATCACTGGGATTGATGTGAATTTCAAGCCTCCCTCAGTATCCCAGTACCCTCTGAGAGAAGAACTGGGTTTAATGTCAGCTCCAGTGAGGACAAAGAAAGTATGTATCCCCTTTGGGTATGAATCTTCTCATGCTCCCTTCCCAAAAATCTTTGTCATCCCCATATCCTTCGAGGAAGAGGTTTCCACACTGAGTTTCTATTTTGACTACTGGAAGCTCAACTGTGGTAGTCATTCTTATGGCCCTTGCATGGCACTGACAGCAGCAGTGGCAGAATGAGTTTGCTGGATGGAGGGCAGAATACCCACTTACAGATACATTGGCAGCATCCAAAAAGTGCAGACCCAGTGATAGTCTGCACTGCAGGGTTTCAGACAGAAGTCTTTCTCAGCTCTATCTGGAGTTACTGGGCACTGAATCCTGAGGGACCTTTTGCATTGAAAATGTGTGCTAGCTGGTTGCAAAGAATGGGTATCGCCAGTTTAGACATTGGTGTGTAAAGGTGATAATCTTAAAGTCCTCCATCTTTAATATGCATGTTTTTGCTTTATTTTTCAATAGGCACATCCAGAAGAACACAACAATTTGGTACTTTCCCAGGCAACTATGTGAAACTTATATCTCTTTAAAAGCCATTCTTTTTCTGTTCCTTTTATCAAGAGAGACTGAGAGAGAGATTAGGATGGAGACTGATGTAAAAAGGTGGATTTGATTTTTTTAAAAAAAAGAATTTCATGAACGACGAAAGAGAGAGAAAAGAAGTGGATATGGGATGTGGCAAGATTGGCACAAAGCTCACTTCTCCCTTTGAAGTTGGCTGGTGCAGAGAAAACAGAAGTCAAGCCTTCTCCAGTGCTGTGTGGGTATGTTTTTATTTTCCAGCGGATGATGTGATGAGGCTTCGCTTTCATTCAGTACCTATATATTACTCTTCACAGTGACATTGAGTGAAAGAAACAGAATGTGGTGAAACAATGTTTGTGTTTGTGGCCAGGACAAAATGAGAACAGCTGGTGGATTTATTTTTATTTTGAGTGTTACAAACTTTTTAAACTGCATCTCGGCTGGTAGACATTGAGGCTACGCTCTTATCCTATCAAAATTTCAGGGAGATCTTGTTCCCTTCCTTTGGAATCTGTGCCTTTTAAAATGGAGGCAAGTGTCTGGGAACCTGGTTGGAAGGGAAGAGCACATTCTCAAGTGTGAAGAGCACATTCTCAAGCACGAAGAGCACATTTTCATCCTTGTCACTACATGTCAACAAGCTCTCCTTATTCCCATGGCATCTCAGTCTCACTCCCAATGAACTCTTCACTCTTCCCACCCAGAGGATCCCAGTCCTCAGGGAAATGTGTCCAGGCTTAATGCAACATTTGAAGCAAGTGAGCAGGCTTCCAGGTGTCATGCTTCCATTTCCTGGCAACTTCCTCTCCCACATTACAGTTCTCTTTTCTCCAGGGTCAGCACTTTACCCTTCTTCACTATAGGCCTAGAGCAAAGAATATGGGGCCATGCAGATGTAGCCTAGCCTGCATGCACACTCAGTGTGGTAGAAGTGGTCAAGTATTGCTCTCCAGATTTGCCTAAAGCAAAATATGCAATTCAGATATATTACCAACATTCTGCTTTTTGCAATATTCCTATCAGAGCTTGGGGAATCTAACATTTTTATTAGTCATACAGCTGTCAATTCTATTAGCCCTTTGCTAATCAGCTACAGCTTTGCTTTGACAAAAATATACTAAAAGTAATAGTGATGTTTTAATACTGGATTGTGGAAAGGCACAGAGGGGAAGGGATAACCAGACTCCGAAAAGACGTCAGGGCCACCGAGTGGAACACTGAATGTAAAGAAATGATCCTTAAGCTTTTGAACCGCAAAATTATGTGTATAGGGATTTTAATCCAGATTACCTGTGGAAAGTTTAAACGTCCAACATTGCATGTTTCAGGCCAAATCAAATCAGAACGGCACCCATACAAGCTCCCCAAAGCAAATATGTTTCCAACTTGTGCAAGTGTTACCTTTGCTTGAGCAAGAGAATTACTGCCACATATTTTTTCTTATCCTTTGAACTAGTTGCAGGGGTTTGTTGTTTATTTTAAGAATGAGGGGGTGTGGATTGCATTGATACTTTGCATAAGCCTTGTAGAATCTGGTTTCCTACTTTGACTCTCAATTAGCAGGAGAAGCCAAATTGGCTCATTGCCCTTATTTGGGGAAAACATTCAACCTCCCCACTGCCCTCAAAACAATCTTCCTATTGCAGTTGCTTTCCTCTTTCTGCAGTTTTCACACTTTTGACTGAGCATCACTTTATGCAACCGCACATACAAGGTACTAGATTCCATCACAGGAACATTCCCACTTCGGTGTAAATGCTGACAACATGTTTCTGAATGTGCCTTTTAAAAGAATGGGTTTCAAAGGGAACGATTGCCTGCCTCTTTAAAACAAACCAGAAGCAACGGTCGATGTAATTTGGTATCCAAGCTACTTGCATTTTGAACTCCTTGAATGAATACTGAAGCACCCCTTGTATACAGTTCCTTAGAAGTAAACCACCTGATCCTCAATGTTACTTTCACAAATTGGAATTTGGTGTGAAATAAAACTGCTTTCTTCATAGTTGTTTTAAACAGAAAAGGGACTCCACAGTAAGATTTTTAAAATATAAATGCCTTTTTTCCTGCTGCTGTTTTTATAGTTTCACTGACAGCCATGGCAACTAAATCACTGTCTAGATGCTAGCCATTCCCTTTTGTGTGTTTATTAGCAAGGATCCAAAATACCAGGTTTTGCTATTGCTGACTCCCCTCCCCACCCCAAAACAGCCAAAAATGAAGTGCTTTAATATTATGACTGTAAATATGTACATTTGGTTTTGTATAGATTTAAAAATCTTATATTAAAAAAAAAGATTGAAAGATTTTTTAAGAGGAGAAAAGGAGGAGTTTCCCATTTTTACTTAATATCAAATAATTATTCAACTTTAAGTCACTTTAATTAACAAAGCTTATCAAAACATAAATTAATAAACTAAATTAATAAGTTAATACACAAAGCTAGACAATACTGTTTTCACGATGGTGGAGAATTCACATTTTCATAACCAAGGATGGTTAGTGCTTAAATGTCACTGGAAATATTTATAGCTCCCGACAGGTCTTGTGGTTTAGGCATGGGATAAGAGTCCCATTCAGTGACATCTTTGTGTGTGTTTAATGGACTTTTAAAATGCTTTTGATTTGCACTCTTATTACCTGCAGCAACGTTAACTGAATTTAGGTCTGGCATTACAATTAGAAGATTGGACTAATCTATTCCGCAAAAAATGCGCTTCACAGTATTAGCTATCCATATGGATTTTTCAGTTAATGCACATTTGCATTCATGCTCACACACTTCAAAACCAGAACCAATTCGTGTTTTGTTTTCTCATTGCAGTGGATTATTATTGGCAATTAATAAAAATACTGAATTGAAAGCATGTTCTATTGTGTAAATGATTTAATAAATATTAGCCCAAGCTCATACGGTGGTTGCTGTGGAGTTCTTCCATCTCTATGCATATGACAGTCTTGGCTCTGTTATCCTTTTTTGTAGGAGGTTTCTATGTTTCCTTTCCAGTTGCTCAGCCATAAGACTCGAAGAAGGAGTTCTGGATTTAACTGGATAACCTTTAAAATCCTGTGTGTTAGGAAACATCGAATGTTTACCTTTTTATATGTATGTAAACTGCCCTGAGTCCCCTTGGGGAGAGAGTGTGGTCTAGAAATAATAATAATTATTATTATTATTATATCCCAATACTTTTTAGCTTATTCACATGACCACCACATATTGGCTGGATCTACACTGCCATATAATCCAGTTTCTGAATCCAGATTATCCTCTACACTGCATATGATCCAGTTCAAAGCAGATAAACTGGATTCAGAAACTGGATTATATGGCAGTATAGATGGAGCCTCAATGTCCACTCACATCATTCACATTTCCAACATACCTTGGAAACATCTTTTTGCATTCCAGCCAGTTTCCCTCTACTGCAGTGGCTCCCAAGCTTTTTTTTACCAGGGACCACAAGGTACAAGAATAATAAACTCTTAAACTAAAAAAAACTTTAATCAAAACTTTTAACATATCATTAAATTTAATAGTGACATGAATTAAGAGAACTATGAAATATAAATTGAACATTTTAATAGAAAATTAATTTCATTTTGCATCAATGTGATTTTTGAGCTTGCATCTTCTTTACAAGTTGGGTAATCTCGGGGCTAATATTATTGCTCAAAGCTACACGCATAAACTGCCCTGAGTCCCCTTGGGGACTTACTTTCAATCAATTCCTAGACTTGTTTTTTAATTATCAGCAAAGCAAAAAACCTTGCTCACATAAATAAGTTGTGGAAAAGAGCAAGGCGATTCTTTGGATTTTGGTATAATAATTGCTTTTTTACACCAAAACTCCTCAAGAGAATCAGATTCAAACCCATCCTTGCAGTTTCTATCATTTTGATAGTGAGCTCTTCCTCGATTTCTTCTGCACTCTCTCCAATTTCAATCATCATTAAGTAAGTCCAAATTAATATGAATATTACTGGAGCCATTGAATCACTAAACAACAAAACAGAATAATTAACAAAGCCGAGCAAGACAAAAGAATGCATGCGACTGACTGACGCTGGGTGATCATGTATCAGTGATTCATCATTTTATTAAAAAATCTTGTTTAGAGCGTAACATAAATTTTAACCCTTTCAGCCTCATCTTTCCCCACTGTTCAGAAATTGAGACCATTTCAGCATAGGTTTTACCATGTTATTTTCCCTTATGAAATCTTAACAAAGATTTGTTCATTTTTACATGTTCATCATCCAAAAATAAGTTCAGATTTATTTTGTTCAAAGCCATTACTCTGCTAGTATTTATAAAAGGGCATACCACCAAAAGCTGTATATTCTCTGAAAGTGATTTCTTTAATTCACAAGAGGGAGAAAGTGACCCCACTTTGCAGTCTTGCACTATGGTTCTCGGATGCAACCAGAAGAGGTGGCCTTGGAGGAGAAGGAAGGAAAGGGGGGGGGGGGGGGAGAAGCTGAGACCACCATTCAAGGAGGGTCCCTGACATCCAAATTTGTTATTTGACCCTAGGTTCAAAGCCTGGTACCACTTTCAGCACACCAGGGCAAGCCTCTGGCTTCCTGGCAGCAAAACGGTTACAATGGGCAGCTTGGGAGAGAAATATCAGGAACATGTAATGACTTGCATGAACTGAGGTGTGCACAAAAGTCACTGTCAATCATGGCTTCCCAGTGCAGACAGTTATGCTTCAAGTTATGACCTATCCATGAGAAAGAGGGGGAATGATCCACTTAATAAGTTTTCTCAATTTAATGAACTTGTTGTAATTTGGCAGTTTGATTGCATTTCCCATCCCACAAATATCAACATTCTGAAAGACCCCCAACTCTTGAGATTAGTTAAAAATTTGAAATTAGCTTTGAGTTCCATGTACGTACTGTACTCATACTGTGTTCTTTTTATGGCAACAAGTTCATTTCCAGAATAAGAGACTACTCAAATGTCACAAATAGTGGAATCTTTAAAGAAATTGTGAAAGATTCATAAATATGAAATCAACATCGTATTTTTCAGTGTGCTCAAGACTTAGCCCTCATGTGCACCAATATTACAGCTCAATGGCCCCAAATGAGAAATATAATCTGCCTTTACTACTCATTGCCAGCAACACAGGATTTGCCACATATAGGTGAAGATGTCTTCCAGCAGATGTTACTGAAATGTGGAAAACATTATATGCATACAAACTGGTCTAAGTCTGACACATAATAGAAGACTTGGATTCCTGTTTCTTTAAAATAGGTCCTCCAATTTGGAATCAACATATTCTCCCCTCAAAGATGTTTTCACCGTATGTGTAAATAGATGTGGACTGGAGCAGCACTTGGGATGTAATTCCTGGTGAGAATTTCTGCTCAAGAAAGAAACTGGTGATAAGAGCTGAAGTTTGTCCTGAAACTTTAGCAGTACTTCTGCTTTGCAGTATAAAATAAAAACAGTTTTGTTGGTCACCTTCTTCTGGGACAAGTGATGGCAGTTAAGTTAAAAGGAGCAAGACAGCATAGTAAGTCTTGTCTTGTTGACTTCCAATCAATGGTCTATGTCTTCCTCACTGCTAGATGCACAGTTCAAAGGCCTCTCAAAAGACATCAGGCTACTTTGTTACAGATAACAGGAGGTTTACCTGAAAGACACAGTATTTGTGTTAGAATCTCCAAAGACATCCATCCCATGAGTAAAATCACAGTGTTGGAAGACTCCAACTGTATCTGCAAACTCTGTGCTCCCTGTCTTCTTGTTGTCCCTGATCTCAAGTCATATTACTTGGGCTGGTGTCACTCGAGAACTCAGGAGTGACTGCCTGCGACAAAGTAACTAGCTCATTTATTTCCCATGTAAAAAAAAACTATGAGGATGAGAAATGTGCACCGCGGGCACATCTCAAAATCCACACTGTATTGTGACCATGAATGCTACTGGGCACTCAGAACTTCCACTGACTTCACTAAGACTCAGTTACCTTTTCATGTGAAGTAAGTTCAATAATCACACTTCCTTTCAACTGACTGAGGTCTAAACATAATGGATAATGAAGTGCAAAATGGGTTTACAAGGAAGATTAAAATAAAAACGAACATCTTTAAAAGATTAAGAGCTATATTTATGTACCTGTTCCATCGAAGGGCAAGCAATGATCTGGAGATCTTCCTGACTATATTCTTCATTCAAAAGAGCATGCAGTTTCTGAAAGACTTGCTGAATATTGTTCTTGTAAAGGAAAGAAAACTTTATTTAAATTCTCTTCAGAAATCAGCATTCAATCATAAATACATAAATTACTAACATGACTCTGAAATAAGTTGTATTTTATTGCCATTGAAATCAATGAGCTTCAACAGAATTGAAATGTGATTACCATATATACATTAACCTCACGTATAATTTGAGGGTAGGGTTGGGAGCCAAAATTACAGATTTCTATATGACGCATGGATAAGTCTGGAACCTAAAGCAGACCACCACAACTTGGCAGGGGTAAAATTATATTAGATCAAACTATTTGAAGCCATATATAGGTTTTCAGGGCCTCACTTTCCAAGCATAGATATGGATAAACTATTTTTGGGGGGGAAATAACAACACACATTGTAAAAAGGGGATGTTTCAAATAATATCAATTAATTACACTTTTATGTAACTTTTTACTTATTATTAGGCGTCCCCTGCCACGCATTGTGGCTCAGTCTGTGTATGTGTGCTTTGTGTATGTATATATATTTGTGTTGTTTATTTGTTCAGTCGCTTCCGACTAATTATCAACATGTAAACAGTAAGATAACCTAAAAACGTATTCAAGTTTACCAAGTAAGTGGTACAAGTTTTAAATAATGCATTTCTATCGGTATATAAAATAGGTATACAAATAAAAATCTGCTGACATTGAATAGTAAATAAATGTATTTTAAAACAATTATTTGGTATACATATAATTTTACCATTTATTAAAGGTGAAATCCAATAAGCATACTAATACAATGGATATACTTGTTGATTTTTACATAAAGAATTAAATCTTGGTGGAATATTTGATACTGCAGGACGTAATGCACCTTCAACACTTTTCATGCCTCAAGTGGCAGAATATAATTTGTTGGGTCTCCTTTTTTTCTCCTGAAATGGGGGAGGGGACCACAATGGGGTGTTTTGGGGGTCTGTACCTCCAACATAAAAGGGTCTGGATCGTAGCATGATTCATGTGCCTGAAATGGACTCATGCCCACCTCCTACTTGTTCCCATCATGGTCTCATAGAATCATAGAGTGGCAGGAAGACACAATCCAAGCCCTCCCAACAGAAGACCATGAAGACTAAAGACCTTTGCCATTTCAAAAGCCCCTGAAGCCCTAGGCTGCTCTTTAAACAGACACACAGAGACATCCTGCCATTAAACCCCAAGAAGTCCAAGCTGGCTCTACACCTAGGCCTCCCCTACCTCAATTCACATTTCTCCAAAGTGCATGGTAGCATCTGCAGTCAGCAACTCCAGGTGGGGGCAGAGTTAAGGACTGGGCAAGGGAGTGAGTGACATCTTCAGCTGCAAAGAGGAGCTCTGTCTCTAATGACACTAGCCAAGCAAACTCAAGGCCAACCAAACTCCCGAAATTGACCTTTGGAGTCTCTAGGGGCCAAAATAAATCCCTTCAGTAACCAGATCTGAACTATAAACTATATGTTGTGCAGGCCTGACTTAAAGGAAGCACCAATTCCTACTACTCTCCCCACCACACTGGTGGAATTCTTGGGTGAAAAAAAATGGTGGTGCCCTGTGGTGCTGATAGACAGAGAAGAAGGAATAGATGCCTCTTTCAGGCTTTCTCAACATAAGAGTAAGCTCTGAGAACTAAGTATGGGCTGGGATATCCTGAGGGAAGCAATGCCACACCTTTCTCTCTCTCTCCGACAGTTCAATTGGGGCTTCCCAGCCAAGGCAGAGAGAACAGAAGGCAGTCACTGCCACCACTGTTCCTTCATGTGTTGGGTGAGCTTGTTCCCAGAGTGTGGAGGGTTATGTATTCCCCCTCCCCAAAATTAGGTCAAAAAGAAGTGGCACAATTTGAATTTGTTACTGAAACAGCAGACCTAACTCCTTTCCTGGAAAATGAGCAATCTGTCTGGTGCTCCTGCCAGGCGTCCATTCCCACCCCCTTTGGAAAGTGAAGAGAGAGACTGGGGCTCCCTTTGTTTGCACGCTCCTGCTCTTATCCTCCAGTCCAGGTCATGCCCTTGCCTTCACTCCCAGGGCTGCCTAATAAGGTGCTCTTAGGAATGCCATCTCTCCAGGCGCCAACTATCTCTCAGTGCCTCCGAGATAGCTGTATGCCAGGAAGGGAGGAATGTACAATTTTCCGTGGTTAGACTTTGGTATATGGTGACGTGAACTAACTGCTGCCCTGCCCCTAGAAGCCACTAACAACAACAACAACAACACGAGCAACAAACCCACGAATGCAGAGGGCTGATTCAAAATCACTTCAGAAAAAGTTTACAGACCACATATGATGAAATAAACACAGTGTTCAAGAATAACCACCAACTTTCCTGAACACAGAAGCAAAGGAGTAACCAGTCCCATTTGCCTTCATTTTTATATCTGAAGCCAGTAGGCTGGAAAACAGGGAACCCACTTGCATAGAAAACCTTCATGGGGAAAAAATCTTCTCCTCTTCAGACATGTTTCCTTAGGAGGAAAACAAAAATAAAAAATGCCAGGTCTAGATGTTCCTCTGCTCTTGTGTTTAGGAAAGTGTGGCGATGCCTGAATGGGGTTTAGTCCTAGACAGATAAACTGCCTTTTGAATTGAAAAAGTGCATGTAGAACACATGAATAAACTATTGTATCGAATGCTACCAAAATACTTACTTTTACTGGCTTGAACAAAATGAATTCCGTGTCTTTATTGGATAAATACAGGGACATACTCTGTAAAGTTGATGGGAGTTTTGTTTTTATTGTCTTGTATGTTGAAGATACCAAGTCGCTGATCTTTGCTGGAAATAAATTTCAAACAAATAATGCCTTTTCTCTTAACATATCCTTCTTTTCTAAATATCCAAAACATTTCAACCTGATTTGACAATGCAATTTATCCGTAATTACAAACTATTTGACAACATACCGTTTAAGCCTGCTTAGCTTCACAAAGTGCCTGCATCAAGTAATTTTGGACAATAACTTAAGATGAAAAAAAAAGTTTGTCTGCTTCTTGACAAAAATGCATTCTGTAAGGTAGGTAGGTGCTATGTAAAGATAACAGATAGTACCTGTTAGTAGCAACACAGATTGCAACACAATGGTGAGAAAAGTCCTCTAAGGTTGGCAATTAATAATAATAATAATAATTATTATTATTATTATTATTATTATTATTATTTATCTATTTGACCAGTCATATGACCATTTCAAAATAGAACACAAGTTAAAAAACAAGGCAAAGGGGGTTGGCAATTTTTATATATATACATACATACACACCCACACACACCCACCATATATTCTGGCATATAAGACTACTTTTTAACCCCATAATAACATGATTACAGTATATTCTGGCGTATAAGACTACTTTTTAACCTAAGAAAATCTTCTCAAAAGTCAGGGGTCGTCTTATACGTGGGAGTTGTCTTATACACTGGAGTTGCCTTATGCATGGGAGTCGTCTTATATGCGGGAGTAGCCTTGTATGCCAGGTCGTCATAGAGCGGGTGCTGAAACTTCCAATCCGGATTGGAGAATCTGTGGTTGCTGCATATTGTAGGGGGAGCTCAAAAATGGCAATGGCTGCGTCCCTGCCGTATGCAGCGACTGTATGAAAGAATTAAGGGCGACGCTGTACAAGTACGGTAGAATTAAATCCATTCATCAGGATTCGTGGACTTAATGCGGTCCCGATGGTGAGGTGAAGGGGCGCCTCACCGGAAAGGTGTAAGTGAAGGGCGGAGCAAGATGCAGGCGTCTCGTGTGCCCAGGATATGGAAAAAAGAGAGTGGCTTAGATTTAAAGCAACGGAGTCCTTCAATTCAGCAAGAAGGGGAGCTAAAGGAAAGACTTTCAAGCATTTGACAGACTTTGAGACACAGTGAAAGGCTATGTGTCCCCAGCTATGAGAAATGCTGTCTAACTATTACTGGGCATGTGGACCTTGACTGAGCTGAAGCTTGTTAAAAGCAAACGAGCATCTCCCTGGCTGGTACTGAAAGCAACTTTAGTTCATCTCATGACTAGCAGATCCTGCTATTGAACATTTTGGATTTATGGCCCTTGAACTGTTCCCTCCCTTTCTTCTCTCCCTGGATATCGTACCAGTTTTTGGCTTCTTGACCTTGGACTGTTTAATTATTGCAGATTTTGCAACTTGGCTTCTAAACTACTGAAAGAGTGGGACAGGGTGGTGCTGCATAATTTTACTACTGATTTGCCCAGGCTTGATTTCAGCCCCTGCTACCATCTCACAGAGTGTCCCCATCGGTATGCAATCTTTGATAGAACAAAGGCTGACCAGCCCTGGCCTCAAAAGTTTAAAAAGACAAAGCCCACAATCTAGGATCTAGTAAAATGTCACAGACTTAAACATTTAAATCTGGCTATTCAAAATACCTGGTTGTGCCCAAGGCTGCAGGGAGAGGTTGTATTTTGGACCCTTTTGAGTAGCCACTGTCTTCAAAGCAGATACCTGAAATAATGAGGTTAAAAACACAGAACATACAAAATAAATGCTACTTACAAGTTATATAGTGCTTTTAAAGTATTTATAGAGTCTCAGAAACATATTTTTAAAACTTCAGTATTTTAAGAGATAGGATTAGTCTAGTGATAATTCTTTTTGAGAAAGGTATACACTGCTGATCTTTGCAAACCCAGCATTCCTCTGAAATGCTTAAGGAATAACTGTTTAATGTTTAATTACACTATGGAACATGATTTTTGTTTCTGGATTAGAAATGTCATTTTCTAATTGGTTCTATCATAAAAACATGGAAAAAGGTTTATTACACTGCAAAAACTTTGTTTTTGCGGGACCTTTTGCAGCACATTTTATTATAATTTTTCAATGAATATCTCACAGTTTTCCAGGCTAATTTAGTGTGGAAAACAGTGGGACTACTAGGTTCTTGTGGGTTTTTTCGGGCTATAGGGCCATGTTCTAGAGGCATTTCTCCTGACGTTTCGCCTGCATCTATGGCAAGCATCCTCAGAGGCAGTGAGGTCTGTTGGAATTAGGACAATGGGTTTATATATCTGTGGAATGGCTGGGGTGGGGCAAAGAGCTCTTCTCTGCTGGAGCTAGGTGTGAATGTTTCAACTGACCACCTTCATTAGCATTTGAAGGCCTGGCTGAGCCTGGGAAAATCTTTTGTTGAGAGGTGTTAAGATGTTCCTGGTTGTTTCCTCTCTGCTGTTTTGCTGTTGTAATTTTAGAGTTTTTAATACTGGTAGCCAGATTTTGTTCATTTTCATGGTCTCTTCCTTTCTGTTGAAATTGTCCACATGCTTGTGGATTTCAATGGCTTCTCTGTGTAGTCTGACATGGTGGTTGTTGGTGTGGTCCAGCATTTCTGTGTTCTCAAATAATTGTTTCCTGTTTGGGGAATGAAATAAATGGGTCCAGGCTTGGTCCATTCAAGGTTACATTTCAACAGAAAGGAAGAGACCATGAAGATGAACAAAATCTGGCTACCAGTATTGGTGCAGTGGTTCTCACAGACCAAGCTCTTTTCTTTCAGCCCTCTACTCAGAGAAGGGAACAGTTCTTTGATGACCATCGATAAGTCAACACAGTTTTTTTGGATCCATAGGAGCCCCCGATGGCGCAGTGGGTTAAAGCACTGTGCCGGCAGGACTGAAGACCGACAGGTCGCAGGTTCGAATCCGGGGAGAGGCGGATGAGCTCCCTCTATCAGCTCCAGCTCCTCATGCGGGACATGAGAGAAGCCTCCCACAAGGATGATAAAAACATCAAATCATCCAGGCGTCCCCTGGGCAACGTCCTTGCAGACGGCCAATTCTCTCACACCAGAAGTGACTTGCAGTTTCTCAAGTTGCTCCTGACAGGACCACAAAAAAAGTAGGTTGCCTTGGCTAAAGCAGAGAGACCAAAGGCTCAGCTGTAAGTTTCCATGTCCTGAACAATTATTTCTCAAAATTTCCTGGACATCTACAATGAATATATTTAGAGAAATTGTGTTTATCTTTGTATTAAAAAAACAACAACATAAAACTTGGCAGTTTGAGACAGACCACTGGTAATCTATAAAATCTTGGTACCTTTGCAAGGAATTCCTCCAGAGGTTCTACAAGTTGCTTAGTTTGCTGCTGAATGAATTGCTCACAGGCGAACTTGAGGTGTCGATCCACATCCTTCTTAGAATCAATGTAATGTTCTCTGATTTCTGGAGTACCCTGGAATGCAGAGACAATAATTATCTCTTCGTATTTATAGAAATAGCAATGTTTCAAAAATAGAACATTCCGGTCAATTAAACTCATAGCCTTTACCTCCAGTAAAAACTGTATCAGTGCATTATTGCTACTCAGTCTAAAAAAATGTGGAACTGTCATTGGATTCAGGATTTTAAATGCGGCATCTGTGAAAACAGAACCATTTGAATTAATATTCCTCCATGAATATTCACATATATAATTACTTACTTTTTACACTCTTCTTCACTCCTAAAGCAGATAAACTAAAATGGAATTTCTATGGATTCTCAAGAAACAGTCAAATGCAAATATTTTCTTCCATGTGCCTAGAAGGTGATATGATCTGTTAGTGTACAGTTTATAATTTCCTTGTGTCCTTAATTATACTATCCAAATAATTAATACTTATCTCACTAAAATCCTCTGCTAATTATTGAATAATACCTAGGATGGCCAATTCTGGGGAGGTGGGAGTTATACCCCCTTCATCGCATTCACCTGGCAAGACCACAAATGCTGTTTCAGAAGTGAGTTTACTTCCAGTTGCCATTTTGACTTTTTTCATCTTTTTCTGTTTTTTCTTGGGGAGGAGAGGTGTCAAACCACCACGTTTGCAAGTAGATTTGGGAACCTTTGATTAATTTCCAAATAAAAAATTGCTCCAGTGAATGTCGGTGGGTGGGGTGGGGGAATCAATTACAGGAAAGTCTAGAACAGGTGAGTCCTCCAATGATGGTCCACAGGCCATCTTGACAAGAATACTCTGTGATAGGGTTGCCTTAGGGTTGCGCTAAGTCAGAAAGGACTTGAAAGCATACACAACAACAACACCAACAACTGCCACCACCACCCCCAACAGTCTGAGGGACCATGAACTGGCCTTCTCTTTAAAATATTTGAGGACCACTGGTCTAGCTGCTTTGGGGGTTCAGGAACCACATTTTGCCCACTTCCCATATAAAAGAGATGATCACAGGGATATCAGATCTTAACATCGGATAATATTGAGTAATACCTAGGCATGTTAGTAAGAAGACAGACTATATAATAATAATAATAATAATAATAATAAGAAGAAGAAGAAGAAGAAGAAGAAGAAGAAGAAGAAGAACAACAACAACAACAACAACAACAACTTCAACTTTATTTTTATACACCGCCTCCATCTTCCTGAAGGGACTCAGGGCGGTTTACAGAGGGACAAGCCCAAGGAATACGAATAAAACAGACACAGTAAAAACAATCAATATAAACAAATAATAAAAACATTAAAATCAATTAACATAATAAAAATACCCTGGCTGGCCAATTTGAAACTGGGTTTGGGCTCAGAGTAAGTGCAATGAATCCTTGGGAGAGCCGAGGGAAAGTGAAATAGTCAGAGGGCTAAGTTGCCAGGGTTGGCCATTAAGTGTCATAAGTACAGGAAGGGGCCAACTAAAGTGCTGGAGCTTAGATAAGGTTGGGATAATTCTCAAGGGAACCGCTTAGTCAAATTCCTTGCGGAAAATGGAGAGAGTAGGGGCCTGTCTGATCCCCCTAGGAAGAGTTCCAGAGCCGAGGGGCCACCACAGAGAAGGCCCTCTCCCTCATCTAGACCTTAAATAACCAGGTCCTGTATTGTATAGAGCTTTAAAGATTAAAAGTGATGCCACAAATTGGAGGTGGAAAGTAACTGGCCCCTTAGATACCACATACCAGACGACTGTGACTAAAAGTCCTAGATCTTTGTAAAGGTTATCCCCCTCCCCTGTGAAATTTGGCCTCCAACTGCATAGCTGGACTAATTCATCACTCAGAACACTTCCGTACCTCTGGTCTTCTTAAGATCCAAAGAAATCTCCTTAATGGTGAATTCAGTGTGGAATGGAGCAATTTGTTCACGAAGAATCAAAAGGTGTTTTATTAAGAAAAGCTGTCCATCTATCTGGGTCTGAATGATAAAAAATAATGAATGTCATAAGAAAGGCAAACCACTAGTTTGGCCACTTATAAAATACTTTAATCTGTTTTGCAGCCGATTCTAAACAGACCTTCAATTTTCGATTAAGCTATCTGTGCATTTCTTGCACACATAGAAGTAACGTGAAAACAACTGATGATAGACAGAGACTTTTGCAAAATGAATACTTATCCTATATTCTCTAGCTGCATTAAGGCCGTTTGGAGTCCTTTACCACTGAATTACTCTATTTAAAGTGTTTTCAGTTGATTTAGACTACTGAAGATAACAATGCTCTCAAAATAGGATTTTGTTTAGTTCTCTGATTTGGTTTCTTTTAAAAAATATTTTTATTCAATAAAAACACAGATCAAAACACATAGGCAGAAATTTTAGATATATACAAAGGCTACACAGTTACATACTACATGCTTAAAACCAAACAATTAAAACATGAATTGTTAAAAACAACTATTAAAATCACACCAACAAAAACATAATGCAGGGCCATTCCATTTGTCAATCACATTGTTTCATAGTCACTTATTGCACTACTCCAATCACTTGTCAAAAGCTTGGTCCCAAAGCTAGCTAACTATTAAACTAGTTAGCAAAGCATTTTGCAACCATTATATAAAATATTATTGCATACTTTCCATGAAAATAACATTATCTAACCTTATTTTTAGTGATGGACTCTGCAGCTGCTAACAATGACTGTATACAGGCAGATAAGGCTTCCTGTGACAATCCTTGAAAGACTGCTTTCTGAGGAGAGAGAAAAAAGCAAGACACAGTTTCATAAAGCTAAAGCCCCTTTTCTTACTGTTTCCTCACTTAACATGATAAGTAGAAGTAAAATACGACCCATAGGCCAATCACAATATTTCGTGCCAATATTCCTTTTGAGTTCCTGAGTCCTTTCCCAATTTTTACACCATCTTCCCCATTGCTCCTCAGCCCCACATCCCAGAATAAGAAACCACTTGCCAGACCTTCCCAGAAGTTCTAAACCAGGCATAGACAAACTTTGGCCCTCCAGGTGTTTTGGACTTCAACTCCCACAATTCCTAACAGCCTCAGACTTAAGTGGCTGAGGGGGAAAAGGAAGGGGCCTGAGGCTGTTAGGAATTGTGGAAGCTGAAGTCCAAAACACTTGAAGGGCCGAAGTTTGCCCATGTCTGCTCTAAAATTACACACATCTGCACTAAAGCAATTACACCGCATGCATCTTCATTTTGCTGTTCTTGCTGTACAACCCTGAGTAACCTCAAGATACACAAAAATGTTCCTGGGCTTTGCTTGGATATACAATAATAGGGAAAGCCATTGAAATTAAGGACTTCTGGCCACAAAATACCATATAATTGTGCAAGAAGATCTAGAATATGCCTAGAGATGATGATGATGATGATGATGACAGTAATAATAATATGCTGCAAAAGGCCACCCTACTGGGATCTGCACACATTATAAGCTGATACATCACAGAGTCCTAGACACTTGGGAAGTGTCTGACGTGTGATCCAATACAACAGCCAGCATAGTGACCTTGTTTGCTGTGTACTAATCTTGTTATATTTCAAATAATAATAATGCTTTATTTATATTCCACCCTATCTCCTCAGGGGGACTTAGGGCACATTCCAATATACAACAGCAAACATTCAGTGCCTCCATAGAACAAACTTGTACCAACATATTAAAAAGACCTACATATAAAAACAACATTACAACCTAACATCAATACATTAAACCAAACATAATCAAACAAAATTGCATAATGACATAAAATCTGAACATAAACCATCCACATTGATTGATATATTTTGTCAGAGGCAGATAAATGAAACTTCAGATACCACAGATATCTTGGGAAGGGGATCTTATAGTATATTTCACAATTTGAAAAAGGAAAAAGAAAAATACAGTTGGATCTAGGAGAAGTAAGCTTAACTTCCACTGAGACTCAACCAATTAATCATTATTTAATTTTGTTGCATTTATTTCAAAATGGAACTGAGTTAAACTGTGTTCAACTCATTTTATACCATCATTATATGGTTTATTTAAAGCAATAATACATCCGGCTTATTCTCAAGTCACAGAAGATACTGTGTAGTATTTCAACTCCTTTTTGTAATCCTAAGTTTATGTGATCCAGGGGGGAGTTAGGAATGTAATGTCTATTCTCTGTACTCACTTCCAAAATAAATTACAAGAACAGAGTAAAAATGTGTACTAAATAAATACACTTTCCTTTTTTAATGTAGCAGCTTTGACCCTCCAGATGCCTTGGATTGCAAGCCACCAAACTAACTGTTAAAAGCAGACATCGCAATACAGACATGACAATATGTGTGCAATACATACATCAATACATCTGTAAAGCTTGGAGAGACACACAAGTGTCCTTCTGACGGTAGGATACCACATTCCATGGAGATCAGCAGGTGAAATTGTAGTCTGATGTCTGGGGTTACTGGATTCCCATGTGTCTAAGAAACAGAATGGATATATCACAGTTCACCTCTTCTCCACATATAAGAGCGACCATAGTATTACACTACAATTATCTTCATGATAACCAATTATATATGCATTCCAACACTATTCTTACACCTAATATAATCATTCTGAAAGCCAACATGGTTTGTATGTTGACATACTTACATTTAAATGGTTGTTACTCTCCTGAGCAATATTAGGTATCTAAAAATATCAATAAGTCGATCCTTACTGAAAATATTTAATATTTGCAACATAATATATATTAAATACTTTGCTTTTTTCTTGAGTGCTCTTCGAATGCTTAAAGCCATAGATAAATATTCTATCATTTGAAAGGTTTTAGATGCATAAATTACACTGTACAAATGAAAACATACACATATAAACATACCAAGTTTAACCACATTGTAGGTTTTTGGATCATCCACCTGCACAGCATCTGCAGGCAACTTCTTCTCTTCATCTTTTAAGCTCTGAGCAATTTGCTGCCAGAAAAAAAAACCCAGTTCATTCAATTATTGCATGAACTATATGTCTTTAAATATCTTTATGTGACAAAGAAGCCAGTAAAAGCTTACATAGTGTCTTCTATGTTTTGGAGTTGGCCCAATAAAGTTATTGCTATTTGTAGATTTTTAAAAAAAATTCTGTTATTATTATTACTATGTTTAATTATACTCAGCTTTTTTTAGTTAGGAGCTCGGTGACAAAACAAATTAAACTCTTAAGTCAATGTATCACTGTATTTGCAAGCCTTCCTAAACAGGGTGGTTTTTCTTTTTATGAAGTACAGATGGAGCATCTTCTGCAGAGTCCACTGTAAATATTGCACAATGTATTTGTGTAAATGTCTAAAACAGCCTCTAGGCAATATTAAGAACATTTTTGGAACCCAACACTGAGCTAAAGGTACTCCATTTGGGGTTGGGACCCACAGTTTAAGAAGCCATGTATAAAAACTGTGCCCTTTCTTTAAAAATTAGCACACCAAGAATGAGGAAGCTAGGATCATACTGAATGTGCCATCTTCAATCTGATCGTGACTTTTGGAAGAAGATAGTCGAAAATCAACCAGTTCCAAAAGCATGTGATCATTAATGGCCATAAGAAAAAGTGGTTTTATTTATCTATTTATTTACCATATAATATTTATACCCCCTCTTTCTCAACCCGAAGGGGACTCAGAGCAGCTTACAAAGTGGCAACAAGTCATATGAACAAACGTGTAAAAACAATAAGCATATAATTTAAACCATAAAAGCTGAAAAAGACATCTATGCATTAAAACCAATTATTAAAACCACACAAATCCAAAAACAAAGTCCAGAAGCTATTCCAATCATGACAGCAATTATTTCATATCCACTTATTTCACTGATAGGCTTGGTCCCACAGCCAAGTTTTTAATTTCTTTCTAAAGGTCAGGAGGGAGGGAGCTGATCTGGTTTTGGTGGGGAGGGAATTCCGTAGCTGAGGGGCCACCACTGTGAAGGCCCTGTCTCTCGCCCCCACCAATCACATCTGCGAAAGAGGTGGGACCGAAAGCAGGGCCTCCCCAGAAGATCTTAACCTCCAAGGTGGTTCATAGAGGGAGATATGTGTGGACACTGGGCCTTCTTAACTGAAAGTAACATATTTCCCTGAGGTTAAAGGGATGCTTACATCTTTAAATCCAAAAAGGAAACCAGCATAGCCACAGCTTAGCTAAGAATAATTCTTTAAATATATATACCCTAAATTGTACTAGTTTTCTCTTTGAAGGGAATTCTTACACAAAGGAGAATTCAAAGATGTTGCGTTATCAGGATATACTGGAAAACTTACAATATTATCTCTGGTTTGATTATGTATCAAGACGTCTCTTGCCACAGATTACCAATCTATAGGTGCTACTGAATACAGTTTAATGTCCAGGTGACAGCTATGTGCTGGAATGCCTTTGTGCTTCCTAAGACTGATCTGCAAGTCATACCTGTTCCTACATCTTGAGATAAAGTTTAATTAGCAATTTGAGAAACTTACTGCAATGCTCCATGCCTCCTGGAAACTTCAACTACTTTAGAATAATGTCAAATAGAAATTGTTATAAGCAATAAACCAATCTTTCATTACAACAGCCACCGAGCTATCTGTTCCAATCTAGCTGAAAATCCTGGTCTTCAGCTGGTTGCATTACATTTCCTTTTGCTTAGATGGAACTGGACTAGTTACACAGGGGCGTCTGCTCATTCAAAATCAAACAAATGGCAAGACTCTTACCTCCATCATTTCCAACTTAGCAGGATACGCAAGATCACCTGGGGCAGGTTTGTAACCAGCAATGTCAGTCTGAATATAGATGTGTGTCCTGTACACTAGGCGCTCTTGGACATCCTCCAGCATCTGCCTAACTCCAGCAGCAAAAGCAGCCAACTGTTCCACTATTAAAAAGATGCCATCTTAAAATTAGGGTTCAATCTGAGGCAATCAATTACATATATACGATTGCGATGATGGGCAGAGCTACCACCAAAAAGAATCCTTTAGAACTCTAGAAGGTTCCAAAAGGCCCTGTGGTATGTATTCACAGAGATCATAAAGAAGAGTAAGATTGTATAGTTAAATGGGCTCAAATTGGACAATGGGACAAAGTGTGGATGAAGAATTTGAAGTTTACCTTGAGTAATTATTTGAAAAAAAATCATTGTTTTGGACACCAGAGAGACTTTACAAGATGCATAAAGGCATATGTAATAAATGCTGAAAATATGTGCACAACATTGTGACATTTTATCGTCTTGTGGAAAGGATTAGAAAAGCTGGACTCAAACACATTAGATGCTAGAAGAAATTGTTCAATTCATAATGAGACCAGAGTGTTATCTTTTGAGAATGCAGAACCATTTGAAAAGCAAACCTGGAAGATTATTACAATATATATGATAACTGCAACAATAATCATTTACACTCAAAGATGGAAGGAATCAGTTATCCCAATGCAAAAAGAAGGGCTGATGAACTGCTGAGATGGATAAATTGACTATTCTGATAAAGGAGAAATTTTTTACCAACTTTAAGAAAGATTGGGACTTGTTTGTTATCTTTTCCCAACAAAGCGGGGGTTTGTCAACTGCAAGATTTATGAATTAGTAGGGTTCAATCAAAAGTAGAATTGAGATTATATAATGTCATTTATTATATAATCACAAAGAAAAACCATGGGTGTAAAGTTCATAGCTTTCTTTCTGTTTGTTAGTTTTGTTTTGTGTGCGTGTGTATTTTGTCTTTGAGTTTATGCTGTAATTTTTAATAAGTATTCTTGGTAGTTCTGTAGTAATAAGTAGAATACAGAGTTGTTTAAGTATTATACATCCCCCAAATTTACTTCTTTATTTTATAGCTTTTCTTTCTTGAATAAAAAAAGAACTTTGCAATTTCAAAATTAGAATAAATAAAAATAATAATATTCATATTTTTAAAATAATGTTTTAAAAATCCTTCCTATGACAATATTCTGTTACATATGTCTATGTTGAAAAAGGAACTGATATTAAATTCTAAACATAATCAGAATTTAGTCGGAATCGTCAGAAGTAGTAAATATACAGTAAATAAATAAACAAATAACTGAAAACCCATCTCTTCCAGCAGGCTTATCTGGTCAAGTTTAAGTTGTAAATTTTAATCTGCATTTTTATTAGTGGATTTTAACTGGGGTTTTTTTTAACTCTGTGTATCTTGTTGTATGTGTTTTACTAGTGTTTTATGTCTTGTTTTAATGACGTTGTATCCCACCTTGAGTCGCAGGGAAAGGCGAGTAATAAACTTAAGATTATGATTATTATCAATTATATTTCACAAAATATTTTTTTAATCTTGGTCGTTTGTTTGAATTACACTTACCATTGTTTTGCACATGGTCTTCAAGCATTTCATTTTTTAGAATCCCACAGAGCTCAGACAGTGTTTCTAAGTGAATTACATGGATAATCAATGGTCTGAAGACATCATATAATGACAGGCATAATTTCTCCAAAAGTTCGCTGTAAGAAAAGCAAAAGTTCACTGTAAGAAAAGCTTCTTATTATTTGCAAATGAACATGGGTATGTTTTATGGATTTAGTCTGAAGTGTTTTTAATACTAATGATGTATTTGTATATTTGTATATTTTAAATTGTATTCATAATGTTTTAATTGTTAGATATTTTGAGTCTCCTTAATGAGAAAAAGCAGGATATAAATAAACATAATAGCTGCACCGAGTCCCTCAATAAGGGAGAGAGTGCGGGATATAAAACAAAGTAAATAAATAAATAAGAAGTAGTAGTGTCAGGAGTGGTGCCATGACAGCGGGTGAAGTTCAGATCTGTGTTTCCTTTAGATTCTCCTAGGGTACACTAAGCTCTTGCCTTCCTCTACTCAACTCAGAAAAGAAAATAGTTCCTTTTCTGAAAAGAGTTACTACTGAACTTTGGCATTACCAAGAAGGTAACCCGCTAAGCTGCAGAACTTGCTGACTGGAAGTTCAGTGGTTCAACTCCGCAGAACAGGGTGAGCTCCTGTTGTTAGCCCCAGCTTCTGCCAAACTAGCAGTTCGGAAATATACAAATGTGAGTAGATCAATAGGTACCGCTTCGGCGGGAAGGTAGCAGCGCTCCATGCAATCATGCCAGCCTCATGAACTAGGAGGCGTCTATGGACAACACCAGCTCTTTGGCTTAGAAATGGAGGTGAGCACCACCACCCCCGAGTCCGACTCGGTTAGACTTAATGACAAGGGGAAATATTTACCTTTACCTTAGATAGGAAAATGGCAGCAGCCAGAGACAGTACTACTGCTTTTGCCTCAATACATAATGGATCTGAGAAGCCTCAGAGTCCCAAACCTTTATCTTTGACAAATCCACAGGCCCCGAAACCTACCTACGACTTACATACAAGTACACATAGTAATTATGTCCTCCCCCAATCTGATAATCTGTATATGGCCAGTTATAAGCAATAAAAGATGACACGTGCCACCTACTCAAGTTTTGATGTTGGTTTTGTGAAGAACTCATCATAAAGTTGATGCTCATCTTGGCACACATGAACCATAAAGGCACAGCCACTTCGTACCTGAAATTTATAAAGAAATCTATTGTCAGTAAGTAAGTGGTTGTTACTTGAAAAAACTCTAACATTGCTACAAGACTGTGGATACAAATTTAAAGGACATAATTTAACCTAATAATGTGTATTCTAAAAAACATTTGCTCAAATGTAACTGTAGTACAGCCCCCTTATCCATCCACAGATTCACTTACTCACTGTTCAGACCATTGCCTCAAAAAGGCTCTAGAGCCTGCTATTCTATGGTATGCTTCCAGCCCAAGGTAAAGGTAAAGGTTTCCCTTTGACATTAAGTCTAGTCAAGTCTGACTCTGGAGGGTGGTGCTCATCTCCATTTCCAAGCCGAAGAGCTGGTGTTGTCGATAGACGCCTCCAAGGTCATGTGGCTGGCATGACTACGCCTTCCCACCGAAGCAGTACCCACTGATCTACTTACATTTGCATGTTTTTGAACTGCTAGCTTGGCAGAAGCTGGGGCTAACAGTGGGACCTCACCTGTCTCCCCAGATTCAGACCGCTAACCTTTTGGTCAGCAAGTTTCCAGCTCAACAGTTTAACCTGCTGTGTCAACAGGGGGCCCTGGCTATACTTCCAGCTTAAGTACAGCTAAATCTAGAGTTCCCTCTTATCTGTGGTTTCAGGTGAAACCTTGTAACATATCCGCAGTAGATAGGGGGTTTTGTACCATACACAAGTTGGATAAGGAAAATTAAAGATCCTTTTGTAATTTTGATTTATTTTGGAAAGCTTCAAAAAAAGTCTATCTGATGATGATGCAAAAATTCCAAGAAGACTTTTTTGCTCCCAGGAAATTAAGAGAAAAAAAAATGAACAGGACATACTAACAGCTAAAGCAAAACAAAATAACTCCAAATCACTATTAATGATCCGGCTAAGATAGCTCTTCCAAAGGATCAAAAAAAGCATCCACAGTTTGAAATGAAAACCTAAGACAACAATAGCAAAGATCACCTTACCAAAGCACAATGATCTCTGTTGTTGCGATTGGTTAATTCTGTTACAGTACTAGTAATACTAGGACCCAGTAAATGTTCCCTCTGGTCAAGATAACATTGATGGATTTCATTTAACAGTTGCTGGTACCTAGATGAAGAAAAGAATGAGAAGTAATCAGATTCATAATTGAATTGAATCCCTGGGTCTGGTATCCACAAAGACGGATAACTGTTTAAAGGATACTTCATATATCAGTGTGCATTTTGGGGGGAAGCGTTTAAATGACTATCTTGTCATTTTCCTGTAAATTACCTAGATACATGGAGGACCAGAGCTTTTTGTACCTTTATCACAGAAATTGATAATTTTGCAAGCCCAAAAGCAATTTGCAACAGGACCTTCATTATAGCACAGCATTGAAAGATGCTTTTCTAACCGGTCAAGGTACGAAAAGAATGAGAGGTATGGTCATTCTGAGATGACTAGAGGAGCAATCTAAAGAGACATGGGTTATTCCCTTTTGCCAGAAGATGGAAGCAGGAGTCCAAAGTTCATTTCCGTTTCACACACTGACTCCTTTATTCCTTGCCATAGTTGTTACATAGCTTTCACAGTAGCTTCATAAGTCAATCTTGTAAAACAAGCTTACTATGTAATCAAAAAAGTAATAAGAACGTAAATCTTTGGCCTCATCTACAATGCCATATTATGCTTGAAACTGCATTATATGGTCCATGTAGACTCCTTCCTCAATTACCTGACATGAGGGAATAATACACGCGTGTCAATGGAACCTCTAGCCCTCCAGATAGTATCACCTTCTCTAGTTATGTCTCTTCACAAAAGGAAAAAGAAACATTACCACCACAAAAAAGCAAAATGAAAGAAAACATCATCTTAGGTTAGGCCTGGCTGAAGACCAATGGACTAATATTTCTAGTGTTTTCAATACAAAACACAATCCTTCTAATTAACTAGAATTTCTGTATACTCACTCTGGCATTTTCTCAGATCGCTGTTCTATTTGCTCAATAAGTGTCTAAGAGAAAAGAGAAAAGAGTTTTAAAAGTGCTCCCATACTTGCATATTAATGTAAATCAAATCTTACATTCATTGAAGCAGACACTGTATTTTGCTCTTAGCTCTAGTAAAGGTATTATTCCCAGATTATCCCTTTAGCAGCAATCACAGAGGAAACCCATAGATTCAACTCCTTCTGCCAGAAGTGGAAATCCCAAAGGTAAAACACCTTCTATCCAGCTATGGTTGCTATTTGCTTTCCTTGGCTGGGCTCCCCATTGGACTGTGGAGGAATTATGCACCATTTCTGCTTCCCAGCATCTGCCAGCTTGTCCTACATTCTCCATCTATGAAGTTAGGGAACTGGATGATACAATCCAGTCCAGTGGGGGCGGGTCCAGGAACAGCAGGGTCACCCCTCCAGGGGAACCTCTTCAGGGCACCCCCATGCAGGTGGGGACCTCTCTTCAAACTGATTTGCAGACAGATTGCCTCAATTTTGCTACTGCCTGTAGTAAATAATAGACTACTTGTAAGGAATGAAAGTGCATTCCAACAGAGGGAGGGAAGCCATGGTCCTTAGGGAGCAGCCATTCCAGTTATACAAGGTAGAGGCAGAGATTGAAATAAGAGGTGGTTGCACTATCCTGCAGCCACAAGTTAACAGGGTGCTGGTAACTCCAAAACTTTATCTTACCTCAAATAATCTGAATAGCCATGGTAATGTTGCTCTTTAATGCCAAATTGGCAAATAGTAAAACAGCTGCCATTTAGGAACTGATCCTGGATGAGCATGCTGACCTGACATGTATTTATTTCCCTTCCCACATTCTGTGTGAGATAAGGGAAATGAACAACTCTTAGCCAGTCCTTGTGAACATGAATTACAAGAGGCTATGTTTACTTCTCCAATCCCTTTCCTGTGCCAGAATAATAATAATAATATTTATACCCTGCCACCATCTCCTTGGAGAGACTCGGGGCGGCTAACACGAGGCCAAGTCCAAACAAATTACAATCGAGCAAAAGTACATATAAAACAAACAGTAGCATCAATTAAAATACTTAATAACATAGTAAAGAAATGAAAATAACAAAATCATAATAAAAATGGTAAGAGAATTAGACAAAGTGAGCTAAGCCAAATGCAATGGATAAAAATTGGTAAAACCCATGGGTGAGATAGATAAAAAGTACTATGATTTGTGGGAGGCTCGGACGGGATAACAGTAGAGGTAATCTTCAATTGAGGGATAAGATGAAGAGCATCAGAGAGACAAATTGGACCTGGGACAGGACGTGGCATGGAAACTGGTTGTTCAATCTCCAAAAGCATGCTGGAAAAGCAAGGTTTTTAAACTTTTTCTAAAGGCTGCCAGGGTGGGTGCCTGCCTAATCTCCCCGGGGAGAGAATTCCAGAGCTGGGGGGCAACCACAGAGAAGGCCTCTCCTTCGTCCCCACAAGACGCGCCTGCGACAGAGGCAGGAGCGAGAGGAGGGTCTCCCCTGAAGATCAAAGAGATCGCGCAGGTTCGTAGGAGGAAATGCGATCATGAAGGTAGGCAGGTCCCAAACCGTTCTGGGTTTTGTAGAGATTATAACCCGCACCTTGAATTGGGACCAGAAAATGGACGGTAGCCAGTGGAGCTCCTTAAAGAGTGGGGTGACCGTTTCCTGTAATTTGCTCCAGTTAAGAGTCAAAGAGGATTTGGTACTCCTTTCGAGCAAGAAAAAAAATTATGTCTGATGATTACTGAACACTCTTGGGTCAATGGAAATACATGCAACTGCAGCAGAAAGTGTTTTTTTTTTCCAGTCCTGTGAATATAGTCAAGAGCTTCCCTGAAATAAAAAGAAACTGCTCTACCATGCAAAATTTCAAGTAATTCAGCTTACTGGTATCGTGAATGTGTATCTCTCATGATACAAAAGATGCCTTTCTCCATGGAATATGTTTATACAACAGTCTTTTTGTGAAAGGGGATCATCGTGCTTGTCAAGAATCTTGAAAGAGATTTGTTTCTTTTAACTACTTTTCCAGTCATACTTACTCTGACTTTGGGCGCAGCAGCTCTGAACTTTACATAAAATAACGTGAAGGCATTATCTGAATTTGGTGGAACAGAAGGATCCTAGAAGAAAGAAACAAATATAGTATTTCTCTAAAATTGGTCATGATATGGACTAAATATAAAAGTTAAGCTAGTATTTAGCAATACCGGAAATTTAAAAAACATGTTGATTGAGTGCAATATCTGCTAGGATGGTATATATCCACTAAGACACATCACTTGTGGTTATGTATTGATTTTAAATACCATATATTGGTTTATATTTAGCAGCAGCTCAAATTCAATCAGGAAGTATAGTAATAGCTTGATAGTTGTCTGCTTGAGGAGCAAAAACTGTGTTCTTAAAGGGGTTTTTCTATTTTTTATTATTTTACCGTTTTACTTTATTTTATTCTATTTTAAACATGAGATAGAGGTTAGTTGTTAGTCTGTGTTGGTGAGGATTTGGAGAAATTATGGGGTCTTTATTTTTGAGTTTATATTTTGTTTTGTTTTACTCTTAATAGATTGTGAAAAAATCCAATAAATAAAATTATTATTAATAAAAAAGATTCAGGAATCATACTGCACAATCACCAAAAGTTAGAACAACTTGTTAAAAATTAAATGTTGAGGGATGCGGCCTTTCCAAGATATCTAATAGTGGGAAAATGGATAATTCTTTAGGACCCAAGTCCTAAGTAATTTTCCACTCGATCATTCTGTAAATTTTCTGGGTATTGTAATTTCCTTAATTTTTATCTGAGGTTCAGTTTTTGTGAGGCTTATTAAAGGCACCGATCAAAGTCAGTACTTGGTTAATGTTTGGGTGGGAGACCAAGGGTCAAACAAAATGGTCTCGGGAGCCAAATGGAAATAGAGCAATGGATTCAATTAGTAGGAAAAGAGTTTCCACCTAAACATGAGGAAGAACTTCCTGATGCTAAGAGTTGTTTGGCAATGCAATAGGTTTCCTTCTCTGGAGGTTTTTAAGTAGAATATTATTTACTAGCTGACTCAAAATTAGCAAAAAATACACACTAACTGTTTAATATGCATTGAAATATTCTTCAATAATCAAGAAAACACATTATTCATAAAACAGTCAAAGGTTTCTAGATTCAATACAAGTTTACCATCCTGAATCTTCCTACTTACCCTTTTAATTAGCTGGCTTGTCAAGTTCTGCAGTGTATGCACTGTGTATGTTTTCATGAGATGCATGGCTTTAGAAAGGCATTGTCTAAACTTTGCCAAATATACAGGATAGTCTTTAAAGTCTGGCTGAAAGAGAGAGAGAAACTGTTTTAAATCACAGCTAAGAAGAAAAGCCAAACATCATAACAAATGTTTATGTTTCAAAAGTGTACTGTTCTGAAGCTAAAGTCATCAAGATATCTCTGTCCAGTATCAAACGCAGATGTTTGAAGAAAAGTGAAACTCTTAAATCAAGAGTTCATATGCATCAAAAGGAGTAGAAAAGAATTGGAGAATTCTATTCTGAAGTGCACATATCACACAATTTGTAGTAATGTTTAAATATATACATTTTTGCCATTTTGATTGTCTTGTGTACAAAGGAAATCTTCTGCAAACCTTTAATGCATCATAATGTCTTATCACACATTTTCAAAACGATATTTTATGAAGCAGAATCCTAGCAGAAAGTAAAAATTATTCAATACCATCTACTGCAGCTAAGTGGAGACCACATACCTAACAATTCAACTTTTCCACTTCCCTTACATGGGAATCCTATACAATCAGTTTACAGCGTACTCTTAGCAGAGAAGCATGCAGATGCATATAGTTCTTACTGACTGTATTTTATTATTAGAGTGGAGTTTCAAAAGAATTAAATCTGGAGACTAACAACATCATGATACCTGAGAATCATATAACACTACATTTGTGCAGTGTCCAAAGTTCAGATCTCAACTTATATGGGGTTGAGCAAACAAACAACCCACGAGCACTTATCCAAAAAGGATTGTTCCTGCCCCCTGATGTTTACCAGTCAAGACTCCTATGCTTGTGTTCTTTCAAATCTTCACCTTACCAAAACATATTTTGAAAAGCAAAACAGGTGTAAATGTCTTGTTTCTGAATAAGTTTTGGTTTCTTTGACAAGAGGAAATAAATGCATGTCTTAAAAGATCCCTGGCTTTCTTATAGACCTTTTGTTAAGAAGCAAGATATAGACAAGGAAAACTGACAGACACAGAATTCTACTATGTCATCAGATTTCTTTAAGGTAGAAATCAATTAAATACAAGATCGTGTACTATAAACAACATTTAAAAAGGACATGAGTGTGACTTACATGTGATGAAATATATGCAATACAGTCATCAAGTTTAGCAAGCATAGGGATGAAACCATCACTGTTTACAGACAATGTTGGGGAGTTCACTTTCTTAGAGAGGAGAGAGAAAGGGGGAGAGGTTATTAAAATGTCAATAAAATTTTAAAAGACATTTGATTTGGTATTATTCATTACACAATATGTCTTCTGGCTATTAGGACAATTTCAAACAAGGACAGAGTATTTTATTTGGTTAAGATCTCTATGGTGATGAAAACTTCAAGCAACAAAAAGAGTCCCATACTACCAACTGACCACACCAACATACTCACTATAATCAAGAAGCTCATAAATCCTCCCCTTCAAGGCAGGCCTGGGAGGATTCTTGGAGGAAATTGAAGTGGAATTTCAATGAGTGTTGGAAGATTTGGAGTCAGATTTCTAGGAATTTGCAGTTTTTGATGACAGCAGCATCTCCAAATCCCATGAACTTGGGGGGGGGGGGGTACTCCCCAGAAATAAGTGGCAGATACCATGGACACACTTCCAGCCTTTGAAGAGCTTGGGGGAGACTCTACTCATCCTAGTAGCTTCTAAATAGGAGATGTTGACTCACTGAGCGGCTTGAGGCAGTTGCCTATAAATCTATCAGGTCTGCAGCCCCTTAGGCCCATTTGTGGTCCCTGAGAGTCTTTTCTTTAATTTCAACATACCCCCAAATGTTTAGGGGGCATGGACACTTCCAGCATATTTGTGCACACCCTTTTTACTGGGAGGGGGGGGAAGGGGGACAACAAAATATCTCAACCATTCTCACAATCCTTCACCTTTTCTCCAAGGAGCTCAAACAAGCATGCCTATCTTTCCCTTAATCTTACCAAAATGAAGTAAGTTAGACTAAGAGATGCTATGCAGAGCAAGTTTACTCATGGATAAGGACAATCAGCCCACCGTATTGATGGATTGAATCATTCACAGATTGAAATTGCTGCCTCCCGCCCTGAAATCCCCCAAACAATCCTCAAATTTGCCATTTTATATCAGGGATATGATTTTACTAAGACATTGTACATAACGAGACTTGAGCATCCAGAGTCTGGTACCCACGGGGTGCCCCGGAATCAGACCCCAGCAGATACCAGCAGCTTCCTGTATTCCAGTGTCCAAGAGTCTTCACTGGAAGGTACTGGTCCTAATAAACCATACTTCAAGTGTACCTCATAAGTTTCACCCTTTTTTAAAAGGTATTGTTAGACCAATCTTTTTTTTTTAATGTAAAAGCATGTTCCATTGCATTCTTACATATATTTAACATCTGACATGTAGCTTTAGAATACTGATTAATTGGATAATCCGAACCTTTAAAAGGATTTCTAGAAATACTAGATTGCTCTTAAGTGAAAGAAAGCTTCTGGTGGTTTTTGGTGTCAAAATACTTACTGTATTAATATTTTCCAGTTCATTGAAATATGACAATTTCTGGTGAATGTTTTCTGTCAGTTCAACAAGCTCTGACTATTAAAGAAAAATAAGATAATTAGCAGGAAACCAAGAACAAATTAACAAATGGATGGTATCTCAAGCTGCTTTAAAAATTGAAGAAGACCTAGGTCCTCCAATGCGATTCTATGATATGCTTCCAGCCCAAGTATAGCTAAAATACAGACTTTCATATGTTCCAGTTTCTGGTATTCACAGGTGATCTTGGAACATATCCTCTGCAGATACGATGTGTTCAGTATTTCAAATATTAATTTGGAAATGTACAGCCACAAGATTTTAAAATGTGGTGACACAGGTTATGATGAATGATTTATTTCTTAGGGAAATCTCGTTACCTGTTCTTTCAACAATTGTTCACAGGCTTCATGGAGTGTTCCTGTTTTGGTTGAGACAAAGAGATATTGCTTCTGTAATGATTCCAAATGCTGAAGGGCACTGTTCACATCACTTAATATAGCATCACACTGCTCTTCAAAACCAGATAAATAAAGCCTTGTCTGCCTAGAAAAATAAAAGACAGGCCAGAGCGTTATTTCTACTGATCGAAGAATCCTGGAAAACAGCATAGGAAATTTAATTTAAATCTAATTACCATGGCTCAATGCTATACCTTCATGAGATTCACAGTCTGGTGAGGTAAGAGCATTTTTTTTTACAGAGAAGGCCCAAGACCTTGTGAAACTACTCTACAGAATTGAACCAAGGCAATTACAGTAGATTCATTCCACAGCATAGATGCACCCCATGGTTTTCTTCTCCACTTCTGGAAGCTTTGGTGTTCTAACACTTTAGTTTTTAAGGCAGGAATTCTAAGCAGGCAGCAACTGTAATGTGCACCTTTTTGGGTCAAATGACAAAAAGTGTATTTTTACCACTACACACTACATTTGGCAACACATACCTTTTTTGGTTTTAGGGTTTTGAAAATTGAAGTGCACATTAGATTTGATGGTGCATTAAGATGAGTAAAACCACGGAAAAACGTTACTAAACTGCAAAAACTTGCCAAAGTATTTCAATGAGTATCTCATTAAGTCTCAACCAATTCAACAAAGTTGGTGGCAGCTACAAAAACAAAGTTTCTGGAGTATAACAACTACTCTCAAAGTAAGCACAGCACAATTAAACAGAAATAACACTTTCAAACAAGGAACACATTATTTTCAAATTTTGTTACACAGTGTTATTTGCTTTTGTTATTTTCATGAATCAATTAAAATATTTCAAAATTACAAACATGGAATGGAATATGCCCTTACTTACATTATTTCACCCAGAGAAGATGATTTGGTCTAAAGTTACTGAATAGAAAAAAAGCCCATTCAAACTCATGCAATCAATCTGAGAAACTAAAATATGACTGGTGTTTCTCATGCATAAATATTTTTTGTTCCTAGAAGGTGACCAACTAACAAGTGAAACAGACAACAGAATGAAAACAAGGTATAATATACATCTCAAAGTACACAAATAGAAGCAGGTATCATCACTACTGGATTACAGCTTGATAGCGAAATATAACTGAAGGAGGAAAAATATAAATACCTGTACTTAGCCCCTTCATCTTGATCCATTTGGGTACCAAGCTGATCAAACCACGAGAAGAACTACAGCAAAGTAAAGAAAGGATATGATCACAATTCATTACAATAATAACCTCTCTATATAAAAAGTCAAAATATGTATGCACATATGATTAATCCACAAATACTCTTAATGGCTTGATAGATCTCAGCCCAATTTGGCACACATATCCTTAAATACCCAACTTAAAATAATTGAGGGTTTCAACTAAAAAAATCCACCCTATTTGGGGGTGAGCCCCCTCATACTATATTTTACTGCATAATAGTGACACTTTTCCCCCTTTTGGGGGGGGGGTAAGAGGGGTGCAACTATTAGGCAGCGAAATTTTTATGCAGCTACAGGGCTGCAAAGCCACCCATGTGCCTCTTGGAGAGACTGTAAGGCCATCAGCTGAGGGAAGCCTCGTAACTCTTGCTGAGAGGAGCACGACCACTTGCAGGCTTGCCCACCCAAGAGTGTTGCCCCCTTACATAATTGTCACATCTGTCAACTAAAGGTGCAACTCTTATGTGGGGAAAACAGAAATAATTTTAGCAACCCAAAAGGGGAATGCAACTATTATGCGATTAAATACGGTAGATGTTTATGTATGTATGTAATGCTGAGATCCAACCACAAGAGAATAGTATATAGAAAGAAATAATTAATTACTAGTCTTCAACTGAAGCTGCAACTGAGCCCTAAGAAAAATATGAGGAAATGTTGCTTTCTGTATATGCAGACAAAATTTCATTTTTTCTCTTCTTAAATGTTTTTCACTTGCAACCACTTTCTGCCTGAGACATTTTTAAATGGCCCTAGATATATAGGCATATCAAATATGTATAAAAATCAAACGTTTATTGATAATAAATGGGACATTTTAAAGGTTTTGCTAAACAGAATTATTTTCCTTTCTATATAGAAAGCGATTGACATTTCATGAAAATACTACCCTGCTAAAGGACTTTTTCTCTACCAACCAATTATCACTTCTTTTGCATCAGAGAGCATGATTATTATTTTAACTCTAATATCCCACTTTTTATAGCCTTAAAACCCAGGAGGGTTTATATTTGTGCACATATATACATGTATGCATTACCTGTTGTGCAGTTTCAATTCTTTCATTTTCCATGCCCAAAACAGAAAATCCTTTCAAGATTATATCCTCTGTAGATTGTGGCACCATGGCTGTCAATGTTACAGTTAATGATGGCTGCCCAAGGCTGCTTAAATCTTCAATGGGAAGCTGTTCAAAGAATTCAAACATGTAATTGTGGTTAAATTGCTTTAGAATTCAGGAAACTAGTTCATAATTGATCTGCCCACACTTGTAGGAATGACCCAAATGACTATTTACATAAAACCTCTTCCAACAGTTCATTACATAACTAAAAAGGAATAGAAGAAATTGATCGCTTAATATAAAATAATTAAGAACTGCTGTGCTCAATTTTTGAAAGATTAGGATAATAAAAATGTATGAATATAAATCTCAAGGGAACAGAAAACTCACTTTGTTATAACAAACACTACCAATATCAAACAGCCAATCAATTTTTATTCCAATGCTGAAAAATTATTTTTTAAAATAAATGTCCCACTTGGCTCCAAATATGGGATCCAAGGCAGTTCATAATATAAATCAGAACAAAATACAGCAAAATCCAACCATAGCAGTAACATTCAAATAAAATGTTCCATTAAAAACAACACTAATTCAACAAAATTTAAAATACCCTTCTGCAGCAACCATTTACTAGCTTCAAGCTTATTTGTAGGAGCCCCTGGTGGCACAGTGGGTTAAACCCCTGTGCCGGCAGGACTGAAGACCGACAGGTCGCAGGTTTGAATCCGGGGAGAGGTGGATGAGCTCCCTCTATCAGCTCCAGCTCCTCATGCGGGGACATGAAAGAAGCCTCCCACAAGGATGATAAAAACATCAAAAGAAGAACACAAAAAGAAGAAGCTTATTTGTGTATTCTAGCATGGCAGGGGATGGCTGGATGGCCTTTGTGGTCCATGACTGTTGGAAAGACCATTGTTGCAATGCCAATTCTAAACTGACCAGGGGATTGGGTGCAAACTGGTGACTGTACACACGTAAGAGAGAGGGAGAGGGAGAGGGGGGGAGGGATTGGAGTTTTTTGCTTTTTTAAAAAAATTAAGTGTGTGTGTGTACCAAGTTAGTTCAAGCAATTCTGACCACTTTTTACTTTTTTCACACCCACATATATTTCTAGTCATTTGAATAATAGAATTGGAAGAGACCACAACTACCATCCAGTCCAGCCCCCCGCCATGCAGGAATGCACAATCAAAGCACCCCTGACAGATAGCCATCCAGTCTCTGCTTAAAAACTTCTAGGGACTCCACCACAATCCCAAGGCAGCTTATTCCACTGCCTGATGTGTAATTGGAATCTCTTTTCCTGCAATTTGAATCCATGGCTTCATGTCCTAGTCTCCAGAGTAGCAGAAAACAAACTTGCCCCCTCATTTCCTTTCCATAAGTAATACTGAAAATAATTTGTTGTTAATAGGAGGGACCAATTGTCAAATTCCACTGTATTTAAAACATATCCTCAAAGAGGAAAGCAACTTTCTAATGAAGCCCAGCATTCTGAAAATATGGTTGACCCCAACAAACTGACACAACCAATAGGTGTCAAAGCTGTTATGTTTATTAGAAGAAAGACATTTAACCAAAAAAATTGCACTGAATTTGCCTCTCTCACACACATACAAACATATGTTTAGAATACAGTATAAAGTGTGCCCATTTTATTAGTTTTCTAATACAGACCAAGCATACCTTATCTGGAATTCCAAAATACTCTTTAAAAAACCAAAACTGCCCACCTGGGTGGCTCAGTTAGTTATAAACTTGCTTTCTGATGGTTTAGTGTACATAAACTTTGCTCCGTGAACAAAATTATGAAAAATATTGTACAACCTAACCTGCAGACTACAGTATGCATACTATAAGTATGCATTATGCTTATGAAACAAATGAATGTCATGTTTAGACTTACCACCTTATCACATTGAGAAATTCCCCCCCCCCCCTCCCCGTGGGACACACTTCAGACTCTTTTCAAGCACAGAGAGGCACAGAGCTCATCACATGTTCCAGGGTTGAAAAGAAGCAGGAATGTCCCAAAAGGAGGGAACTCTGAACACGGGCCAGGAATTGTGTTCAGAGCTCCTACCTCTTATTGCACTTTACTCCCATGTTTACAACTGAAAAACAGATGTGACGGGAACCATCAAAAGTTTTGTGTCCTGTTTCATTGCCCAACCATCAGCAGCCTATTGTATCCGATAGGGTTTGACGCAGAACCATAGGATCCCATGGTTTTGACCTGGATCACTGTCTCTTGTATACTATGGGCTTTGATGCAGAACCATAGGATCCCATGGAAAGAAATGGTTTTAAACTGGTGTCAGTCGCCTTTAATGTAAGAGCCTTTGGTAAGGGCAAGGGATCTCTTGGTTTTTGGATATTGTTGTTTCTCCTGATTAAAAACAAAAAAGTAATACTGACCTTGTGATAAATGTAAGTTGAATGTATTACCAGCTCTTAAGTTTCCAAATGTGTGTGATGGGGAGGCAGAATGTTAAACGGGACTGCTGACAAATAAGAGGGGCGATTCTCTACTCTTAATAATATAATACAGCTTTATTTATATTCCACCCTCTCTCCCCAAGAGGACTCAGGGCAGATGGCAAGCATTCAATGGCAAGCATTCGATGGCAAGCATTCGATGCCAGATCCAATACATTAATAGTAACATAAAGCAATTAGGGTCAGTCATCCATGCTTTCCCCTCTCAATGTGATGAGGTGGTTAGACCCCCATCTCCAAAAGGTCTCATTACACAATGTTACGAAATTTGAAAAAGGCTCTGTTTTTTCAGAAAGTGTGTTTCCTGTTCCATTATGCGGTCCCTACTTTGAAAGTTGTTCTACTCCAGAAACTTTGTTTTGATGGCTGCCACAAACTATGTCAAATTGGTTGAGACTGGATGAGCTATTCATTGATAATCTATAGCAATGTGCTTGTAGGATTGTTGTTGTTTATTCATTTAGTCACTTCTGACTCTTCATGACCTCATGGATAAGCCCACGCCAGAGCTCCCTGTCGGCCGTCACCATCCCCAGCTCCATCAGAGTCAAGCCAGTCACTTCAAGGATGCCATCCATCCATCTTGCCCTTGGTCGGCCCCTCTTCCTTTTTCCTTCCATTTTCCCAAGCATCATTGTCTTCTCTAAGCTTTCTTTTCTTCTCATGATGTGGCCAAAGTACTTCAACTTTGTCTCTAGTATCCTTCCCTCCAATGAGCAGTTGGGCTTTATTTCCTAAAATCTGGACTGATTGGATCTTCTCGCGGTCCAAAGCACTCTCAGCACTTTCCTCCAACACCACAGTTCAAAAGCATCTATCTTCATTCACTCAGCCTTCTCTATGGTCCAACTCTCACATCCATAGGTTACTACAGGAATACCACTGCTTTAACTATGCGGATCTTCGTTGCCAGTGTGATGTCTCTACTCTTCACTATCTTATTGATAGCAATGACCAATTGCTCTCCTCCCAACAAGTAAGTGTCTTCTGATTTCCTGGCTGCAGTCTGCATCTGCTGTAATCTTTGCACCTAAAAATACAAAGTCTTCATTAACCTCCACATTTTCTCCCTCTATTTGCCAGTTAACAATCAGTCTGGTTGCCATCATCTTGGGGTTTTTTTTAATGTTTAACTGCAACCCAGCTTTTGCACTTTCTTCTTTCACCTTGGTTAGAAAGCTCCTCCTCACTTTCGGCCATCAAAGTGGTATGACCTGCATATCTAAGGCTGTTAATTTCCTTCCAGCAATTTTAACCCCAGCCTTGGATTAATCAAGCCTTGCCCATGATGTGTTCTGTATACAAGTTGAATGGTCAGTTCTGACTGTTGCTACTTGGTCCTTATACAGATTCCTCAGGAGGCAGACAAGGTGATTTGGTATGCCCATACCACCAAGAACTTGCTACAATTTATTATGATCCACACAGTGAAAGGCTTTACAATAGTCAATAAAACAGAAATAGATGTTTTTCTGAAACTCCCTGCCTTTCTCCATTATCCAGCGAATATTGGCAATTTGGTCTCTGGTTCCTCTGCCTTTTCTAAACCCAGCTTGTCCATCTGGCAACTCTCTCTCCGTGTATTGCTGGAGTCTTCCTTGCAGGATCTTGAGCATTACCGTACTGGCGTGAGAAAGAAGGGCCACTGTACGGAAGTTTGAGCAGTCTTTAGCATTTCCCTTTTTTGGTATGGGGATATACGTTGATTTTTTTCCAGTCTGATGGCCATTCGTGTGTTTTCCATATTTTCTAGCATATAGCTTGCATCACCTCATTGCTTGTAGGATGTCCCACCAAAACAAAGTCTTTGCAAATTGAATCCACTTTTCCCATGTTTATGCTAAACCCAATTAGGAAGTGCCATTTATAAGACAGGAAAAATAATCTTGTTACGTAGTGTTACACAGCAAGTATGGTTTCTGTCTTCCGAAATCTCAAATACTTCTGGTCCCGAGCATTTCAGATAAGGGCCATTCAACCTGTAGCTGTAACTGCAGCCCTCCTCCAAGCCCAGCTGTTCGGGCCTCCAACGCCCAGAATTCCTAACCAGTGAACAAGCTGGCGAGGGCTTCTGGGAGTTGGAGGCCCCCATAGTTGGGCTTGGAGGAGGCCTGTTCTAACCAAAGCGAGCGCGGACCCGGCCTACCTCCGGCGGGGCGGGCAGGCCGGGCAAGGCTTCGCGCAGCGCCGCCACGGAGTCCAGCTGCCGCTCGCTGAGGGGCGCCAGGGGCCGAGGGAGGCGCTCCCAGAGGCCCAGCCGCTCCCACGCCTCCCGCCCCTCGCCAGCCAGCGTCGCCATCCTGAGGCGCCTCTTCCTGAGGGACAGCCGGCCGGAACTCGCGTGCCACCCAAGCGCTTAGGGGAGGGGGGGGGAGATGTCGCGCACCACGCAGTGACGTCACTTCCGCCCCTGCCGTCAGAGACCAGTGTTTATTCCCAACCTGGGGTTTGGACTTCAGTTCCCAGAGTCCCTCGTCGTTGGCTCTGTCGGCTGAGGATTCTGGAAGTTGAAGTCCAAAATGCGCCTTTGGGGATTATTATCCGAGATCCAAACTTTCGATGTCAACAAAAGGGAGCGTGAGCTCTTAGGCCCTGGGAGCTAAGCAGGGCAGGCGTGGCTTGTACTTGGCGGGGGGCCTCCGAGGATTGCCATTCAGATCTATGCCTTGCCAGAGGCCCCTTCCACACAGCTGTATAAAATCCCGCATTATCTGCTTTGAACTGGATTACAGTATATGGCAGTGTGGACTCAGGTAAACCAAGGCCCTTCCACACAGCCCTGCAACCCTTTGGCCTCGAGTAGGCTGAAATGGGCCTAAATTAAGTTGGCACTTTGGCACTTGAGTTGTGTCTTGATGCTGGTGGTATAGAATCATAGATTCATAGAGTTGGAAGAGACCTCATGACCAATCCAGTCCAACCCCCTGCCAAGAAGCAGGAAAATTGCATTCAAAGCATCCCCGACAGATGGCCATCCAGCCTCTGTTTAAAAGCTTCCAAAGAAGGAGCCTCCACCACACTCCGGGGCAGAGAGTTCCACTGCTGAACAGCTCTCACAGTCAGGAAGTTCTTCATAATGTTCAGATGGAATCTCCTCCTGGGCCATCCAGTCCAACCCCATTCTGTCAAGAAACAGGAATAATGCATTCAAAGCACCCCTGACAGATGGCCATCCAGCCTCTGTTTAAAAGCCTCCAAAGAAGGAGCCTCAACCACACTCCGGGGCAGAGAGTTCCACTGCTGAACAGCTCTCACAGTCAGGAAGTTCTATAGAATCAAAGAGTTGGAAGAGACCTCATGGGCCATCAGTCCAACCCCCTGCCAAGAAGCAGGAATATTGCATTCAAATCACCCCTGACAGATGGCCATCCAGCCTCTGTTTAAAAGCTTCCAAAGAAGGAGCCTCCACCACACTCCCGGGCAGAGAGTTCCACTGCTGAACGGCTCTCGCAGTCAGGAAGTTCTTCCTCATGTTCAGATGGAATCTCCTTTCTTGTAGTTTGAAGCCATTGTTCAGTGTCCTAGTCTCCAGGGAAGCAGAAAACAAGCTTGCTTCCTCCTCCCTGTGTATTGTCGAAGGCCTCCATGGCTGGAATCACTGTGTTGTTGTAGGTTTTTCGGGCTATATGGTCATATTCTAGAAGTATTCTCTCCTGACATTGCACCTGCATTTATTTTCCACCACTCTTATCCCGCCCTTTTCAGCCCAAAGGCAACTCAGGGCGGCGTACAGACTGGCAACAATTAGATACTGAACACACATTGTTTAAAACAGGTTAAATCACATAATAAAATTCATATAAAAACAATTTTATATGCCTCTATGGCAAGCATCCTCAGAGGTTGTGAGGTCTGTTGGAACTAGGAAATTTGGGTTTATATATCTTGGGTATATATCTGTGGATATATAGATATATAAACCCAAATTTCCTATTTCCAACAGACCTCACAACCTCTGAGGATGCCTGCCATAGATGCAGGCGAAACGTCAGGAGAGAATACTTCTAGAACATGGCCATATAGCCTGAAATGCCTACAACAACCTGATGCGGTGGTGTTTGCTTCTTCTGAAACACTGACATTTGTCCGCCTGTCTTCCCAAGAGATTTGCAGGATTTTTGGGTGATAGAATCTTTCCAGAAGTTGAGAGTGACATTTGTAGATGGTCCTTGTTTCGCAGGCATACAACAGCATTGGAAGGACAACAGCTTTATAAACAAGCATCTTGGTATCTCTATTAATGTCCCAATCCTCAAACACTCTCTGCTTCATTCAAAAACATGCTGCACTCACAGAGCTCAGAAGGTGTTGTATTTGGCCGTTGATATCAACTTTTGTGGAGGGCTGGCTGCCTTTTGTGGAGAGCTGGCTGCCTTTGAGGAATGAACAATAAATGCCCATACCTTGACCAATTCAGCACAAAATGCCTTTGAACAGACTTTATCTCACTCTTCAGTGAAATTAAACCCCATTGTTGTTCCATCTGAACCTCCCACCAGATACACTTCCCTATCTATCTCATCCAGGGTTTTAAACTTTTATCCTTTACAATTGGCCCTGCCCACTCTGTTCAATTTTCGTTATCTTGTATTATTCGTTATCTTGTATTATTGTTTTGTTTTTTTGCTATATTTTATTATATTTTATTTGATGTATTATTGTATATTGCTTTATTTTTGCTTTGTTGTAATTGTTGGGTTTGGCCTCATGTTAGCCGCCCCGAGTTGTTGTTGTTCTTATTATTGGTAGTCAATATGGGCAACATTTTCTAGCATTACACTGTTACACTTTATTTCTTGCATTGCAAAGGGATTGGTTGGTGCTTGCTAGTAAAGCACTTTAGTTTTCTCAGTGTGAAGTTAAGGGCCAGACTTTTCATATAAATGCCTAGGGCTTACTATATTGATGCAGAATTCTTCAGTCACAAAAGTGAGCAGCTTAGATGAATAATATCAAGTTAGTCTCTATTCTCATGCTTCCATTCTGAAAGAAAAAACACAGGCAGGTTACATTTCAACATCTGTTTCTACAGTGTTCTAAAGTATATTTTTTGCTGCTGTGTGCCGTTAAGTCACTTCCAACTTTATGGAAAACCTATCATGGCGGTTTCTTGCCAAGATTTGTTTAGAGTGGGGTTGCCTTTTCTTTCTCCTGAGACAGAAAAAGCATTATTACTCAAAATCATCCATATGCAATATTTTATTCCAGTGTTTACTTTTATATTCCTATAGTACCATAGCATATCATCATATTTCATGCTGCAGTGCTTCTCAATTCTCCTTCCCAATATTCCCTCTGGTTTTGCTAAAAAATTTTTATCAGTGATTAATATTCTTCTTCAATTGTTCCCTTTTAGTTGAAGATGTTGACTGCACACTTTTCCAGATCCAAATACCTACCCTTTTCCTAATCTGTCAGTGACAAATTTACACTTTTTCATGCATACTTTCCCATCTCTGCAGGGGCAAAAATAACTTTCTATTCACTCTAAATTAGAAAACATCATCGTGCCTTGTTTATTATATTTCTAAACAAGCATCAAATGGAGTAAACAAGCATCAAATGGAGTAAAAACTCATGTGCACATGCTCTGTTTAATATTATAAAGTTTAAAAGAAAGAGTTTCAGAGAGTTCTCATTGCTTTCCACTTGTGCTTCCCTTGAGCCACCTGTGTGTCCATGGCTCCATGTTTTAACAGCCCAATCAGCTGATCGGGTATTTCAGGCTTTTAAAAAACACATGTGCGCTGTAGGAGTCCACACAGGGGGGAGGGAAGGGAAGCAAATGTTTTGTATGACTACATGTATATATAGTTATGAGACAGTGCACATTTTGGAGACGGAATCAGATTTTAAGCGAATCTTTTTAACATGTGCTTTTCAACTGTTAACCCATTTTAGCCTACACTTTGGCTAAACAATCCCTTTTAACCCAGTTACTTTTCTGGGTTTTATGTGTAGAAGAACCCTAATTTGTTTTCAACTTATGGTGACCCTAATGTGAACCTGTCACAGGGTTGTCCAAAGGTTTCCATGCTGAGACTCTGTCTCCAAAGACATAGTGCAAAGCCCATACCACTGCATCACATCAATCTTTCCTTCTGAGATGTTCTTGTGGCTATTCCTTGCTGCTGGTGATCCTGTCAAAGCCCTAGCTGCCCTCCAGAATAAAGAAATGATCAGGGTGATGGACTTGGTTGCCCCTGAGGGTCCATGGAGTGGGGCTGATCTGGGGCCCTGGTTTTTTTCAGTGAGCGGATGGCATTGGAAGGAAGGACTAATAATTCAAAACGTCATTACTGCTTTTTGAATCAACAACAGAACTTTATTAGGTCTTACATCACAGAAGGGAGATAATTTCCTGAAAGTAGATGGACTTCTATTCAACCTATCCGATCTCCCTGTAGCTGTTCAACTAACAGGCTTCTTCATTCAGTATTCTCTGACTGACTCTCAATTAAATCAAAGGCGTTAAGCGTCTCTTGCAGCAAGCCCATCTGAGCGATAATATTACTGATAGCATCTTTGATGGTCTTTTGTTGGAGCTTAAGTTTATTGTTCTCCTCCCAAAGTATTTTGTTCCCTCCTTCAATATTCTGGAGTGCCTGCTTATCTTCCAGAAGTGTGTGGTTCTCTTTTATGAGAAACAATACCATTTGGTTCAGTTTCTGAACAGTTTCAAGTACTTCGTTTTCTTCTAACAGTGATAAGGCAGTTTGTTGCCTTTCTTTTTCTGAGGTGGCACTGCTGTCTTCTTGGATTTCTGGTTCAGCTGTAGCAGGTTCAGCTGATGCTGAGGTATTGTTTGTTTCCTGCTCAAGGGGTTCCTTTCCCAATAAGAGGTCAGATTGCTTTTCCTTCTGAAGGACTGGGGTGAGTTTCTTCTCCTCTTCAGGAAAAACCTTCAAAGCCAAAATCTTATCCCGAAAGATTTGAAGAGCTTTTTTCTCTTCTTGGATAAATTGAAGGGCTTTGTTTTCCTTACCACCCTGGAGTCCTCCTTTGCGTGAAAGAGCTACTAAAGGCTTATTTTCCTGTTGGAGCATCTGTTGAAGACTCTCATCATAGATAACCTGAATACCTTTGTTCTGTGTCCTTAGACACTGGAGTACTTTATTCTCTTCCCGAAGAGCCCTGTTTTCCACTCGGAGGGCCTTGTTTTCTTCCCAGAGGGCTTTGTTTTCTTCCCAGAGGGTCAAGTCACTGTGCATCTTCTTGCTATAGTGTTTCTTGTGGGCTTCTGCTGAAGAGGAAATTGCTGGTTGAACAAACGATTCATTCACCCACTTGCCATCTAGAAAGACAAAGGTGTCATCACTGAGTTTGACCTTCGGCGGGATGCAGTCCATCTTTACCTTCCACTAGGTGCATATATTGGTTCAAAAGAAAGTCCGAAGACCTGGATTATTGCATGAAAGTGAAGAAATACACATTAAATTATATTATTTGATAGTTTATCAGCAATATGCATTAGTTATAATCAAGCACTCTGAAATCGGTACAATTAAAATAATGAACCATGAAAAACATTAAGTCTGTTATAAAGGCTACAAAATGAAATTAAATGAAATCACATGAGATTAAGACATTCTCGAGTCAATGTTTGTATAAGTCTCTACCCACATTGACAGAGCTCAAGACTCCTGCAGAAGTAGAAAAACTGCAAAACGCATTCTATGGATCGCCTGTCATTCCCTTTTTCATCTTTCACCACAAAGCCTCAGACAGATTTTAAACCCCTTTCCCAATTATTGACTTTCTCGCCCTCTGTTACCAGATTTTAAATCCCTTTCCAGCTCCATTACTTTGGCCCCTTCCACATAGCTGAATAAAATCCCACATTATCTGCTTTGAGCTGGAATATATGGCAGTGTGGACTCAGAAAACCCAGTTCAAAGCAGATATTGTGGGATTTTCTGTATTGATATTCTGAGTAATATGGCTGTGTGGAAAGGACCTTTGTCTCTCCTTCCATGCCCTTCCAAAAGCACCAGTCCCTCTCCATTCACCACCTTTGCACCAAAACTTGCCTTCATTCAGTCATTATACACAATAAGTTCTTTTGTAATATGGATTCATGATATTTGTTATAAATATTCTGTTTAGGTAGGAGGGATAATAATTATGAAGCTTCATAAAATATTCCATATTTTCCCACGGAATTGTCTCATCTAGCCAATTGAAAAAAAAGTTTTATTTATTTATTTATGACATTTATATGTCGCCCTTCTCACCCCGAAGGGGACTCAGAGCGGCTTACAAGGTATATGTTACATATAATATATTAGATTATTAGCATAGTACAATATCAGTATTAAACATTGCTATATTGCACCATACCACTATATCGTAATATTTTTAGTAATATTACATGTAATATAAATATATAATTATAATAATAATAATATATTATTATTATTATATTGCATTACATTATAATATTATAAATATTATATGTATATACAATTTATTATATTTATAATTTTATTATTTTAGAATGAAAAGAACCATAATGTAGTACAATGTTTAATATTCTCAACCTCCCTTTTTGGTAAACGTAACTGTTTTTAGAAACTGTTGCTTCCAAAAAAAATTGGCCAATTTTATACATTTGTTGTAGATGGCGTAGTGCAGGGATAAGCAGCTGTGGAAAGCTAGAGTCTACATATCGTCTCCAAGAGCCTAAACCTCCCACTTACTCTTGAAAAATATGTGGCGTTCCTTGGACCCCTCAAGAGCATTGTGGGTAATTTTACGTGGGGAAAGAATGGAAATATTTGGCAAACATTTGTTTTGATTGCAGGGATTCCAAGAGGGAGCTCCAAACATGGTAAAAATACTTTCCACAAACCCAAATCTTCCTGTGGGGTCATTTTGAGGGACAATTGATCCTGGGAAGTCTTTTTTCCAACCCCTACTTTAGTGGAGTAACATGATATAAAAATAACAGTTCGGAAAGATTGTGAATTTTAGTTGTTGCTAGAGAAAAAGCATTGAAATATTTAACTTCACATTCATTCCACTTATTTTTAACCAATTTGTGAAAGACATGTAGTTTATTCTAACGAACAGATTAAAATATTTTTGATAATAGCTGTGTATTTAAAGTGAGAAAACAAATATTGAACTTCAATTAATGTTTATATTTTTATCATGGTATTCCCTGTAGTAACCTACGGATGTGAGAGCTGGACCTTAGGGAAGGCTGAGCGAAGGAAGATAGATGCTTTTGAACTGTGGTGTTGGAGGAAAGTTCTGAGAGTGCCTTGGACCGCGAGAAGATCCAACCAGTCCATCCCCTAGGAAATAAAGCCAGATTGCTCATTGGAGGGAAGGATACTAGAGACAAAGTTGAAGTACTTTGGCCACATCATGAGGAGACAGCAAAGCCTAGAGAAGACAATTATGCTGGGGAAAGTGGAAGGTAAAAGGAAGAGGGGCCGACCAAGGGCAAGATGGATGGATGGCATCCTTGAAGTGACTGGACTGACCTTGAAGGAGCTGGGGGTGGTGACGGCCGACAGGGAGCTCTGGCGTGGGCTGGTCCATGAGGTCACGAAGAGTCGGAGACAACTGAACGAATGAACAATCATGTCAGGTGCGACATGAGAAACTGCAAGTTGCTTCTGGTGTGAGAGAATTGACTGTCTGCAAGGACATTGTCCAGGGAGCACCCGGATGTTTTACCATCCTGTGGGAGATTTCTCTCATGTCCAAGATAAGAAGCTGGAGCTGACAGACAGGAGCTCACTCAGCTCCCTGGATTCGAACTGCTGACCTTTTCGGTCTGCAGTCCTGCCAGTGCAAGGGTTTAACCCATTGCACCACCAGGGGCTCCATTTAATGCCTGTTCTTTCTAGGATGTCATACGCTGTTCCAACAAATGGGCTATTTTTCTCCCTCACCGACAGTGCTTTATAGAGAGCAATGAGCATGCTGAATCTCATCAAGCTGTTCACAGAAGCTTGTCTTTTCTTTTAAACTTATGTACAAACATTATTTGGCATGTGGTATGCCTGGTTCACTGTCTAGATGACAGGCATGGAACAATTATTCTGGTATTAGAGGGAACAAACAGAGAATCCGAACAAATTTTCTAACCAGTTTCAAAAAGGAGACTTGATCAGAGTTTGTAGAGTTGAGAACGAGTATCTGGAGTGATGGGATCAGTAGTAAGTAAAAACATTTTAACTTTAATAAACTTCCCATTCTGATTGCTCCTCTTACAAGTTCTAAAATACTAAATTACTTAGTTGTTGTAGGTTTTTGGGGTTGTAGGGCCATGTTCTAGAAGAATTCTCTCATCCTCAGAGGTTGTGAGGTTTGTTGGAAACTGGAAAATTGGGTTTATATACTGGTAGCCAGTACTAAAAAACTCTAAAATTATAACAGTAAATAAAAAACAAAACTCAAACGCAGGGAAACTCCAGCCAGGAAACAATCAGGAACACCTGGTCACTTCTCAACAAGGAAATTTCCCAGGCAGAAACAAGCCACACCTAAAAACTGCCAGGCCATCAAATGCTAATCAAGGTGGCTAATCGAAACATTCACGCCTAGCTCCAACAGACAAAAGTTATTTCTCCCCCTGGACCTTCCACAGATATATAAACCCTATGTTCCTAGTTAGCAACAAACCTCACAATCTCTGAGGATGCCTGCCACAGGTGCAGGCAAAACGTCAGGAGAGAATGCTTCTAGAACATGGCCATACAACCTGAAAAACCTACAGCAACCCAGTGATCCCAGCCATGAAAGCCTTCAACAATACACTAAATTACTTAGATTTGTGTTGGCTGCTAGTTTAGTATTCATCTTTTCTTCTCCTCCAAACCTTCACAGGTTTTGTTGACAAAAGAGAGTTGGCAGAAATATTTTGCTAGCAATCTGGAAATCCTACTCAGGTCTTTAAATCATATACAATTTGGGGGGGCAAACTATGTTTGGGAGAATAGTATGACAAGTAGAAATTGAGCATTCCTTATCTGGAATTTCAAAATCTAAACTACTCAAAATCTTGAAATTGTCTGCATGGGTGGCTAAGATAGTGACACCTTTGCTTTATGGTGGTTCAATGTAGAATTGGCAAAACAGCTTTAAGGCTGTTCTTATGAGAGAGTGGGGTAAAGGGGTGTCTGGAATACTTTGGTTTAAGAGCCAATGGGGAGAAAACCCATGCAAAAGGAACTAGCGTTGTGTATTGATACATGGGATGAAAGCCCATTGAATATTTAAATTGCTTTACCTATACATGTATTGTGCAGTCACTTATTTTTCATATCTAACAATGTCATTTGTATGATTAGCAACTCTTGTTATTTTAAATAACGTTTATTATGCTTTGAGCACCTTGTTTCCAGAATTGAGTCTGCCTGTACATTACAAACAAGCAAGGACTACTCATGACATGCCACAACCAGTAGGGAATAATTGGTCAGATTGATAGAAGTGACCACCAGTATAATCAGAAGTGCACTTTGGACTTCAAAAATCCTGTTTCAATATGAGTAAGATTTCAATATGAGTGAAGTTAAAACACGAAAAAGTTCATGTAGTTTTTTTTCAAGTGAGACACTAAAATTTCAATTGTAAACAATTCATTTAAAAAATAAAGGAGACACTAAAGAAATGAAATGTGTTTAAGAAACACCCAGGAAGAGTAAAGAGAACTGGCCAATGTTTGTAGTGAGATAATCAAGAAAGCTAATATTTGAATTATAGAAGTTGTTTTAATTGTGTTTTAACATTTGTATTAGCATGGGAGTTTTAAGGTTGTTCTGTACTTTTACATGTTTGTAAGCTGTCCTGAATGTCATGGTGGGATAAAGACTGGATGGAGAAATGAATGGATGTACAAACAAATATAGCATTCAGATTTTCAGGCTATATGACCTCACAACCTCTGAGGATGCTTGTCATAGATGCAGGCGAAATGTCAGGAGAGAATGCTTCTAGAACATGGCCATATAGCCCGAAAATCCTACAACAACCCAGTAATTCCAGCCATGAAAGCCTTCAGCAATACATAGCATTCAGAGTTAGCTCAGGCATGCAAGAAGTGTCAAAATACTAAAAGGGATTTTCCAGCTGTGGTTAGAACAAGAAGAAAAAGCCGGTTTAAGTACACAGCATGAAGACGATGGCATAATACTAAGAGGTGTTTAACTCAATAACTTTACCTCTGTCTTCTTCCAAAAATGGCATTTAGCCTGGACTTTCTCCACATTGCATCGTTATAGCAGTTTGATGCCACTTTGACTTCCATGGTTCCATCCTACATTATACAGATGACAAATACTAGATGGATTGCACCTAGCTTGACGGTACAATGGGCCCGTAGTATCCACTGGAGTTTGGTTCCAGAACCCCCAATGGATATCAAAATTCATGGGTGCTCAAGTCTCATGTTATACAATGGTGTAATAAAGTTGTGTCCCTTGTACAAAATGGCAAAATCAAGGTTTGCTTTTTGTAATGTTCTTTTGGGGGAATATATGGATGGTTGAATCAATGAATTCCGAATCCACAGATATGAAGGACCAACTGTATGTGTACAAGCATGTAGAGATGATGATGATTTCTTCATTCATATACCACCTTTCCTCTTATCCTGGGCAAATAAAGTATATGGATATATAGAGATATAGATATATATACACACACATACATACACATGTATAAGCTAGGGTCACATAAGATTTTGCAGATGAAAAGGAGTTGCAAGATGGAAAAGTTTATGAAGCCCTGAGCTAGCACAACAGCAAGAGGATCCTACTGAGAAAGATTAGGGAGCTAGGCCCAAAGTACTTACTTTCTTTTTAAAAATCAGTTTGAATAGTTGTCTGTTTTTGTTTTTGCTTTCAAATACTATGTTGACATCTGAAGTATGGACCATGAAGGAAGAGCAGCCAGCACCTGTCGTTCATTCAAACTGATTTCTACTACTGCTTGTTACTGCAGAAACATGTAAGCAAAGGATGCTGTGTCAGATCCATTGTGACATAGACATAGCAACTTATGCACAACCAGAACACAATAAGGACCCCCCTGAAGGAGAGAGGTAAATTATCTCATAAAATTCATTTCAATTAAAGGTGGATTCAGAATCAAGAGTTTTGCAGTAACAGATTCTGTGACATATAATATCATTTGTGACATATAATAGGTTTAGTAGAGTTCCTCAGGAAGATTCTGTTCCACCTGCCCTTTGTGCTTAAGCTCAGTTGTATACTATGAACAAGACTTACATACTACTCAGTCCCTTGGGCTGACATCTTAGGCCACTTCCACACAGCTGAATAAAATCTCACATTTTCTGCTTTGAATTGGAATATATGGCAGTGTGGACTCGGATAACCCAGCTCAAAGCAGATATTCTGGGTTATATGGCTGTGTGGAAGGGCCCTAAGTTGAATCTGTAAAGATATGAGTAGAATGTTTTAAATTCTACATATATCTCTCCGTATTGATTTGTCCTCTTTTGCTCTAAACTGAGATTATGCCTTGAATCTCATTGGTAGTTTTAGCTAGGATAGACCCATTGAAAGATTGATTTGATTTATCCATGATTCACCATTCAACAGTCCTACATTTCTTGAGCCCAATCAACAGTTTCTTTGATTTTCCCCCCTCACATATCATTCTATATTTTATGTCTAAATAGGAAATAATGTCATAAAAGCCTCATGGTTGTTTTTAAAAAAACCAATCTTAAAGGAGCTGCTATATTCCTTCTAACCCAACCCCTTCCTCCTTTTATGTTTTAAGTGAAATACACTATGAAAAATTGTGTTTGCTATGTCCAGCATAGTTGCGTCCAACCCTTCAGCAGCAGATCTAAGCTTCCCACATTAAGAGTGTCACATGTCAAAATATAGAAATTGAGATAGAAAATTAACATGAATTATATAGTTAATGAAACCTCATGAAAAATAGGCTAACAGAAACACTTTCACTGTGAAACTAATTTTTTACTCCTTTGTTAGGGAAAAAATTACGTTTACAAGAGTGTCACATTTGGAATCAGAGGCTGTTGATCAGATGGCAGGACAGATTAGTGCAGTGGTTCTCAAACTGTGGATCCCCAGGTGTTTTGGCCTACACCTCCCAGAAATCCCAGCAAGTTTATCAGCTGTTAGGAATTCTGGGAGTTGAAGGCCAAAACACCTGGGGACCCACAGATGAGAACCACTGGATTAGTGGGTGGTTACTAGTCCAGAAAGGTTGGTGTGTGCCATCATTTAAAAAACTATATATTGCATATTGTCAAAGTCTAGGAAGGCTTCTGAAACAGAGGCAACCCTTCATAAAAGGAAAAATATACATGTATTCTGTCTCAATTCAGGGTCTGTGTGTGTGTGCTGGGAGACATTAAAGTTCATTTAGTCTTGATCACTCTCTGGAGTGAGAAAACCGAAAGGAAATTGAATGGGGGAGGTATTCAAAGAGAGTTGGGTGGTAAGACTGACAGATAAACAATAAATGCTGTTGGTTGATAGATTTAGATGTGCTAGGATTTTAGAAAGTGCATCCTTTTTGTAACTGATTTTGGCCACTGGAAAGGTGTGGCTAGCAATAAAAGTGGAGTTCCTCCCAATTATGTGTCATCTTCAGATTTGACAAGCATGTCCTCTATTCCATCATCCAAGTAATTGATAAAGGTGAGCACAGGACCCTGTAGTACCCCACTAGTTACTTCCCTCCAAAATAAAGAAAAATCATATGGATGTGAACATGGAAAGAAGCAGTCCAAAGTGACACTAAATTGAAGTAACTGCCTCAGTTGCCAGTCTGGATGAGCTTTTAGGTACAGTATATTCTGGCGTATAAGACTACTTTTTAACCCAAGAAAATCTTCTCAAAAGTCAGGGGTCGTCTTATACGTGGGTGTAGTTTTATGCATGGGAGTCGTCTTGACTCTATATTTTAACTGGAAAAGTTGGGGGTCGTCTTATACGCCCAGTCGTCTTATATGCCGGAATATACGGTAGCTATTTCAGGATTGATAGACCTGAAATTAATTTTCAGAATATATCCCCAGTATCAGCTCCCAGCGCAGAAAGCACAGTTAAAGTGAAATTCTAGCAAATTAAAGGGAGGATTTTTAAAAAATCTTTAGTGAGTTTTTTTTTAGACTTGATACTTTAATTCCCTGGGTTATAAATGCCATTTCCTAATTGGTTCTATCATAAAAATATGAAAAAGTGTATTAAACTGCAAAAACTTTTTTGGTGAAATATCCTGCAGCACATTTTGTTATAGTTTTTCCATTAATATCTCATAGAGTGTCAAACAATTCAAAATAGTTTGTGGCAGACACAAAAATGAAGTTTCTGGAGTATAACAACTACTTTCAAGGTGAGTATGGCACAATTAAACACGAAATAACACTAGGAATGGAAAATGTTTCAAATTTTGTTACACAGTGTAATAGAACATTTATTAACATTACATTGTCAGTAATAGAAGATTTATTCTCTCTTTCTTCTTGCAGACCTCGGTCTCCTTTATGCATTGGTAACATGTCTCATGGACAGAACATGTCAGGGTCTGGTAGCAAAGACCAGTCCCAGCCAGAAACAAGTGATTCTCTTTCTGGAAGCGAGTCAGTAGAGTCCAAAGATTCCCGCTGTCTCCTCACTGTAGAAAATGTTAAAAAACTCCAAGAAGACTATCCTGCTACCAAATCAATTCTTAATAGACAATCAATAGAAGCATATATCGATCAAAGTAATCAGTTTTTGAATGGGAATGAAACTAGAACATATGAAGACCAGGAGCAGAGTCTAACAGAAGAAAATGAAGCAGCTTCTAGTGCACAAGAAACCTGTAAAAGTCATGCAGAAAACACTGGAGTAATTTTGAAGAAAGGTAGCTGCATGTTATGGTCCTGGTTTTTATTTGATAGTTCTCTGAGAGTTGGAATACATGAGACTTAGGGCCCTTCCACACAGCCATATAACCCAAAATACCAAGGCAGATAATCCACAATATCTGCTTTGAACTGGGTTATTTGTGTCTCCACTGCCATATAATTCAGTTCAGTGTGGATTTTATACAGCTTTGTGGAAGGGGCCCTAGAAGATCTGCAATCAACTCATGTAACATATTATTTAAATTTCAAAAGTTGCTGGGAGGAAGGGATCATACCTGGAAGATCTGATTAGCCAATAGATATAAATTTATCTTAATTTTGGCTACAGTGTTCCCTCACTTACCTTGGGTGTTACGTTCCATGACCATCCAGGAAAAGTGAAAACCCACGAAGTAGAGACGCTATATATGTATATTGCATTCCGAGGGTGAGGCAGTAGCAAGGAGAGATTTAAAGGCACCGTGCACTTTTTTTTTTTTTGCTAGCTATCTCTACTTTGCAATCTCTCTTAATTGGCTGCCTCTCTCCCGAGGGGGAGGGTGAAACCCCCTTCCATACTCCGTCATTGCCAGAAGGCAGTATTAGAACGCCGCTCTGGGCAACGGCAACCATTCATAAACCGGGAGGCAAAACCCGCGAAACAGCAAATCCAAAAAAAGCGAACCGTGAAGAAGCGAAGGAACACTGTATTTCTAAATTGTTTCTTGAGAATTTGCATACACATTATAGTTTTTAAAGTAAATTAAAAGTGGCCAGAGAGACACTTTGCATCCTAGAAATGCATACCTTGCTTTTTCTTGAATTTGCTTTACAGTTAGGCAAAATGAAGCAACTACAGGTTATAGAAACAGTGACTTGGTTGATCTGCAAATTCTGCTACTGAAACCGCATACAAGTTCGACTTCGGCTTTATTCAATCAGGTGTACAAGAATTACTTTTCTCTCTTCTTCAGATTTGCACACCAGATCCTCACCATCTTCAGTTCGTGAATACCAGTCATCATAGTAAGAAAAAATATTCTCTTTTTCGGTAATAGTCACTTCAGAAGATATAGGGCAGATACTCATACCTGAACTGCTTTTCAGCAAATTACACTAAGATGTAAGGCAAACAGTGCTGGCAAGAAATTAAGTTTTGAGAAATATTATTCAGAATAGTGAATTGTGTCAAGTTTGCTGAAAAATAACATTAACAAATCCATGTTTCTAAATGTTACCCTCATTTCAAATGACCAGTTATTGATTTTGTTCTAAATTGGTCCCTGTACTGGAAAAGTGTAAGAGAAAACCGATTTTCAAAGACAAACCTGGGATGGAGGGGGAGAAAAACATAAAAAGCCTTTTGTGTCAATTGGGAAGAAGACGACAATAAATTGAAACAGATGATATATTGGCAAAGCTTTCTGAAAAGTTATGACAGTTTATTTCATTTCATTGCATTCATTCATTTCTTTCATTTCATTGCACTTCCCTTAATAATGGGGCAGAAAGTGACTTACAATTTATTGAAAAGAAGACAAATTAAAAACTATATAAAAACATTCAAAAATTTTGCCTTTGTGTTGCTTTCCGCATCTTTTGAAAACATGGCAAGTGAGGAACCTGTTAGATTTATGGTTTTGATAGTTTGACTAGCAACTGTCTGGGTCGTTGAAATCTTTCATTACTACTATATTTCCCTTTAAATGTTTGATGGCATGCATCTCCCATTAGATTGAGAAGAAATACTTTGTAAGTATGGTTGTAAAACTATTCTTATAGTGAATTGTTGTATAGATATATCAAATATATGTTTTTCAGTGGCAGAAAATATGAAGTTGCAGATCTGGAAACACAGACAGAATGGAGTTACTCCGATATATCTCTGATTTCCAAAAAGGAAAGTAAGTTGATAATGACGTTTTCCCACAATATTACCCATCAAGACTAGTTTCAAAGAGTGGAATAGCATGAACAATTACGTTGGTATGTATCTGCACTGAAAACGTTTAGAATTAATGGCTCACATAGTTTATTTGTATTTGAAATGCTGTTTACTAATGGGTTTTTGTTTTATTATCTTTACGCTATACTATTTTAAATTGCGCCACTTTAGCATTAACACTGGTGCCTGCGAAAGCATCCCAGGAGCTCAGAAAATATTGGATCTTCTCCTTTGAGGTCAGAAAGCACATGCGCCCTTCTTAACTTGACAAGTAGTATGAACTGTCAGGGGATTTGGATCCATATATGAGACTTTATACTTTGAACTGTGCACATAAACAACAATGATAATTACATTCATTTAGTTCATTGTATTTATACACACAGAGATCCAGAACCAAGAAGTGAAGCTTTCAAAAACAGGGCTCGGATGGATTATCTCCCAATGCCCCACGATTTCAGAAGCAGAAATGGTTTTAGCTTGCCACCAGAAGTACAGCAGGGAGGCGGCCATTCTGACTCCACTAGGCACTGAAGGAGATCTGGTAGTCACCCCACATGTTTATAGACAGCTTTGACTCAGCCAAACCTACCTTTGGCAGGAAGGATTTTGCAACATGGTAGATGCCTATGTCTTGGATAGTCTTGGATAGTCAGCACCTTCCCAACTGAATAAGGGAAGATCTGCTGGGACACAAGCTACATGACCCTCTCTGATCTGTTGAAAATAGAACCTGTAATACACTGATTTCCAGCAGATTAGGGATGAACATCCTGACCCACTTGGAGGGGTGCAATCATGAATAATCATTATAATGTAAATAGTTCTCTCTTTGTGAAAAGCGTATATACCATGCTCTGCCACTTATCCTTTCCTGTGTGATCAATATATTCTGCACCATAAATAAATAAACAAATTTAACTTTAAATAGTTAAAGTTTATCTCTGGAGCATTCCTCTATTGGGCTATTTTAGTGACTGGCCTGCTAAGAGCTTCTCCCTCAATGTGGGGATACGGGGAGGTCTTTATTTCTCCTGCCTATTCGAGTGAGTAGGAGGAATCAACCCAAACAACAGGATATTTATCTCTCATCTGCTGGAAATGAATGTATCAAAGGTGAGAACCAACATTTATTTCCATGGGTTCTTCCTCATCAGTGATTTTTGCCCTCTTGTTGCCTTGCTACACCTTTTGGACCACATTCTGTTGTTGGTTGGCCAGACACATCCCAGGATTTCATCTGTGAAAAATATGTAATTTGAGGTGATATATTAAAGACTGTTAACATCAAGGAATGAACTGAAGCTGGAGTTGAACAGATGCAGGAAAGCAGGATGGGCTGCTTACAGTTCTATTGAAGCCATTGCGAACTCAACCGGAAGTACATCTTTATGAGCTCAATTGGTTGACTACCTGCCCTATGCTATGGTGCAGAGACATGGACAATGACGAAGGCTCTCTCGAAACAAGTACAAGCCATGAAACAAGTACAAGTCACATTTTAACCTGGCGAACCTTCTTAATGTATATAGATATTTATTTTTTAGGCATTTGATTGTATTTTATGATGTATTTTATTGTTTTGGTATTGAATTGTTGCCTGTTGGTAGCTGTCCTGAATCCCTCCTTGGAGGTCGAGAAAGGACGGGGTATAAATGTTCCAAATAAATAAATGCCTCCCTCAAAAGACAGCTCCTTGGGATGTCTGTCCAAACGCACAGAGAACATGGACTACACAATGAGGATGTTAGAAAAATATCAAAAGTGAAAGGTCCTCTATGTCACGTTGCCCAACTCAAATATTGCTTTGCAGACCACGTGATGTGCAGAACATATGGGCACTAGATCAATGCCATGGCAACATGGTTGGTACCTGCGGGGATGCACAAGACCTCTTAGTCACTCCCCACCCTCGATGGTCTGATTCATTCCATATGGCATATAATGTCAGAGACAAACATGGTCGTAGAATGGTACACTGGTCAACTTGTGCTCTAAATAGATATGAATGGAGGCAAATACAGAAGATGTTGTGATCCGCGTGAAAGATGAGGAACGGATCATCTAATTGACAAGGTGAAATAAAGTATTTAATTGGTAGGATTTACATTTGTGTTGTCTTAATCAGTAGATCTAGTCTAGTCGGGAATTAAATTTAGACCTTATTGAAATTATCTAGTCCAAACAAACAATCTGTGATGTGTGATGCACAAGAGAAGAGCATACATCTGGCAGGGTGGTATGTGGAGCTATAAAAAAGAGACAAGCAGATCAATGATAAAATATAATTGACAGATTAAGAATAATTTCACATTTGAGTTCAAAAATACTGCATTTACATTTTTCCTATTAAGGATACACATAAACCAAATTAAGTTTTGGGATTTTCTACTAAAAGCTTGATGAATTAGGCTTTTTGTTCTAATGTTACAAGCTTTGCTTCTAATGAGACCATTGAGGAAGCTAGAGGGAAAATGTGGAGAACAATTCTGTGTAATGGTGCCCGCACATTATGGCTTATGGAGCAAAGAAGTACCTTCCAAAGACAGGGATTTCACAGAATATTGAGTGAATACACACTCCATCACCCATGCTGCTCTGATTAATTTATCACCAGTTATTTTTTTAAATGTCAGGGGTTTTGATCACAGGTTATTTGATATCATTCTAGCTATCTCCTCAAAAGGCATTGATTGAGCAAGTTATTCTAATCTCAGGACTGGTTTTTAACTGAAGCTGGATGTCACTAACTGATTTTTAATGTATAGCAGCTTATTCTATTAGAAATAAATAATGATATTTATCAATATTGTTTTCATACAGCAGAAAAGAAGCAAGATCAAAGGAGCATGACTAAGAAGAAGAAATATGCAGGTGCAGAAAGTATTGGTAAGTTGTAATCATGAGAAATTCTGCTTACCATAATTGAGGTTCGATATAGCACTATCTTGTGATCTAGTCCCATAATTCTTATAAGAATAGCTCCAAGGAGTCGAAACACTTCATAGTTTCACATTTATTTTGTCCTCTTCCTGCCTTTTTAGAAACAGCCATACTGTTTCAGATAGAAAACTGACCACCATTAAGGAAGTCCTTTATGGGAATGCTTTTCAAAGGAAACCAGAGGTTCTTTGATTCTCTCTGGTTCTCATGTACAAGACAGCTGTGTCATTTTGCCTGAAAGCATTGTTGATTAATGCTGGTGGGTTTATTTTTTTATGTCAGAAGCGGCTTGAGAATCTGCAAGTTGCTTCTGGTGTGAGAGAATTGGCTGCCTCCAAGGATGTTGTCCAGGGGATGCTGATATGTTACCATCTTGTAGGAGGCTTCTTTCATGTCCCCACATGGGAGCTGGGGCTGATAGACAGGAGCTCACCCCATCTCACAAATTCAAACTGCTGACCTTCAGATATGTAGTCCAGCTGGCACAAGGGTTTAACCCATTGCACCACTGTGGCGCAATGCCGGTGGTCATTTCACTGTAAAATTTCACTCATTTATGATGTAACATATTCAGGGATTGGTGAATGGGTTTTAGAGCAAAATGAAACAAAATACAAAATCCAGAAAAGAGTGATGCATTTGTTGACAAAACACATCATGCAGATTTTTGACATTCCACTAGCTTTTTCGTTAGGCAAAAATGTTTAAAAAACCATTTAAGAAGAAGAAAGAAGAAGAAAAGTGAGTCACAGCTCTTCAATTTGTGTTACAACCCTACATTTTATATCAAATAAAATGTATGGTATAAGACCCTGAAAAGGGTAGCAAAGATGAAACCAAAATTTAAAAATGTTGTTGGAAATTTAATAAAACAGAAGGAACCTTTTATCATGTGTGGTGGACATATCCTAAAGCAAAATAAAAATTGGATTGTAATTCATAAAATCATTGAAAACATCTTAAAAATGATCCAGAAGCCTCTCTGTTGGGACTTATAATTTCAATTCTACCAAAAATTTTGATACTCTTTTAATACATCATAACTCCAGCAAGGATTATTTATGCTTACTATTGGAAATGAGAAGAATTTTTCACCCAAGATGTATAGATTACAAAAATGTTGGATGTGGCAGAGGACAAACTGAGTAGGTTTATACAATTGCCAGATCCTTCCAAATCTGAAGAAGAATGGCAGCTCTTTAATGACTATTCAGAAGAAGAAAAGAAAATGAAAATATTGGGTTTTCTACAGCATCAAGGGAAAATTAGTAGTACAGGGATGTAGGAATAACCAGAAAAGAAAAAAGTAGAGAAGTTAGTGACTAGAATAACAGGGTCACCAGTGATCTCCAAGAGATCCTGGAAAGTTAATCTACCAAAGATAAGAAGTTTTATGACAGGGTAAGAAGCAGTAGTTAGGGCTTTTTCAACTCCATTTCTCAACTTTTCTATCTCCTTTGTTTCAAAACACAGTACACCCACTTTTCTATCCTTCTGTTTTAGATTAGAAACAAATTTTCTTTTTTCTCTTTTTTAAACAACATATTAACCTTTTTGTATCAGATAACAATGGAAGAAGACGAAGATGTGAGATGTTGAAAATGCCCCTGTTCGATATCCACTTTTGTAACCTTTCCCATTCCTGATATATTTGCAATAAAAATTACATGGAAAAAAAAGAAAACTCTGTGATAGGGTCACCTTAGGTCTGAAACAACTTGAAGGCCACAATCCCAATTAATCATTAATTATACCTTAATTGGAAAGTCAGGATTAAAAATCTATTTGCAGCCCTAAGAGGCTTACCACCTCATAACTTCAGTGGTGGCTCTTGGTGGCACTCTGGTTCGCTGCCTGGCATCGGGAAGCTGCCGCAACATGCCCCCCCGGTTCCTCCAGCAGCTCTTCACACAGGGGGAAGTGTAATGCATATGTGGAATGCGCAGCTTCCCCCATTGACGGAATGGCAACACAGGAAGCCTTGTGGAGACCAAAATTCACTGGTTGTGGTAATATGAAAATAACTAAATTAACTCAATGTATATATTACAAATACACATATCAAAAAAACTGCCACATTCACATTAAGTAGAAACAACTGGTTCTTCTCTTGAAGTATAAAACAAAGTCTTCGTTTGAGAAAATGTCCTGCTCTTTATTACATATGAGTAGACTCCAGTAGTCACATGAATTGACTCCAACCTGCAACCGGTTTCGACTCACAAGAGCCTTCGTCAGGCGGTTGGGTTCAAATTATCAAAAAAAGCTCAACTTTTGAGGTGAGAAATTCACCAACAGTCTTCTGGAAGGGTGGATCAGCTATTCTTTGTTGAGCAATATACCCTGCAAGGAGTTTTAGTCTGTGGCGAGTATGAAGCCTCCCGTGTTGCCAGGGCATCAGTGGCACGCCAGTTCTGCTCTCTTTCACCCAGTGAGCCAGCATGATGTTATGTGATTGGAGCCATCCGGTCCTGTGGGTGACCAGGACTAGATCGGTGTTTGTCACTGAATCTAGCTCCGTATGATGAGGTTGTGAACATGTCTAATTTAAGTCTGCACAACTGCTTCCAAGTTGTGCAGGCCTGCTGTAGGCAATCACTACATTACATGTGTCATTTCTAGTACTCTTTTCATATATATATATATGCTCACACTAAGGCAGTACTGGGAAGTTATCTGTTAACTGCTCTATATTACACCACGTAAAAACTTTTTATAATTTTTATGGTCTGGCCATCTTACACTGATATAACTTAGAGACCACTCCCAATCATGTTCACTTCCACAAATTGATTTCAAGTAGAACATATTTCCAGTTAAGTGTGTTTAAGCTTATAACCCTTATTATTCCTTCTACAGGGGAAGTAGTTATCAGGCTGATAGAAAGACGAGATGACATTGACTTGGACAGTAAAGGTATGACATGCTGCCATTTCAGATGACAAGAATGAGAAACACCTCTATGAGCCTCTGTCTGTTGAAGTAGATAACACTTGGTTAAACAGACAAGCAGTTGGATACAGTCACACTGAAAGGATTTCCTAAGGCTGTTTGTACTTCAGTCTTTCTGCTATCTCTAATCTCAGCAGTTTTAGTAGGGAACTTGTTTACAGTTACCAGGGTGTCTGCAATTAATAAAGTAATCACTGTTGCAGAATCATTATCACACTCTTCCCTTGTTGAAATGTTAGTTACATTGTGTGCATCTTGGAGCATAAATGGAAGAAATTGCTTTCTTCTAAGATTTTCTTAATGCAGCTTTCAGTTCAATGATTTCTCAAGACACACAGAGAATGTTATGTACAGACAAACTTTAGTTCAAAAAATAAAAGCTCTTAAAAGTCTAATTTTTTTATTTAAAAATAAATAAATTTTAAAAACTTCATTTATACCCTGCCACCATCTCCCATAGGGACTTGGGGCTGCTTACATAATAGTACACAAAGATGCTATACATAAAATACATAATGAAATCAATATGAAAACACTAATAAATTTCATAAACCAGATATATAAATTGGATTTAAAAATATCTATTAAAAATAGAATCAGTTAAAAGATCCATGTAACAGTTGATTTAAATACTAGGTTGTTTTTAGGATGAAAGAAATGAACTATGTAATACCTTAATAGCTAAAACAATTCAATTTTTACATAAGGTTCCCTGCCATTTGTGAATTAGGAAATGCATTCCCTCTTTAAATGGACGTCCCCCTCGCTCCCCCACCCCACAAATCAATTCATCAAAACTTCCCGGGAGATATCCCTCCTCCCTTTTTACATCAAGGCCCTTATCACATGAGGATGTACTCTATTTATATTAGTATGCATCTTGTATTTTTTTAAGGACTGGATGCATACTGACCCCATCACACCCGATTCTTACAGTTTCAAAGTACAGTGCTTTGACTCATCACACTACAAAAATCTGCCTACTCCCAATCCATTTTAATGCCTTCCTAAATCACTTTTAAATTATTTTCCCCTAATATTGAGCAGTGAAATAGCCTAGAAGTCTCAAACTACCATTCTTGCGAGATTGTAGCTGACAGAATGCATACTGGTTTTACAACCACACATTAAAATAGTGCCTCAGAACCGTATTAAATTTTTAAAATCCCACAATTAGAATCCTTTTTGCAATTACTCCATTTTTGTGACACTTTGCAGATGTATTACAACAGTTCCTGATGGAATGAGACAAACGGAATCACATTCAAAGAATCTCAGAAACGTAGTCTATCCCAAGGTGATAAGATCTCAAGTCTCTCAAGAGAATTAGCTTGCAGCTTCTGGCAGTTTGATATTCCCTCTGCAGCTGGCCACACATCTACCAAAATAAACAATTTCAAACTAATGGGGGAAAATGGCATCTCCCCCCCCCCCATCAACCCCAATGTACAAGGGTTATCTGGAAAGTAAGGTTACAGTGCACTTGGCTCTCATGAGGAACTTTCTCGGGGGAAGTTGGTATCACCACCATGTAGCAGGAAGCCAGCGGAAACAAACTAGCACCGCCAGTCATCAGTAGCTCATTGATCGGCATTGTGGTGAAGGTTAGAGATGAGTGACCTCATTCCGTTTCCCTCCAAGTGTGAAGTTTGTGCTGTAATATGCTGCCTAAATAATAAGGGCATGAACACCGCTGTGATTTATTGTGAAATAATTTCAGTTTATGGAGAAGACATAATGTCAAGACAGCATGTGACAAAATGGGTACAGAATGTATTGTGAGACCATGAAGAAACTTTGCAGATCCATGCAAAACAAATATTGTGGGATGCTGACAGTGGGAGTCACTGCTCATGCTATGCAAGACTTGTTGGCTTCATTTGGTTGGGATGTTTCAAACCACCCCTCTCATAGCCCCAATCTTGCACCCAGTGACTATCATCTGTTCACTAAATTGAAGGAACACCTTGGTGGAAAACACTTTTCTGATGATGACATGGTGAAAATCGAAGTGATGAAGTGGCTGAAAAAGGCGGAAGGAAACCTCTATGACACAGACATCAAAAACTCATCCCACAGATGACAAAATGTATTAAACTGAATGGTGATTATGTGGAAAAATTATGTAATACCTATGTTACAATCCATGTAAACTTTATTAAAATATATTCATTCTTTGTATTTTTTAAAAAATCTTGTAACCTTACTTTTCAGATAACACTCATACAAGCAAACACAAGCATAGTTAAAAGCATCATCCAGTATACATATACATAGCCAGTGCACGCATCTTAACGTTAATCTTGGCTTAATGCATATCCTATATGTGCCTCTCTTATTTTGCATCTAAAACTGATCTTTGTTATGGAGCGTACTTTTTATGCAAACATTTCGAAGAACTCTCCATTACAAACCTTGTCACCCTATCAACAGCTAACAGTAACGTGCTTTATTAATTGCTTTTGTTAAAAGAACAATGAAATGTGTACTTTGGAAATATGACTTTGGAATCCTTTAGAATTTGTTCATGTAATTTATTTCCTTTAAAAGGGTTTTTTGGCACTTCATACTTAGGTTCTTACATTAGTTAGATGAGCTTTCTTCTTTCTGGTTTCATATTGCACTTTTTAGACAACTTGGAAAGCAAGCCTGTTTCTACAGAGTACTTTTTATATGTGAGTCCTGTTTACCTTAGCATGTTGCTGCCAGTATTACCATTCTGCTTGGTTTGTACAACAACATGAAATTTAAAAAAATGTAAAATATTAGTTTTCATATCTAGATTATAAAAATATCTGGAATACGTTTGTTCAACTTCATAGAAGACTCCTCTCCTGATGAAGAAGCTGACATGACAATACGGACTCTGTACACTCATGAGGTGAGACTCTACAATATGGACCCAAGGTCTAAAGGCCCTTTGCTTGTCCTAAGGCAGTATGACCTACATAGTTGTTCTCCATATCCTGAAAATATAAATGTATTTGCCTGGAAGTGCTGTTAACACAGCTTTCTAAAATAAAAACTTAAAAGTCACTAAAGGCAATATGCAGCTGGACACATTTTGAACATTTGGTTTTTTTGTGCAGAGGGCAATGTGAGCTTTAATCAGGAATAAAGCTATTGCCTTTTTAAAAAAAATGAGAAATGCTCCATTTTCCATGCTGAGGAGCTTTCATCCAGTCGATGCCCTTAAGGGTGCCTTTATTACCACCTCGCTAAAAGCGATACCTATTTCTGCTTTCGTCATGCTAGGTGGGCAGGCGAGCTGGGGATAACAGCGGTTGCTCACCCCAACCCAGGCTCGAACTGGCGACCTTTTGATTGGCAGGATTTTTCTGCAGCACAGTGGTTTAGCCTGCAGTGCTATTCCGGCCCCTAAAAGTTGTGGTGGTTTTGTTTTGTTTTTACTTACTCATCTAAATTCTAATCGCTACCAATACTACTCTACTGCTAAAAAAAACTGCTACAGGTAAAAAAACATAATAAACACAACATTTAACAGAGATCAAACACTGTAGGCAGGGCCAATTCAAATAGGATTAACAATTTAAAACACTGGGTGAGACTGCAATGTAATATGTCTGGATAGGGGACCCGGAGGTTAAAGTTGTGTTGATTGCACGGTCGGATGAAATAAAGTGCTTCCGAAGGCATTCTTCAAGAATTGGTCAGGTCAAGGGATTATTGTACATTCATTCAGTGAAGGCACACTGGAACAGTCAAGTTTTCAAGCTCTTCCTGAAGACTGCCAGAGTGGGGGCTTGCCTAACCTCTCTGGGGAGCGAGTTCCCGGGCCCGGGGGGCCACAGAGAAGGTCCTCTCCCTTGTCCCCACAAGACACGCCTGCGATGAAGGCAGGAGCAAGAGAAGGGCCTCTCCGGATGATCGAAGAGATCGTGAGGGTTCGTACTAGTCTATGAACCTCTCACTCACTGTCTGACAGTTCTTCTCTAATTTATGGCCGTAATGCATCAAAATACATATTTATACAATATCTTAGATCATGATCAGGCCATAAGGGTATAGCTGTAGGAGCTCAAAATACAGGAGAAGCAGAAATTTGATAGCAGGAAAACCATACAGAAGACTCAAAATCATGACTAGATGGACATTTTTAGCTTTCTGTAGAAAATGCCCATTAACTTTAATCCCCTGCCCCCAAAGTGCAGTGTGAAGTTTTTGGTATATGAAATCATTAGTTTTGGGGCATCCAAATTTAGCCTTGTTATATTGTACAAGTTCTCGTTATATTGTATTAGTTCTTAACATGTAAATGCCAAAAATAATCCAATTAATTGAAAGATTCATGTGTTCACCAGTGAATAAGTACTTTTAGAAGTGTTTTATAACAACTCTTTGATTTTTTCTTTCTCAATTTGAGGGTCATTCGGTTACTGACCTTTGCCACCTTGGCTGCTGTGAGTTTTGTACCACTCTCCTAAAGCCTTTACCAACACCAGAAGAATTGGAGGAGAGGCCAGAAAAAATGGATAAAGTGTGTATGATCTTTATGAATAATTATAAGCAATTAAGTTTCCAAAAACCGTTACAGGTTCAGGACTAATATTACAGCAGAGTCTCACTTATCCAACCTTCACTCATCCAATGTTCTGTATTATCCAACACAGCCTGCCTCCCACCCGGATCCACAGGTGTTTCAATACATTGCAATGTTTTGGTGCTAATTTAGTAAATCAGTAATTACTCCATAACATTACTGTGTATTTTTCTGTTGATTTGTTGTAAAATATGATGTTTTGGTGCTTAATTGGTAAAATCATAATGTAATAGGCTTTTCCTTAATCCCTCCTTATTATCCAACATTTTTGCTTATCTAACGCTCTGCCAGCCCGTTTATGTTGGATAAGCGAGACTGTACAGTATTGATAAGGAAAAAAGCCCTCTGGTCAGTTAGGGCAGTAACTGAAGAATGGAGTCATGCCAGCTCAACAGACCTCTTCCACATCCGTTGTGGTCTAAATGTCATCTAGAGGAAAGACTATGTGTACTATGTCATTCCCTCGTTGTCTTCACTGAACAGAGAGAGTGCATACAGAGTTAAACCAACTATGAAACTGGCTGAGGGGCTCTTTCCTTATATTTCTGCTGTTTTCTCAACACCCTAATCAGAGATATGACTCAGAAAAGTGATGCCCCTGCTGTGCTCTACCAACCAATAACAAATATGTGAGGGTTGGGGGAATTAATTTCTTTTCTCTGATCAGAGATAGCAGTGGGATTAATCCATAATAGCCCAGCATGAATCCTACATTTCCACAGATCCTTCATGGGTCGGAGAAGCTGGTTGAAACCTACAAGGCAAGAGGTTGTCTTTCAAAGGGCTAGTAGGCAATGGCATGCGAGATCTCAGGGCCTGGTCTCCTGTTAACCAAAGGACCAAGCATCTCAGGATGAGACGGCTTGCCCCTCACTGATGTGGAAAGCTTTGGAATACCAATTGTGTATTCTCTAGTGTGTCTGTCTCACTAGCTTGTCTTTCTGGCAAACTATGTCCAGCATTGGGGCTCATTGAAAGAGCTCAGTATAGGGCAGTGGTTCTCAACCTGTGGGTCCCCAGGTGTTTTGGCTTACAACTCCCAGAAATCCCAGCCAGTTTACCAGCTGTTAGGATTTCTGGGAGTTGAAGACCAAAATATCTGGGGACCCGCAGGTTGAGAACCACTGGGATAGGGAAATACTGAGCTTCTTTAATTTTTGCTTCCTCGGGAGTCACTAAACACAGGATTGCTGCATTGTGGCGATCCCATTTCATTGTTAAGTTTCCTAGTTCTATCAGCTAAATGGTTGAAATGACAGCACAGTTTCTTGGTTTACACTGCCTACAAATGTTCTATTTAAAGACAGCTGTGTTAATTTGGATCAGCATATAAATGCTTCGTAGAGCACCTTTGCAAGTGAAAGAAAAAAGAATTGATAGCATAAGCTTTTATAAACTTAAGTCTACTTCATCAATACTCAGAGTGCATCTCTTCACTCTGCAACTGATGAAGTGTATAAAAACATGTTATCAACTTCTTTCTCTTGGGCCCCATCTACACTGCCATATAATACAGCTTGGAACTCCCTCTCACAATTCCAAACAAAATGTCTGTTGCGCAGCAGCGAATTTTGCCCAATGCCCAAAATCCAAATGCAAAAAGACTCACAGGCCAGAGTAAAAAAATGAAACAGAAAATTCTTTACTCTTTACTTAGCAGAGATATAAACTTGCATACAAAAATCAAAAAATGCAAGAAACATACATAGTCCACAAAATAAGGCATCTTCATCTTACAGCAGAATAGAGAGCAAAAATAAACCTTGGATAAATACCGTAGCTATGTCACCATAGCCTCCTTCAGAGTGGCTTCTCCAGCATCCACCAGCTCTCCACTACTCAAACCCACCAACAACCACCTACACCCACACTGTAAAAGCCCATACAGATATACACCATTGGGTGTGGTTCAATCTTGCTGGTTGACCTACTTTCCCAGCTGTATTAGATAATTAACACCACAAGGCTTTTCTTCACACGTACACACACACACATGGTCCTGCAATGGCTTACCGCAACCAAGAACAAATATTGCTTTCCAGATTGCAAAGAACTAACAAATGCATGTGTAAACAAAATTGCAAACCCAGAGGTTATTAAATGGTTAAAAACTCAGTCCTAAATTTCAGTTGGTCATACTCTCCAACATTTCACAGATGAAAATAGAACATATGTGGCCAAGCAACATTAGTGTGTGATCAAGATGACAAAAATTACTGAAGAACACGCATGCTAGAAGAAGCTTGCTTTTTCCTTAGGGAAAGCAAGATTCTGCCCTCCTTCCCTCTCCTTCCTCCCAGCAAAACAATTGTGTACTTTGGATTCAGTACCTGTCATAAGAGGAAAGTGGCATGGGGAAGGGGGGGGGGGGAGGGACAAACAAGAACATTAAACAAGCAGCTAAGATAGTGTGATGACAGAAGAAGTAATAGCAACAGAAATAGTAGTTCAGTATCCAAACTGAAATATTCTGTTTTGTAGTTTATTTGTTGCAGGACTTACAAGGATGTTTTCCAGTGTGTAATACAGGAGCTTATGGAAAGCAACATCGCAGAAAGTCAGATAGATATCACCCCCCATCATCATATTTCACAAGCACTGATGGACAGCAAGACTAGAAAGCTTCTGAAAGAGGAGTAAGTAGATGGAGATCAACTCTTCTGTTCCCACAAATTACTCGATCGCTTTTTCACTAGGCTGTCAAAATAACCCAGTTTCCCTCTACATTATTATTATTATTATTATTATTATTATTATTATTATTATTAGCTGCCCTGAGTTCCTCTGCAGAGGTAGAAATAGGACAGGATACAAATGCCCTAAATAAATAAATAAATAAATATTATTGTTATTATCATCATCTTCCCACGTTTCCTCTTCACAAAGGAGACTTAAAGCAGCTACCCAAGCAGCTTCTCACTAGGACTGCTAAATTACCAGTGATTTTGAAAATCCAAGATACCCATACAGTAATGACTAAAAATAATGGAAAAAACAAACCAACCAGAAACCACCCTGCTAGAATTGTCTTTGTAATCCAACAATATTCCTACATTTCCATGCACTCGGAAGATGAATCTATCTTCAGACATCATTTTGAAGATATTCACCATAAAATAAGTATTTCAGCCTCAACAGTCAGAAATTAGTTAGAAGGGATTGGTGTAACTTGTTTTCCCGGTGTTTTCAGAGAGAAGGCCAGTGTATACTTGGATACTGATATTAACTTTTAAGTCCTAGAAATGTAAAGCCAGGAGAGAAGCAGACACCCACAAATCCTCCAATTTGGATTTTAGAATTGCTTTCTAAAAGTCAGTGCTACACTGGTATCTATGCCTACTAATAAAAGATTAGCATAAATAAGCATATGCCCACACTACTGGTGTAGTCTGTAAGTTAAACAATCACACAAAGTTACTGCGGGGTGGTGGTGGTGGTGGTGGTAAATTCAACTATGTGTTCTCTCCTGAGCCAGTTTCTGGTTCCAGAGATCTGAATGTCCTTCCGGATGTGGTAAGGGAAGACAGATAGGGGAAAGAGATTCCAAGAATTAGAGTCTGCTTTGGATGCACACCATTTCTCTGTCCAGTATACACCTTCTTCCCACTGCTTTTTCCAACTTCACACTGTTCATATATGTATGGATTTATGATCCAGAAGACTGTTGTTTGGAGAGAAAAAAATAGTTTTAACCATTTATTTTGACATATTGCTTTCTTAGGTTACAAGAGCTGGGTTTTGAGAGGTACAGAGAGATATTTGAACAATATATGAAATTTGGCACATGTGAGTATTAATCTAGCAAAATCCCCAAATCCACACAACAATTTTTGGCACCTTCCTTACTACAGGCAGTCTCGAAGTTACAAAGAACTGACTTATAAAAAATTCATAGTTACAAATGGGGGCGGGACATCAGGAAATGAGAGAAAGGGAAATTTACCCCTGAAAGAGTTATAATGGGGAAAAGGGATCTCTACTGAAGCTTTATTGCCAATCCTTGTTTCCACAAGGAGCCAAAATGTTCACAATCCAATTATCATATGGATCGAAAGTGAGGGGAAATCTTCTGAACAGGGGCGCAGGTGGCAAAACAAACACCACAGGGGTGTCAGCTCTCCCCTATGCTAGCCAAAGCTTCTATCTATATATCCATCCATGCCCCCCCCTCTCTCTATACACAAACACACACACAYAYAYAYATATAKAGAGAGAGAGAGAGRGAGAGAGGGAGAGAGAGAGAGAGAGGCTGGAGTTACCCCTAAAATCTACCTGTTCCAACTTACATACAAATTCAACTTAAGAACAAACCTAAATAGAACCTATCTTATTCATAATTTAGGGACTGCCTATACTGAAATTCCTCCCAGTTTACTATTCCCTCTAATCTCCATATAGAAAGTTGGAACAAAACAACCCCTCCTGAAGATGCAGGTGAATGAGTAGATTGCAGTATGTGTTGCTCTTGAAGTTTAATTTCTCTCTTCCATCAGTTTCCATTTTTTGGGGGGAGGGGGGGGAGAAAAGGAATTCCTTGCTATAGATGTTACTTACTGAAATTTCATATTGTTTGATTCATCTTCCAACATTATTTCAGGTGTCAAAATGAAATTCAAATTATCAGACCATCCACCAAAACCCAAAATGCCCCCTAAAAAGCTTCGTCCTTCCCCCAAAGAACTACTGGATATAGACGTGGAATTCAAAGCAGAGCAATTAAAGGTGAGTATATTTTTTATAATGAATTGTGATGCACTTAAATATTGTGATGCTCATGGACTGCCCAGGAACGCTTAATTGAGAACTGTGATGAAACAGTAACAGAATGAACTCTTATCCACTCTTGACTCTTGGAAAGATTTCATCAGCGTTGCCTGATGGGGGGGACAAACATCAGTGTTGTGGAAGAAGCAAAGACCTTAATAAGTATTAATAGTAACAACAGCAGCAGCAGCAACTTTTCTTTCAGATTGTCCACTTTTGGGGTATTCATTCAAATTTAACAGCAAAAAATCATAACATTTCTTCAATCCTTCACGGACACTTGTGATAACATTGCAGCCCTCAAGGGGTTCCCAGACCCTAGGTTGAGAATTACTTTTCTGTTTAACACTTGCTCTGTGTCCTAAAAAGACTACTAATGGGCATTTCCCTCTATTTTCTTCTGCTTTCTCCTCAGATTTGCCATACTAACAATCCTGTGAAGAGATACTATCCTAATGGAAGGATATTCTTTCTTTTCTTTCCAGATGGAACAGGCCAAGTTTAATATCCAGCAGTAATTAGGCTTTTAGACAGAGAAGAATTAACAATTAAGTTAGCAATGAGAGATAGGACGTTTTCAGTGGTGGCCCCTCACCTATGAACGTCTGCCCCATCCCACTGACCTTCCAGAAAAAACTGAAAACATGGCACTGGGATCAGGCATTCAGCCAGTAACAGGAGTAGTGCAATATTAGACTACAAATTAATACAGTGGTGACTTGGACCAGCTCTGGAATATGATTTGGATCACACAATTATAATTGATGTTTTAATGCTATGTTTTTCATGGGTTTGGTTTTAAAGTTTTTATTTATTTACCAATGTATTAATATATGGCATTTAATTGTTTTCTTTGTAAAGTTGCCCCGAGTACTCTTCGGGGTTGAGTAGGGTGGGATATAAATGTGGTAAATAAATAAATAACAAACAAACATTTAATTTTAAAAGAAATCCTTGCTATTTTGGTGTAGTGGATCTCACATTTAACTACCATATATTGGAACAGAAAGTATATACTGTAATTCCATTTTAACTAAGGATAGTGAAAGTAATTTAAAGATTTTATATACATCTTTGTTTTATTCTATCACTACAATTTTCTCATTTATAACTCTATCACTGTAATCCAGTAAAAATTATTTATCTAATTTTTTGCAAAGTTGGTATAAATTTTGACACATTAGCCTTGTTTCATTAAAAAAAACCAGGGTGGAAATGTTCTCTCCCCTTCATAAGCATGAGACAGCACTCCTTCCAGCCTCCTTTAATAAAGCAATATGTGAATAACAATTAACATTACTCTTTCAAATTTTATAATAAGCATTAACACTAATAAGTTAAATGTTTCAATTCATACTAAATTTAAATAATTATTAATGCAGTTGTTTAAAGTGATAATTTCTGAGTCCTGTATCTATAAAGAATGAGGAATCATTGTGTAGTTAATATAATATTAAGATGAATTACAGCTCTTAAGATGTTTTTCCTTTCCTTAACTTTTTATCAGCTACCCCTCAGGTAATATTGCTATCCTTATAATCTATGTAAAAGGTAGTCAGTTCACATACATCGTTCTTCATGACAGCAGTTCACATGAAGTTCTGGCATTCTTCGCAAATCAGGGTTATGCAACATGTTACCGTCAAAAAGGAACAATCTGGTAAGCAGCAAGTTAGCCTTCAAAAATTCCTTCCAAATGGAATTGGAGTAAATAGCTTTTTAATAATTACAATTATCTTGTTGGTTTTTAAAAACTTTATTGAAATGTATTTACTTTTACTTGAGATTGTGTAGAATCGCATGTGCACAATTTTCCTGACACGAAGACAATCAAAGCTTATTTAAGTTACTCAGAACAAGATGAATTATTTCTTTTTATCACACATAAAACATACAGATAGTCCCCATGTTACAAACAGGATAGATTCTGTAGCTTTGTTATTAAGTTGAATTTGTTTATAAGTTGGAACAAGTACATTTTAGGTGTCACTCTGGCTATATTACGTGTGTGTGTGTAAGCTTTGGATAGCATAGGAAAGGATGTTTGCTTAGTTGTCTGTGTCCCTGTTCAGATTTCTCCTCACTTTCTATCCCTATGAGAACTGGATTGTGCCAAACTTAGCTCCTTGTGGAAACAAGAATTGGTGATAAAGCTTCAATGGATACACCTTTTCCCCATGATATCTCTTTCAGGAGTGAATTTCCCTTCCTAGGGGCAGATTTCTCTTACTTCCTGAAGACTGTCTCCCAAGTCCTCATTCATTTGAAAGGAGAGTCAGTTGTGTGTCATCAGCATGCTGATGATATTGAACCCCCAAATTCCAGATGGCCTCTGAGTGGCTTTATGTAAAATATCAAATATCATGAGGGACAAAGCCAAGCCCTGAGGAACACCACATGATAATGGCCAGGGTGTCAACCCCAGCACTACCTTCTGAGTCCACTCCTCCAAGAAAGACCAGAATGTGTCTAAAATAGTATCCCAAGTCCCGTCTCAGAGGGGCAACCCAGAAGGATACTATGATTAAAATGGTATTGAAAGCCACTGAAAAGTCCAGCAAAAGCATCAAGGACAAACTCCTGCTGCATAGCTCCCTGCATAGATCATCTCCAATATAACTAAAGCTGTCTCTGCCTCATAGCCAGGCTCGAATCTAGATCTGAAATGGATCTAGATAATCTGTTTCTATGAATGCCTGGAGCTGGAAAGCCATCACGTGCTCTAGTACATTGCCCCAAAGAGGGATATTGAGATTGGCCAACAGTTCTCCAGGATAGTAGGATCCAGAGAGGTTTTTTTTTTTTTTTTTGCAATAGTGGTGTCACCATAGCCTCTTTAAGATAAGGTGGAAACATGCCTAGCTGTAGTGAGAGGTTACCCTGCCCCAGCTTCAGCCAGCCACATCTCTAATAATACAAGCTAGAAGAGCATATTCATTCCAAATCAGGTCCTGAATCCAGGATGTTTTCTGACTTTGCCTTAAGAAACAACATTTTCAGCCCAGGAAATCTCTTGCCAAGGTTATCCAGACTCTTTGGGTCAGGGGGCAGTTTAGGGGAAACCAACATTAAGGGAAACTTTTTTGCTTTGCTGGTAACACTGTCTCTCCACAATACATCTCCCTCTGTCTATTGATGTTGCAATGGCTTCTTCCTTGGCAGCTCCTCTTTCCATCTACTCTAAATGCTCTGTACATTTTTAAGCTTCCAAACTCAGAAGTAGTGCCTGAGATAAACTGGGAGCTAAAATGCTTGCTAAGACCCTTTCCTTATTTCCCCCAAGGTGGAATCAAACATAGGCAGACAACTAGAAAATAATGTGCATATAATTGTTTATGCGAATATTCACTGCACTTCTTACTTTAGTGGAAAATGTCTATTTCTTGAAACAAGTTTATTATTTTGTTTTTGCTGATGCCTCTCATGAGTTGTAAAATAATCTCCTTAAAGACTGAATAGCACGTACAACCAGCGAAGTCATTCCTACTTTTATCTAACCAGATGCTATTTTGATTTCTTTCCGTATTCTTCTATCATTGGATTCTTCTGCCAAAGAACATGTTCTAGTTTGCCTACAATTGAGCTTGGTAGCCCAGTTTCAGTTCTTGTAAATTGTAAGCTGTGTTACGAGAAGTGAGGGACTGATTAGTTAACTTGAGTGACTGGTGTGGTTTGAGGTGATTATGGTTAGGAATTTTGATGCCCTATTTGTTTTTTCTTACCAGAAACAGAAAAGTTGCTATCAATCTGAATTAATTTGGTTTCTTTGAACAGGGTAAATCTGAACCTTTGCACTGGATCCTACTTTGATGACAAGGGAATCAGACAGAAACATTGGAACTGGTGGGACACTAGCTGTCATATTCATGCACCTCCTTTCCAGCCTATTAGCATTTCGCTGAACACTTACATCCAGGTTAAAATGGAAGCCCAGGATCAGATCTTCCTAACATTTACTCACCTTCATCACTGCATCCAACTAAATGTTGGTGCAAGATTAAAAGTAAGTGCCTGTGATAATCTTCTCTACATGTATGGAATGGGATTCTGAGTTTCCAACTCTCTCTGTTGGGAAGATATGGATGATAATGGAATTTTGACAACTTTTGAGAAGATGCTTACAAATGGAAATCCAAGGCAGAAAGTCAGCCTTATGTGCCTTTCAAATTTCTTACCTTAGTAGTTCAGTGTCTGATGTAACAGCCTGGAAAGTAATGTTTTTCACTTCCATTACAGGCAGTCCCCAATTTACAAACAAGATAGGTTCTATATGGTTTGTTATTAAGTTGAATTTGTGAGAAAATTTCAGTTGAGACTTCTTTCCCTCATAACTTTTCAGGAGAGAATTTCTCTTCCGGGAAGCATATTTCTTTCACTTCCAGTTCTTAACTATGAGTCATTTGTAAGTTTGATGTTTGTAATTCAGGAACTGCCTGTATCCCATGAGATTCAAAATTCCACAAAGAAGACCCAGTCTATACACTGAGCAGAATTAAACAGTAAGCCATTGGAGACAGAAAAAAACACCCTATATTTTAATTTTCATTTATTTTACATTGGTCACGATAGGTATGTGTGCCATGTTTGGTCCAGATGCATTGTTGGTAATATTAATATGGCCCTCTGGATGCTGGTGGACTCCCATCATCCATTGCCATCTCCCTGCCAAACCCTGCCAGTATTTTATGTTGGTGAGGATGAGTATGTGTGCCAAGTTTGGTCCTGCTCCACTGTTGTTGGGATTCACACGGCTCTCTGGATGTGGCTATGCTAAAGCTCCCATTATCCTCTATCAGTCTGTCCCAAACTCCACCAGTCTTTTTTGTTGGGTCATGAAGGGTATGTATACCTAGTTTGGTCTAGATCTATCAAGCTATGTAGGAACCTTTGTGAATCAAACATACATACATACATATATACATACATACAGGTATATGTTGACTGATTGATAGATAAGAAAGCAAATAGGATGAATGCAGCTCCTATTTAATGCTAGTGGTTTAAATGGGAATACTTTTGCAAGACTATTTGTACTTCTAACAACAAGCTAAAAATTGTAATTAAGATCCTTTGTGAATGTTCACTGTTTTTCGAAATTAATCCTATGTGCCTGGAAATAAGTACTACAGAGATTAATGCAATCTCCTCTGAATACAAATAGTGAAAATAAAGAGTGGATTTATAGGTATTTCCTGGGACCATGCTTAGAAAAGAATTCTTTCTTTTAAAATCCATTTCTACCTATCTATCTATACATATAAAATCCAAAAGGGCGTCCTTAGGGGCCGCAAAACGCGAAAACCCCCGGACGAAAACTCACCAAACTTGCCGTACACATACCTCAAACCACAAGGTATGCACAACACTCATCACAATTCAAAACAACATTACAACAAACTCACAATCACAGAAACAAACAGAGCATGCGCAGAGGCGTCCCGGCGCGAGCCGCCGGGCGCGCGCACATGGCCAGACCACACCCCCTCCGTGGAAGCCCCGCCCCTCCCTTCGCCATCCTGCCCCTACCCGCCCACGCCATCCTTCCCTCCTCCCCCTCCCCGCCACGCCCCTCCGAGAAAGCCACGCCCCCACCCTCCGCCGCCCCCCCTACCCGCCCATACGCCATCCTTCCCTCCTCCCCCTCCCCCTCCCCCGCCCCCCCCCACACAGCCCCCTCCGAGACAGCCACGTCCCCACCCTCTGCTGCCTCGCCCCTACGCCATCCTTCCCTCCTCCCCCTCCTGCCCCCACCCCCCCTCCGAGAAAGCCATGCCCCCACTCTCCGCCGCCCCACCCCTACCCGCCCATACGCCATCCTTCCCTCCTCCCCCTCCTCCTCCTCCCCCGCCCACGCCCCCTCCGAGAAAGCCACACCCCCACCCTCTGCCGCCCCGCCCCTACCCACCCATACGCATCCTTCCCTCCTCCCCTCCTCCTCCCCCCCCCACCCCTCCGAGAAAGCCACGCCCCCCCCCTCCCCCCCTTCCCGCATTGACGCAATCCTTCCCTCCTCCCCCTCCTCCTCCAGCGGTCACGCCCCTTCCCAGGAAACTACGCCCCCTCCAATCCCTGCCCTGACCCAATCCATACCTCCTCCCCATCCCTCTCCACCGCCGCCATCTTCTCCAAGGGGAGGGAAGAAAGGTAGGAAAGAAAGAAGAGAGAGAGAGTAGGAGCATGGGAAACAAGGGAGAAAGGAAGGAAGGAAGAAGAAAGGAGCGGAAGGGAAGGTGTAGGAACGAAGGAAGAAAGGACGGAAGAAAAGGCAAGGGAGGAAAGAAAGCAAATGAAGAAGAGAAAGGGAGGGAAGGAAGGAAGAGGAAGGAAAGAAAGAAAGAAAGAAAGAAAAGGAAGTATGGAACTACAGAGCGAAGGAAGGAAGGAAAGAGAAAGAGAGGGAAGAAAGGAGACAAAGAGGAAGGAAAAGAAAAAGGGAGGAGGAAGGAAAGAGGTACAGAAGGAAGGAGGAGAGAAGGAAAGAAAAAAGGGAAGGGAGGAAAGACGCAGCAAAGGAAAAAGAGAAAGAAGGAGAGAAAGACGCAGGGAAGGAAAGAAATAAGGAGAAGGAAGGATGAAAGCAAACAGCTAAGGAAGGAAGTAAACAGGTAGAGAAGGAAGAAAGGAAAGAAGAAAACGGAATGAAGGAAGGAGTGAAAGAAGCAGAGAAAGAGGGAGAGAAGGCTGGCCACAGCAACGCGTGGCGGGTAAAGCTAGTAGTCTATAAAGAAAAACATAAACTACATTTGGGGACTGATCACTCACACACATATTTCTATATCTTTGAAGGAAAAATACACATGTATAATGAACATTCCTTCAGCTTTTCATCAGTATATACCAAATTGCATCTATCTCTGGCCACAGTTCTGGATTCTGCATTTCATTATTATAATATCTCAGCTCATATATCAATCCAGGAGTGTTTCCAGATTGTTAATATATAATATATGAAGCAGAATTTCTGTATGTGAAATTTTTAGTGAAAATGATTAACTTGGTTAAAATAATGATGAAACATTAACACTTGTCTAACTGTGACTTTTGCAGTTGAAAGATCCAAACATGCTTCCATTACTTAAACATCGTGAAACTGTGAGAGAACGAAGCAAGATTTTGAAGATCAGAGAGCTCTTAACAAACTTCCAGAAAATACTGAAAACACTGCACACTGTTCCACCTGACGAAATTGATGACCTGTGTCAAGTCGTAACAGAACTGCGTGGCCTAGCCCACCAGCGACATAAAAAGACGGTTAGATTTAAACAAAAAAAATGAGGCACAAATCTGTTGAATAAAGAAAAGAAAAAGTCTCCTTTGGTGTGCAGCCTTTCAAGTAAACAAACTTGATGACTGCTCTGTATTCCACTGGGTCCATTATCAAACCTCACATCATTTCAGCACCTGTCAAATCAAGATTTTTCTCAGTTCCGAGTTGTAAATTGGCACGTAACCTATAGAGACTGATATCATTACACATGTGCAGTTTCAGCATCCTGTGATAAATAGAAGTGGGTCAGTGGAAATCTTTAATGCATGCTCATATCAGAACAATTAATATTCATTTATTTATTTATTTATTTCGAGGTTTTATATACCGACCCTCTCACCTTCAAAGAGGGATTCGGACCGGTTCACAACATGTGTTAACATACAAAAAATATACAATAACAACACAATGCCACTTCATTACACGGTTAAAATATCAGCACTATACACGTTAAAACATTATCATCACAGTTAAAAGAGCCAAATCGTCCGACACCATCACAATCCCATTCATCATCCTCCTTTCATGTGGGCAAAGAATTAAATCAGTTGTCAAATGCCGCGTTCCACAACCAGGTCTTTGTTAGTTTCCTGAACGTCATGAGGGAGGGGGCAGTTCTGATCTCTAATGGCAGGGAGTTCCAGAGTCGAGGGGCCACCATCGAGAAGGCCCTGTCCCTCGTCCCCACCAGCCGTGCCTGTGAAGGTGGAGGGACCGAGAGCAGGGCCCCTCCAGACGATCTTAGTGGTCTTGATGGTTCGTAGGGGAGAATACGTTTGGAGAGTATATTCAGTATGAATATATGTCCCATGGGTGGTGGATGCACGTAGAGAGGTATAAAAATATATGCTGAATTGTTTAACTGATTTATTGTATTTATTTATTGTGTGAGAGAGACTGGATGCTAAAATGCTTTTTAAAATCTATGGGCCGCTCTTCTTTCCTTGTTCTTTCCCCCCGAGGTGGAATACAAGATCGGTAGCACACTATAAAAAAATTGGCACCTAATAACGTTCATGTATATGATTATCTGCGGATTTGTTCCAGTAACATTCTCTCCTGATTTTTCACCTGCATCTGTGGCAGGCATCCTCCAAAGGTTTGCTCAAAGGTCTGTGGAAATGAGGCCTGTGGGGTGTACATATATCTGTGTAATGTCCAGGGTGGGAGAAAGAACTCTTGTCGTTTGAGGCAAGTATGAATGTTGCAATTGGCCACTTTGATTAGCATCGAAACGCCTTGCAGCTGCAATCTTGATTAGCAATTGGGTAGCCTTGTAGCTGAAAAGCCTGGCTATTGTTGCCTGGGGGCATTCTTTGTTTGGGAGGTGTTAACTGGAACTTGATTGTTGGCTGTTTGAAATTCCCGTTTCTGAGTGTTGTTCTTTATTTGCTGACTTGATTCTGGTATTTAGGAATACCAGTAGCCAGATTTTGTTCATTTTTGTTTCTCTCCTTTCAGTTGAAATTGTCCACATACTTGTGGATTTCAATGGCTTCTCTGTATAGTCTGATTATGGTGGTTGTCAGAGTGGTCCAACATTTCTGTGTTTTCACATAATATTCTGTGCCCAGCTTGGTTTATTATGTGTTCTGCTATGATTGATTTCTCTTACTGAAGTAGTCTGCAGTGCCTTTCATGTTCCTTGATTCGTGTTTGGGCAATGCTGCATTTGGTGGTCCCTCTGTAGACATGTCCACAGCTGCATGGTATCCGGTAGACTACTGCAGAAGTGAGAGGATCCCTTTTGTCCTTTACTGAACATAGCTTTTGTTGGATTTTCTTGGAAGGGCCTGTAGATTGATTGGAAGTTATGTTTCTTCATTAATTTCCCTATGCAGTCAGTGGTTCCCTTGATGTATGGTAAGAATATTTTTATATTTTTCCTAGGTGGATTTTATTCTCAAGCTGGTGCCCCCCCCCCCCCCCGGCTCTGGAACTTTTCCCCAGGGAGATTAGAGTAACACCCACCCTGTCCACCTTCCGAAAATACCCGGAAACTTTGATGTTGCAATGTGCCTTTGACTAACCGGTTCATCTATTGACTAGGCCCCTCTAGCTCTAACTTATTGTCTGGCTTTGTAGCACTTTATTACTCGTCCCTACAGCTCTGTTGCACTAGCCCTTGCCCCGCCCTCCTAGATCTGAACACACCCATTCTTCTCAGCTACTGCTTGATGGTTATTGATGTTCTTATGCTTTCATGATGTTTGTTGTTAGGTTTCATTGTTTTAATTATTTACATTTATTTATCATATCAGAAGTGAACCGAGGGTACAGTTGTAATGTATTTAAAAACACAAAGATTAATTATTGAAATTCAATGTATTTTAATTGTGCTATATCTTAACTTCCGTTTTTGCTGGGCCTGGTCCCCATGGAAGCCACCTAGAATCCCTTTGGGGAGATGGTGGCGGGATATAAGAATAAAATTATTATTATTATTATTATTATTATTATTTGCTAATCAAGGTATCCAATTGCAACAGTCACACTTGCTTCAAAAAAACACAAGTGTTCTTTCTCCCACCCTGGACATTCCTCAGCAGAGGCGGCCCTAGGTAATTTTCAATGGTAAGCAAACAACCAATCATTGATATATATTTTCTGTTCGTCATGGGAGTTCTGTGTGCCATATTTGGTTCAATTCCATCATTGGTGAAGTTCAGAATGCTCTTTAATTTTAGGTGAACTATACATCCCAGTGACTTGCATATGTCAAGGTCTATTTTCCCCAAGAGTGCCTCAAGAGTGCCCCTGGGCAAAATCAGCTATACTGCAAATGCTTACTTTGCGTAATGGGTTGAGCCGCCCCTGTTCCTCAGATATATAAAGCTCCCTTGCCTAGTTTCCAACAGACCTCACAACTGGGTTGTCGTAGGTTATTTCGGGCTATATGGCCATGTTCTTGAAGCATTCTCTCCTGATGTTTCGCTTGCATCTATGGCAAGCATCCTCAGAGGTTGTGAGGTCGTAACCTCTGAGGATGCTTGCCATAGATGCAGGCGAAACGTCAGGAGAGAGTGCTTCTAGAACATAGCTATATAGCCCGAAATAACCTACAACAACCCAGTGATTCTAGACATGAAAGCCTTCGACAATACACAGACCTCACAGGATGTGGGCGAAGAGTCAGGAGAGAGTGCTGCTGGAACATGGCCAGACAGCCTGGAAAACTCGCAGCAACCTAATGCTTCCGGCCTATCTTGTTCCTATCTTAAGGGTTGCTTGTATATTCTCCAGCCATTCCCACCTGCCTTCCAGAATCAAGAAACTCAATACCGATTGCGCAAGGGCTTTCCACCTTCTCTCCCTCTGCGCGCATCTCCCGGAAGATGCCCACACCCTGAGGCCACTTCCGCTCCCGTCCCAGGTCTCGCGAGAGCTGGCTGGCTGGCTGGCTGCCCTGGGGATCCGCGGCTGGCCCAGGCGGCGGGTGGGCGGATGGAGGGTCTGCCGGCGGGGCCGGGGCGCGGGGGCCCTCCGGGAATGGCTGCCTGCGAGCCCTGGGAGGTGCGGGAGCGGCTCGGCACCGGCGGATTCGGCAACGTCTCCCTCTACCAGCACCGGGTGGGTCGCCGAGGTCGCAAACTTGGCGGGGCTTTCGCCCTTGGGTTGTGTTCGTTTGAGGACGGGGCTCCTCAGCTTTTGACTGACTTGAGGGCCCTGCTCCTGGCTTGTGCCATGATTGCTTGGTTTGGTAGGGAGGGAGGAAGAAGGAAAGAAAGCACACATTCCAGCTTGTCAATCTCTCTCTTGTGGGCACCACAATTGAAGGGAGATGTTGCCAAACTGTAATGTGTGCTAAAATGATCAAGGGTCTGGAGAACAAGCCCTATGAGGAGCGGCTGAAAGAGCTGAGCATGTCTAGCCTGAAGAAGAGAAGGCCGAGAGGAGACATGATAGCCATGTATAAATATGTGAGAGGAAGTCATAGGGAGGAGGGAGCAAGCTTGTTTTCTGCTGCCCTGGAACAATGGCTTCAAACTACAAGAAAGGAGATTCCACCTGAACATGAGGAAGAACTTCCTGACTGTGAGAGCTGTTCAGCAGTGGAACTCTCTGCCCCGAAGTGTGGAGGAGAGTCCTCCTTTGGAAGCTTTTAAACAGAGGCTGGATGGCCATCTGTTGGGGGTGCTTTGAATGCAATTTTCCTGCTTCTTGGCAGGGGGTTGGACTGGATGGCCCATGAGGTCTCTTCCAACTCTATGATTCTAAGGGAAGGCGGTGCAGTGATGGCAAAGGGGAAGCAGAAGACGGTAAATGCTTCTTCTCTGGGTTGATGAGGCCGTGGACAGGGATGTCACCCTGGGGAGAGAGTGGGTACTTCATCACACTAGAGAACGAATCCACTTTAAATCCAGTTTCTGCCTCCTGCAGAATTCTGGGGTTTGTGGTTTAGGGAGGCTGTAAAAGGCAGTGATTTTTGTGGTGATCTGTTTTAATTCTCTCTTCTGCAAGACAGGATTTAGGTACAAAGTTAGCAATCAAGTCTTGTCGTCTGGAACTAAGTGTGAAAAACAAAGATCGGTGGTGCCATGAAATCCAGATCATGAAGAAGTAAGTTCTCACTTTGTTTTTCCAACACTTTTTTTGTTTATGTCTATGTGGCTGGCATACCTTTTTATTAGTCCTAACTAGATGCTGATGGTGGTGGTGATAATGCTGATGATGAGACTCATTCAGTCAGTTGTTGAATGAAGTGTTGATGCATTGATAAATCTAATTAATTCATTGAGTCAACTAATAAGCACAAAAAACTAGATTTACAGTGGAGGGGGGAGTATTTAGTCAGATACCAATTGTACAAGTTCAATTTAATTGAGAAATGTGCTAACCAAAATAGAACAATATTATAAAAATTTGAAAAATATTTCTGATGTTATAAAAACACGCCTTACTTCTTTATACACTATCTGAATCAACAACAATATACATGGGTTGTTGTAGGTTTTATCGGGCTATATGTTTCAACTGACCACCTTGATTAGCATTTGATGGCCTGGCTGTTGTTTGTTAGTGCCTGGAGCAATTTTTTGTTGAGAGGTGATTAGATGTTCAGCAAAGGACAAGAGGGATCCTCTCACTTCTGCAGGAGTCTACCGTATACCATGCAGCTGTGGACAAGTCTACATAGGGACCACCAAATGCAGCTTTGCCCAGACACGAATCAAGGAACATGAAAAGGCACTGCAGACTACTTCAACCAGAGAAGTCAGCCATAGCAGAGCACCTGATGAACCAACCTGGACACAGCATATTATTTGAGAACACAGAAATGCTGGACCACTCTCACAACCACCATGTCAGACTACACAGAGAAGCCATTGAAATCCACAAGAATGTGGACAATTTCAACAGAAAGGAGGAAACCATGAAAATGAACAAAATCTGGCTACCAGTATTAAAAAAACTCTAAAATTACAACAGCAGAACCACAGAGGGAAAACAATCAGAGACATCTAATCACCACAAAAGTTTGCTCCAGGCACTGTCAGGCCATTATATGCTAATCAAGGTGGTCAGTCGAAACAGTCACACCTAGCTCCAGCAGACAAGAGTCCTTTGTCCCACCCTGGTCTTTCCACAGATATATAAACCCACTTTCCTAGTTCCAACATACCTCACTACCTCTGAGGATGCTTGCCATAGATGCAGGCAAAACGTCAGGAGAGAATGCCTCTAGAACATTACCATTTAGCCCGAAAAGACCTACAACAACCCAGTGATTCCGGCCATGAAAGCCTTCGACAATACATTGAACAATATACATATTTTAAATAAAATAATTTTTCTTAAGATGTTTCAAGAACATTGCCCCCCAAATATATATATATATATATATATATATATGTATGTATGTATGTAGTATATATATACTCTCACTCTCTCTCTAAAATGTAATAAAGGGGAAAAGTTAGAGCTGTTTTTAAAATTGCTTCCAGCACAATGAAGTGTGTTTTATTTTTTTCTTGAAGTTTTTAATGAAACTATTTTCTGTGTTAGTGGAAAACCATTATTGCTGGAGGTGAAAACAAAAGTGTTTAGGTATACAGTAGATCTCCGTATTTGTTGCTTCAAAAAGTATACATGTTTGTACTGAAGTGGAATTATATATGAGGTGTATTAACAAAATACTATAAGTTCATAAATACTTTTGAGAACCATTACTCAACTCATAACTTCTGTCATAAGAATTGGCTGGTACAGAAACATTGGGTGAAAAAAGTGACAGTTACAAAAAGGGTGCACTTTATACCATCACTCTCACCTTGGATTCACATTGTACAGGTGCACTTGTGCCTGCATGATTTGCAGAGAGGATGTAGTGAAGGCAGAAGACTGTTTGCACTGCTTTTGGCCCAACTACAAGAATGCCTTGTTATGTAAATGCATATCACGCTGTTGATGTACTGTTGTTCATGGCCAGCCCTATGAGTGACCTCTAGTCAATCTTTTATGAATTCAAGTCTTACAGATTAATAGTGTTTCATGATCTACACAATCAGAAACTTTGCTATAATTTGGAAAGCAGATGCTGAAATTCTTTGGTGTATGCCATTATCTAACATGTTTACAATGTGATCCCTGGTACCTCTGCTCAGGGGAGCCTTTTCTAGGCAAGAACATTCCAGAAAACCTTCACATTTATCTGTGGTCCACATGTTAGCGACACTCAGTCCTCTTTACTAGCAGACCAGAGGCTCCACTATGTTATGAGACAGCATATTCAACTATTCCACCCATCAGGAAGCTCCTCCATATTTAGGTGGAATTTCAGTTTCTCTCCAATTTCAATCCATTGCTCTATGCCGTCTCTAGAGCAGTAGAAAACGAGCTTGATCTCTCTTCAGTATGGACATCCTTTCAAAAAGCCAACGTTCTGATCTTGTCCTCTGAAGTATTAGGTATCCCTCCTAATTAGGTTGGAAGACAAACTTTGCCAAGAATATTAGGTCCAACAAGTTTTCACTTGCCTTGCAAACAGCGTCATGGTCCAAAAGGTGGAAGAAGCAACAAGGGGATCAGTTATTTTAGATTTGATCCTAACCAATAGTGATGACAGGGTAAATGAGATAGAGATAATGGATTCCTTAAGTGGGAGTAACCATGTTTTTCTAGAGTTTGTTATACAGCGGAAAGGGGAAATCAAGCATGGTCAGATATGCATTCTAGACTTTAAGAAAGCTGACTTCAGTAAACTGTAGAAGAAAACTGAGTGCAAGTCCATGGTTAGGAATACTGAAAGAGAAAGGAGCTCCCCCCAGCCACCAATGGCCCGCCTTTGCTTTGCACCATAATTTTTAAGGGAAAACCCGATCTATACCAGAACCCTGTTTCTCTAAGTGCTCTTGTCATCAGTTTCCATTTCAGATCCTGATAGAGCTCAGCTTTTCCCTTTGTCAACCAAATTTGTATTAGGTTCTTGTGGGTTTTTTCGGGCTATATGGCCATGTTCTAGATATATAAACCCCTTCCCAGTTCCAACAGACCTCACTACCTCTGAGGATGCTTGCCATAGATGCAGGCGAAACGTCAGAAGAAATGCCTCTAGAACATGGCCATATAGCCCGAAAAAACCCACAAGAACCTAGTGATTCCAGCCATGAAAGCCTTCGACAAATTTGTATTCTTGGCTAGATTTGTATTTTCTTCAGATATCTTGCAAATCTAATTATAACATCTCTCATCAAGTTCATAGTGGATGGTAATCTAAATATTCTTCTACATTTTCTCCATGTCACCTTTTGATATCAAGATATCTGAATATATTTCTCTGCAAAGAACGTTTCTAGGAGGTTATTCTGATATTCCTCCTCCTCAAAGTTAGAATCAAATATTAAGCCATCTTTCATAATTTTGTTGGTCTTTCAACATATATTCTAGCTGTTTGCTCACTTTTTACATATTGTTTAGCTTTCTTCGTGCATTAGGTTTAGTTCTAAAGCTTCTCCAGCTATATCTGGCTATATCTCCAGCTATATAATCACAGATGAGTAGTGATTTTCTTCATCTGTTTTTGGAATGTCTCATCTTTCTTGCAAGGTCGGCTTGGAATTACTGTTTTAAATAGTCCATTATTTCCTAATTTCTCTCATCTCTAGTTTTGTTGTATCACATTTTCCTCTCACCAGGTTTGGTCTTGTCTTCCCTGGCTTTTACTTCACTCTCATCTGTGAAATCGCTTTCATTCTCCATATTTGTCTTCTTTCTCCTGTGTTTTGTTGATAATTTCTTATTTATTGACATTTTTGCTTATTTCTGCCCTCATAACGTTGATAATGATAATGATAACGTCAACACCTTTTTTTTTCCGCCTCCATCTCCCCGAAGGGACTCGGGGCAGCTTACATGGGGACAAGCCTTATCAACATAGTTAAAATATCAACATAGTTAAAATAGACAACATCATAAAATAATATAAAACAACAACATAACGGAGTATAAAAACAACAATCAAGCAACAACCAATGGCCTGAAAGAGTGAGTCGTTTCTGGGCTCGAGCAGCAGGCTGGGAGGAGAATGGAGGTTAAGTTATGCTGACATCTTCCAGAACAGCAAATCATACCCTCCCCCCAAGTCTGAGTTATTAGTCAGATCTTTATGGCTTAATAACTCACAGTTGTTATAAATTATGGTGAGAAGTCCTATTCTGAGTCAATGGGAACTACTAGGTTTGTATTTTAACTTATTCTTAGAAATATTTTCCCCAAACCCAGAAATATTGGAACACTCCTATCAAATGGTGAAATGCGTGCTCAGTGCTCCCCATTACCTCCAGCATTTATTGAATGAATGTTTGTTTATGTATTTCATTATTGTTGGGATTAGATACCAATCATATATTATTTTTTAAGCACGTTCTACCTGAGGGAAGAAGCAGATTTTCATTGGAACTTTTTGTCAATGTTTTCCATTTAACATTTGTCATTTTTATGTAGATCATTACCCATGTTTTCTTTACGTCCTCAGGATCTGTGTATTCTGACTCAGTCAGTCAATTACACATTTTGACATTGAACCTTTAATGTTTGTTTGGAAATTTTGTAGTAATGTTTCAAATTTCACAGCAACTTTTAAAAATTGTCATAGAGCAGTTGAGCTTGAGTATAATTTAATTTATTTCTGTTTCAAAATACCGATATTATAAAATCTCCAACTATCCAGAAAGAAATTTCTGTGCATAGATTAAGTATTTTCTGAATATGCAATATTTCTTTTCCTCACTTTTTTAGACTGAACCACCCCAATATTGTCAAAGCGTGTGATGTGCCTGAAGAAATGAATTTCCTTGTTAATGATGTTCCACTGTTGGCAATGGAATATTGCTCCAAGGGAGATCTCAGGAAGGCAAGTCCTATCTCTTAACAACTTAACAACATGACTGGAACAGGATTGTGGTTCAGAAACTTGGCTTTGAGATTTTGTTGCTGTTCAAGTAACACGAGGTGTTCCTCACTCTTTCTGGACAGATAGCTTTCCTAACTGTTTTGTGATGGACTTCATTATACAACAGTCAAATTAGATGGGATGGAGAAAGCTCAAGATTGAGGCATCAGAAGATGAGATGCAGCCAACTAGCTGTAGATAGCCTACTGCAGGTTCTTTTGCCCTCCCAATTTCCCTCCCCACACCAGTGCTAGTTAGGGAACATAAGTCCAATTCAGCTTTCAGATATGATGATCAATGTGGTTATGTGTGCATTCTGTTTACATGCATTTGTTTAGTGAGATGTTGGGAATCCAATTGTGCTTGCAAGTGGCACATGAGTATGGCATGTGTTTTATTATTTATTAAGTATTTTATTACTTTTTTTTTTACTTTAATTGAGTTGCTTCTGTTAATCTTGCCAGTTGTTCTTTTATGCTAATCGGTGTAGTTTATTGATTTTCTGCAAATGTTGTTGAGGTCTATGTGTTCTGTGTTGCACTTTTGTTGTGCTATTTTTTAAGCTACCCTAAGTCCCTTTTGGGAGATGGTGGTGGGATATAAATAAATAACTATATTATTATTGTTGTTGTTGTTATGGCATCCTAATACAGATGGATTACAGTCATAATTGGCCTGCTAGCCAAATAGGTAACTTGACCATAGCTGAATTGTGAAGGAGAAAGATTAAAAACATCTATATAAATAAAAATGTAATGTTTGTTTGTGGGATTTAACATAACTAAAAAACCACTGGATGAATTGACACCAAATTTGGACACAAGACACCTATCAGGCCAACAAGTGACCATCACTCGTAAAAACACTGAAAAACACAGCGGAAGGAACTTAAAAGGCCAAAAACCAAAAAATACATTACAATGCATGCACAAAACCACATATATATACACAAACGCACATATATATACATTCATAAATATACACATATATGCATATACACACACACACACACAAAACACAACGCACGGCAGGGGATGGCTAGTCAGATATAAAAATATAAAAACAATCACAATGAAAGCCATTAGGCATCCAAGCACACCTTTTATACTTTTTATGGATTATTCTCCTGCTGCTAACAACAGCAAAACAATAGCAATCCTAAATGGTGAGATCACAAAAATCTATTGAATTCTTAGATCATCAACCACCTCTTCTTTACGCCTCAGGACAGATGTTCTTTATTTTTCCTTGGCCTTAATTTTCCTTCCATTTTAAGGCCTCGTCACACTAGAGAATGAATCCACATTAAATCCGATTGCTGCTTCCTTCAGAATTCTGGGGTTTGTATGTAGTTTAGAGATGAGCCTTTAACAGCCTCACTAAACTACGAACCCCAGAATTCTACAGGAGACAGAAAACGGATTTTAATTGGATTTATTCTCTAGTGTGATGAAGTAGGCCTTTTCATCCCTTCTTTTCTTTCTTAATGTTGTATTTACGAACAAACATTTTTCTTTCTAGTCTGTTGCATTTGGGTTTTTTTAAAACCCTCTTTAGTCTGCCTCTGACAGCTGTGAGGAAAACAACTTGTAAATTCTCTAATCTTCAGAGTTTTGACACAAACCCTGAAGATTGGCATTCAAATAAGGACACCATCATGATTTTTATAACCCTGTTAAATATATTTGATTCATTTGCTCATACTACTGGTTAAGGGCTTGCCATGGGAAACCCAGATGGGAATTTTGGCTTCTTTTCCCAATTGTTACTTCCTCTTTGTGGTCTCTGTAACTCACACAAATGATCATCTGTACCTGTGCAGTGCATCTCTCTGAATCTTATAGTGATATGGTCAGCACCCTGGATTTACTGGTTTGGAGGAAAAGTCATCCCAGGCATAAACTGTCTGCACTAACTCTCTCTTGCAGACTAAAGGTCTTAAAAACGGACAATTAACCAAAGTACCTTCAAAGAAAGAACAAAAAAATTAGATCAAAGACAAGCTGATTTTAAAGCCAGTCTGCACAACATGGCAGTAGTAAGAGGCCAATATAATAATAGTAATAATAATAATAATAATAATAATAATAATATTTTTATACACCGCCAACCATCTCCCCAAGGAGACTCAGGGCAGCTTACAAGGGATAAGCCCAAAAATTACAAATAAAACATAACAGATTAAAAACATCAGATATAAAAATATAAAAACAATCACAATTGTAAACAACATCAAAACAATATGGCTGAGATAAAGAACATAGCTGAGGTACAGGCTCACTGAGTACAAATAGCTGAAGTTTGATTGGACCATTCCTCCCTCTCCCTCCACATTCAGTCTTGGTTGGCTCCAACTCCTCATATGACTATCGGTTTTCCCTGCCCTTCTCACTCTTCCCTCTCCCACCCTTCACAGAATAATGAGATGTGGCCTTGAACCTTCGCTGTCCACAGTACTGCAAGGATTATATGACACATTGTGTGGGAGATGGAGTGCACATGGAAACCTGTCCTCTCCTTGGGTCCTTGGCTGCTGCCGCTTCAGTGTCCAGGGAATTGGGAGAAGGCAGGAAGGGCCACCATTAAAACAAATATTGAATAGCTCTAGAAGGTTCCAAGGGATGCACTGCGCAGACACAGACAACCCATTTCTTTGAGTTCACAGATGAGTACTTGAAAAATCACAGTTACATGAAAGCAGTCTGTTTTCACCAGATGAGTGCAAAGTTCTAACAAGATGCTTTTGCTTCTCAGATGAAGGGAAGTAGTGTCCCCCATGCTTGACCACAATGACAATTTTGTGGCGTTCGCTAGGAAGCAATGCCACTAAACACTTCTGAAATGAAGTTGAATCACTAGGTCCACTGGTCCCAGCTTTGAGGCCTTTATCCATGAAATTAAAAGTGCTAATTGTTCCTCAGATAAATTAGTAGCCCTTTGGCTGTGACTGTTGTGAGATCTGCTGGTTTGAATATGTATGTTTTATACTTCTGTTTAACAGTAATTTGTTTAATGTTATATTAAAACAAAAGACACTCAAAGAGTTTCTTTCTCTTTTTGACATCAAGGGCTTGTCATGCTAGAAAAGATATGTTTATTTTAAATTGGAAAGGGGTATGACTATAGGAAATCAATGGACAGAACCAAAGGATTCTTGCTGATACTGAAACTCTGTTTCAAGCTAAATAGATCTAACAAGTGAACACTTTCATCTTCTTTTACTAAAATATGATCTTTTGGGTGATTATTTGGGATATTTTGGGTGATTATTTGGATAAGTAAGACAGTGCTCATCTTGTATTTTCAGACTCCTCCTTCATTAACCTATTACATTCACGAGCAACTGCATATTTCCTATAAAGTAAATGTACGAATTACTGGACACTTAGCAGTATTTCTCTCTTTAATTTGAAATATTATTTTTTTCTTTTTAGCTGTTGAACTTGCCTGAAAATTGCTGCGGTCTTAAAGAAAGCCAAATACTTAACCTTCTTAGTGATATTGGTATGTTGATTGGTGCAACATTTTTTTCTGCAATTCTCAATTATTTTGTCTCAAAACATGTATTTTAAATGCTCAAAAGACTGGCTACATTCTGAATGCATTTTTTACAAGAATCTTATGATTTTTTAACTACTTAGTTATAATCTTCAGAAGATTATAGTGAACAGTACCTGGTTCCTGGCCCTCAGCTTGATGTTTGATTTGGAACGTCCCTTTCTGACTGTCCAACTGCAGCAATTGGGAACAATGCCAAAGCAGTTCAGAGAACCTGTAACGGCAAACACCAGTTCAGAAACACACACTCATCAGATTCAAATAGCTTTATTCATGAAACAGAGTTGATCACAGGACATAATTGTTGTCAGAACTGAAAACCTTTCATTTGCACAGTGTATTTATAGCACAAAGCAATTCAAACATTGTTTTGTGCTATAAATATACTGAAAGCCTTCAATAATAAATTCAGACATTTTGAGGTCTTTCCTCCCATTCACCAACCCAAAATACTCTGTCTTCCCCACACTAATTTCCTTTTAAAAACTACATAAAGTGCTTCCAAGTTGTGCATATGAGAAACCAGCATCACCACGGTAAAAATCATTTTGAAATCCCCCAAAGGTACAAACACTGAGGTGGGTTGAGATGTTGCTCATCATCTTAGGTGTTCAATAATACTTGTGATATATAATGGTCAGGTATTTTGTTTTAAAGGGAAATTGAAATAATATATTTGTGTTGGTGTTTTGGAGTAAGAGTGCTGGGAAAATAAGAGAGAACATAAATGAGTAAAGAATTTGAGTCCTGTGGATATATTGGGGAACACCTGGAAAATTATTTTGCTTTATTTAAAAGTAATCTCAAAAGTATTGTCGAAGGCTTTCATGGCTGGAATCACTAGGTTGTTGTAGGTTTTTTCGGGCTATATGGCCATATTCTAGAAGCATTCTCTCCTGACGTTTCACCTGCATCTATGGCAAGCATCCTCAGAGGATGCTTGCCATAGATGCAGGCGAAATGTCAGGAGAGATTGCCTCTAGAACATGGCCATATTGTCCAAAAAAAAAAACCTACAACAACCCTAATCTCAAAAAGGTTCTTTTAGGGCAGTATTGATAATGCAGAAAGCCAACTGTTATCAGAGAACTGAAAAAATGCACAAGAACAATTTAAATACTATCACATTTCATTCTCTTTTATTTACTACTACTGCTTAGATATCTTGTAGATAATAAAAGACAGGTTGATCTAGATTTCTCCTAAACCTATTTTTCCACCTTAACATGTTGTTTTGCAAAAATGTATGACTTACAGGATCTGGTATCCAGTACTTGCATGAAAACAGAATAATACATAGAGACCTTAAACCAGAAAATATAGTGCTTCAGGATGAAGGTGGGAAGGTAAGTGAAATATAATGCATAACTCAAATAGCATACGTGTAAGTTTTATTTGAGATTTCCTTTGGCTGGATAGAGCAATGTCGGTTATTCCTTTTTTCATTTATCACTTGCAGTTCCTAGAATCTAAATTGGGTATTCTTATTAGGGTTGCACATTAGATCTGTACTAAAATTGATACATGGAGAGTTTACATAGCTTATTTAATATTTGCTGTACTGGACAAGACTTTCAAAATACCTAGCATGTGTGTAAGAGAGAAAAAACCTTTCCTGAGTGTTTGAGGACGATTATTTCCGTTCTTCTCTGGCAATCTTCTATAAAATAGGGTTAGAACAATTTAATTAACATTCTTGAGTTACAACACTATTGGGAATTATGTGAACAAGACCTTGAAGTTGGAAGGGCTACTCAGGATTTAGGAAGCACCAGCAAATTCTTCATGGTGTTTCCTGCAGTGTGGAATGTGGTTTTCTTGGATTTGATCCCAAAATGCATTAAATATTGTTAATCCACTGGGAGTGGGGCACATGCAAGATTGACTTTGCCCTGGTGTTTGTAATGTATATTCCTCAGCAGCTTTCGTACATTTGAATAGGATATCTTTTAAAAATGACTTCGAATTTAGGTTTTCAAGACATACAAACAGCAATACAGTCTCCTTCCAAAAGTAATTGTCCACAGTTAACTATCACTGCATTACACATATTCCTCCTAGTATGTTTGTGTCAAGTCCGAACATTGCTGACGGATCTCCGTTCCAACTGTAAATTACTATATCAAAAAGTCCTATTTATCAAAGGACTGGAGAGGAAAATTATTACACTATATCCAAATGGCCATGCTCTCCAATGGCATTAAAGGAAGAAATAATGAAGACTTTGATAGAAAATGAAGGCTTGCATTTAAATATCTAGAAAGAAAGGTAGAATTTAAAATAGCAGCAAGGGGAAGTTATTCATATAAAGATAAGGGTAGATTTTAATGAGATATTAGTTTCACGTTGGGTGGTGTCGGAAGTAATGAGTGGTGGTTAACTGATGGGGAAGGGGGTGAATGTGATAGACAGATGTAATTGTATTATGCATATGTATTTCCTTTCTTTTTTTTACATTCTTTATATTATTATTATTATTATTATTGTTATTATTATTATTATTATTAACCATATTTGTATCCTGTGTTTCTCAGCCCAGAGGGGACTCAAGGCAGCAATTTGATGTTGTACATACATGTATCAAATAAACAATTACAATTAAAACCAAACTATCAAAACATGAATTATTAAAACATCGATTAAAATCATATCATCCAAAACATAATCCAGGGCTGATCGATTTCTCAATCATACTGATTCGTGGTCACTGATTGCACTGTTTCAATTACTTGTCAAAAGCTTGGTCCCAAAGCCATGTCTTAAGTTTTTTCCTGAAGGTCAGGAGAGAAAGGGCTGATCTGATTTCGGGGGGGGGGGGCGGTTCCATAGACGAGGGGCCACCCTGGAGAAGGCCCTGTCTCTCATTCCTACCAGTCGCACCTGCGAGGGAGTTGGGACTGAGAGCATGGCCTCCCCGGACAATCTTACCCTCTGAGATGGTTCATAGAGGGAGATATGTTCGAACAGATAATCTGGGCCGGAACTGTTTATGGCTTTATAGGCTAAAGCCAGCACTTTGAATTGTGCTCGGTAGCAGACTGGCAGTCAATGGAGCTGGTATAGCAGGGGGCTTTGTGTGCTCCCTGTACCTTTAAACAATAAAATTATGCAATAGTAATATACAGTACTATTCCAGAACTGCAGTTGACATTCCAGTCATGACTGAAATACTTGTTATATATGTTCCCATTGAAAATAATTGCATGTTTCCCATATAAAATAGTTTTTTTAAAAAACCCTCAAAAGTGGCATAGACTTTTAAGCAAATTAAATTTTAAGTGAGAAAAAAATATCATCTTAAATTGACATTGGTGAAGAACTTTGGGAAGTAGTAGAAGTGCCAAGCAGCATAAAGGAACAATAGTGTGCTCTTGATTTTTTTCCAGATAGTTCACAAAATAATAGACCTGGGATATGCCAAGGACCTGGATCAAGGAAGCCTATGTACATCTTTTGTTGGAACCTTGCAGTATTTGGTAAGATTTTTAAAGATAATTATTAACGTGGATTGTAGCAGAAATTCTTCTAGTGATTATTTCTGTGTATTCTCTCCACATTTGTCAAAGAAAACCTACAGTGTTCTCCATAGCTTCCTGCTTCTTACTGCATTTTATTGCTGTTTTATTTAAGGCACCAGAACTCTTTGATAATAAACCTTATACAGCTTCTGTAGACTTCTGGAGCTTTGGCACTGTGGTCTTCGAGTGCATTACAGGATTTAGACCATTTTTACATAATCAGCAGCCTTTTACCTGGTAAGGATTTATTTTTGAAACTAAATGTGCTATTAGATTTTTACATGCCTTATCTTCTCCACACCTATATTTTTTATAATGCATAACCGAACTGTTTCATGGAAAGTTGTATCTAAAACTCATGAACCCACACTCTTTTTGGAACAACTCTATTACAATAAATGTATTGATAAACATTAAAACAGCAAAGCAGAAAAACTCAAAAAGAAAGGAAAATAGACTTTTGTGTGAATTTTTCTCCTGCAGATCTGTCTCTCACTTGAGCATAATAGTATACATGGAATAATGGGCTTGCCTGACTGTTATTTTAGGTAAAGGTAAATATTTCCTTTGACATTAAGTATAGTCATGTCCGACTCTAGGGCTTGGTGTTTATCTCCATTTCTAAGCCGAAGAGCCAACGTTAACTGTAGACACCTCCTAGGTCATGTGGCCCGCATGATTGCATGGAGCGCCATTACCTTTCCGCAGAAGCAGTACCAGTGGTTTAACCTGCTGCACCACCAGGGGGCCCCAACTGTTATTTTAATGGACTATAAATGCACAGTTTGTAGGATCATGATGTTTGCTCCATCTCGTGCATCACAACCTATTCCACTGTTGAACAGCTCTAACTACCAGAGTTCTACTTAATCTTTAGGTGGAATCTCTTTTTCTGCTATTTGAATCTATTGCTCTGTATTCTAGTCTTTATAGCAGCAGAAAACAAGGTCGCCCCTTCTTCAATGTGACATCCTTTCAAATATTTAAACATGGCAGTCATGTCCCCTCTGAGTCTTCTTTTCTCCAAGCTAAATATACCTAGTTCTCTAAACCGTTCCTCATTGGGCTTAGCTTTCAGACCCTTGACCATTTTGTTCACCGTTCTCTGGATGTTCTATCTTGTCAATTTCCTTCTTGATTGTGTTTCCCAGAACAAAACACAGTACTCCAAGTGAGGTCTGACCAAAGCAAAATAGAGTGGGACTATGACTTCACTCATAGTGAGACCTGTGGGTCCCCAGGTGTTTTGGGCTATACAACTCCCAGAAATCCCAGCCAGTTTACCAGCTGTTAGCATTTTTTGGGAGTTGAAAGCCAAAACATCTGGGGACCCTCAGGTTGAGAACCACCGTTCTAGACCCTATAATTCCCATTGAAACCGAACTGTGCCGTTTTGTAAACCGCCATGAGTTGCCCTCGGGCTGAGAATGGCGATATAGAAGTGTAGTAAATAAATAAATGATGTAGCCTAGAATTGCATTGGCTTTTTTAGCTGCAGCATCACACTGTTGGCCAGTGTTCAGCTTATGGTGGTGATTCATCTTGCATTGGGACAATCTATGAAGAGGTGGTAGATTCCCTCTCTCCTGCTTTAAAGGCTATCATTTCCTTTTTTATATTATTCCATCCCTGCTTACAGTCCTTTAAAAAAGAAGAGGACTCCTTGACCTGAGCTAGTCTACCTTATCCCTGGTCCCCGCGTGCGTTTTTAAACTATAATTTTGCTTTATTCTGTGGGTGGTGCTCAGGAGATATCTGAAAGAGTAGGATATCTGTTTCTTATTGCTGAGGATTGGCATGGCCCTATGATCAATAATCAAAACAAGCTGTCCCTAGCTGCACTCCTGTCCATTTTTGCATCATTCAGGAGATAACACTTTTCCTATAAGCTGCTGTTGTTTTTCAGAACTCTCCTATATGCTACTCAAGATTCTCCTTTTTCTCTTGTTTACGTTTTCTGCCTCCTTCTTTTCCTCTTCCTCATCCTCTTCCTCTCATTGTTATCATTACGTTTGTTTGTTTGTTTGTTTATAAAGCAGCGTTTCTACACATAGCTCTTTACATGTAAAACAACCAAGCACTACATTATCGGTCTTAATTCAGGAAGGATCTTTCAAAAAAGGACCTTTTCATCTTCATCTTTTCTTGGTTAATCAATCTGGCCTTATCTCTCCTGCCCAGGGAAGGGGAGAAAATTACCTCTTCCCAATGTTTGTATTGTACTGCTGGAGAAAAGACCTAAGGAGGGGTTCTTCAGTGAAAGCAACAACCTAGGAAGATGATGTAATAGCTTTTCTTTGAATAATTTCAGTGAGGAAGTTTGACAAACACCATATTTAGAGAAAGAAAATCCTTTTCTACAGTGGTTTGGTGGTATATAGGTTGTCAGTTGTTTATAAAAAATCTTTTCTTATAGGCATGACAAAATCAAGAAGAAAGATCCAAAATGCATCTTTGCATGGGAAGAAATGACCGGGGAAGTTAAATTTAGTGCTCATTTGCCAAATCCCAACAGCCTGTGCAGGTAACATTCTCTCTCTTCTTTCACAAACTTGCTAAAATTCTGTTATGCAAATCTGTGTGCCAAAATAATTCTTCAGTACCCTTTCTCTATGAAAAGCATGCCCATTGATGTCCCATAGTGTTGGGTGGATAATACACATGTTCCATGTGATCCTATATCATAAAAATTGGCTGTGAAATACATAATCCCCTTAAAACCAGTTTTTCCTGCTTGTTTTATTGGAGCATTTCTTGCTTGCTGCTAAATTCTAGCAGGATAGTGGGGTTGAACTTTGGGTACTTTGTGGCTAATAATTGGGCAAAATCCCTTCTGCTGTGCTTTTGAGGCTTTAAAGTACTATCATTAGAAAGGGTGGAATTGCAAGCATAAATCCCCTGGGACTTAATTGCTGTATGGAATAGCTGGCACTTGAATTCATTTGTATTATGTCAGTTGATAAATTACATGTGGACTGCCAATGGATTTCATGAAAATTCAGTGTAGATCCAGTTGTTACTGCTGCAAAAAATGGATGTCAGTTTATTTCACATGTTTATTTATTATTTATTTCAAACATTTCTATCCCGTCCTTCTCAACCCCTGAAGAGGGACTCAGGGCAGCTTACATCCGGCAGCAATTCAATGCCAATAACACAACAAAACAACATAACACAAATTTGACATTATTTAAAACAATAAGTTATAAAATATTCAATTAAAACATTTCTAACAGCAATATATGTTGATTGAATATATCTTGGAAATGAAGAAGGAGGGGCAACTTGTTTGGGTTGGCATGCCAAATCTGTCTGAGGATCAGCAAGGAATATCCTTTCTGTTTTTCCGTCCAATCTATTAGAGCATGGTCAAGTTAAGGTTTTTTGGACTACAACTGCCAGAATCCCGCAGGCTATGGAACAAGTTTGTTAGGAGCTTCTGAATGTTGTAGTTCGAAAATCTAACTTTTCTATCTGTAGTCCATTGGTAAGTGAGCAGTTGGCACATTCATGCCACAGTAATGCTACAAAGGTATTGAGAGTATCAGGAAGGAATCATGGGTGCAGCTAAGGATTTTATTAGGAAACAAGTGAGGGATAGATTAAAGGAGCTGTGACTTTGTTAGTCATCTGCAAGTTCACACTTGACTATATAAACAACTCATCACCACAATAAAATCTACCTTTAACATTATAGAAATTTATTGTGCATTCATCAATATATGTTACATATTGGACTGGTAGCTGATCTTCTCTTTAATAAAATTAATCTTTGTAAGTCTGTTGTCAAAGGCTTTGATGGCCAGAATCACTGGGTTGCTGTGAGTTTTTCTGGCCATACAGCCCGGAAAATTCACAGCAACGCACTTGCTCATTTTGTTTTTAAATATGTGTGTTCCATATTTGTGTTTTTTTATTTTGCTTTTGGGTTAGTATAATTGTAGAACTAATGGAGAATTGGCTGCAGCTGATGCTAAACTGGGATCCACAACAGAGAGGGGGTGGTAGAGACCCAGAAACTGGAAACTTCAGGTGTTTCCAACTAATGGATCATCTGTTGAGCCTAAAGGTAAGTTCTGATATGATACACTTGGATTTTAAAAAAGTAATTTAAAAGCGCAAGCATTTTTATGAGGAAGTAAACTGAATTGGTTAAAGCATGAGCATGATAAATTTTCAGAGAAATAAATCAATTCTGTGTCTTACAATAGTTTCCCCTTTTCAGAATGAATGGTGATTAATCCCATTGTCTTTGTAAATGCATTTGCACAATAACAGTAACAAGGCTGATCATTTGGATATGGTGGAGACAGGAATCATAACTTCAGGGCACACTTCAGTCACAGTCCCCCCCCCCCCCTTATATTTAAAAACATTTTAATTTCTTAGTGTTCAGGCGATGTCAGAAATCATTGTTAAAAATAAATTCCTGACACATTGGGGCAACAATGGATCAGTGGATTCTGTTGCTTCCAACAGTTTTGATCTGAGCTTTCCAAACAGTTCAGGTTGGTGACATGCTTTTTAGACTTGCACCATTTTTCAACATAGTAATTCAGTTTTACTAGCAAACTGAAGGTTAAACCGCCCCACATAAGATATCAACACAAATGTAATTTTTTATTAATAAAATGTATGGGGACACAACATATCTCTTGAAAACATTTTATTTATATTTTTTAAATATATATTATTTGTTAGAGAACAATATACATTTCAAAGATTTTTGTCATTTCTCCTTATGTTCACACCTACACACTACAGCTGACACACTAATGTGTCAAGACGCACAGTTCGGAAAGCTCTGGTTTAAATCTATGTAAGTATATGTGCATTTATCTATATATTGTATAGTGACCACCTCCAAACATGATTTTAGAGCTATTATTTCCCCTTGAGAAAAAATTGCTGCCTGACTAAATGATTGTTCATTTATCCTTGTATATGTTTTGTTGCAGATAGTTCACATCTTAAATATGACTTCTGCCAAGATTTTGTCTTTTTCATTACACCCTGAGGAAAGTCTTCATTCGCTCCAGTCTCGTATTGAATCTGAGACTGGAATAAACACAGGCAACCAAGACCTTCTCCTTGAAATGGGAATTTGTCTGGATCCTCGGAAGCCAGCTTCTCAGTGTGTTATTGATGGCATAGTAAGATTTCCTTTTTTATTCAAATAAGTGGGAGAGCAAAACTGAGATTTTGTTTTACTAGTTACTGTATATACTCATATGTAAGTCAGCATCAGGTTTTGGGGTCAAATTATGGATTTTGATATGACACTCGAGGAAGTTGAGGGTCATAGTATTTTGAGAAGGTGGCCACTCCTAGATGCCACCATCACCACTTCACTTTCCAGGATTTAAAAAGGCCAGGAGTGGCACCATAGCAAAGAGTCATTGACTTGCTGTGGGCTGCAGTGGCGCAATGAGTTAAACTCTGGTGCTGTCTGAATTGCTGATCTGAAGGTCGGTGGTTCGAATCCGCGAGATGGGGTGAGCTCCTGTCTATTAACTCGAGCTTCCTATGTGGGGACATGAGACAAAGCGCCCACGGGATGGTTACACATCTGGGCATCCCCTGGGCAACATCCTTCCAGACGGCTAATTCTTTCACACCAGAAGCAACTTGTATTCTCAAGTCACTTCTGAAAAGATAAAAAAACTGACTTGCATTGGGGTTGGTCTAGTAGCCACAACCTCTTCTTAACTACTACCTCAGTTTTTTGAACTCATTCACTGAAGATGAGCTGTAACTTGACTTTCTTAAAGGCTAGGAGGTTTATTGTGGCCAGTTTGTTCTCCCTAAGCCCATGGCCTAAGGGAGAACAAAGGGGGCAGGACATCTGCTGAATCACTGACTTGCTCTATTACAGATGATAGCTTCACCTGTAAGCAATCCATCAATAAAGCAGAAGCCCTATCCTGCTTTTCTAATCTCTGATGCTAGTGGCTTGCACAGCAGTATCTGTAAGAGTTAAATAAAAATAAAATAAATAAACTTTATTTATATCCTGCCACCATCTCCCAGTGGGACACGGGGTGGCTTACAAAACACTCAAAGGTGCAAACACATAAAATACAAAAATTGCAAAAACAATAATACAACTTTATTTATATTCTGCTCTATCTCCCCGAAGGGACAATAACATAAAATAGCATTAAAAAAATAACAGCCAACATAAATATCCCACTTCACAAAAATCCCTGGTTAAAATCAGTAAAATACAGCAATAGCTGCAGGTATAAAACAACAATAATCAATCTCAGTCATGTCAAGTGCTTGGTGAAATCTATGGATCCTCATATATAAGAACAAGATGCAAAAGCCATTTGTCTTCGCTCCTTACAAAGGCAGAAGCCAATGTCTTCGGAACTCCCTCCCTTTTACTTTTGCAACAAAAGAGCACCAGTATCACAGCAAGTCCTGTACCCTTCTCCTCATTCATGTGTGTCTTTCTATAGATAAACTCACTGCCTAAGGGCGTGGTGGAAGCTCAGAGTGAAGACAGAGGGGAGCAGAAGACATCTCCATCTTGTCTTCTGCTTATATCATCAGTTGGGAGGCCCCTCCCCTCCCCCCTGTGGCACCAACTGCTGCTCTGGCCAGAGTGAAGACAGAGGAGAGCAGAAGACATTTCCATCTTGTCTTTACTAATAACATAATATAGTATATTGTATATACATATAATGTAATACAATATAATATTAGTAATAATAATACAATATTATAATTATAATTATATATTTACATTACATGTAATATTAATATTACAATATAATAGTATAGTGCAATATAGTAATATATAATACTGATATTGTACTATGCTAATAATATAATATATTGTATGAAAATATATCTTGTAAGCCACTCTGAGTCCCCTTTGGGGTGAGAAGGGCGGCATATAAATGCCATAAATAAATAAATAAAATAAATAAATAAATAAATAACAATTACCCACTGGTAGAGACTCTTAAAAAGTTACCTACCTACAGGAAGACAAAGAATACATATGTGGACCACGTTGCCACAAATCCAGATGCCAGCTCTTCCCACACAACTATTTGGAAAATGTCTTCATAGGACCTAAGCACATCACCCATAATAGAGCTACCTTCATTTGCTCCTCCTCTAATGTGATATGTACTGTTCTTTTGTCAGCAATTCCTTTCAGTATTCTTCATTGGACAAGCAGACCACACACGGAACCAGAGGTTAGAAGACATAAACCAGACATTAGGAATGGGAATAAACAAAAATGAATTGCAGAACACTTACATTTTCCTTAGCATTCCATTTTTGGCATTGGAATAGCTGTCACAAAAGCAGATTAGTATATATCTATAAACCCTAATCCCTCAACACTGGGTTGAACAGAGATGGTTTCCTGCCACAATATAGATAATACCATCAGCTTCATCAGCCCCCCCTCCAACCTTGGCAAGTGTCATCACATTTCCTTTCTGTTTCCCAGCCAGCATTATACTGCATTCAGATAATTCTCTTTGATTGTGCTTTTCCTGCATGGAAGGGAGTTGGACTACATGGCCCATGTGGTCTTTTCCAACTCTATAATTCTATGATCATTCATATGCTTATTTATTCACCCACTCTTTAAGCAACACTTTGCACACTGGCAATTCCTCTTCCCTTTTTGTTTGCATCATGTCAGCTGAGTAGGGAATATGAAGGGTTGTTTAAATTTTTGCAGAGCACCTGGAAAACTTCGATAGCTTTCTAATCATCATCTTGACTTCAGCAAAGCACATTACAGTCAGACTGGAATCTTCAGTTTAGGGTTCCAATTTAGTTCTCCAAAGGTCATTAATTCTCTTGTAATAAGCAGTAGGAATTTCTACTTATCTAAGAAGCAAATCTGAGACTTCTAAAATAGTATAGGATAAGACAAATTCAATGCTATGAGAGTAACACTTCAAAGAATAAAAGGTGTCAAAGAAATTAGGTCAAAATGAACTAAGGAAGGAAAGGGGTTAACTGCATGGTGCCAAAACATTTTGGTTAACTACTGCATGTTGTTGGGAAAATTCCAGAATTGTTGAGATACATAAAATAAAATCTTCCAGATTCAGTGATTCAAATATTTTGCAACCTATATAATACATAAAATGCAAATTATATAACCTTTGGGTTAATGTAATGTTTTCTTATTTATGTAGCAATAATTTTCTGATTTGCTGGTTCTTTTGGGGAACTGCTTTGGAAATCACATTTTTCATTTCAATACCTTTCTTTGTTTATCAGCGAGGCTGGGACAGCTACATGGTTTATCTGTTTGATAAAAGCAAAACCATATATGAAGGTCCTTTTGCTTCTAGGAGTCTTTCTGACTGCGTAAATTACATTGGTAAGTATGATGCTGTTTAAACTTGATTCATGGTTACAAACAGAGGTAACTTTTCTGAGTAGTAGTAATGAAATATTGTTTCTAAGTAATAAACAATATTCCAGGAAGAAACAGAGCCACTGTAAAACCGTGCTTCCAAATTCCATCTCAGCAAGGTGGTCTAGAAGGGTACAGTGGTCGATGGTATTGAAAGCTACTGAGAGGTCTAAGAGAATTAAAAGGGACACACCCCCATCTGGTTCTCTGCGTAGATCATTCACCAAGGCCACCAAAATTATCTCTGACTCATAACAAGGCCTGAAATCAGATGGAAATGGATCTAAATAATCAATTTAATCAAGAAACCCCTGGAGTTGGGAGGCACCATGTGATCTAGTACTTTACCCAGAAATGGGCTCAACCTCTGAGGATGCCTGCCATAGATGCAGGCGAAACTTCAGGAGAGAATGCTTCCGGAACATGGCCATAAAACTCGGAAAATACACAACAATCCAGTGATTCCAGCCATGAAAGTCTTCGACAATTTTAAGGGATTCTCTCATTAACATTCCAGGCCATTATTAGAATACTGGAGTTTCAATTTAATTGCTCTGGTTTTTTGTTTTTGTTTTCATGTCAGAAGAGACTTGAGAAACTGCAAGTCGCTTCTGGTGTGAGATAATTGGCCGTCTGCAAGGATGTTGCCCAGGGGATGCCTGGATGTTTTTATCATCCTGTAGGAGACTTCTCTCGTGTTCCTGCATGAGAAGCTGGAGCTGACAAATGGGAGCTCACCCCACTCCCCGGATTATTTTTTACATTCCCAATTGTCCCTGCAAGATTTAAATTTAAAAAACAAGTGTGCACAGTTGGAACCTCATAGTTGCGAACACAATTATTGGTATAGGAATGATTTTAATGTGTTTTAATCTTATGTCTATGTGTTTTTAATATATATGTTTTTAACTATTTATTATTTATTTATGATATTTCTATTCCGCCTTTCTCGAACCCAAAGGTGACTCAAGGCAGCTTACAACCAGGCAGCCATTTGATGCCTTAACAATATACACTTAAAATCACATTTAAAACAGAATTAAAAGTACATACAATAAGACTTTTAAAAATATATATAACCAATATATAAAATTAGTGCCTTCATTGTTAGCCTCATCCAAAATCATCATCTGCACCATTCCAATATTCAATTTCACATAATTCCGTGTTTGTCTATTGTGCTATGCTTTTATGTTTTTATCCATGTATATTAATTATATATTTTACCTTGCCTTGAGCCCCGGGGAGAGGCGGGTAAGAAATAAAATGGTTTTTTTTAATTATTATTTTTAAAGCAATTTGAAAACATCATCTGATTCAAATAGTTATGCTGTTTTATTTTCCGGAAAAAGAGGAAATGCAAAACTCTTAATAATCTAAGATATTTGCAATAGAAGTTGCATATAATGTTGTTCAGCTTAATCTGAAGATTGTTTATCTCCTTCTTGTCTCATACAGTACAGGATAGCAAAATTCAGTTGCCCATATTGCAGCTCCGTAAGATATGGGCTGAAGCTGTGTATTATGTTATTGGGCTTAAAGAGGACTACAGCCGGTTGTTTCAAGGGCAGCGAGCTGCTATGTAAGCAATCTGTTTATGTAACAAAACCCGAGTTGGAAAAATATGTTTGTGTAAAATATGTACAAATCTAAAGATTACCCAAAGGTTTTTCAGAATTTTTTGTATGTCTGTGCACACATACTTGGGGATATCCTTATGCAGTCCTCAGACTAAAAAGATCTAGAGTTTTATACTTTTTTTTCCTTGGCAACAGCTTTCCATTATGGAAAAATAGTCTAAAATCAGAAGTCCCTGATCAAACGAAAAGTGCTCTATGTCAGTTTCCTCCTTTGAAATACTACTTGAACCTATTGGTGTCCTCCTACATGTAATGAATACACAATTGCTGATTCTTGAACTAAACAAATCCCTGTTTCTAACAGCAGTTTGCAGTATTGGTAGTAGATTTGTGTAAATCAGAATCATGGGACTATCTTCCTAGGGAGGCTAGGCTGTTGTTTCTTCCCTTTTCTGTCCTGTTGTTAACAAGTAGAGATTTATTTTAGTCTTTTGGAAGCCATTGTTTTAGAAGAACATTTTTTCTTAGTATAGTGTTATTACTTTGATTTTTTGCTTTTAAATTAATGTTTTGAATGGTTTGGATTCTATAGGCAGTTCAATACTATTTTAACCATAACTTCTGGTATATTTTAGATATGCGTGTTTTTACTTTTATTTCTTTTTATCATGTAAATCCAACCATTAATACCAACTTTCAGGATAAAATGGTGTAAAAATAAAATATAGACCACAGAGTCTAGAAATAGGACACCACTTTGTTTTATTATACATTTTAAAATTGGTAGGTCAAACTCTTTAAGGATATTCATAGTTCCGTAGCCCATTTGTGTCATAATGTACAAGACATAACATGTTCTCCTACTGCTTTAAAAAAAATTAGAATATGCATTTTGCCATTCTTTGTGTCTTTTTCCTGTGTTAAGATAGGAAAAACATATATGAAAGCATGCTATATACAGTCATCCAGGTTTGTGATGTCTTATGGGAGATTCCAGTTGATGAGTACAATTTGGCAAAATTTCTGGCAGCATAACTACAAACTCATATTTGGGCTCACAACACACTACATGAAGGACTCAGTCCACTTCAGCAATCTCAAACTCAATGCCAATGACAAACTGATCAGCTTTGATGTGGTGTCTTTATTCACCAAGGTCAATATAACAGACATCATCGCACTCATCAACTGGAATTTCCCAGAAGACATCACAGCCCTGTTTCACCATTGTCTCACTACAAGCTACTTCCAGTGGGACAATAAATTCTATGAACAGAAAAATGAAGTAGCCATGAGGAGCTCTACTTTCCCTGCTGAAGAGCTTTGTTGTAAACTTCCTCCTTGATCGAATCACCAGCATTTTTCTGGCATTTCCTTATGGGTAGGTAGGTAGGCAGAAGCTGTGCTAAAGGCCAAGAGCTCACCCTGACCGGGCTTCGAACTGACAACCTTTCAGTTGGCAAGATTTACTGCAGCTGGCGGTTAACTTGCTGTGCTAAAGCCTGGCCCTTTGTTGTATTATTGTAAAGAGGGAGAGATAGCTAACCTTCAGTTACAAAGGAATTCCATAACAGTTATGACACAACTTTAATAGTGTTTTATAATGACTATATTCCTTATCACTAAATTGCATTTTTCTAAGTTTGAAACATAAAATAGAGGATGGGGAAACAAAATGTAACAATTTCAGAACCAGATTGAAATCATTTATTATTAATTATGACACTTTTCAAGAATAACCAGGGGATTGGACTGGATGACCCTTGTGGTTTCTTCCAACTCTATGATTCTATATCAACACAGAATAAAGTGAATTTCCAATAGTAAGAAATGTCTATGCAGACGCAACATAGGATACTGCACCTTATAATGTCTGTTTCTCTCAATTGTCCAGGCTAAGTCTTCTTCGGTACAATGCCAATTTAACAAAAATGAAAAACAACATGGTATCAGCATCACAGCAACTTAGAGCAAAATTGAAGTTTTTTCAGCAGAGCATACACCTTGACCTGGAAAGGTATAGTGATCAGATGACATATGGAATATGTAAGTATTTGGGAAATTATAAGACAGTTTATTCACATTTATGCATTGTTTTCAATGTTTAAAAATGCACAGATCAGTTTTGAAACAAAAAATCAAATATCTTCTTTTTTGCATGTCAAGTTCTCCTGGCAACACTTTCACAGTTTTCTGGGAGGAGTAGCAAAACACTGTCAACTGAGGCAAATGTGACTTAATTTATTCTGTGAATTACATTTACAAAAAGAGATATAACAATTAGACCCTCCCCCCACCTGCCAAAAAAAAAAAAAAATCCATGATTGCTGGTTCTTATCCAGACTGATAACAAAAGTTTGGTTTGAGCAGTTATTAACCTTTCAATTCTCTTTCTTTTTGCAAAACAATTTAACAAAATAATATTTGTATTTTTAAACATTTCTACCTTTATTTTCAATTTGAAATAGCAAAAAGTTAGTTTTGAATTTTAAAGATAGTTAACGAGTATAATAAATACTGAAGGGAAAAACCTGTTAATTATTTGCAGGACAACTTTAATGGTATCATGGGAAAACATACCTAGCATAAAAGCAAAATAGTTTGAGCTAAAAGAAATGTATCTCAATTAAGGATCATTGCTCGTGCCAGCCTAACTGCAGGCAACCAAAACATGTAACTTTGATGCTGCATTGATTAATGCAGTGACATTTTGAATAGATAGGTGGTAGTGTATACTTCGTAGAAGTTACTGTAAACATCACTCTTATTTCCCTATTGTCAAACAAATAACTTCACAAAATCACTTCTGGCTCATTGCTGTTCTGATGTGTTAGCCCCCAGAGTCTGGATGTCATATTCCTTCCAATGCTTCATGATATCCACTCCCAGGATCAGTAGGATCATTATGTATCCAGTTCAGTGATATCAAAAGGCTTCCATTCATTGATTTTGATAGAGTTTCTTTTGTTTGATGCCCTTGTACAAGGGTACCCATTACGTGATCCCAGAGACTGCCTTCAGTTGTGTTTGTATTTAACAAATACTCTGTGAGAAGACAACGTTGTGTGGTGCAGATCAGTTTTTAGCAAATGAGTATACTTGCCAGTCTGAAAGAGCTGTTCCAGTGCATTATCTGAAATAAAACTTTTGTGCCTAGTTGCACTTCCAGTATGTAAAATAATTAACAAAAACAACTGTGGTCAGGTGTATTGAACATTACCCAGAACACAGCAAGATAAAATGCGTAGTTGTTAATGGGGCATTTATCTCCATTGAAGGCTCTCTCCTGGAGAATCCTGAATACTAGTGATCCCCTGGCTACAAAGCAACTTGTATATGTGTGTATGTATATGTAAATGCATATATATAATCTTCATGGACAAGAAGCTTTCTGTCAGTAAACAATAATTTTTAATGGGTGTGAGATTTCATGTTTTGATCTTCCAGATTCTCCCTGTTGGGCAGGGGGAGCAGTTGTTTCTCCTCTACTTTACCCCAGCTGTTTTATGTCTTGTATTCTTATGTATGACTTAAAATAGGAATCATAATTTACCATTCTTCAAGTAACAGTATCCTAAATTTCTACTTTCTTGTCCTAGTGCTGCTTGAATTTGCTCTGAAACATAATTGTTGGGAATAAAATAGCTCATCTAATTAGATACAGATGAAAATATGCTTTTGCAGTACTGCAAATAAGTAGTAGAGGAACCATGCAAAGATTATTCCTTAGTGACAAATATAATAAATTGCAGCTATAGCTTATTAATTCATTCTTGTTCTTCCCTTGCTAAAAGATTGATCCATCCAGCCTCTGAGAGTAGGTCCCCTGGAGTGCTTCTAATGCATATCTATTTCCATTCTAATTTGTGGCTCAGCTAGTTGATTTGATATTCTATATATATCCCTGTGAGTTCATTATAGGGAGGAAATGGCAAAATATGCCACTGTGATTTAATTGAATGAAATTCAGTTGAGCAACCCATGCCTACTCATAATTACTGCATTCCCCATCCCCATGATCTCTCTTAAAAATCTATGAAATAAGTTTTTTATTTCTAAAAGTTGTTTTATTGGCAAATCATGTATTATGTGCACACCTGTTACAGTGGTGCTACAAAACACAGCTATAAGCATTGCATATCTGTCAATAGTAGCAGGACTGAATCAGAGGAGATCTCTATTTTCCATTCTTGAACTTATACTGAAAGACCCAATGTGGAGTATTTTGGGCGATTGGGCTTATTAACAAACAATCCTCTTCATAAATGTATAGCAGAGTAACTTATTAGCAGCAGTGTAATCCAGCACCAGTAGCCAAAAGTGATAAAAAGAACAAAAACACACAGAGCAATATTATATCTTCCTTAGGAGGCTTTTCTTTATAGCAAAATAATATGGTTGCACTATTTACAAGAACAAGCTTTCCATAACACAAATAAAGTTCTTTATACAGGGTGAGGCAGCATAACTTCCTTTTTTCAAAACCTAATAAAACCCATTGTATGAATCAGAATTTTATTTTTTTTATAATGTAGGCACATACCTAAAGTTTTGTTTTATGTAGTTTTGAAGATCAAATTAGGTAGGTGACGTCCCCATTCTCCATACACTGAGTAAACCGATTTCTGGCGTTTGTCATGACTCTTGCCAGCATAGCAGCCATTATGTTGGCAATTTCTTCCTGGATGTTGTAGGGTCCTTGGACGGTTCACATAAACACGGGATTTCAAAAAAACCCATAGAAAAAAATCACAAGGGACCAAATCTGGAGAGCGGGCCAGCCACTCCAAATCCACTCGAAAAGTAGGCCTCAACGGCAAAAGCACGCTCCTCACTGTTCCAACGCATGATGGCGACTGAACTGTGTCAGGACAAAACTTTATACTCCCGCCTCTCGAACGAGACCACTAGCGCTCCACTACGTCTTCAATTGACTGAATGGTGCACATTTTAAAAAAGGAAGTTATGCTGCCTCACCCTCTACTTCCTTCTTTGCTTCCACCCTGAGCTTCTTTCTCATGCAGATAAACAGTTTCACTCTCACAGAGCCTCTTCTCACACTAAACTTACACAGGAGCTTCACACAGTAGCCCTTTACACACAGCAGCCTTCACACTGGAGCTTTACACACAAGGCCTTCAACCTGGGGCTTCTCTCACCGAAGCCGTCTCACACCAGGCCTTTTTACACCAGGCCTCTCACACACTGAAGCCTACTAATTCTGAGGCCTACCTCACACTGAGCCCTCTTCATACTGAGGGCAACTAACACTTAGGCCTACTAAGCTACAGACACACCTACTTATATTGAACTGTAGCATTTGCTGAGTCATTGCATGCATTTAACCCTTTCAGTGCTTGACTCACATTTTTGTAATTAAAAATACCTAGTTATTTTTTAATATTTCTGACAGAGTGTGTGCAGCATGAAATAGCCATTAGTCATTAAAATACAGAATTTAAGGATGAATACTGTTCATATATAATTTAATCAGACTTTAAAGAATACATTTCTATGTGTACTTATCAGCAACAAGACTTACTGTGTTCATTGGTTTACAATAGTATGCAGCCTAAATTATTTTGGGAGAAGTTCTGCAATAGGAACCTTTGAATGTTTATTCAAAGGGAGGTCCTGAATGATGAGCATTATTTTCTATCTTTCTAAACCAGTACCACTCCATTAACTTGGTTATCTTTTTGGCTTCGGTAGTAGGGAATGCGTTATAAGGCAGGTTCTAACTTAGATGTTGTCCATGAGGCAATCAAGATTTTCAAGATTTTTTTTTTACCCCAAACTCCCAAATTTGTTTGCATTCTTATTTTCCAAAAGCATGTTTTCAATTTTCAAATGCATCCACGTGTTCTAAATATTGCTTATTTATAGTACACACTGCTGTTTTAAATTAATTTGTTTAAGCCTCAGAAAAAATGCTGAAAGCCTGGAAAGAGATGGAGGAAAAGGCCTTACTGTGTGAACAGGTATGGGAGACAACAGTTGCATTGCACCCCAAAAATGTTCTTGGTGTATTGGTTTTCAGACCTGTTCTTGGGGTTATTTGGGGCTCTGATTCAGAAAATTGCATTGAATAGACCGCATCAGCATGTTTCTTAGATATAGTTATCATTATTTTCTGTGGCTAAGCAGATGGCAACTGGTAGATGGCACATGCTCTGTAACTCAAAAAGTAGATCTGATAGGGGAAACCTGGTGCTGTATTTGGAATCAGCAGGTTAAATATACCTGGGTACAGTTCTAACATTCAAAGCACCAAAATGTGTGTTAATGCCAGTTAAAAACAAAGCCACTTGATGAGCCCCCAAGTTCAGGCAGTCCCCGATTTACAAACATCTGACTTACAAATGACTCATAGTTAAGAATGGGGTGAGACAACAAGAAATGAGAGAAACTGCTTCCTTCCCTGCTGGTTTCATACCGACGTAAGTGGTCGGTGTCACAGGTCTTAAGTCAGCTTAGTAGGACTTATTTTCTACTTAACAGACTTGCACTACTTCCAGTAAACTTTATAATATGCATGTACCACTTTCTTGGTAGCCCTAATGATTCTTTTCACCAAGATGATCATTATAATAATGTTATTACGCATTCCTTTCTCAGTTGGGTTATACATGATTCTCTCTTTTTTTCAGGCTGGAGATATTGGTTATYTAGATGAACAAATTATGGCTTTGCACACCGAGATTGTAGAGTTGCAGAGGAGTCCACATGCACGGCGTCAAGGTGATCTCATGGAAAATCTGTAAGAAAATCAGCTGCTCTTATGGTGCTTTTGCAGTGTCAAAAGTGTAAGGCTTTCATTGTATGTGGATTTCGTCTTYRATTGGTATTAGTGTACTTTTTTGTTTCTGTTCTYTCAAGAGTTGATAAACTTAATAGCATACATATTTAATAAATTCTGACAGCATGTAAAAAGAGAAATCTGTCAGAAACTTCAGTGACCCCCCCCCCAACTCGAATCACAGAAGCATAGAACTATAGCGTTCAGTGGAAGCCAAAAAGTCAACTAGTCTAATTTCCCATTACTGCAGAAATCCAGATGTAAAGCAACCTCAACCGATGGCCCTCTAAGCTCTATATCAAAACATCATCTGAAGGAGAGTTTCAATACGTTTCAGGGTAGTTTATTCCATTTTCAAATCTTCCTACCCAGAGCTTCATGGCCACTTGCAAAACACTGAAGACTGTTTTTGGAATTGTTATTATTTCTCATATAAAGAAAGTTACTATGGGTAAAAGGCTTTATAATTCTGTTTGTATGCTGTCATACTTCATATCTGTATTTTTATTTTAATAAAAGGAAATAATAGGTCTAGATATTGGAAAGGTAAAGTGTCTCACATCATGATAGCAATATCTATAGGATTTTGTTATAAAACTAGGAAGTAGGGTATGATCTTCCAGGTCCTATTTCAGAAGGTGAAAGGATGAAAATTCTGAGTGGCAACATTTGATTAACCACATTCTCAAATCAGCATATGAAAATGGGACAAGGTGTCTCTTTGTAATGATATAAATTTGGTATTCTTGAGGTACAATGGAACTATAGTTAGCCCTCCACATTTCCTAGGGTTAGAGATAGAGAGTCCCTGCAAAAGTGAAAACTGTGTTCATTTTTTATCTGAGAGAACATCTATCTATGAGTCTGTAGGTCATGCAACTGTATGGTCTACTTCTGCTAGAGGTTGACTACAAAAATGTGCTAGAAAATTTAGAGATTTCTAAAGAGGTGGTCAGTATTACTCCAATAAAAGTTGACCATTGACTTGCACTGGAAGACCTAGAGATTCCTAGAGAGAACATTTTAATTAAATAAGTTTTTTTTCTCATGTCAGGAGCAATTTTAGAAACTGCACACTTCTGGTGTGAGAGAATTGGCCGTCTGCAAGGACGTTGCCCAGGGGATGCCAGGGTGTTTTACCATCTTGTGGGAGTTTTCTCTTGTGTCGCCACATGAGAAGCTGGAGCTGACAGACAGGAGCTCATCCAGCTCCCTGGATTCAAACCGCCGACCTTTCAGTCAGCAGTCCTGCTGGCACAACGGTTTAACCCATTGCGCCACCGAGGACTCCAATCAAATGTGAATAATCTAATCTGCAAAAGTCAAACTCGCAAATGTAGAGGACAAACCTTGCTTAGAACTAGCTACCTTTATAGTCTTTAAGATTAAGTTATACTTTTTATTCAAATCTCAGAAGCCTTCGTACTCTTGGTTTAACTAATAATTAAACAAAACTGTCTATCATTGTTGCATCTGTCAATTGTGATTTTGTGCCTTTGAGTTATTTCTAACTAACGGTGATCCTAAGGAAACCTTTATTATTTATATCGTTCGGCGTGAGAAGGGCAGCATATAAATGTAGTAAATAAATAAATAAATTTATTGTGGATTTTCCTTGGCAAGATTAGTTTATAGGAGATTTGCCATTGGTTTTCTCTGGGGATGAATGTGTGTGACCTGCCAAGGTTACTCAGTGGGGTTCCATGGCTGAATGAAAAGATGTACCATAGTTTCTAGACTCCGAGTTCAACACCAAATCACTACATCACTACATATCTCTCTCTCTCTCTGGTGGGAAAAAAGGAAATGGGAAAAATGTGTTTTCAATTTTGTAATCTCTTTGCAGAGAACAAAGAGCTATAGAACTCTACAAACAATTAAAAAGAAGGCCCCCAGGTACGGAATACTCTTCTTTAATCTGTCTACAATCAAAAACAGTGTGCGTGTTAAATTGGGAATTTTGGAATGGACTATACATGAGGCAAATTGATATATACCTGGTTTAGTTGAAGAAATCAATATAAGTAGCAATAGAATCATGTAAACATTGTCTATTTTTATCACTATTCTTGAGTTTACTAACTTAGATAGCCACCTGTCACTAAACACAGAGCAAACATTTTGAACCTGTGACATTTTTTGTTTCCTTTTATTGCAAGAACGGGAATTATGGAGTCCATTTTTTGTGTGCTAGGCATGTTACAATGATATTGTAACCTCAAGGTTGAACTTCTGCAATATGCTGTACATTGGGTTACCTCTGTACCAAGTTCAGACACTCCAGTTAGTTCAAAACATGGCAGTCAGGTTGGCTCCAGGAACATCTAGGAGTGAGAATATCACAACTGTATTAATCAACCATGAGTTTTGATTTGCATTCTGTTACCATTGTATGTCAAATCTGTAGATGTATTTGGTATAAGTTTTACATATTTTTCCAAGTGTTTATTTCAGTGGTTTTTTAAAAATTAAGTTACATATGGTTAACCCGATTTCCAATTTTCTTTAAGAGGAGCACTGTTCTGATTACATAACACATGTACTTTTCAGATCATTCTTACAGTGACAGCACAGAGATGGTGAAGATCATTGTCCAGACAGTTCAGAGTCAGGACTGGGTGCTCAAGGAACTCTTCAGACACCTTAGGTACATTTTCTTTCTGTAACTACAAACACAATAATTTCATACCATCATTGGATTGGGTAGATTTATTAATGTCTGTAATATGTTCCAGGTAAATGAAGAGCTTTAAGATGTGCCTGTTTTATATGCTGGGTTGTTTCACTGGCAGATATTTATCTCTGCCCTTTAATATTGCAGTAATTCATATACAACTTCAAAAAATAAAAACACTGAATACATCGTACTTGCTATTAATAATAACAAAAACTCTGTTTACAGTTTTGCAAAAAAATTCTTTTTGAAAAATTGATATTTGTGTGAGGAAAAATGTTTGTGTATTCTTAACAGTGCAGACTTTAAAATATGAAAGATCTGGGTCAATTGAATCATATCAGAATCATGAAGAAATTGTAGGGTATAATGGAATGGATACAGTATCCTGATCTAAATCTCTCAAGATTGCAATGGGATGCTTGTGCAGGAAAAAAATTAATGTAGAGTAAGACTCTAACGTGCCCAGCTTGGGGAAAAGGTTTCTTTCTTTACTTTGGGCCAGTCACCTCCTCTTCTCCGCATTCCTGCCCTGTCCTAGTGAGCTGCTGGATGTCACATAGAAAGGGAGCACATATTCCATCAAACCTCCAGTGTTTAAATAAAGGCAGAAACTTCTTTTTCATTTTTTTTACTTAAATTCATTGCTTTCCCTATCTTCTGAATACAACCTGATTATCAGCAAGATTGCCATATGATGAAATTGTAACCAGCTCTTTAAGTGCAAAGGAATAAATTGTTAACAACTGATTGTTGATAAATGGGTTTTGTGAGAGAAAATTTGTGGTCTAATTTGGATGACAAAGCATTTCTCATAATGCTGAGTGTATGTTTTTTAGAGAAAGAGGGGCTTTTATGTAGCTGAACTGTGTGGGGAATACAGAATAGCAGTATGAAAGAAAAGGTTATGTAGCAGAACATTTGTAGATTTCAGAAAACAATGTATAGAGACAGATCTCTACAAAAAAAAAAAGGAGGAACAATGTTTATGTAAAAAAGCAGAACTTGAGGAGAGTATATAATGAAAATCCTGAGCAGGGTGAAGATGAGCTGAGTCTTACTGGTAGGAGGTAGCATTCTGGTGCCTTAGAAAACAGGAACTGTAGAGAAGGTCTGTATTTTCCATTTTTTCTATTAAATCTTGTGGATGTTTCAGTTGCCCCATAATTTTCAACAGCACGTGTGAAATCTGCAATTTTGATCTTTTGTCCATTCATCTGTTACAACAACTTGGGCCGTTCACTGACATAATTGCTTCCAAAGCTCCAAACTAGGGTGTATACACACATAAAATGCATCCTGTGCACAAACATCAAGGGGACATGCATGTACATATGTACCACCTTGTGAAGATGTGAGAAAACCGATGCACAGCCTTATGAAGTACTTTTTCTTTTTTTGACACAGCAAGTTATTGGATTGTAAACAGAAGATCATTGATTTGCTTCCAAAGATTGAAGTTGCCCTAAATAACATCAAGGAGGCTGACAACTCAGTGATGCAGATGCAAGGAAAAAGGCAAAAAGAAATCTGGCATTTGCTGAAAATCGCTTGTGTAAGTGTTCTGTAGTTTCAGAAGAAATAAAAGAGATGTTTTTATGTGTAGGGGAAACTAAGCATTCGGATATACATCATACTGATTTGTATATAGATCAGAATGTTTAGTTTCTACTACACATACAAAATTATTTATTTATTTATTTATGGCATTTCTACCCTGCCTTTCTCACCCCAGAGGGTTCTCAAGGTGGCTTTACATACAGGCAATGATTCGATGCTTTAAAACACAATGTACACTTAAATAAATATTAAAATAGAATTTAAAAGTACATTAAAAACAATTCAAACATTTAAAAACAATACAAAGTTAAACATGTAATCCACAAGCGTAATCCAGTATTATTGATAAATATATATATCTAGAACTGTACTACATTTAAGTGAATAAATTTGAAACATAATTTATGTAGGTTACTTTGAGTTTTATGGAAAAAATGATATAAATGAACAGAATCATAATAATTGTATGCTTTAGGCGCAACTTTGGAAATTACATTGTGTGGTAAATTGCAAGCATCTGTTTGCACTTTACTTATATGTTGCATTGCTCAAAGCTGCCCCAACTGCTAGGCCCATCTTAGCATTGTGATATTACATTACTACAATGTTATCATATTCTATCATAAAGTTTAAAATGTTGCTTCTGTGGATTTCCACACTCTGGCAATTTGGATTGCTGTTACATCAGAACTTTGGTTAAAGTCAGTAATTGATAGATAAAATTGTTTTTTTTCCCTGAGTTTTGTTTTTTGTTTTTATAGACACAGAGTTCTGCTAAATCTCCTGTTAGTTCCAATGGAGAAGTTACATCTTCAGTGCCAGCCTGTCTGTCACAGACCCCATCAGGAAGTGTTCTTCAACCTCTTTCTTCTATGGGAACCTCTAGAAATCTGTAAGCTCAGGGGAAATTGTTCTTAGTAAATGTACTTTAAAAACCTGGGATAACCTGTGATTGCAAGATGAATATGGGCTCCTACTCTTAATATAGGGCTATATTGCGATAAGCTTCCACGTTTCAATTGATTTGTTTCTGAAGGTGGCTTAAATATAGATTGAAAGGATCGGTGAATACCTGCACAACCACGACCACCCTGCCAATCCTTTTATAATACACAATACTGTCTTGCAAACCATCCCTTTATATATAGATATAAATATAGAGTGTTATATGGCTTTGTGAATAATAGAAACATGATGTTATCGATATAATTCTTTTCATATTCACCAGGAAATCGATAAACACCCATTAACTATATCGGATGATCATGTTCAGATCCATATACTAATTATAAAGCAGTTCTAATGTTCTTTATTATTTAAGGGTTGTATTAGTAAGATTTTGGAAATTAAAGCTGTCATTCTATGGTTTTTCTTGGCAGGGTACCTTTTGCACATTTAATAGAAGAAAATCTAAGCTACCTTCACAGCTTTAGCACTGTTATACAAGAAGCAACACATGGCCAGAGTAGCAGCTTGAAGGTAAGTCTGTTTGGTACCGATGCCCTGAATTCTCCCTTTCACTTGGAGAGAGAGGGATGACATGATAACTTATTTATTTTGAAAGAAGTTAGTTTGGGATTCTGTGTTCGCACTTGAGAAACCTTGTGTAGCTGCTCCTGAACTGCACATAATAGACACTTGTGGAATCACAGTTCAGAATTTCTGGACACCAAATTGCAATGTTACTGCTATCTGAGGAAATTGCATTTTGAGGCAATGATAGTGTTGGATAGTTTCCCAGAGTATGATGACTCATTAAATTAAGACGCAGTCTCCTTCAGCAGAGAAAATTCATTGGATCTCTCACATATCCCTCTGAGACTAATTTAAGTAAAGGAAGGTAAACAGACAATATTTAAGGTTATTTTTCGTGTCAGAAGCTATTTGAGGAAACTAAGTCGTTTCTGGTGTGAGAGAATTGGCTGTCTGCAAGGCCGTTGCCCAGGGGATGCCCAGACATTTTACCATCCTGTGGGAGGCTTCTCTCATGTCCCTGCATGAGAAGATGGAGCTAACAGATGGGAGATCACCCCGCTTCCCAGATTCGAAGCACTGACCTTCAGATCAGCAGTTCAGCCGGCACAAGGGTTTAACCCATTGTGCCACCACAGCTCCTAATACTTAAGTTATGTGACTGAATAGTTTACCAGTTCCACTAAAATTTACTTTCTAACAAATATTTATTTATGATTGTCTGGCTCCTGGCTGAAATAAAATTCCAGGTAAAAAAAATAGTTAATCATGTTGGGAGAGAAAAGAGACTATAGTAAAACAAATGGTGAAAGTTTGAGAGCAAATGTGAATGGAATAGATATGTGGGAAATCCTTTAACAAAAGCTTGGGGGAATCTCAAAACACTCACTCAAAGGGTAATCTTGCAACATAGTTGGATTTTTTGTTCTGTTTATATAATTGTATGCAAAAGCTCTAAATCTCTTTGTCTTAGATGGGAGGTGGGGGTGGATACAGATATTTTAAATCAGTCCAGCTCAAGGTATCTGATGTGGAAGAATGATAATTTCCCCCCCAATGTACCAGGAATTTTACTACTTGTTTCCTTCAGCTGCAACTGTTTTTTTTTTTTTCCTGGAAATTTACTAGGGACTAAAAGCTTATTTCTCAATGAGTCAGCAGTGGTTCAGGGAACACCACTTGAGTAGCACTATTTTAGATTACCCCAGAGTTACTAGCATTGGAAAAAATGATAGGTAGTCATTATGTTGAAGTAAAATCAGAGATTGCTCAGAATGTATTATTCTGTACTTTCTTATTTCTTGTCTATATTTACAGTTTCATAGCAAAGCAAGAAGCATAATTAATTGTTTTCCTATCTTTTTTACAGAGTCTTGATTGGAGCTGGCTAAATTAGTTGCATATGCAAACAGTACATCAAAATGCACCTGAGTTCCATGTGTGCATTTGATCCATTCTGAATTGACCATCTGCTACTGTCTGAGCATCTTACAGTTTGGACTGCAATATGTATAAAGAAAGTACAGCTACTAAAATTATTCTTCTACATTTCACTAAATCCAGTCTCCTAAAATCAAGAGTTTTGCACCCGCTTTAAGATTACTCAAATTGTATTCCACTTTGCAAGGTCCTGATTGCTATATTTTGTTCAGCCAAAATACACTATTTGCTCTCTAACTAAACAGGAACATTCACAAGACCTGTCTTGGAAAATGACTGGCCTTGCTCCTTACACTAAGAAATGTGCCATCCCTGTCATAGGGCATACAATGGAATATAATGAAATCTACCAAAAATAAGTTATGCATTATAACAAGCAAAAAAATTCCTTCAAAGAAAATGGAAAGGACAATCACTTTCCTAAATACTTTATTGTAGATTTCACGAACACACTCACATTTTTTTCTCTACTCTTCAGGTAATGATTGGTAATCACTTGCCTTTGAACATAATGGGGATATTTTGTTATATGTTATCTAGTTTTTAAATGTGTTGATTTTTATACATGATAATGTCTGACTTTACCCAAAACAGGGTGAGTAATAATTGTATATATAAGAAATACTTTAATAAAATAAAAATAATGATGGGCTTGTTGGCTCTTTTCTTGTAGTAGTTAGAAGAGTATCCAAGCTAGAAGGGGATTTGGGCTTTACTTTTGTGGACCTTCTGATATACAAAAGAACATATGGCTCAGGTGGATAATCAGACACATGACATAATTCACAACAGGTGTTGTCCCAAAATAATTTCTGGGGCAAAATACTATACATAGCTTCCAGCATCAAGTATTAATTTTCTTCTGAGTTTTGATGCTAAAAAATATACTCCCCCGCCCCTGAAATATAGAAATAGAATCCGTATGCAGGGTATGGCTCATCCCACACACTTCAAAGACAGGACTTCTTAGAAATGTCAATCACCTTTACAATCCAAAGTGGTAGCTTTTCCCCCAACTCTGTCCTGCCACACTACAATCAGGATAGGATTTCACTCCATTCTGGATTTGAGAACCATTTCTGAGGATAACTGTGAAAGAGAACTTTTTAAAGAGAAGTCCGTACTTCACTGCATAACTGTCAGACTTTCCCCTCTTTTTTCAGCATATTCCCCAACTTCTCTCCAAATCAGAGGAAATGGGTTGTTGTAGGTTTTTTGGGCTGTATGGCCATGTTCTAGAAGCATTCTCTCCTGAAGTTAAGTCTGCATCTATGGCAGGCATCCTCAGAGGTTGTGAGGCCTGTTGGAAACTAGGAAAATTAGGTTTATATATCTGGAAAGGCCATTTTCAGCTCTCAAATGTTAGGTTCATATAAACCCAATGGCCATATAGCCAGAAAAACCTACAATAACCCAATGATTCCAGCCATGAAAGCCTTCGACAGTACATCAGAGGAAATGGTTTAAATAAAATTAGGACCTTCCCCTGATTTTGAGTGTATTGAAAAAGACAACTTTCAAACTGATCCTATAGTGCAATGGTTCTCAACCTAGGGGTCCCCAGGTGTTTTGGCCTACAACTCCCAGAAATTCCAGCTAGTTTACCTTACCAGCTGTCAAGATTTCTGGGAGTTGAAGGCCAAAACATCTGGGGACCCAAAGGTTGAGAACCATTGCTGTAATGCCCCAGAATCAAAGCTACATCAGACCACACTTCCAGAATTTTTTTAGGGATTTCTTATTCTCAGAGAACCCCAAGATCCTTCCATTTGTTGTAAGATAGTAGAACTTAAAAGAAACCTAAATCAGAGTCTGTATTTAGAATATTACCCAGAACCGCATAAGCATTCATTTTTTATTTATTTGTTTATTTTTATTTACAGTATTTATATTCTGCTCTTCTCACCCCAAAGGGGAATTGGGGCGGATTACAGAACATATATACAGCAAACATCCAATGCTGATTATACAATGATAAGACAGACAAGAGAGGTATTAGGCTTTCCCATCTTTTGGCATTTTTGGAGGCTGTGCTTGGTTCCGGCCACAGGGGGGTGATGTCACTGCATCTCCTTGCCAAAGAGCTTTTCTTTGTTCATAAACGTCCTCCTTTTTCTGATCGAGCCCTGCTTTAATGTGGTTCCTATTTATCTACTCACATTTGTTTTCGAACTGCTAGGTTGGCAGAAGCTGAGCAGAAGGTCAGGCACTCATCCTGACCTGGGCTTCAAGCTATTAACTTTCCAGTAGGCAAGATTTATTGCAGTTTAGTGATTAACCTGCTGTGCCAAAGTCCGGCCCTGTGCTAAAGACATTTCTTCTGACTTATATACCTACACTTGTGTGATGCATAGGGTATGGTAAGTATTTGCTAGACACACTGCTGGCTGTTTTGCAGGTTAAATAAACCAACAATAATTTGAAAATTGGAGTCTTGTTGAACCAAACACATTTTGATTAGCCTTTATTAGAAATACAGATACTGTTCCCATTTCCTTACACTTCTGACTTCCTCTATACTGCTGTGTCATAAAGAACAATGAAACTTTAAAGAGTTTTCTGGACCAATGATGATACAATACTGACAACTGGATGTATTTTTCTGTGAAAAGTCCCAGAACAATCATTCATATGCTCTCCGTTCACTGCCTGCTCTCCTAATAACAACAAAAATTAACAATATACCTGTATCTATGCTGGCCTATCATACCTGCAACTTAAGAATGTACACCAGAGGAAAACAGTCCAGTAACTAAAGACATCCTGTACTGAAAAATGAGAATGATGTGTAGGTGAATGACAGTGATATTTATGAAATCAAAGGAGACAAAAGGGAATGAGGAAACAGCAGCTCCTGGAATGCTGCACAGTAACTGGGGCAAAATGTAAAGCTTGCAGGGAAATAGGTAAATGAGGTATTTTAAAAATTGAATACATTTTGAGTGCATGGGCATGTGTGGGGGGGGGGGGTATTGAAACCAACTAAGAATTTAGGTATACTGTTTTGGGGGCACTCAAACAGTGTTCATAGATGTAACATTAGAATGACTGCCCTCCTGCCATGCATTCTTGTACACAACTGAACCAAGGTTAAAGATCCCCGATGCAGAGGCTTGGGGAAAGATCAGGGTTAATTTTAAACCACTTCCTAAAGATAAATAATCAAACCCTGGAGGGACAATGGGAGGAAATTTGGTGCATAGGACCCCAGGGAAAGTGCATCTTTAAGAAAGGTGCTTCTGTTTCAGTGGAAGGATCTTGAGTGCAAATGACCCCAGTACCACCTTTTAAAAAAGTGCTTCTGTTTCAGTCTATTTATTTACAACATTTATATACCGCCCTCACCCCGAAGGGTACTCGGAGCAGCTTACAAGTTATATGTAAATACAATATATTATATTAGCATTAGCAACATACATTCCCATATTGTACTGCATCACTATACTGTAATATTATAAGTAATATTACATGTAATATGAAATATATAATTATTATATTGTATTATTATTAGTATTATATTGTATTACATAATATTCTTATGAATACAATATGTGTATACAATATATTATACAGGGTGAGGCAGCATAACTTCTTTTTTTAAAATGCGCACCGTTCAGTCGGTTGAAGATGTAGTGGAGCGCTAGTGGTCTTGTTCGAGAGGCAGGAGTATAAAGTTTTGTCCTGACACAGTTCAGTCGCCATCATGCGTTGGAACAGTGAGGAGCGTGCTTTTGCCGTTGAGGCCTACTTTTCAAGCGGATTTGGAGTGGCTGGCCCGCTCTCCAGATTTGGCCCCTTGTGATTTTTTTCTATGGGTTTTTTTGAAATCCCGTGTTTATGTGAACCGTCCAAGGACCCTACAAGATTTGAAGACCAACATCCAGGAAGAAATTGCCAACATAACGCCTGCTATGCTGGCAAGAGTCATGACAAACGCCAGAAATCGGTTTACTCAGTGTATGGAGAATGGGGGACGTCACCTACCTAATTTGATCTTCAAAACTACGTAAAACAAAACTTTAGGTATACATAAAAAAAAATAAAAATTTCTGATTCATACAATGGGTTTTATTAAGTTTTGAAAAAAGGAAGTTATGCTTCCTCACCCTGTATTATTAGCACAGCACAATATTTGTATTATATATTACTATATTGTTCTATATCACTATACTGTAATATTATTAGTAATATTACATGGAGCCCCCATGGCGCAGTGAGTTAAACCACTGAGCTGCTAAACAACCGAAAGGTCGCAGGTTTGAATCTGGGGAGCAGCATGAGCTTCCACTGTCAGCCCCAGCTTCTGCCAACCTAGCAGTTTGAAAACTGCGGGAAAGTAACAGGTAACGGCGCTCCATGCAGTCATGCCGGCCACATAACCTTGGAGGTGTCTATGGACAATGCCGGCTCTTTGGCTTAGAAATGTAATATAAAATATATAATTCTTATATCGTATTATTAGTATAATAATTATATATTTCATATTAACGCGCTCCATGCAGTCATGCCGGCCACATGACCTTGGAGGTGTCTACGGACAACGCTGGCTCTTCGGCTTAGAAATGGAGATGAGCACCACAACCCAGAGTCAGACATGACTGGACTTAATGTCAGGGGACTACCTTTACCTTTTATAGCTATATTCATATCCAACTCTCTATACTACACTAAGCATGGGCAAACTTGGGTCCTCCAGGTGTTTTGGACTTCAACTCCCACAATTCGGGAGTTGAAGTCCAAAACACCTGGAGGGCCCAAGTTTGCCCATGCCTAGTCTAAAGGGTTCGAAGGCAAGGATGCCTGTTTTCACAAATGTGCTGGCATCTTTGAAATGGGAGGAGGAGTCATGGCCTGTCCATGTGATGGGAATTAAACAGATGGTTTAGTTAGAAGTTGGAGGAGGCGATGGTGTGATGGGAGTGAGTAAATATTTCGTCTTCTTTAAAGGCAGAACCCCATGAAACCACAGCTTTCCCCCTTTTCACTCGTTTTCTCCATCTCAGTGTGACAAAGCCCCCTGGCTGGTGTGATGCCATGGCACCACTTCCGCTCCTGGGTCTCCCCCGCACGTTCTTCTCTCAAGGGCACGACCACCTCCTTCCTGTTCTGGCGCGCGCGCTCTCTCTTCCTCCCTCCCTCCCGCGCGACACATGATGCCCAGCCTCGCCTGGAATAACGGAGGGGCTCCCTCTCTCTCCCCCTCCCTGCCTTTCGAAGCCTCAAGGAGGAGCCACCCGGGGACGTAAAGACGGAGCGCGCGGGGGCGACTTCTCTTCCGCCATTGGCTGCGCGGACCCCCTCACGCGCCCTTCCTGAGCAGCAAGGAGGCGCTCCTCCGTTGGCGCCCCGAGCCGCTAATCTCCGTCCGGGTCCCGGCTCTGAAGCGCCGCTCGCAGGTGCGTCCCTTGAGGGGTGGGGGAGGGCTTGGATGGGGCCGGCTTAGCTTCGCCGCACAGCGGGTCTCCTTGAAGGCGAGGCGCGCGGAGAGACAGACGTGTTGTCTTTGGTCCTGCTGGGCACTCCTGAGGGCGGTAGTCATGGCAACACGGCACGCGCACCCCGCTTTGGGCGGCACGTGAGGGATGGCACAGCCCTCGCGCTGCTTCCCCCCCCCCCCCTTTTCCAATAGGGTTTGCCTTCTCCTCCG